ATGCTAGCTGCTCGAAGCGGGTGGCGTAGTTTCCAAGGGAGAGCGCCGTCTTCTGATTCTTCTGTCGTTCGGGCAGCTTCATCAGGATTTGGTGCGCCTTGATTCGCGTTCCGTGCTCAGGAAACGCTTCCTCAAGGGCGGTGGCGAAGGCTGCCCAATCAGGATAGACCTGGACTCCCCCTGCCGACTTCTCGTAGTATGCGTCTGCCCACGTCTTCCCTAGGTCCTTCCTCATCAATGCTACCGTGAAGGCGATCTTTGCTTCATCGCTAAGTCTGGTGTTGTTGGTGGCGACGAAGTAGGAAAGGACGCATTGAAGGAAGCGTCTAAGATCCTCTGCCTTTCCACTGAAGGGTTCCGGAGCGGGGATGTCGAGGCGGAGGGGTCGATTGGCGGTTGATTGTTGAAGTCGGTATGTATCGAGAGCAGCCGCGATGCGCTGATCGATGTCTGCTTGAGTGAACGTCGACATTGGAGGTTCAACTGGTGTGTTGGTTGGTGCGAATGAAACAGGTGGTGGTTCGGTGTCTGGAGCCTCGATGGGAACGTACTGAACGTCCGGGAGTTCGAACGATTGTTCGTTAACAGGTGACTGTAGCTTCTCTGTTATTTGTGCTGGCTCAACGTTGATCCGTAGGGTGGCGAATACGTCTTCTGGGTGAGCGGGAGGGTGTCTCTGGTAATAACTGACAAGCTGTTGATGGGCGACGATCTGTGGGTTGGAACCTTCTGCGCGAACCCAGGAGCCGTCTCGAGGATAGATGGGAGTCCTTCTTGTGGTGGTGACGAAGCAACGGTCTGCTCGGTCGTACTGGAGAAGGGGAGATCCTGTGAGGGCTGGTAGTCCCAAGGGAACCGGGTTTACTGCGTTGTTCGACGTGATGGTGGATGAGTTGTTCGACTAGGTGAAACTAGGAACGTAGCTTAGAAAGTTCGACCTTTTGATACAACGGTCTATACTCCTATATCGATGCCTGACTCGTAGACGACGAGCGAGGACTTATGGACAGTGCATCGTCCTGAAGATCGAGCGAGGAAGTCGAGAATGACCACTACCCCAAGCGAAGAGGAGCAGAGACTTGAATGAATAACCAGGTCGAACTTAGAGTTCGACCGACTAATGGTACAACTACTTATACAAGTACCAACTGCGCACGGACCATTGTGTCTATGTGGTCGTGTTAGTAAAGAAAGAAACGTAGTGGTACGATACCAGGCATGAAGTGCGCACGGACCCCATTATGTAAGCTACATAATGTTCAACCTGCGGGTGAGCGCTGAGATAGGCGCCAGTATGGGCGCTAGTAATACAAGGAATAGAACGGAAAGATAAATGTTTCAATCATTGTGATCAAACACAGATCTGATCATGATCGAAAGACCTTAGTAGGTTTGTGTCTCAGAGTGCAGATGGTTAGGGGAATGTTAAGGGGTTTTTGGTGCAAAATGAGGATCTGAAACAATAGAGTGGGAACTGACCACATGGTTTGAAGTGTCCGGGAGTCAGATATCACTTGAACTGGGCTTTGAAGCATATGGTGCGCTCTTCTTTGGAGGAAGGCTCGGGCTTCTTGACAAAATACAAAGGGGACTTGCTAATTGTTCTAGCCAGGGGTGTTTGAAGCTTTGTAATGATGGAGGGGGCTGAATATGGGGTGTTCCATACCATAGACACAATGTTGAAGTGCAGGATCAATTCAGGATGTGTTATCAAAGTTCTGTGCTAAGGCCAGCCTGTTGAAACCTATCAACACCTACATATGTACGATTCCCACACTGGTGCACTGCCCACATGACCAAGGCTGGCGAAAGTCAACATAGTGCAGTAGACACAATGTCAAGGTGAAGGACTGCTTCAAAATGTTTTTCAAAGTTGTTTTCAAGACCAGAGCCAGTTCAAACCTATCACTGATGGTCAATGTGGCTGTGTAAGCAGTGCCCATGCTGCACTAAGCTATGCCACACAGTCATCTAATCTAATCAATCAAGGCAGTATGACCTGTCCATGTCAAGTGCTGCCCTACACAGCAAAATTGCCAGTTCAAACCCAGAAAAAGGATAAAAATAAAAATAAAAGGGAAAAAGTCCATGATGTTCATGTCAATTCATAACACTACCCAACCCTGCAAGGTTCCAGGTTCAAACCCAGGAAAAGGGGAGGAAGGGGGGGAAGTCTATAACACCCATGTCAGAAATTGTCGCAACTTAGGGTCAAGCGACAAGGAGCGAACAAACCTTAAAGCTGGGGGTGTTCAACTGGGTTGACCAAAGTGATGGTGAGCACGCTCAAACCTAGGGCTGTTGATTTTTGCCTGGGGATGAGATGAGGGGAGTGGGAATACAGACACAAGCGAGCAGAATGGTGGGTTTGTTACAAACACATGGGGGCCAGGTACGGCCATGCTACGGTACAAGTACTCTATGGGATCAACATATTTTACTTGGCAATTGCACTGTGATCATTCTCCTGGCTAGGCACAGGGTGCTTCGGGTTGGCCCGCTCGACACTGTGGGCCTCAAAATCTAACAAAGGCTAGGGACAAGAAATATATTAGTTAGTAAGGAAAGTAAGTAAGTACAGGAAAGCTTACTGACCTAGGGACAAGAGGTTGAAACTGAGGTCCCTAGGGCATCAGAGGCCAGCTTATATACAGGGGAAGTTTAGGGGAGGCTGTGTGCACTGGCCTGTGCACAGCATGCTAATGCAGCTCCAGGGGCCGGTGAGTCAGAGCAGCTGTGTCAGCAGAGCCTGGGCTGTGCCATGCACTGCCACCTCATCTAATCTAATCATACAGTAGATAATGACTTGTCCGTTCAGGCATATAGTACAGAGGTCGTGAGTTCGAGCCCACAGAAAGGGAAAAAAAATAGCTAGACACTGTGTCAACTTGTGACAGAAATAGTCTATGACACTCATGTTGACTCATGACAACCACCAGGGTTTAGGGCAAGCTGGATGAGTCACTAGCATGGCTGTGACCTGTGCACAGCATTGGTAAGATGCTGTGTCACTGCTGACACATCAGTGGGGCTCGCTGTGTCAGGACCAATGTGTCAGCAGGGGACCTGAATAGGAAATGTCTGAGTCAGTGTCAGACCACAGAGTGTCTATTTTGAGCAAAATCACATGATGACTTTCTAAATATGGAAAGGCTGTGCATGCTTAGCCATATGGGGTAAGAACACATGATGATTCATTAGCCATCACCTGATCATGTGACTGACCTTGATAAGCATATATAATGCCTGCAATGCAAATATCATCTTTCTTTTAAACCATCACCACCCATCATTGACAAGTTTCTGCTTCCTCACTTTTCATGATCATTTGTTGCACTCTTTGCTTCTAACAGTGCAATTAAACAAATACTGAAACTTATAGGTTTGCATTACTTAAACCTGACTCATAATCAGGTATGTTTCTCTTGTTATCTGATGTGATCAACCACTTACTATCACACACATGACTGGTGCTTACATTAAAAATATGTCAATGAAGAACAAGACTCAATTTGGATCTTTCACCAATGTCATCTGTGTCATCCTCAGCCAACTTTTCTTCCAGCCGTCTTCCATCACTTCCAACACTTCACAAGCACACTATAATATTGACTGCACTGCGCCATGTTCAAGGTCCATCTCCTGCCCCAACATCATCCCATTCCTCAACCAGTTCAGTCTACACATTTGCAGATTCAAATGATGGGCCTTCAACTTCTCAAAACACCAATACACAAATGGAAAATGTTGCCGAACCCCTCCTAATTGTTGAAGAGCATATAGCACAGGCTAGCACACCTGATGCGGTCTCAGAGGGTCATGCCATCGAGCAACAGCCAAATCCTGATACACAGGTCCTGCAGGAAAACCAATCTCCACTTGAAATAAATCAACAAGATGAAGATAGTGAGCTGGAAGAGGAGGCCCAATCAGATGATGGCTATCAGATGGATCAGGAGGAACAGTCGGATGATGAACACCTTATAGAAGAAGAGACCCCAATGGATGTGGATGATGAATCTGAGGAAGGAGAGGATGACCCGGTTCCGCCATCTCCGGACTCGAGTTCGTCGAGTCGCGTGCTGACCACCACCACGACACGCCTGAACGCCCGACGAGCCACCTCGCCACCTCCAGATCAGGCTGTCAAGCCGCACAAACGACGCCGTGTCAGCAATGAACCGCCAAGGACGTCGACGAGTAACCGCCACACTTTCGCCATCAGACTTGCGTCGGAGTGGGCGAAGGCCATCAGGGCGTACATTCGGATGGCAGACGGCACAAGGCCGGAGCGCGGGTTGTCTGAGGCGCAGCAAGTGTGGTTGAAGATGAAGTGGGCGATGGGCGAGGTGAACGAGGCGAAGATGAACATCTCGCAGAAAGTCGTCACAGTAAGTCACTGTGTTAAGCCAGTTGCGAGCGACAGTGACACTCACTACGCTTTACAGGTCTCCGGCGTAGGCAAGGCGATGCGGCGGTTCGCCAAGCTTGAACCGTTGCTCGAGTGGCAGAACATCGAACCAGCCCACAAGCGGATACCCATCCGCCCCACGCCAATATTAGAGTGTTGGAAGGAGCGATTCCTGCTTAGAAACAGCGCAGGATCGTTGACCGGGACTGATGACGATCGAACGCACTCTTCACGTCAGCCGTCGGCGGCCACAGACTGAAGGGCGAAGGCTAGTCAGAACAGCGAGCGCGCAGATTGGTAGTGGAAGGGAGCAACGTGCGACGTCCACGGGTCGTCCTTGTTACGGTGACGGAGGCGCATTATCTGGACGGGGATGGCCGGTGTCTTCCAGTCAAAGAGCATTAAATTTAGTTGTGCATACCTTTGTCATATTTCTTTCTTCACGGACCAGTTACATCAGACAAGTGTTCCATGATAATGTTAATGGCGATTCCACATTCAGCGGCGCATCTCTAAAGGAGACGAGTACTAATGATACACGTACGTATACCTGGCGAGTCTATGTCCGCGTCACTGTCGCAGCGCATCCCGGAACAAAGGAAAGGGATAAATGGAAGGGCGCGAGTGATAGACACCGAGACATAAGAAGAAACAGCGTGTGTTAGACGCACCGCATCGGTCACGACACATCCCCCGTGCCAGCACCCTCCAAGCGCCGCCTCTTCGAGGAGGGCCCTTCGTCTGAGTCTGGTGAGTCATCATCGATAACCAGAATTGGGGAAGGTGCTGAGTCGACCGGTGGACGGAGGGAACCCATGGGAGGGGCCGGCGCCGGGACGCCTGCCCGGCTGCCCAGCTGAGCCGTGCTCTCCGGAGAGTTCGACGCAGTCTGAGGCGAGGGTTGTGCGCTCCGTGGAGGCAGCGGTGTTGTGGTGAAAGGTCCCGATGTTGGCGTATCCGTGCGTGGCGCAGAGCTGGGTGTCGCGCCACGTCCGCCGACCCCACCTCGTCCTCGGCGCGGGCGACCCCGACCTCGACCACGCCCGCCCTCAGACTTGAGCTTCTCCTTGTAGTAACGAACAATGTAGCTCTGCAAGATCTCGAGCGCCTTCTGTGCACCCAATGCCTCCAGATCCTTAAGATGGTCGGGCGTGAGGTGTGAGAAAATCTCAGGGTTAAGGATAAGGGTGTTATCGTGCAACACGATTGGTTTAGGCGGTGAAGACGGCGCGTCAGAGGGTTGCGTCGGGACAGGGCCGACGACGATAGGGATGCGGACCGTGGCAGGGATGGCAGGGAAGGCCGAGGTTGGAGGAATGGTCGACGAGGATGATGCTTCAGGTGCGTGCGATGTCGAGCCAACACCTGGCGGGGGACTCTGGGCTGACTGCCCAGATGCTGGAGAGGTGGAATGTACAGATGAAGGAACAAATGATGCGCCCAGAGGCTCAAGTTTGACTGCGGGGGCCTCGAACTTGACGGAAACTGGCGTGTCAAGCTTGAGAGGAGGGGATATCGACGAATGAAGGCTAGCGGCAGCCGAAAGAGAAGACAGGCCCAAGCTCGGCGTCGTCGTTGAATTCGTCTTCAGCGTGAGGGGCGTGGAGGTCAATGGAGGCGGAAGAGGTCCCTTTACGTCGCCCTTCACGCTTCGCTTGAATGGTGGCTCCAGAGGTACCACAGTCTTTCCCTTCTTTCCCGCAACTTTGCCGTCCTTGCCACCAGTGCCTGTGGCGGCTGCAGCGACCTGTGCTTGTCGCCGCGCATCCTGCTCTTCAAAGTTATGCTCGAAGGCTTCATCAACCGTCCACAAGGCACCCTTGCCTTTCTCATCCTTACTTCGAAGCAATTTCTTGAAGCCAGGATTCGAGGAAAGATTGTGACGTACAGAGCTCTGAATTTGGTCTCAGACCGCTGTGAAAAACACGCGGAGTCTACCACGCACCTCCCAGTCCTTCGCGCAGTATCTGTACCATTCGTATGTCTCCTTGATCCACAGACAAATATCTTGTAGAGAAGCTTTGCCTTCGAGCGCTTTGATGGCGCGATAGCATAGTTGAGCATATGTGAATGGCGGCTTCGGGGGCATAAGTTCTGGGGGCGGAGGAGGCGGAGGAGCGGCATCCGACTTCTTGCGCTTCTTCGCATTAGACTTGAACTTACTGATAGTGTTGGAATTAGGCAGTGCTGCTTCGGATAGTGGTGGTATCTTGTTGGCGAGAGGGGATACAGGGGCAGGCGGCGGCGAACATGAGGGGAGCGAGGAGGGCGGCGAGATGGATGTGACGTCGACAATGTCGACCGATGGGGAGCGCGAGCGGGCGCGGTTGTCGGAGGAATTCGAGCTGGGGGATGGTGAATCCTCCGGAGCTGGTGGGGGAGGCAAGACGAAGTGGAATGTACGCGAAGCAATCTGTATCTGTGATCTAGAGAAGGGTCGGCCGCTTTGCAAGGAAGATGAGCGGCAATAAGTACCTGTCGCTGAGAGGGACCTTGCTGCCACTCCCCGACCAAACACCGTCCACCCATGCGCCGTTCCTGCCGATGACAATAAGCACGAAGCGTTCTTCCTCCTCTTCGTACTCAATCTTGGCGTGCAGGCGCGACACGCTCTTGAGAGGGCCAAGATCTACGTCGACCTGGGGGTTCTCAGAGGAAGACGCAGCCGAAGCGGGAATGCAGCGACGACCGATGGTGACATTGAGGGTCTGAAGATAGTATGTGAAGTTGGGGAAGACCAGGCTGTAGTATGCGCTGATCTTGGCGGGGATAGAGTCGAGCTCGGGGGAGAGGCGGGAGGGGGAGGAGAGGGCATCCTGAGTGTGGGCGACGAGGGCGGCCATGGCTGGCGGAGACGCAGAGCGTTGAAGACGACGCGCTGGAGTCACGCAGACGTCCTGAACCAGACACCCCGGCCAGCGCCGGAACCCTTGCCATATATGGCCCACGCGCCACCGCGACCTCATTCTTGATCCGTCCTCCCTGCACGTTCTGCTACTTTGTGATCGACCCATGTCTGCGCCCATAGAGCCTGTCGCGGAAAAGGCAAAGGACGAGCTCGACACCCTCGCCGACCGCAATGCCGACTCCACCGACTCCGACGTCCGCTACATGGCATATGGTGCCCGTCTACGCACAGCCCTCCGCGCGGGCCAACGCTACATAGCATATGTGCGTTTCCGTCGAGCCCTTCAACGACGCACCGCTCATAGCGATAGATTCACACCAGACCAGTGACATTGGCGAAGCGTTTCGTCCGGTTGTGCCTCCTGCTATTGTGACCGCTGCATACGGCATCTCATGGTTATACCTTGCTGGGTGCGTCCTCCGTACGAGCTATCCGCTCCGCTCCGTACAATGACCTTCATAGAGATGTCGGGTACGAGGCGTATAAAGCGCATCGTAGAGGCCCCACGCCTCTCGAAGCCGCACATTTTTCCGAACCTACCCGGGTTGGAATGATCGCCGTTAAGCGGGCTGTCTTCCAGTCAATAGCGTCTATGTAAGTCTAACCTTATCAAAGCTGCAGGCAGACTATAATTGCACCGTGTCATACATAGGGCTCTGCCAGCGTTCACAATCCATACTGCCGTCAGACAGGCCAAGAAGGCATTTGTGAACGTGAAGAACCCCCGCGTCAAGACTTGGGGTCCGACCGTCTCCGGTCTCGCAATCGTCCCCGTCCTCCCTTACCTCTTTGACAAACCAGTGGAACATGCCACAGATGCGGCATTTGAATGGATCGAGAGACAGGTTATAAAGCGAGAGGAAGACACCGAGGTTCGACAATAGACAGGCATATCGCTCACAGTGTTAGTTCCAATTGCTTATGATATGGTCTTGTACTGATTGGTCGACTCCACTCTGCCAACCCTAAGTTAACCATTTGGGCTAATAAGAATCTAATGGTTGGATACATCATGTCTAATATAAGCTGTGCTCGTAATACGAGAGATGAGACTTGCGCTTGTGCACTCACGAGCACAATGTCAGATACAACTTGCTGCAAATGTCTTGACACTGATGGCCTCAGGGCAACACGCTTCTGTCAGACGGCGATCGCATCGACATAAACTTCGTACCGACTGACACACTCAGCGTGTATCGCTGCATGACAGACACGAAAGCAGAAAGGAATACAACATATATGCGAAGAGTAAATAATCTAGGAGGTTACAAAATCCAGCGTACCGGGGACAAGCCAGCCCCTAACTCAAATGTCATCCATTCCGAGATCAATCTCAACCTTCTCGCCAGGCTTGAAGGCGGGCAGGCCTACCAATAGACAGTAAGTTGAGTGACATATAAAACTCTCGACTGGATACGTACCGCGGTAGGGGCAGCTCGAACACCTAAAGGCATCGCCTAGGTAGCAGCTCCCACAGCTGCTGGTTGCTTTCGGAGCGGCGGCAGCGGCAGCGACCAGTCTGTCCTTCTCGCTCTGTGAGACCTCCATCGTTTGCCCACTCTCCGCACCGTCAAGCACGACGACCTTGCTCTTCGAGAGCTCCTCCGCCTCGAGGTCGGCGAGACCACACGTGCAGCCCTTGCACGCCTTCTTCCTCCGAGGAGCACCCGAGGATACAGGCTCGCACGGGGCCGGGCGCTCGCGGTCGGCGTCAGTGAGCAGGCTCTCTGCGTCGATTGTCGGCGTCGAGGGTGCGCTGAGCGTCCACAGGGCTTTCTTGGATGCTTTGTCTGTCTTCCGCCGGAGGGGCAGTGCTGCGACTGGCGCAGACTTCAAGGAAGCGCTTGGGGCGTGCGCGGGCTTTTGGGCGATGAGGGTGCCATCGGGGAGCGTGGAAAGAATGGTGAATCCGGCAAGCGTGAGCTCCGACGGGAGGTTAGGGAGAGACGATCCGAGATTCAGAATGTGCAATGACCCGAGCGACTCGAGCCCTGCGAGCAGTTGGGACAACAGCTGCGGCAGTCTTGGTGACAGGGCCTCATAGTCTGGTGGCGAAAGAGCGACATGGACAGAGGAGAAGCTGGAAGTTGTCAGGGTTGAGGCTACCCAATGCAGGCGCAGAGATATGTCAGCGCCGGCGAACGCAGATCACAGTATGCAATGCGCACCTCCGTCCAAGAGCCTGTCTACCATGTACTTTTCCACCTGTCTTGTCTCCTGCAGGCTAGTAATGAGTGACTGGTACCGACCATCCTCGGCCGTTGCGGGAGATCCTATCGCAAGCGCAGGCCCCTTAACCGGTACTGCCGCGACGACTTTTTGGTCCTGAGGAACGACCGGAGAAGCATAGATTGCTGCAGGGGCCATGGTTATACACAGCTAGCTGAAATGAATGAGGTGTGGTTCGTCGGGCGGCCGGGGTTTTGAAGATTTGAGGACGGGGCTCCAGACGGAGTAGTGTAAATGACTCCCTTGCTTACTATTGGAAGAACCTAATCAAAATGACACAACCGCTTGTCACGGTAACGCCATACTTGTCACGTAGGTTCCGCACACACGCTGCCGTTGCGCTCAACATCGACGGCGGCTGCTTATGCGATTTGCTTATTCATGCGTTGATATCAGTCATACAGCAGGTCCTGGTGTCTACATAGTTTCCCACAATAGACCACCAACGATAAAATCGATTGAATGGTTAGGCATACGCGAATGTATGCCTCATAGCTTCCAGACTTGCTCCCGTTCGTAGCCCATCGCGGCCAGGACACCACCAACTTCGCCCTGAGAGAAGTTACGCCCAAATGGTCCTGCAATCGCAGAAATCATCCTTGAATATAGAACCATGAGCTTGACACGGTCGTGACATAGTCAGGAGGACTTACGGATCCGGTCCGCAAACTAAAAAGAGAATTCTTTTTCCATCTCTTGGTAGATTCTCCGAGCGGAATCCTGTGCGCAGTAAGCTTTGCCACCAGCTGCTGTTTCTCGTGGAACCGACAGCGCGTTCGACAGCATCTCGGCTGATTTTGCCCACCCGGAGGGCGGCAGAAGTAATGGACGGATGTTGAGGGCCCTCCAGAGAGTCCACAAACAGAGATACAGTCAAACGTTCGGGGGACTTCTGCGCACAGGACAAGAGGGGTGCAAGGATCTCCGTAGGTGGTAGTTCGATAGGACGACGTGATGAATGGAGGAGAGTAAAGCGCGTTTGTGAATATCGTGAATCATTCTTCACCGCTGCGTGATGCAGGAGCTGGTAAAATGGTGTGATCCCTGTGCCTCCTGATATCTTAGAACAAAGTCATAATTTTCAGGTACAGAGACTGTAGGTGAATTATGGGGCTTTACCATAATAACTTCGTCCCACTGACCTTCCTGCCATGGCCATGTCTTCACTGGTCCCCGGATCTCGATCTTGTCATTGACATTCTTCGAGTGTAGCCATCTACCTACTTCGCCCTTCGGATACCGTTTGATCCATAGCTTCATACGACCCTCTTCATCGATACCTTCCAAGGGCGTATACGGTCTCTCGACCTGTATGTCGTCGTCTTTGATGAAGATAGACCAGATTGGGGCAAAGATATTTTCCTCACGAGAAGGAATAGACTGGGGAGGCAGCTTCAGGGTCAATAAGCGTGTCTCTGTGTCCGGACAGGCCTCGCTTGCTACAAGTGTAGTTGGCGTAAAGTGCGCTGGAGACAAAATTGCGCTGTCATATGTCGGAGCAGCTCGTGAAGCGTCTGGCCAGAAGAAGTAGGCTGTTGCTAGACCAGTGGTTGCAAGCGCACCGTAGACGATGGATGAGGGCCGTTTGGATCGAGGGGCATCGTGAACAGCAAGACTACTCCGATATATTTTCTGCGCTCTATTCCGGCGTGCGGCAGTGGACGCAGCTTTGCGAAGATGGACGTGGTGACCAGACGGGAACATCTTCGAGCTGGCGTTGAGTTCCCAATTTGGAAGCAGTTCGACGCGGTCACACCATGCGTCATCGAAGTTGACTTGAGTTTCGGAGTTCGATTCTCTAACGAATCTTGTCGTTGATCTTACCACTGCTCTTTCATACACTACTATCCTCCTTAATGCCGTTGAGGTGAACGAGCACACAGCCTATCATTCATTTCTTTTACTAAACTTCACGACATTCACGATAATGAAACGAGATTATGACTATAGCTTTGTAAACTCAGATACACAGGACATCACCAGTGCTAAAGTTACTCGCCCTCATTCCTTACAACACATCGCGACGCCGGCGACGCAACAATCTACCAAATTCACAGCTAGTCCCGTAAACAGCCCTCGCCATGCGGGACTCTTCACTCCTACTCTTGAACTGCGAGTGCCCCTCCTTCCCCCTACAATCGGCTTTAACACCGATTTTCAATCCAATACCACATTACGCCCGAGCTCACTCGCTGACACTCAGTTCCATACTTCCGCCGTCGACGCGCTATCTAACCGGTTGACGGGACTTGGGATTCGCTACGAATCCCCCGCTACGGCAGAAATCTCGTTCTCGTTCGGTCAGGATGCGTCCTTACAAGTGACCCCCAAGTCGTCTGGATCCCAGGCCATCTCTGGCGACCCGTGCTCACGCGGGGACGTATGCCACGGCGACTTCTCTCCTGGTCTCCGTTTGTCTGACTCTGAGTTGATATTGGTTGAGTGCTATCGCTCTGACGGCTCGACCGATGTGACGAATAGTGCTTTCGCCTATTCAACTTGCCCCATCGGCGACTATATGGCTCATTCCCCGTCTGCTTCCTCTGTGCCGTCTCTCTCTCATGGCGGTAGCTCCGAATGCAGTCTAGGTGACGATTCCCACACCGGTTCTGTGAAAGACAACCTGCAATGCCTACTTGACCTGTACTCGCCTGCGCTCGGCAACAAGACACCGTCTGGTTCGGACGCTCTTGTAGGAATATTCGCCGATGTAAATCTGCGCCAACTTGCCATCAAGTACGATCCACCGGAACTTGGTGTTAATCCTGCAGATATCATGGGGGAGGATACGTGCGTCAAGTCCGAGACTGAGACTGATGGCAGTCCACATTTGTGCTATCCGTCATTCTCTCCGCCGGAGCGCGATATGCGAATCGAAGACGCGAAGCCTGACGATGCAGCGTTCCCAGACGACGCTATCAATGTGATTGTGTCAGTTCTGTCGGCCTCGAAGCGTGAGCAGGATCTGCAAGAAGCGCGACTTTCGGCGCAATCAGCCTCGTGTCCTCCTTGGCCCACGATCCCATACAGCGGAAATGCGTCTGCAACCCCCGCGATATTCTCTCATTTAGCTGCGCCCATGGCGACACAACACTGGTCCTTCCCCTCACCAGCTCGCATGGCCCCACCTGACAGGTCGTCTCTCGCCCCGATATTCTCTCCACAGGCAACACCGTTTGTTCCTCTGTCGCAGGCAGTAGATCGTGTTATCAAGCCTCAAAGCCCCATCCTGAACGCTCATATGGGTGTAGATTTGCAGCTTCTGCGGCGCCGTGCTGACGACTTCCGCCGCACCAACCCTGGCATAGACATTGACAAGACTTGGCTACAGGAGTATGCTGGTCGACTCTCCGAACGCGGTGAACTGATCGAAGATTACCGCTGCTACGTTGTCGGATGCACGCAAAGAAACAAGAGAAAGGATCACATTCTGGTGCATATTGGATCTCACGTTGAACACAGGCCCTTCCAATGTAATCACTGGTGAGCTTTCTGCCTCCTTCCTGAATGTACTCTGACGGGTTGCAACGCTGCGACAGCGGAATGAGGTTCTTACGAAAGAACGAATGCAAGCGGCACGAATCAAGTCACGGTGGTCGCAAGCCTTTCCAGTGCTCAATCTGTGCCCCTGTGCAGGATAAGAGCTTCGTCCGCCAAGATCTACTCAAGAGACACATGCGCGTTGCTCATGGGGTGCAAACAGAGTCTGCGGCGGATAGACGCAAGAGAGCAAAGTTAGCCGAAGATGGCGAATTCTGGCCGTGAAGTCTTCCGCCAGGTGAAGATGTGTGCCGCGCGCCACGTCGCGACCTACAAATCTGCGCAGATGTACAGAGATGTAACTGTATTTGTACCAGTAGACGTCGGCCGCAGGATGATATGCGTGAAGTATCCTATTCTCTTCAGGTGGGGATGGCAAAGGAACGCGGACGTAGCTACGTTTAACCTACGCTGAAGCGATTAAATAACAATAGGGATAGTAATAAGTCATATCAGTGTGAACGGATTTCAGGACCTCGCGTCTGGGAAGTTAGCATGGCTCCAGTCCTCCATAGTGTCCGACGATTGGGAGATACCGAGAACGTTATGTATGGCGGCAGCGGGAAGAGAACGAGTGCCCATTGGCCTCGTGCCCCTGAGGGGTTTCATCGGGCGAGCATGCATACTCTGCGATCGCAGCATGTGAGCATGGTGTGCTTCTTGCGCGTCCAGTGCGATATGCGAGTGTCCGGCGGTGTCCAACTCGTCGTCGAAGTCTGATGCATCTCCGTCTACCTCCTCGAGCATCGCGAGCTTCCGTTTGTTGGCAGAAACTGTTCGTGCATTGCCGCGATTCGGGAGGGACATGTGGACTTCTCTGAGGGTATCCTTGGCGGACTTGAAAGGAAGGGTTCTTGTGAACGGCAGCGCTTGTTTTGAGGGGGAAACATTAGGAGAGACTGGCGCAGATGCAGCATAGCCCTCCATGACGCCTTCAGCAGTAGAGTAGGTGTTTCAGTCAGAACTATTCGTATTCGAAAGGCCGTTCGAGACAAACTTACTCTTCCTCACCCTGGACGCCATGTTGCGGAGGCGTACTGCGAGGTCAGGATCCACGCTAGCAGAGAACGCGTCTCAATGGTGAGCCCATGTGATTTGGTCTCATGTAGCGTACCCATTCTGTGGAGCCGCGTCCCCGGAGTTTTGAAGGATATGTTCTTGTGCTGTAAGGGGTCGTTTTGTCGGTGAAGACATGTTTGGAGTTTGGAGGTGAGGACACGGTCGCGTCTGGGGTATGATTGCATGCCCTAGATCACGTGTACGCGTTTGTGGGGAATTTACGTAACTGAACGCGACCGCGCCGTCTCCGTCCGAGGCTTCTAAACAGGCGTCCCTCTGTACTGTCCGCTCTGCTGCACGACCCTTGGACTTGTTTCACCGCCAGTTTGCACCGGCTTGCTCGCCACTTGCCACTATGGCGGACTATGAGGTGCCTATGAACATGCAGCTTGGTGAGCAGGGGCGTTGCGCCATGCGCGGCTCCTGCGGCCCAAAGTCATGGTTCGGGAAGCCTTTACCGTGTCCATACGACGGTCCTGCCTCGGAGGTGCGTGTATTGATATTAAATCATACTCATATGAACTATGTCTAATTTGCGGTCTCGTCTTCTTCTCCAGGAAGATGTCGACCGCGACCTGCTCGTCTCACTTTGTGGTGCGGAGTATGTTGACGGACCTACCTGCTGTACGACTGCTCAGCTAGAGACCATGCGCGACAACTTGGGCTTGGCCGAGAACCTGATATCATCCTGCCCCGCATGTCGCAACAACTTCCGTCAGTTCTGGTGCTCCTTCACATGCTCTCCCAACCAAGCGACTTTCCTGAACGTCACGTCCACCCAGGAATCCTCCACCGGTCAGGAGGCTGTGGAGTCTGTTGACTTCTATGTCTCTAATCGATTCGGGGAGGGCTTCTTTGACAGTTGCAAGAGCATAAAAATGGGAGCCACGAACGGCTATGCCATGGACCTCATCGGTGGAGGTGCGAGGGATTATAAAGGCTTCCTCAAGTTCATGGGCGATGAGAAGGACATGGGAAGCCCCTTTCAAATTAACTACCCACGGACACTCCCAAGTGGAATGTCTTTTTTCGATACCGATCCTCGAAATTGCTCCGACAATGACCTAGAGAGCAGGTGTACCTGTATTGACTGTCCAGACATCTGTCAGACACTTCCTCCCGCGTCACCGCCAAATCCCGAGTCGACATGCCATGTAGGCCTAGTCTCCTGCTTGACATTTGTGCTCATAGTTGTATTCTCGCTTGCGCTAGCTTCGTTCCTGCTCGGCTATGCCTTGCAGCTAACGATCCGGAAACGGCATTCGTACGAACGGGTAGCACTTTCCACGGATGCTGCGTCGGAGCATATAATCTCACCTCGTGCCCACGCGCGCGGCCTTATAGGGGCGTCGTCCCTCTCGAATGGCGATGGTGAAGAATCAACGGGAGCTCAGTCCGAGTCACGTAACCTCGGCCGGGGTGCATCCCTATTGGACCCCATTGATACTGTTCAGCCCCGTCAATATCGCCTCAACAACATCTTGCGGCGTGCCTTCTACCACCTCGGCCTATTTGCCGCTTCATACCCATGGCTGACGTTCGCCACCGTATTTGTCTTAGTCGCATTGTTGAACGTGGGATGGAAGAATTTCCAGGTGGAGACAGACCCTGTGCGACTTTGGGTTGCTCCAGACTCCGAGAGCAAACTTCAGAAGGAATTCTTTGACGAACATTTCGGCCCATTCTACAGACCGGAGCAAATATTTGTCACATCCTCTCCATCTTTCGCCAGCGACATATCAGACGGCCTCACCCAGACTATACCTGAGAAGCATCCAGTTTTGTCATGGGAGCACTTGCAATATTGGTTCGACGTGGAAGCAGACATCCGTGCGCTACGATCCTCGCCCAATGGCTATACGTTGGAAGACGTATGTTTCAAGCCTGCTGGGCCAGATGGGTATTGCGTCGTGCAGTCCGTCGCAGCATGGTTTGGCAACTCTCTTGATCCATACGACAATGATACTTGGGCGGCGCATCTCCTCGACTGTGCAAGTTCACCAGTCCAATGCCTGCCGGACTTTCAACAACCTCTCGCGCCGCAATACGTCCTTGGTGCAGTGCCAGAGAAAGACGGCGTCAAGGATTACTTGGGCGCTGAGGCCCTCGTCGTCACCCTCGTCGTATCCGACTCGCTGGATCCGCATGTGCAAGAGCGGGCTATGGAATGGGAGCGCACACTCAAGGACTACCTATATCATCTCCGCGAGCGTGCACCGGCAGAGGCGGGTCTCGAAATTGCATTTTCGACCGGCGTGTCTCTGGAAGAAGAGATCAACAAGAGCACGAATACGGACGTTAGGATTGTCGTCCTATCCTACATCGCCATGTTCTTCTACGTGTCACTGACCCTAGGCAGTGGGTCGTCGATAAGTCGCGAGGAGGGCGTTCTAGCTTCGCTCACACAGTGGGTAGCCAATCTGCCGAAGTTGTTCAAACGGCAGGGAGTGGCATCGTCGTCGTTGTCCATCGACTCGCGCGATGTTCCCAGCCTGATCCCCCGTCTTCCTCGGAGCCTATTTGTTGGCTCAAAGTTCACATTAGGCCTATTTGGAATCGCTCTTGTCATCCTCTCAGTATCCTCCTCCGTTGGGTTCTTCTCCTGGGTGGGCGTCAAGGTCACGCTCATCATCGCCGAAGTCATTCCCTTCCTCGTTTTAGCTGTTGGCGTCGACAACGTTTTCATCCTGGTGCACGAACTGGATCGTCAAAATCTCTTGCACGGACCCAACGCCGCTGCCACAAGTCAAGGCCTCGGATATGGTTTCGCCGCCCCAATGTCACCAACACACTCGCGTGCACGCCCACAATTCGATTCGTTACCATCTAATGACGATTCTGAAGATGCAGTGTCAACTCAAGTCTACCTTTCCCCAGAAGAGCGTGTCGCAAGGACACTGGCGGGGATGGGTCCGTCAATACTGCTCAGTTCTATTACTGAGACGCTCGCCTTCGCATTGGGTGCGCTGGTCCCAATGCCTGCCGTTCGTAACTTCGCCCTATATGCTGCAGGAAGTGTACTATTGAATGCGGTCCTGCAAGTCACTGTCTTTGTGAGCGCGCTCGTTATTGATTTGAGGCGAGTCGAGGTAAGCAAGTCAGTGAGATTGACCATCATATGTCACTAACGTGTTCAACAGGCAAGTCGCGTCGATTGCTTCCCATGTGTCAGATTGTCATCGCGCATAGCTTTAGTGGATGAGGCTCCCGCCGGTGGCGGTCTTGGGCTCATAGCACGCTTCATCCGCCGACATTACGCTCCTTTCCTGCTGAAACCGGTCGTAAAGGGCGCTGTATTGCTAACGTTCGTTGGCATGTTGTTTGCTTCAATTATCTCCATGCAGCATCTTGAGCTTGGCTTCGGTGCGTTCCTACTTCTTTATCATACAGAACACGATTAACATAATTGCCATAGATCAGAGACTAGCGCTTCCATCGGAGTCCTACCTCGTAAATTATTTCGACAACCTGGACTCATATTTAGACATCGGCCCTCCAGTCTACTTTGTCGTCCATGATGTCGACATCACGGAACGTCATGGGCAGCAGGGCCTCTGTGGTCGCTTCACAACGTGCGCGGACAACTCTGTTGCTAACATCCTCGAAGCTGAGCGCAAACGACCCGAATCGTCCTTTATAGCCGAGCCTGCGTCTTCGTGGATTGACGACTTCTTCAACTGGCTTGACCCCGCTCACGAGAAATGTTGCCGGGTGCGGAAGCGCGACCACACGGTCTTCTGCAGAGACACCGATTCCCCGCGCCTCTGTCAGATGTGCTATGAAGACCGCGAACAAGCATGGAACATCACAATGACCGGGTTTCCTGAGGATGAGGAGTTCATGCAGTACCTGCGCCAGTGGCTCGTCCAGCCCACAACAGAAGACTGTTCCCTCGCTGGCAAAGCATCCTTCGGCACCGCGCTCTCACTATCTCCTGATCACAATGAGGTGCTCGCGTCACATTTCCGCACGTTCCATACGCCGCTTAAGTCGCAGGCGGACTTTATCAACTCCTTCGCCGCCGCGCACCGCATCGCGGATGGGCTGTCGCAGGAAACGGGCATGTCTGTCTTCCCGTACTCATTGCACTACGTCTTTTTCGACCAATATGCGCACATTGTCGCGATCACGGAGCAGATTCTCGGGCTTGGGCTTGGCGCGGTGCTGCTGGTCACGGCGGTACTACTTGGTTCGTGGCGCACAGGCACAATCGTCACCGGTGTCGTCGCGTTGACAGTGCTCAGTGTCATGGGCATGATGGGTGTGTGGGGCATCATGCTGAACGCGATCAGTCTGGTCAATCTGGTCATCTCTCTTGGAATTGCGGTCGAGTTCTGCGCCCATATCGCCCGCGCATTCATGAGCGCCGGCTCAGGCCTTCCGGTCGACCACCCTGCTGGCCAGAAAGAGCGGGACGAACGTATGTGGACGGCCCTGGTGGACGTTGGGCCCTCGGTATATCGACGAGCTTAGTAATTTGGGACGTGCATTGATGGTTTTCCAGGTCTTGTCAGGAATCACATTCACGAAACTCATTGGCATGTGCGTGCTCGCTCTGACACGCTCAAGATTCTTAGAGGTAAGTTCTAGTATCATTATTCATTGTCTCGTCTCATTCAGCTCGCTAGATCTATTATTTTCGTATGTGGATGACTCTCATTGTCTCTGGTGCTCTGCACGGTCTCGTTCTACTACCTGTCGTTCTGAGTCTGGCGGGAGGCCCCGGATTCCCTCAGCAAGAAGCTGATGAAGAGTGGATGTCACATGCGATTCGTAACGACTATGAATACACGTGAGTAACATCGGTCATCTTTGTCTCTCATTCATTGACTCGCCAGCAGACCATTCCTCGCAGATGACGACTCTGTTCTCAGTGACTAGACTATCGATACCCGTTTTTTGGGCCAGTAATAGATAATATGTATACTACGCACATGCTAGGTACGGCACTGGAAACCGGACATTACATGTTATTTTTCGTGATATATGCACAACGTAAGCGCAGCAAAATCAGCAATTAGTTCTTGGGTGTCCTCGACCGGCTATCCCTGATATCGTCTCTACTCCAACTCCTCTTTCTGGGACTGGGAGACCGTGTGCGGCTGTGACTGCGGCTGCGGCTGCGAGAGTAGCGCGAGTATGGCGAGTATGACAACGACCGTGAGCGCGATCTCGGCGAGAACGAACGCGTGCGGGAGCGGCTCGAGCGGACGGAATAGCTCCTCGAACGCGAACGTCCACGATATCCTGTTCCACCGCGCTCGTAGCTTGGGGACCTGCGGCGGGGTGGCAGACGGTCGCCCCTGCGGACGGGTGAACGAGAGCGCGAGCGCGAGTATGGACGGTAAACGTCGCGGGAGCGGTCTCTTGGTGGTGGAGGTCGACGACCGAAACCTCTGCCGCGCCCAACATCGTTGAAGCGTCCTCCGCGGCCGAAGCGTCGGGGAGGTGAGCGTGAGCGAGATGGCGAGCGACTGAGGGAGCGAGGCCTGTCTCGACCGAAGCGTGCGCGCGGCGGTGGGCGAGGAGAACGCGAGCGGGAGCGTACTGGGAACTCAGATAGCTCGACTTTGAGCACAGCACCGTCCAGCTGGCCACCATTCATATGGGATATGGCCTTGTGCGCAGACGCGGAATCGGCGAACTCGAGGGAGGCCTTTCCCCTGTTTTGCCCAGCTGTCATGGTCGTTAGGGCCTCATGGATCGCACAACGGTGCATACAACTCACATTTGCCGAAGATGGGTAGATCTATTTTGACAATATGACCATAGAAGCCGAACACGGTGCGTAGGTGGGCGTCGACGACATTGCGGGTAAGATTAGACACCTGAATGACCTTCACGTGTGACTTCTCCACGCCATTGCCATTGTCCATGTCGACGTCGCCATCGTGAAGAGGGTGAGGAGAAGTTGAACGGCCTCGGGTGGACATTTCGACGACGTCGCGGTTAGAGAGCAGGCGTGACACTGTTACCGTCCTGTGACACAACCGCTGGGATCTCGATCATTAGATCACAGATCACTCGCCAAAATTTCATTCAGCGGGACAATATTATAATCTGAGATTACTACTCTGCTCTCTCTTGCCATGGCAGACAACTCAAAACAGAGCAAGCCCTCTGGGTCGTCTAATGCGGCTAAGCCTCGCAAGAGATTTGTTGGCAGCAAGTCTGCAGCGCCCTCCAGGCCGGGCATGGCGTCCACAGTCGCAAACCAGATTCCGCCCGACATCCTGAATGATGCCCAGCTGAACGCAGCGATCAAACAATTACCCTCCAACTACTCCTTCGAAATACACAAGACAATCCATCACATACGGAAGAATAATGCCGAGATGGTGGCGTTGCAGATGCCGGAAGGACTGCAGATGTTTGCCTGCACCATTACCGACATCATTGAACGGTGCGCAGGTGCTGCCCTCCCGTACCACCAGCATTGCTACTCAACTGACGTTCTGCCTTAGGTTCACTAATGCGCTTACCGTGATCATGGGCGACGTCACGTACGGTGCATGTTGCATTGACGATTACACCGCGAAAGCGCTGGGATGCGACATGCTGGTACACTATGGGCACAGTTGTCTTGGTATGTCCCAAATTTATGTTCGGCTTATACAGGAGATTTAATCTTCTGCAGTACCCATCGACCAGACAACAATTAAGACCCTCTACGTGTTTGTCGAGATTGCTATCGACTCTTCCCACCTTCTCCAAACCATTCGTCTTAACTTCCCAAACGACCGCCAAAAGTTCCATGACGCACTTTTGGACTCCGAAGAAACCGACAGTCAAATTCCAGCTGGCAGACCCCTGACGCAGGGCCACCATCTTCGCATAGAGGGTCCAGACACTTCAGGAGCAGCTTCAGGCACTTCTGAAGAGCCGATGTCAGGCTCGTCACGAAGCATATCCTACGAACCGACCCGTCTTGCACTAGTCTCGACAATCCAGTTCGTAGCCGCACTGTCGCGTCTGAAGGACGACTTAACGACTGAGTATGCCGACGCGCAATCCGTGCGGCCGCCTGCTGGGATGATCGAAGGCCCATCGGGACTTGATGTCAACGAGCTTGCGGTCGGACAGCCCAAGCTCTGGACAGGCAAATACGACGCCAATATACCGCGCTCTAAACCGCTCTCCCCTGGTGAGATCCTTGGCTGCACAGCACCGACACTGGGTGACGTTGATGCCCTCATGTAAGCCTCTGTCTCGCCCACTGAATGTCGTTAAGATAAATTTCTGACCAATTTCCTCTACCAGCTACTTGGGCGATGGGCGGTTCCACCTCGAGTCCATAATGATTGCGAATCCCACCGTGCCTGCATTCCGTTACGACCCCTATTCCAAGAAGCTTACCCGGGAGCGGTACAACCACACCGAGATGCGCACTATTCGCGACGAGGCGGTGCAAACCGCTCGTCGAAGTATCAACGCCCTCACATCGACACCTCTTGCAGACGAGAACGGCTTGCAGCGCTCGAGTCCCAGCAAAGATAAGGAGCCGCCACTTTGGGGCGTCGTACTGGGCACGCTCGGTCGGCAGGGCAGCTTCAAGCAGCTGCAGGCGATCACACACCAGCTCAACTCGTCGCGCACGCCCATTCCGTACATGCCGATCCTGCTCTCCGAGCTTTCACCCGCGAAACTCGCACTTTTCGACCCACATATCTCGGCGTTTGTGCAGACGTCCTGCCCGCGTCTGTCGATCGACTGGGGTTACGCTTTTGACCGTCCGCTGCTGACTCCTTACGAGACAGCGGTCGCGGTAGGCAAGGCAGTAGGCTGGATGGAGGAGGTTAAGGGTGATGAAGTGGTGAGACGGCAGGACAAGGGTGGTGTATATCCTATGGATTTCTACACGGCTGGCAGTCTGTGGGCAGTCGCCAGGACGAAAGCATCGTATTGAGGAGCGGCAAATCATGGAAAATGCTCGATGTATCCATACGTCGTATTGTACAAGAAGCCGTGTCCGTACTCATAGCTATCAATACACCGCTGCAACATTAATTGCCACCTCAGACCCTACGATCACATGGATGAGTTCATGCTTTCGACGATTGGAGAACGTGAATGCTTACCCATACGCATACTCGACCTCGTCTACCCCGGCACCGGCGTGGAAGGGTCCCGATGGTTCACGAGGCATAGGACCCGGCTCCTCGTCATCGTTATCATCCGCAACCGCGCTATTCCCATCGAGCTCGAACGGCAAAACAGGCCTAAGACCGTTCCCAGAACTAGACCGGCGTCCGCCTCGGGCGGGAGACTTAGTGAGAGCGGCCATCGTCTTCGGGCTCATGTGCTGAGTAACCAGTCAGCGCTCGGCTTCCGCGAGAGCCGGAGTTAGGATCGTCTCACCTCCCAATTGTTCAAGTTCTCATCAGGAACGTCCCGATCGTCGCGGTCAGCATTCAGACGAGCTTCATCGCCCAGTTCACCGATAGAGACAATACTCTCGCTATCGCTGATGCCATCCGCGATGTCTGCTGCATATTCGGGCAGTCTGTGCCAAGCAGAGGTACCCCCGTGCATCGGTGCCTGAGGTGCAGCCTGAGGGTCAGTATAACCCAGATCCGAGAGATACTCCTCGTATTCCTCCTCAAAGGCGATATCTTCCGTGATGTATGGAAGGAATATCGACGGATCTTGGGCCTGCGCGCGCAGCGGCGGGAACACATCAGCTGCGGTCGTATTTGGTGTACCAATGGGTCTGATGAGTCCCAGCTCTGGGCCTGGGTGCAACCCTTCCAAATGGTGCGAAATGCTCGTAGCGCGCCTATGTGCTCCTGCTTGGTGAGCTGCCGCTGCGCCGTAACGCTTCGTATTGTCTGACAAAGAGAGAATGACTTTAGCATGGACGATCCCACGAGTCGGGCATTACTCACAGAACTTGACTAGATGCCGCAGGGCTTGCTCTTGTGCCTGAATGCGGCTACGTTGATAATCAACGTTCAAAAATGGTCGTCGGAACATACGTACCTGCGCATCCATAGCATCATCAACCTCCACGCCAGTGAGCCACTCATCTCTCAAATCGGGTCTGCAATTCAGATAGATGGCAGTGATCACTTGCATATTTGCTAGTCAGGTAGGGGTGAGGCGGCGGTCACACGTCACACTAGGCGATGAGCTCACATTGCCGCCATTTCCTCCCACAGAACGGTACTTGGCTCTTGATCAACTTCAGCACGTGGAGCTGCAGCATTGGATGCTGCACTTTCAGTATCCGCTTGAGGACAGCCTATGTTCTGGATCAGGGCCATGGCCATCGTCCTCATTGCGAAGTCCTCACCGAGCTCTTGTATTGAACGAGCATTCTGATACGGTGTGACCGATGCTTCGACAACTTTTGCATAATCTTTGCAAAGTTGATGATTGAGAAGAAATTCCTCCACGAGAACTCCGTGAGGAGGTCCACTTCCTCTTCATGTTTCAAGCCGTTAGGAAGTGTGGTAGTCCGACTCATTGTCTGACGGGGCGCCTTGTACATGTTGTCGTCTTGCCCTAGTTGCTGTTGATTCCGAGAAAAATGCATCTGGCAATAGCGGAAGAAGCTGTGCACATGAGAACGCCGATCACTTCTCATGCAACGATGGGACCTACTTGTTCTCAGGCGAGTCGGCTTTGGAGACAACCGTCACCGAGACCTCCTGTAGACCAAACATCTTGAGGATCAACAGCAGACAGTTGGTATCAAGCAACTGCTGCCCGAGATGGTGGAATTTCATGACATCTGTGGGACCGGTCAATGTCGGCTGTCCACAAAGACAGATGATCGCACGTACGAGAAACTTTGAACCACTTCAAAACAAGTAGCAAGATGGCAGACACGGCTTTGGACGTGATTTCCCGATGTCGGATTACGTCAATCTCATCCAGCGTCGGTGGTGGCGCAGGAGGTTGTTCGATGGCTGACAGTATTTGAGCATATCGCTTGTCGCCAGTGTTCCAGGTACTCACGTGTTCCCATACCGGGAGGAAACCCAGTGGAACCTGCAGAAGGCGGCGGCATGCCATTGGCGGCTGAGACAGTAGCTAATAAAAGTTTCAGCAGTACGAGAACCCAACCCTGGAGAACGGGCAGCACAGCACTCTAGGCAAACGTTTGAGTCGCTGCGGCGTTGTGTAGAAGAGGCTAACCAACGTAGATGTGCTCAACTCGCTTCAACCGCATCAGGTCTTCTTTGCGCTCCTTTGCCCGGCGCTTTTCAGCGGTAGTCTCAGCCTCAACCATTGCCTTCTCAGCCTCGGCAATTTTCGTGTCAATAAGTGCAACGTCAGGCAGGGCCTCGGTTGTATCATCTTCAAGTGACCCCTGCATAGTGATGCTTCACGACTGATGCCATGCAGCGTTGTGAAATGGAACTTACGGTTGGAGCGACCTTCGGTTCCAAAATCGGCTCGGACCCGGGCATGCGTTCGAGTCCGCTCTCCACAGTCATACACTCTTCCCGCGTCTTCCACATTTGCCAGAGCGACAAGCTGACGTACAAGTGCGTCGTGTACAGCTTGTCCGCTTCGTCAATGGCATACGGGACAAGACGTGAGCTGTTGTACCGCGCCTGACGTCGGGAGAACGGGAACAGAAACGGCCTGTTTTGGTCCGTCTGAAATTGCTGTTTCTTCGGCTTCGGAGAAGGCGGCGGTGAAGGTGCAGGCGTCGCAGGTTGCGGGATCGGGCGGAACGAGTTTGATTGCTGCATCTGGTGGAAGGGGTGGCCGTGTACGTTGCCGCCCATACCCGATTGTTGTGATTCTGTGTCATCGTGATCGTAATGATGTCGCACAGGGATGGGTGAGTATGCCTCGGCGAGCTTGGACGTATTGATCGGCGTGGGCACGGGAGCGGTGACCGGAATCGGAGCAGGAGGTGGGGTGAACGTCGGGTATTTGACGGAGATCTCCTGCCGGAAGGCCTCGAGGTCCAGCGGCGACGCTTTAATTGGTATCGCTGATGCTGCGTGCGTGAGATAGGACGTCGCTCGAGACGGGGGGACGTACCGTCAGCCAGCACGGGAGGGAGGCCAGAGAGCTCCCGCGCGAGCTGCTTCACGCGAGCGAGTTCTCGGATTCCGCCACAACACGTCAAGATAGTCTTCCACAGCACTAGAAGGAGCTAGAGCGGGTCAGAGTGAAATGATGCACACGCAGTGCCGGCGGCTCACCTTCTTCACCGGGTAGCCCTTGGCGCTCTTGTCGCGCAGCCCGGCCACTACGTTAAACAAATACACGGGCAGCGGTGGATCGAGGCTCACTGTGAACAGCGAGTCAGCAAACGTGCAAAGACTGTGCCTTCGGATGACTTACTGAGCTCGTCGGCGAAGTCATCATGGCCTTTGAATGCTTCCACCATATGATAGAGCATACCCAGATAGACAGACAGTTCCGTCGTTACTTCTTCCATGAAGTCTGCCTTCTCAGAGGACGAGATGCTAAAGCGCTCTGCATCCGCATCGGATAGACTACTACAGAACGGAAACCATGTTAATGAGGCAGATGATAAATTAACGCTACCGCCAGCTGAGGTAAAGCTTGCGGGACCTCGTTCAACTCGCTGCGTCCCACTTCAAAATCGGTTTTCAGGCGGGTAGCGCCATACCTCAGAGACTAGCTAAGATAGCCAATGAGGTCACGACAGCGGTAGAATCCCCGTCAAGAGTGAAAAACAGAATAGGTCAGGGACCATGACCCCTGCTGATCGCTCGTTCGAGTCTGGGCATTGGCTATACGTCATTCACTAGTTCCGCTGAATTGGTCTATGACACAGCGGTGGCCTTGAGTACCGCAAAGCTCCATCTCACCTCATGGCAATACTAACAATGACACCAGTAATGAGTTACATACCAGAGGAGATCGTGCTTCGAACTGGCAATCTTGATCGCTTCAACGACGTTGCTCAGGCCGTTTGCCGCGCGCACCACTTTGCAGTTCTCGAAGATCCAATGCAATTGGTGCTCAGGCGATGACGTCTCGGCGAACGTGCCTAGAGGTTGGTGTCAGAAAACGCCTAACGGGAGGGCAAACTCGATTGGTCGGGTGTGATTGACGCCAGTCACCACGCCGTGGGGCGACGTCGCCGGCGTGTTCGCGACCGCAAGGGCCAACTCTTGCCCACTCGCAGGTTTCAAGTCAGTGCTTCCGTGCGCCGCGGGACAATTGAAGTCAAGCGATGCGGTCTGTCATGTCTGATCTCTTCAGTGATATGGCAGCTCGCATGGCAAGCAACTGCCAGGCGCACGCCGCATCCAACGTTTCCAGGCCACAGCGAACACCGAGGGCAGTGAGAGATGGGCGGCAATTGAACCGACCAATCAAACTGACAGCACGCTACGAATCTGACCTTGCAAAACGTAAAGCAATCTGCGAGCATTTGTGAAGCGGATCTCAGCGTCGCGATGCTCCAGACTCTCGAGGAGGATCTCTACATGAGCTTTGCGCTGCGTGAACGAGCTCTCGATCCATTCTGGTGTGTCTGTGAGAGTCTAGCGGAAGCTAAGGACGCGCTGTGCGCACCTCCGGGGAAAGAGCCTTCCCAAGCCTTGAGGTTCTCGGCTACCTGGGGCATCTCGACATAGGAGTAAAACTCCTCGATCTCATTGAGGACCGTGTCCTCGTCATCGTACTTGAAGTCGTAGAAGGATTGCTACTTTGTCTCAGAGTCAACGGGCGCATCACACGGGTGGTGTACGGGCATGCCTTAGGTTTGGGAGCCGAGCCGACCATGGCTTTGAGCTGCCCGAGGGTGATGGAGTCAAGACCAACCTGGGAGCCGTTGTTGGCATTGTCCTGGGACTGCGAGGACATGTACGGCGGCAGCTGGGGAAAAACCATCTCGGCTAGGCGGGGACTGGAGATGGACAGACGCGAGCGGTCACGGTGCCGCGAAGCGCGTTACTGGGGCGCGCGTGGTTGCCGCGCCTGCGAAGACGTGTCGTGTTGCCGCTCTGCGTAACGCTGTGCAAGGTGAAATTCACGGCACACTCAATGGCGTGGAAATGGACCGCTCGCACTGCGCACCCCGTCGCAGCTGGCCGCAGGGGGGGAGGGGGACATGTGCCTGGAATACTTCGGGTGTATGCCGCTTACATAAGCAGGGGAATAAGGGCAACGGAGCTGGACTTGTTTTCTTCAAGCCACCACCATCTTGGCCCCCCCCCAGGATCGACCCCTCCCCTCGTCGGTCCCTCGTTGCCAGTTTCCTGTCCATCTCACCCCGACGACAGCGACGACGTCGACAGGAGCGGGCGTTCCTCGAACTGTTCTAGAGATTCTCTGGCTGGTGGAAAGTAGCTCTCTTAGCTACCCCCCCCGCCCGGTCTACCATTCTCCGTCGAGCATTCTAAAAGGCACGCCTTCGCTGCGCGTTCGCCACATCCTGCCCTGCTCTCGAACGTTATCGTCGGCCAACTCCTGCCATTACAGCTTTCACGACTTACCTTACGACCGACCTTTTCATCTCAACCTCGATCAACGGGCTACAGCAGTCTTCGCACACAGGTCGCCACCTTGCGTAGGGCTGTACCACGGCTCGTCTCCCATTTCTAATTGCAGATGCCAGTTCCCGTCCCGCTCTATTCCAAGCAGCCAGCGCACCCAGTAATCAAGATCAATCAATCCGTCGACTCTGATTACCAGCCGTCCGTATTCCACCCCTTGACTCAATCTCTTCCGTTGCCACCTTGTGGCCCGCCTCCCTCTTTCGCTACACGAGAGGAGTGGATTAGTTCCTTACCATCGTGGAGAAGGAATAAACCTCGTCGTATTTGGGAGGAGGATCCCGTCGAAGACTACAACTACGTTCGACAGGGTTTTGAAGAGGGGTTGACCGCCGCGGACAACGCAGCGGTCATTAAAGGAGCGCCTGCGCAAGCGTGCATTCCGCCCATCTCGACTCTCTTTGCGAGTGCAGGCTTCGCCTCGCCACCCCGACCAGCGAACATGTATACGGATTACGGGGGAGACGTGGATGAAGAAATGAGTGCATACTCATCCCGTGTTCACGGTTGGCAAGGCCGTCACGACGACGTCTCGCCGATTACCAACGCGGGGTACGAGGACGTGGATATGGACAACGTGGTAGACCCCACAGCACGCTATGAAAGTTTCGGTACGGACACTTCTGGATCCTATCGGGATTCTGGCTTGGGCCACTTCTATCCAGCAGAGGCGTATGAACGAGGCGCTTTCAGCCCCGTCTTCGAGGACATGTCGCCTGAAGCCGTCCACATGCACGAACCCGCTTCTAGCCCTATAGGTCCTGCGACACCTTTTGGCGAATTTGTCGACAGGGCGGTGGCTGCCGCACAGCTCGTGCCGCCTTACGACTACGTCCGTGCCATGAATATGCCTTTGGAGGTACGGCAGTTTTACCAGGAAGATCGCTGGGGTTCTCAGTGCCATCAGTGTCAGAGTTATGTTGTCATGGATCAAGCGGCTCCTGAACCCGTCGTTACTCCCACCGCCACAGTGACCTACAAAAAGCTGGCTGAGCCGCTTTCTGAATGGATCGCTTCCTACGTGTGGAAGGTCTGTACGACAGGCATGAGTTTACCGTCTACCTATGCTCAGCCGATGTAAGTTTGACACTCCCTTCCCTTTTCACTCGAGACTGATTCTCGCGCAGGGCATTCATCAAACCCTATCCCAGTGCGCCCCCGGGCCATTTAGCGGCGTCGACCCACTCGATGCTGCTTTCCACCCTTCTGCAACCTTCGGCTGTCTTCCTGGCATTGTGGTACATTGTGCGGCTGCCAGTATTCTTCGGTCCCGTGAACCTAGATCGCGATCTCCATAAGAAAGAAATTCGCTTCCGAGCCGAGCTATTGGGCGAAGCACGTATGAGCTATGACAGGGATGCCATTGAGTTGTATGCACCTTTCCGGCTCATCCTTCTTGGATGTATGCTCGCCAACAAGTGGCTGGATGACCATACTTTTTCCAACAAGACTTGGTAGGCTCGATCCTTCCGGCATGCATAAGTACTGGCGCTAATTGGTTCGGCAGGCATACAATCTCGAACGTCCCCATTCAGTCTATCAACAAGCTCGAATCTCTCGCTCTCGACATTTTCTGCTATGACCTGTCGATCTCGCCGTGCGAGTGGACTGACTGGTTGTCGCACTTGCTCTTGTATCACTCGTCGTTGAACTCCGGCGCCTGTCCGCAGCCCATCTCCCGTCCGTCCACGAGCCCTCATACTATCATCCGCAAGTCTGTCGAGACGCTTGTTCACACTGGTGTCGTGCGACCGACGTGCAGTCGTCATGGCAATGCGACCTGTACCTCATGCCCGCCTGAACCTGTCTTCGTGGGTCCTGAGGAGCGCAGGAATGATCGGTACGAGTGCTCTCGGCCTCACGACCAGAGCGTGGACGCCCTGGAGATTGACCTCGACGAAGATGGCCCCCTCCGGGAAGAGTACCTTCCGCGGCGTCGTATCAGCGGGGTAGGGTCGACGCACCGCTCTCAAATCGCCGCGAAGTTCGCCAATTCAGATAGGACCTTGCCTCCGCCGGCGAAATGGAGTCCTGCCGCAGACTCGCCTATATTCGCGCCTCGGAACGTTCGTGAGCCCCGACAGTATGTTGCTCCGCAGCCCGTGTCGCACATGCCTGTAGTTCTGCCGCCGCCGCCACCGCAGGGGCTTCCCTTCTATCATACAGCGTGGTCGTACGGCGGTTACATGCCCGAGCATGAGAAGGTGGCAATTCCCGAGCATCCTGCGCCCCATCCCGCTCCCGCTGTCTATCACACCATGCCATCTTACGCGGGTTACGACTACGCCTACCCCATTGTCTCGAGTCACTCGCGCTCGCACTCATTGTCATACAACCAGGTAGTGGCCGGCCAGCCTTATGGTCGCCCTCGTTCCTATTCCCAAACCGGGTATGACCAGGGCTATAGCGACATTCGTTTCACCGACGGACACTTTGCCCCTCCCCCGCCTGCTCCTATGATGACCTGCTGGAGCCCGATACACCCGGTCAACAATGCGTCCTTCTACGAACGACCCTTCGAATACCATCAGAGGCCTCTCAAAGTGTGAATGCATCGTCCATCCATTAGATGCGCGACAGAATCATAGACTGTTGCGTGCGGCTCTGCAACATGGAGAGGCGGAATGATTTTCGCCTCTTCATCGCTCCTTATTATAAGTCTTCCTGGCAGCCGACACCCTGTAATTCATACTCCTACTCAGAACCCCTAGCGCCAGCGCTGGATGTGTCCTTTCACCACTCTCTTAGTCGCGTCGGCCGGCTTGCCTGTGTCTTCGGTCCACGGATCATCCATGTCTGCTATTTTCGTCTGTCTCGTCTGTCTCTGGGCTCTCCCATCTTCCGAAGAAGACATATCCATCCCGTCTACCGGAGCCGCGTCACATTTCTGATTGTCATCGTCATCGGCATCATCGACAATATCGCATCTCGTATATATTCTCCACTTCCTCCCAGACCGGTTCGAGGCATTGCGGCCATCCACGACCGTAACAGCTTCAAGCGTTTGCCGCTGTCCTCGTCCCGCAATACCACGGTCAGCACGCCCTAATGGACGGTTCACACTACTTCTCTGATCTCGTCAGTACTGTCGGAATCTCGTTGTGTACAGACTTCCGCCCCCGATATTTGACGTTCCCCCGTAATGTTTTCATGTCATCTCCTTCTGCTCTTTGATGTTGTTTCTCACGTTTCTTCAACGGTTATACCTTGCATTGACAAACGCGCAAAAACAGTTGAAAAGTAGAAAACCCATACATTCTCCTCTTCAGACACTCTACGTTTTTCCAGGATATCACAATCCACCTGCCCCACCCCTCTGCCCTCCGAGTTACTCCTATCCTCCCTCCCGCATTACCCACGAAGCCTCCTTGTATCCCGCGCGTCTCCCCGCTTCGTTAGTCCGTAGGCAGTCTGTGTTTGTGTCTCTTGGACATCGAAGCTGCTCTTGCTTGTACATGTCTTTCCAATCGTGAGACCAGTTATGCCTCATTACTGTCAAGGACCCGGATGACTTCGCAAGTATGTCGTGTAAGCTCTGAAGGTGCGTTCGCGGAGATTATTTAGTGTTGTCGACATCCGCAATTCGAACGTTCTGTGTAATTATCCATTATATTGTCCGCATTTGGTTTCAGAAATGGCGTTTGGTGGGTAGCTTGTAAACCCGCGTATGAACGTTCCGCACAACCTCGATGTAAGACTACAACTATCGAGTTTCAAGGCACTTCTCAAGTCGAGTGAGAGCAATGATAAGATTTTGGAGCGAAATACAAGTTTTATAGCTACATTGGCCACTGTTTGACTTCTCTAATACACAACATACACGTGCTGTTTCGTTCATAGGCGAACCACGATGAAGGGTACCTTGATGCATGGCACAGTGAGTACATGCCAATCCCGGTAGAGCAAAAATCTCACCTCTACATCTTCGCCTTCCTCGTCGGAAACCATGACCTCGACAATGAGGTGCTTCGTATGAGGGGGGATTGGCTTCTTGCTGACGTGCTCTACCAGCCTGCTGAATTTCATGGGCAGACGTTCCTCGCTCTGGAACCTACATTGAGCACAATGTAGCCACACGATAAATGACAATTCCTACCTTCTTCTTGCCAACGAACGAACTCCAAAGCATGCTGACGCCCTGGCTAACCATTGTAACCTCAAGGTTGTGTTTTTCGCGGAAGTAGTTCACGATCTCTTGCAAGGAAGGGTCGTTGTGGAATTCGAAACGATCCCACAACGTCCATTCAGTGTCGTTGTATTTATTCTTCGGCGCAGGGAGAGGCTCCGAGAATCCGAAGAACGGCAACGCGAGGTTAACGAACCCGTTCTTGTAATTCTCGAGCTTGTCCTTGCCATCAATGATCTATCAAAATACAAGTGAGCAACTTGCGTTTCCAGCATAGCCGAGCACGACTGGCCTTGTACAGCTCCAAGCAGACCAAACCGGTGACAAGGGATGTCGTCGTAGCGATGGCCGGGATGATTTTCCCAGCAATCTGCTTCGTGGTGTGACGATCCGCAGTCTGAATCGTGTAGTTCGTCGCTCGGAGATTAGAAGCAGCAGTAATGAAATCGATGTGGAAGTTCGTGTCGTCGTCTTTCTCGAACTCGACCGGGTTGAGACGGTAGCCCACGAGTGAAGACGGGGGCGGTAGCTGCTTCATCAAGTCGGACGTACTATCGCTCCCATCTAGGAAAACTGTAAGCTGCATATTCAACACGGTAGAAGTTCATGATAGCACCTGGGTCAGAGCCCTGCTGGACAGGCTCATTCTCGTTCACCTGCACCTTCACGCCACTTCTTGGCGTGAACTCGGGTACAATGACCGAATCAGCGACACGCTTGAAGACTACAGGATCAGTCTCGCCTCGGAGACCATAGTTGAATGCGTGCAGGTTTGCTGCGGCGATGATGAATTGCAGATGGGTCGGCTAAACACAAGATTAGCACTAGCGTCAAAAGGACAGAAGCAGCCACATACGTCGTTGGAATCAAAGGTCAACGGGTTGGGCGCCCTCTTCGGACCACTCCAGAACGGCTGACCCGTGCTTGTCACTGCGTCCTTTGGCAGGCTGTACAATAGCTGACGGATCGCATTGTTGTACTTGTCCTCGAACTGCAGACGAGCCCAAATGATGCATTCCTCGAACGTCAAGGGCTTGTTCGTGACCAAGTACGAGACGATCTGCTCAACCTGCTCCTTCGACTGGCCGGAATACTTCAGATTGTTCTCCAGATAGTTTGGTTCCGACAGATAAGCGTTGATGGCCTGCGCGGGCTTAACAAACATGTTGTCGAACTCCGTCCGCGACCACTATATGCGCTATCGTCAGTAAAGCAATCATGCTAAGGTTCCAACCGCTTACCTCGATCGTGTGCTGAATAGCATTCGGGAAGTTCTTGACAGTGCAAGACGGCGTCTCCTTTTCTGGTGGATCTTGCGACGAAGAGTACGACTCAGTCAAGTAAGGCACGACAACTTGCGTGTTCCCTTTGGTACCCAGAGTACCAGATTCCAGGAGGGGCTTCAGGTAGAACACGCATCGCTGATCCATGTATTGACCTATCAATAGGTCAAACATTGCTATACAAAGGCAGGTTGTGTATAAAGTACGCACGAGCCTTGACGTTGTCCAAAGCGTTGGTTACACCATCGATGCCCGCAAAGAAATCGGTATTGTAGACGTCTTTCCTGCATCAGCAAGCCTATCGATACTTGACTGGAGGGGGCACTCACTCTCTGTGTCAGGACCAACTGGCTCTTGCTTGCTTTGGATCTTGCCCTGCAGATCAGGGTTCATGTCCGCGACAGCCGCAGCGGCAACCTCTGCCTTGAACTTGCCCAAGTCCTTCGCTCGGAAGAGGAACTGACGGTTTAAGTTGCTCTTCTCGATCGTATCCAAATCCGTGACATGAATGACCCCCTTCGGGCCAGACGCGAGACCCATCATGCTCCAGTTCTTGAGCATCTCACAGCCGATGGCGCCCGAACCGACGAGGAACTGCCGGTGGTTGGCGATCTTCTCCTGGAACGTCTTGCCAAAGACCGCAATCTGGCCATCGTAGCGCGAGCCGATCGGTTGGCACTCTTGTTCCGTGGGCAGTGTGTTAGGCAGCGACTCGAGCGAGTCGAAGTACATGTGCTGCACCATGGGTGTGAACTTCGCGGAGCAAGCCTTCAGCACTTCCTGTGCAACGAAACCACCGATGACAGCTGCGAGCGGCGTCACGTCACCAGTCGCCTGATAAGCTAGCTCCGTGAGCACCTTCTCGTCGGCATCAGCATCCAGCTTCTTCGCCAGTGCAATGAGCGCGGCGGCATCCTCAGCATTGCGCGGACGAGGAAGACGCTGATGCTGGGCCTGGAACTCAGAAAGCGCTTGGAAACCGACGTGGAGAGTGGCAGGACGGTCGAACTTGGCGAAATCCGTAATGAAAAGTTCTGGTGACTTCAGAGATTCACGTAGAGGTTTCTAAGACAATGGGTCAATACTACTTATTCAATTTGGCTAGAAATAAGCAAGAAGCTCACGAATTCGAGGATTCTAGGCATCTTCACTTGCGTGAAGATACCACCAGTCTTGTACTCGCCGAGGTTTGAGGTTTCACCGATAGTGAATGTGTAAGGGCCTTTCACGGAAATCTTGCGCGGTTCGCAACCGTTCAGCTCTTCCATGCCTTGCACCTCGGAGAATGTGACAAAATCACCATCCTCCAGACCATGTCGTGTCTCGTCCAGACATGTCACAAGACCGTCCTTGTCCTACGACTGATCTCAGTAATTAAAGCGGCAGGGTTATAGGACTTGACAAACCCGTTCCACGGAAACAATCATTCCTGTATGAGGCTGCTCGCCGGTAGGGTCTACAACGGTGAACTTGGGACCGAAATCATTGAATACAGAGCTGAAATATGTCAACATAATGGACCATGGGCCACGAAGTGATCTAAACGTACCCAAAAAGGCCGCGAGTCTCGGCAGCAATGAAGTGGACGCCATTTGCGTGCGTCCATTCATTGATTTCCAGCTGCTTCTGCAAGCTTGCGCCGCACAGCACAACAACCTAGCATATTGTCAGAACGCGTGCAATAAGTGTACGCGAAACGCGTTCATATGTACCTGGAAGCCCGTGATCATGTCTACCGTAATCTCCTTACCGGACTGGCCGCCAAGATTCCGCACTGGTACATACGCATTCAACTCGGCCAGGCGGGCAGCCGCAACGTCTGCGCGCGGCTTTCCAACGTCCTCGGCACGGAGGAAGAACTGAACAAGAGGTCAGAGTGGAGTTATAAATCGTGTCATTTGCGACCGACCTGACTGCTAAGATCTTGTATCTGTACTGGCTCTGGATCATAGATCGTAACAGACTTCACGCCGGCCAGCACCACGTTCTTAGCTGTGAATAAATCGTATCATACCCCGCAAAGGCTTGCTAGGCCTGTACGCACCGATCTCAATCCCCAGACCTTTGACACCGACAATAAGGATATTGGAGGCGGCCATCCGTTTCATAGCTATCCAAGGTATGATAGATTATCCAAGTAACACGATTTGAAGCCTTACCTTCGTGGCCGAGCACATAGCTGTGCACCAGCTGCGTATTAGACTAAACCATTCTACGGAATAGCGGCCTAGGACTCACAGTTGGCGGGAGTAGAGGCCCTCGTCGATCGCGGCTTCATCTATGTCCATCGCGGACGCAAGGTTCGTAGCAGCCATATTGGTTCGTGAGTTGTGCGGTCAGTCCTGAAGATGATGGAGAGTAAGAGCGAGAGCAGTACTTGGTGAAAGGCGCGAAAGAGACGCCTCAGCAGCGGCCTTATGATAATGCAGCGCGCGCTACGCGTTCCTGACAAAGCATCCTCGGTCGCCAATATGGGAAATGCCGATGGGATGAGAGATCGTCTATGTACCACCGATCACCTTGACCCTGATCATGAAGTATGTCGCGCTCCTGAGTGGTGGCAAGGACAGCTGTTACAACCTCCTCCACTGCGCTCGCAATGGGCATGAGCTTGTTGCTGCGGCATCTCTTGGCCCTGAGCATGGAAAAGGTCAGAATATTTTGTCTTCAATGAAGCTATGATGTCATTTAACAGTCTACACTTTGGCAGAGGAACTAGACTCGTATCTCTATCAGACCGTCGGTCAGGATGCCATAGAATTTGTTGCTCAAGCGCTTGATGTCCCGCTATACCGAAGGGTCATCTCTGGCGCCGCTGTCGAGCAAGGCTCCGAGTATGGTGGTAGAGAGCCATCCCAGGCCAGCGGGGTATCCGGAGACGAGACAGAAGACCTCTACGCGTTATTGAGTACGGTTAAAGTGAGTTTTATGATACAGATCCAATGGAAAGCTACTAATGGCGTTCAAGGAAAATCACTCAGATGTACAGGGAGTTTCCGTCGGTGCAATTCTCTCAAATTATCAGCGCGTGCGGGTTGAACACGTGTATGATTCACTGGTCGTATCTGTGCACTACATTTGTTGAGTACTCTGCACTGCAGGTGCCGTCGTCTCGGCCTGACGCCGCTCTGCTACCTGTGGCAGCGAGACCAGGCCGAGCTGCTCGCTGAAATGATCGAAGCAGGAATGGAAGCAATTCTCATCAAGGTCGCCGGTATTGGTTTGTCCGTCAAACACCTTGGAAAGACTTTAGCGGAGATGCAACCAGAATTGATCAAACTGGTAGATAATAACAACAGTATGTTCTGGGGAGCTTTTAACAGCTTTTGACTCCAGAACGAAGCGTACGGGTTGCATATATGCGGGGAAGGTGGAGAGTATGAGACTCTGACCCTAGATTGCCCACTCTTCAAGCGTAGGATTCAATTGTAGGTCCATCGACCTCAATATATACCGCGCTGCCATTCAATGAAACCATACAGAACAGAAACAGAAACAGTCATTCATTCAGACAACGACTTCGCAACAGTCGCATACCTCAGGATTAAGAATGCTACCCTCGAGGATAAACACTCGCGTTTGCCTATTCAACCGACAGTACCTTCCTTGCTCTCGGAAGCCTTTGAACAAATCCACCATACTGTTCACAAGTCTCTGTCTGACCCACCCATCAAGTCACCATCTATTCCAGATGAAAATATCGCGCAGCTTCCGAAGGTCGCCGATTGTCCAACCATCAAACGTATAGGTCAATGGGTCGCAATTGCTGACATCTCAGTCATTTGTACGCCCGATGTCTCCCTGGAGGACGAGGTCCGAGACTGTTTCCTCCAGCTGCAAGGTTGAAAGCAATGTCATCAATATCTGCCCCTCCCGCTGACTGTGTATCCCAGCGCATCTCAAGGCCTACGACCTACAGCTCTCCCACTGTACCAACATCAACATCTTCCTCTCGTCCATGGACCTCTTCGCCCAGGCCAACGCCGTATATGCCACATTCTTTGGAAACAGCCCACCTGCACGCGCATGCGTCGCTGTCGATCTTCCCTCGCCAACAAAAGTCAAAATAGATTGTGTAGCGTACGCCGAACGCAGTCCGGCCGACCGCCAAGCGCTGCATGTACAAGGACTGAGCTACTGGGCACCCGCGAACATCGGCCCATACTCTCAAGCTATCGTGGTCTGTCCCCTTCCTTCGTTCTCTACGCCCGTGCTCTGAATGCCACCCGCTAGGTGAACGAACGGATCTTCGTCTCTGGACAAATCGGGCTCATTCCAAGCAACCTGACGCTCCCTTCTCCTCCCTCACTGGAGACCGAGACGGCACTATCCTTCCAGCATGTCGATCGCGTGGTCAGCGCTCTCAAGAACAACTCAGGTGGGGGCTGGGAAGGACACGAGCAAGGCATCATTTATTGGCTAGCCCGTGAAAGTGACATACCACATGTCAAGATCGCCTCAGAGATATACGAGAAGGTAGGTCGACTCTTATTGTCAGATAAGCTTCCCCATAGAATGAGTTGGCTCTCACTCCAGGATGCTTCCGCGTCAATACTCTTCGTGACCGTCCCGACACTGCCAAAAGACGCGCTGGTTGAAAAACAGGTCCTGCTACACACTGGTCGATGTCTCATACCAGATGAAGATGATGTCGTGATACGATCAGTGTCGCCCAGCTTCCAACGAGGTACGTCTGTCCCATCCCAGAATCACCAAGACAGGAGTTTATGTCACCCACGACGTCGCAGGCGATCAGATGGGTCGCGAGTCGTCTCGGACCCATTGGGAGATTTCCTACTTCGATGAGACTGCGTCTGCGGTCACACTCATATGTTTCCGTGGAGATGAGATCGATGTTACCGCGCTATTGACTCAAGTACCCGAACTAGCCGCAACTTGGACGAATGCGCTATCTGTGCGGCACTTCTATCGGCATCACACGACCATATCTACCTGTACGTGTATGTCCCACCTTCACAATCTCGGAGTCTAATCCTCGTCTAGTCCGTCGCACGGTCGAAGTTCTGTTTGAAGGGCATACGCTTCCCGCAGTCACATCGATACCCTGCCATTCAATCGCAACACGAGGCCTCGACGATGACTGGGATTACGCTATGTTTATCATATGTGCCTAGGGAAACATCCCGATCCAAAACATCGTAACGTACCAAGCCCGATGTGTTGTATCCAATACACTATTCTACAGTACTAATATACAAGCGAAACATCATGGCGTGCCCTCCTCCTTCAGCGCCCTGAGTTCGGCGAGACGCCGCCTCATCTCCTTCTCGGTACGAGTAGGTGGGACCATACGAGCTATTCCGGCTCCGCACTATGTAAGAGTATGCCAATTAGACACGACCAGATCAAAGCAACAACGGGACAATACCAATGCACAAAGACCACCGAATCGCAGGACCCATGCAACGCCATTCTTCCCATAATACGTGGTGTGGTGGGTAGGGTCGTTGTCCACATCCGCGTCGACGATGTGGAAGATCGCACTAGACACGAGGGCAATCTGTACCAGCATCAGTCCACTGCATGGCTCTCACACGAATATGAGCACGTACTATGAACTGAGGGAAGACGATAGCCAGATTATGGATGCCCAAGATCGTTCCGCCCGCGATAGGGTCGGCCTGCAGAGCAACTGCGTCGGCATCAGCTTGGTCAAACGAACGGCGGCGTTGAAGCAACGGAGCGCGTTCATCTTGACCCTCGCTGCGGCGGCGAATGGCCGGCGTCGAGCGCGTTCGACTGTGCGAAGGACGTCTGCCCTGTTCTCTGGCGATGCCTTCTCCAACCTCCGCGTTATCATGTTCACGCTCCTTGAGGAACTGATCGCACACAGTCAGAACCCAGGGTCGTAAGATTGAAGAAAACGTATACCTCCATGATGATAGCAAATGGTATCCAACATGCAACTGCCCAGCATATACCGACCAGACTTATTGCAATGATAGCCTTACAGAAGACGTCAGACTAAGCTACGGAAAGGATTGTGCTGTAACATACCTGCCAAACCTTGGTGATGAAGAAAGTCGAGAAAGTGATTGCAGCGAAGAGTAGCATAGCTCCTGTCCATATATTTCGCAGGAAAAACGGCATCAGGGGTAGTCTCAAGGGTTGGCCGCGACGAGCAGCGTCGGCTCTCCATTCACGAACGCTAGATCTCAATCTGGCTACCTCGTCGTCTTCGTCCTCGTCGTCCTCATGCGCAAGTAACCGGGTGTCGCGCCGAGCAAGGTGGGGCAGGGTTGCGCCAGCGGTAACAGCCACTGAGTACACCATTAACTAAATGCTGCAACTACACCGGTTGATGCTGACCTATGCTATATATGAGCATTGCGAATTCACCCATTCTGGTCGCCTCGTCTTTGTCTGGATCACGCTGTTGTTCATACGCCATGACCTGACCGATATAAGTTGTGCTGTGAGGTCGCGATGGTCAGTGAGGCTTATAAAAACTCAAGACCAGTCGCATACGCATAGAAGAGGAACGGGAACCTGCGTAGCAGTTAGCATGCAACGAGGTTCATTTCAATTTCCGCTACATACCAGCCCATGAATGCGAAGACCTGCACGTAACAGACCCTCCGGATCGGCTTGGGGAGATGGACGATGGCGTTGTATATGTTGTTCAAAACATCCCTCAATTTGCTCCTATTCTATTGTCAACGTCGGGGGCACAAAGATCACAGGAAATGACAGACCTCTTCTCAACGCGCCGTGGCTCGCGCACCTTCTCCTCCTGCGTGATGCAGGTAATCCATACAGTGATGACCAGTATTGTCATGCTGACGACGCAGAACTTGCGGAACTGGTCACCGCCAAGCAGGCGCAGGACGGGCATCTTAGCCAAAGGGAGGAAGCCTATCGTGACCATGAGTGCGACAACTTTCGAATTCATTGAAATTCTCGCTTACCAAAACCATAGCCAACTATGTTTCCGGCATTGAGCATCCGACTGTGCCATGCATTGCCAGCATTGAGCTGTTCCGGTGGAGTGATATCCAGGAGCAGATTCCGTAATGATGCTTGCAATGCATTAAGCGCGAAGTCCAGCAGATAGAAAGACACGATCGCTAGACCGATTGCCGTATGCTGGACCTAGAGGTTCATTGCGAGACGGTTTGAGTTCAATGGTGTACTGTCTCAGACAGTCCGACGTACGGATTTGACCCACTTAGGGTCCCAGCTGCCCGCGCCTCCTCCAAATATATCAACGAAGAATGCTGCAATATTCTGGCAGTACGCAAGCGTAATAGTGGAAAACACGAGGACGGTGGTGGAGAGCACGACCCAGTAGCGACGGCGATACTTGGAAGTCGATGCATCAGATATGGCACCTAATCGTTAAACAGTCGAGCAAGTCAGTAGAAGTATACTTCGGTGAAACAATGACGGGTACTTGCCTATGACAGGCTGTGCTATTAGACCACTGATCGGGCCGGCCAACCATACGAGGCTCGTCAACGTCTCCGAAAGACCAAGAGATAGCAGGAACGGCGTGCCGTAGCTACACACTTCCGAGTTCAGATAGATATGCTGCGTTCACAAGACAAACAAGCCTACCCCAGCTCCACCGTCCATGCGACTTGCGATCCGGCCATGGATATACTCAGATAGATGAGGTCAAGCGTCGACATCCTGCGCCCCGCAGTGTCCGGCTTGTCTGGTGAGCTCTTCTTGCCATTCGCCTGACTAGTCCCATTTCGCGTCACCTCTTCCTCGGCGGCATCCTGCGCATTCTGCTCGCGAAGCCGCTTCCCGTTGCGCGAGGGCCAAGGGATCTGAGTGGTAGGATCGGGATCTGCGTCTGCAGTGGTGGGGAAAGTCATGCCAGCGTCGAGAGTGATGGAGAGGGACGCTGCAGCGCAGCAGGGACCGGTGACAAGCTATAAGTGGGGGGAACCTCGGCGATGAGTGCCTCTGGGCCTTGAGGACGGCATGCACCCTCTGTATGTAAGTACGTCTTAAGGAAGACCGTCACACCGTCATTCGACGCGCCCATCCAGCGTCTCCCCAGACACTCTGTCTCACGTGGTCGAGCACTCTTCGAGGGCTCGCTGAGTCGAACATATAAGGCGATGAAACATAATCACACTTGAACGCCCACATTAAATTGTACGGCACGCTCGAAAGCAGCCGGACACAAATAAGATAATGCATTCAATGTGCACGAGATATCGATGCATGCAGCAGCCCAGAACGAACGGTGAGTAATTGCACAGCGAATGAATATCGAACAACAGCATGAGCACAGCCGCAGTACAGGTACACAACAAGTACAGACCTCCCAATGTTCAAGAAACACGCAACAGTGCAGCGAACGAACGAATACCTCAGACCCTACCGGATGGCCGCATTCACTGACGCATTCCTCCGGTGGCCGCCGAGGCCTATTTGCGGGTCGATACCAGGTTTATGTGATGAGAGCAGATTGAAAGGCAGACGACGTGAGTGCGAGGGGGGTGCGGGGGTGGCAAGGGAGATAGCTGTAGTGGGGGTGATTGTGCGCGTGCGCTCGATGAATTCCTCCGGCTCCGGGGGCGGAGGGAACCTGGCATAGTCGCCCGGTGGCCCAGTAAAGCCCTCGCGAGATATAACTTCATCTCTCCGACGCAGGGTCGGCCGCGACGAGCTTTGTGTTGGTGTTGAGAGGCCCATAGAGTCGTGCGTAGACGTCGGGGATATAGGGGGAGTAATGTGTTTCAGCATCGCAGGACTTGTACCCGATCGATGCCGGAGCATATCCTGTTGTGATGACGAAGAGCCTGAACCCGGCACAAGGGCTGGAGGATGGGGATTACTTCGGAGCTGAGCCGCGGACGCCGACGGGCGTAATCGACGCCTCGGTGCGACCGATCCTACCGTGACTAATGAGTTCAGCGGCTTGATATCATCATCGGTAGGGGCGGGGCCCGCTGGCGAGCTGTTCTGTGATTGGTTGTCCGTGGATGCGGTAGTTGCGCTCCCGCTGCGTTGGCGGAGCTTGTACTTCTCCATCGCATCGGCATCTCGTTCGCGCATACGCGTGGCTATGGGTGATAAGGCTGATGCCGGATTGTGATTGGGCAGAAGTTGAGTGTGCGGCTGTGGTGACGGCGAGTTGGCGGAGAAGGCAGTGCTGCCAGAGGAGCTAGCGGAGGGTTGTGCTGGGGAATGTGAGCCCGAAGGCAACTGAGCTGGTGGTCGTGGCGGAGATAACGAGGAGGCTAGTGATGGGTGACTGCGGGTGGAATGTATCGCTACGTTGTCTAGTTGATCACCGCTATCAGAAGTGGTGGTCGTGCGGCTCGTTCCAGAACCGCTACGCATTCGGACGGACCCATTGGCGATGCTGTAAGCTTTGGGAGGCGGAGGAGGTCCTACATCTGGGGTTCCGCCCCATTCGGTGCCTCTGGCGGCGGCCTGGGCAAAAACGTTCCGACGGGCTTTCTTGTTGTTTTCAAATTGGGCGCGAGCTGTATCCTGCAGGACTTCCCGGGTGGTGGTGCTAAATAGACAACATGTGAGAGCGACTCGTGAACAAGTGTGTGGTCGACGTACGAATACGCGTAATCGGAAGGGGTGAACCCTTCATTGTTCCGTGCTGAATATTGACAGCCTCTTTCGATCAGCAATTGCACAACCTGTGGCACCTTTAGCCATATGACACATTGACGTAAAGGATTCTACTGACCGAGATGTGATTCCAAGCGCTCGCACTGAAGTGCGGCGTCGGTATTTGTATGCCTGGAGCACGAGGAAGACTTACTAGTGCAGTGGGGTGTTACCCTCGTTGTCAGCGAGATCACAGTCAGCTCCTAGATCACAGAGTATCTGAGGGCGAACTCAGCATCCCCTCTATGTCGCAGTCACGAGATGTGTCAACTTACCCGCACTAGCTCCTCGTTACCCTTCATTGCCGCTACATGCAGCGGGGTCTTCCCTTCGACATTTGCCCACTCTAATATATCCGGATAATGATCGTAGTAGAGCCGTGCCATGCGTAGATTAGCACTGAAAAACTCATGGTCGCTGGGGCCAGACCCGTAAGAACTAGAGAGCGGCGGTCTTGCCTCGGCCAAAAGAATGAGGATGGTGTTATTGTCCGAGTCCTGGATTTTCAGTCAGATTGTCTATCGATCATGGCCCAGAAAGTGACTTAAGGGCACATACCTTGCTGTATTCATGGTCATCATGGCCGCTAGTTAGGAGAAACTCGAATGTCTCCTCATGACCGAGAAAAGCAGCCCAAGCCAGAGACGTGAATCGTTTGTGAGTTGGGTCCGGGTTCCTCATGTCGGTCCGCTTGATGAGTCTCTTGACCAGAAAGAGGTTGTTCTCTGCACATGCCAGCGTTCAGTACCTCCATAGCCCGGCAGCAGAGGAGACACACCCTTGACCGCTCGCCGGAGCCTGACAGTGGCGTCCTTCTCAGCCATGGCGGTGAGTGTCAAACGAAACGGCGTGGGAGAGCCCCGGGAGGGAGCGAGGGGGTGATATAGGGAAAGACAAAGACAAGAAGACGGTGCAGCACAGCAAACACAGCAAACGATGAGGACTCGACGGGCACATAATAGGACTGGTCCCGTGACAAACATCGATCAAGACGGACGTCACGACCACGAGTCCGGCGATCGCAGCGCGCAAACTCCCATGGTTGTTCGCCGTGAAATCGAAATCTCGCGCTTGTTCGCTCCCGTCCTCTTCCTCTGCCGTTCGTCTCCACCTGTGTCGACCCCGCGTCTTCCCTGCTCCTTCTCGCCATGCCCAAGGTCGTCTCTCGCTCCGCCGTTTCATCCTCCACAGATGGTCAGTGTTTCCAAGACACCGCATCTCGTGTACTCGCGGCCCTGAGCCTCCCATGAAACACTCTTAGCACAACCCACTGCGTCATCAACAGCAGCGCTGCGCGTCTACTGTGGGACTCTTTTTCCTCTGGTCATGATCCTTGTGCTCATTGGCTCTCGCTTCTCTTCGGCGCAGATTGCATCTGCGGCGAGTTCATTGTGGGTACTCCGGACTCCGCTGTTTCCGGCCGTTGCTGATGTGCTATTCCCAGCTTGTCATAGACAAAAGCTTAGCTTCTCTGCCCAAGCGAAGGACAGATGGCGCAGTCATCGTCCAATGTCGGGACAGCGAGCTTGGGAAAGCCAAGGTCTTCAAGCTGAACGCAGTAAACAAGGATCCCATACTCGTTGAGCGGTGGGTACGTCGCCTGTCCAGCACACATGCTCTCTAATGCCGCGCAGCGAGAACGGCCACGAAAGGCAGCACAAATTCCACTGTCCGCGGTGTAGTCTGCCTGTGGCGTATCAATCGACGCCGCCGCCTGTCAAGTCAGGTCCCTATCTATACATTCTCAAGGGAGCCCTTAGTCAGGTCCAGGGTCAAGTTCCGTCTGATGCATTTGAGGACGAGTGATAGTCGTAGTGTAGCTATGTGTTGGCCAAAAGGACTGTTTATATCTAGTTCTGCTTGAATGTGATCGACTAGCATCGTGTTACGAAAAATAATCATTTCATTACGAGATGCCTATCGTAGTACGGTACTCGACACGGACAATTCACGTCCTGCAAACAAATCAACAGAATCTCACCAGCACTGTTCATGCCTATTCCGGGAAAACAAATATGTTAGCAAAATGTCACGGAGGCGGGCTTAGAGGAATGGAAGGTCGAATGGTCATCAGATACCGTTGTAGAAGTACAATTCAACACATCAGCGCTCATAGCGACTGATGTTCATACAGTGTGAATGTAATTGTCATCATATGACGAAGAATAGAAGGGAATATAGGTGAAAAGATGCACTGAGTACTCACGTTGCCGTTTGTGTTCGAAGATGTTATTAGGCGCTACCAGTTGCGAGGGCTATCTATACCAAAATACCTGAAAACGTCGATGGTTAGTTTCTGAAAAGACTGGTGTGGAAACGACCGCTAAGGCGGAGTTATTAGACTCAGATACCGTTGTAGAGTAAAGTGCGTTCAAGGTGTGCATGGCACACTCGTATGTTTGGGAATATAGTAGCATCATGGTAACCGTGAAGAAAGGCCTACTCACCAACGACTGTCACGGCGGCGATCATGAGGAAAGAGTTGAAGACAATCGAATCGAGGACGAGCGCTTGGAATGGCAAATTTCAAGCATTTGCATTTGTTTGTGTATGCTTGTGCACAACCCGAGCACAAGTATATCCAAACAAACACCCACAACGCGTTCGACGCGCTCGGTACGCGACCTCTTTGTTGGCCTGGTATGTCTGCCTGCTCCGTCCACTTATTGGCTGCTCTCGTCGACCCGCGCCATGCCCCAATTTGGCTTGTTTACATGAGCTAGGATTGGAGTGCATCTGTGGGTCCGCGTGTACATGCCTCTCACCGTTGCCTAGCAAGCACGGCAACGTTACCTTGATTGCCCTTCTGCGGTCGGGTGCCACCATCACGGGCACGTCAGGTACTTATACCCCGCGGTTTGTCGGTATGAAGTTCTCATCAGCATCTGCACTACCCGCCTACTCGTCTGTGACGACCTGAGCCTAGTATCCACACACACACTATTCACCTTCCATCTGGACAACTCGAGCCTCGCATTCATATCCAGCACACTACATCATCCTCACACATCACACGATATGTCTTACTCCACCGGCACATCCGCATTCACTCTCTTCCCTACCGCAACGGCTTCGCCGAACGCGTTCAGCATCTTCGTCGCCACGCAGTCACCTCGCGACACCCATATTATGCACGAGGACATGCGTAACCTCCTGCGGCCTTCGAGCACACAGAATGTGCGGAGAGTCAGCGCCTCGTCGCAGAAGACCCGTGGCCTCAAAAAGTTCTTCGGGATGTAAACATCATCTACGCCGGCGTGTGACTACACACCCATCCCTCACCATAGTCCGCAACCCATCATTCTCGACATGGCATACCACATCCTACCACGTCACGAGCGTGCCTTTGCCGCCAAACGTATCCATCGTCGCTGTCAAGTCATACTCGCGTCAAACACCGTGAGGGCATAGAGACCGAGAGTCTGCCCAGTCACGCGAGACGACAGAGACCAAATCAAAACACTTTCGTTGCGAAGCGGCTCGCCGGGCCCGCCCAGAAGCAGCTGAAGCACATCCAGCTGGGCGTTGGAAGTTCGAGAGGAAGAAAGAATAGGAGCTTGCTCAGTTGTGGGAGGAGAGTTGCGGACTTGTTGAATATAGAGCGGAAGACCGTGTACTTCCCCCAAACACAAAGATACTCTCTTTCCCTAACCATTCTGAGTGTGATTGAGCCTTAATTAAAGCCAAGAGGGTAACGGGCCTCAAGTCTGTCAGTCTCGAGTTCCTGTATTGGTCACACGCTGAATAGCGAATCACACAAAGTGGAGTGGAAGTCATGGGCGCCAAATGCCTTGTTTGGAGATCGAAAACCCGTGTTGCGGATACCACGTGGGGGCATATTCGCGGAGGCGCTATCGCGGCGTTGTCGCGCACCGCGAACAGTATTGTACCCCTACTCTGAGACGGACGGTAGCGCCTCGCTCGCGCAGCGCAATGGACCTCCCTTCAGCGCGAGAGATTGAACTCGAGACGCTCCTCAGGGAGCGCGACGCGCAGGTGGCAGAACTGACGGTGAGCTTGAGCGATGTCGTATTCCAACCATGCGGTCGACTGACGCGATGCGCCCTAGGACGAGGTCACTCAGCTACGGCAGTACCTCTCGACGCAACCTGGTCCGCCGACGGCGGATTCTATCTCCCTCCCGCCAGCCCTCGTGTCCCTTCTGTTACCCCACATCAACGACCGCTCATCTCAGTCGTCGTCGAACACCGTGACCGCTGCTCTCGTGCAGCGAACAAAGGTCCTCCAGCAGGAAAATGACGAGCTGTATGAGCTTCTCAAAAGCGGAGAGACGGGGAAGTTGAAGGAAGACGTCCGTGCTCTCCGGCGGGTCGTCCAGAAATTGGAAGGCGCACTGAAAGGTACGTTAGCCACCGGCTCCACTGCCGACTGCCAGTAATTGAATGCGCGCAGAATCTCACCAAGTGATTTCCTCTCTCTCGTGAGCGATCTTCTTGTTTGGGAGAGTCTGAGTCTAAAGTACCCCTAGATCCGAGCTCGAGAAATCCCACGAGACAATCATGGCGAACGGCCGTCCCGCGGCCGCTCCCAAAGTCAATCCTCATTCCCAATCTCCCATTCCCAGAAACATGTACCAACAGCCTCCTCACCTATCCTCCGCCAATGGCGCAAGCAAGCTGCCACCCACCGGGCCGCGCGCACACAAAAAGCCGCGGCTTTCCGAGTCGCACACCCCTCCCGCGCCCCAGGGCATGCCGCTGCACTCGGGGCCCAAGAGCGGCCACGCCCAATCGGGCTCTTCTGCGCGTGGCGACTCGCGCGAGCGCCGCGGTTCGGTCGACCGCAAACCGGTCATCGGCATGGATATCGACGAGGACCAGCGCACTCGGCCGCGGTCACCTGATCGAGACCGTGAGCGCGACCGTCCGAGCCGCGGAGAGCGGGAGAGGGAGCGTGCGCGGGAGAGAGAGCTCGACCGCGAGCGTACACGCGACCGGGAGCGCGTGAGAGAGAGAGACAGGGACCGTGACCGAGACCGTGATCGCGACCGGTCCCGACGGAATGGCGGCGGTGGCGGCGGCGGAGGTGGTGGTGGCGGAGGGCGCGGGGGGCGCCGCGGACGGGGCCACAATGCGAATTCTAACGCCAACTCCAATGCCACCGCCAGCACCAACGCCAACGCCATCGTCATCGCCAATGTCAATAAACCCAACTCGAACGCTGCATACGATAGCGCAGACCGGACGTTAGCGGAGAGGATGGGACTTTGACGATGGGGCAGTGGCATTTCCTTTGGCTTGCTCGCGAGGGATTGGACTGGATGTGTCTGTACTCCGCATGATGGACCGTGGTCCGGCTAGTGTATACGGTACGACGCTCTCTCTAGAGCCCGCGTCCTCCGTATTTATCCGCGCATCTAACTTATTCGTATTTGGCCTCCACAGCTGTATTCATATCATCATCACCGTGTTCGCGCTTCACGCTCTCGTTCTCGTACTGCTTTGTCGACTCGTACCGTATATCTATTTTGGATGTTCCCGTGGCGACTGACACCCCTTGGGCCTGTATCTAGACGTATCCCGCACTCTCGCCGCTGCACTAGTATGCATTCGTGGTTCGTTCCTCTTGCTGTCCGCTGCCACATAAGCTCGCGCCTTGCGTCTTCTCTCCCATGCTCCGCAAGTGAGATGTACCCTGTCTGAGAGACCCATTGGGGGCACATTGCATCTGTCTCGGGGCCTTCCATTCGGTGTGCATGCCCCCGTTTACTTTTCCCTCGCTGTTATTGCCAATTTGACGCCACACAACATGGCACGGCTTACACCCTCCCCCGGCGCCCGCGCCGTCCGCCGCACAGTGTTGCAGCATTACTCAGGCCCAGGCTTTCCGAGCACGCCAGGCTAGTGGCGGATCCGCACAGACACGCGCGTAACGTGACATGATGGGCTGCCTGCTCTCGAGGTGTGGGAGCGCATGTACGCTGGGGGGCGCGCGGGCCCTGTGCGGCCGCGCGCGTGGCACGTTAATCGGCGTGATTCTGTGGCCGACCGAGGGTCGAGACCATTTGCAAATATACCCAGCGCCCATTAATATTGCCAACGCGGACTTGGAAGGCGTATCCATGCCCATCCGACATGGAAGGAGGGCTCGAGAGTCAATCAATCGTTGCCGTGGAGTGATCTCGACGTATCTTGACTTGACGTGCGAACGCGGGCCTCGAGAAAGGAAAAAGTGACAGTGCGAGTACATTCCAGTGGACGACGACGTCCGTACGTGGGGTATGTACAGGAGTGGAGAACAGTCCGGCTGAAGTCCGAGGGATATTACACTCGTATAGGCTACTATGCTACAGAGATTAGAGCGACGGGGCGAAGCACGAAGAGAATCAGTCCGTCCAGAGTAAGGTAAGTAGTAGCCATAAAATAGTGCCGAAAGAAACGCGGAACCCAGAGAACACGAAGATGAATGCACAAAGAAAGGACAGTATGCACAGAATCAGGACATTAGTGCAGCGGCGCGAAGGTTTGGAAGGGTCAGGGTGTAAAATGAAGTTAGCACAAATCTATAGTACGTGAGAAGATGAAAATTGCATGCAAGCCATTATGGTTGATGTCCACCGTTCAACCTCTCCTGCGAAAGTTCATCTGGCAGCCGTATGCGCTCTAGGGAAGCATAGGCGATAAGCGGGCATCCGCGGGCCCTTGTGATAGTACAGGCTGTGCGACCGGAAGCGCACGCAGACAGCGCGGTAGGCGAGCGTCCGAAGGTTTGCCAATTCCCAGAGGAATACATCCGTGCAACGTGTCAGATCACGCCGCCACCCGTCGTGGGCTGCTATGGAACACCGAGAGTTCAACACGCGCCTGGGAGTAAGGTTTGGGGCGGGCCCACCTGTTTGACTTCGAAGGCGAGGTCAGCGTGTACTGGGGTGCGAGGTCCAGATTGGGGATTTGGATCTGGGTGCGGTGTGCAGGTGGCGAGCGTACGACGGACCGCTTGGCGCCAGGAGTGGCGAGCGCGAATGAGGGGATGGGCGGTACGGGTGGTGGCGGGCTCGCGAGCGCGGGCGTAGGAGGCGGAGAGTGCGAGCGGGAGCGGTTGGCGCCGACTATAGAGGACGAGCGGCGGTGGCCGTACCGGGGCGAGGACGGCGATGTCGATAGCGGCGGGGACGCCATGGGCGACGCGCTCTGCCTTCGCCGTGTGCCAAACTCATCACCATCGATCCAGAGCTCTGATTGCGCCTTTGTGCTGAGGAGATGAGGCTCGTCGGGCCTGACGGTCATTTTCTTGAGGAGCGGCGAGCCGATAAGACGCGGTGGGATAGGAGGGTCTTCCGGGTGCGCAGGGAGGTGAAGGCGGTTGCGAGACGATCGTCTAGGGAGGATTGGGGGAGAGGGCAGTGGAGCCTGGATAGGCTGGGGCGAATGCATGCGTGGTGGAGGAGAAAGAGAGGAAGACGAGGACATACTGGGTGGGCCGCTGCGGGGACAGCATAGCATCTGGGACGGACGCTTTATAGGAGACCTCGTGCCGGGAGAGATGCATTGTTTCAGGCAGAACGCAGCGTCAAAACCCGGAGGATCGGAAGCACGCCCGTGTAGACAAACAGCGGGGATTTGGAACAGACGCCAGTGCCGTGGGCGTAGCGAGTCACAGGCGGACAACACGCCGACACATCGATCCAGCGCCCCCTCCCCGCCAGGCGCGCTGTCACGATCGCGTCACGAATGCACGCTCGTCTGCGGATCGTTTGCCGAACGCCTTAATCTGGCATCACGATCCAAGATGTCCTCCCGATCCCTGCCCCGCCCAGACAGTTATGGACTCCCCGAGGCCCTGGCTACACTCTTCTCTGTCACTCCAGCTCGACCACACTTCTCCTCGATAGCTCTTCTCTTCCGCAATTCATCGCCAGAAACCCCGTCGCCGTAGTGACAAATGCGCCGTACGTGCCTGCAGCCCTCAGCCCACATCCACGACGTGCCCCTTCGCGTTAGAATGGGCGTCTCTGGCCCTCGGCACTTAGTGTCTCAACTCACTCAGTCAATCAAACGCCGGCGGTCCACTCAGCAACCGCACATACAATCAATATGTCAGGGTTCAGCGATAAGTTGCGCTTTGCAATTCACTAAGTAATACTGTAATGACATGAGACACGCGCTATCGTACCAGGATTAGATCCACCTCTCGTTCTGTCGTCTTCCCCGACCTTCACTTGTCTGACACCGGAACTGATGTATGACCGCAACCCACAGCGGCGGGGTGCCGGCGCCTCAATCTGTCGGTGAGCCCGCCCGCAATGTGACAGCATCCCGCCCTCTGTGACAGGTGTCAGTTCTCGCTTGTCCGGAGGCAACCCTGCCAAGTCTCCGGTTGGCGCTGGCTTCATTACATCGTTCGTTTATTTCGAGCAGCTTGTGGCGATCACGACATCGATGATTTCAGTGTCCTTTGAAGCTCGTCGCGGGTCCACCACAAAGCTATTTCCAACGTAGGGCGGTCGCAGGGGGTGGCCTGACCGTGCTGCGCATGCGGCTTCATCATACGACTCCCGATTCAAACTCATCATCTCCGAGGTTTTATGGAGCGACCGGCAACTGGTGTGCACTTGCATTGAGATCGCTGAGATTCCCAATCAAATGTTGGTGATATTACCCACGTTTTCGAGGCGCGTCTCCACCCTCGACGACTATGTAGCTAAGCGGCCCCCGCTCGTCCTGCGGAATACGGATGGTTAGCTGAGACGAAACTTAGTTCCGCAGTCGTCCACGAGACTGATGGAGGTAGGTCAGATGCGGAAGGACGTTGATATTAGTAACATCAACTTTTGCTGACTGTTGACTCTTCTCGTGTGGCAGCGGCGTAGTACCGTACTAATTCCTTGTGCTCAAGCCGCAGAGCGCCGGAGAAACACGGAACCAGAACTTGAGAAGTCTGGAATAGAGACGAACGCGGCTTTCGCTGAGTCATGAAGCGTTCCCTCTGGTCCGACTGCAGCGCATGGTAACTTGCTTGGGCTCCAGGTGAGACAGGGTAGAACGGCCCAGGTACTTGATGTAGTCCCACTTCTGTTTCCAAACAGGAAGAAGAAACCCCCTGTTCGTACGCCTGATTCATATATCCTCTCTTCATGCTCATCATCTCGCTCAGGGGCGCTCGAGTAAGCCGGCGGCGCGCTCCAACCACATTTTACCATGTGTATTTGCAAGCAGGCAGCTCAAAGTATCGATCATGCTTCCGGTGCGCTCGAGCCCGCTCCTGTCAGCCATTAGAATCCAGACCGTTGACCATCCCATCCAATGATGTCCTCGCCACTGAAGCCCCGGAAGGCCCCATCTTTCGTTCGCTACTTCGCAGGCACCATTTCATTTCTCTCGCCCTGGTGGTGATCTCAGTTCTTATTCGTGTTTTCTTCTTGCTATCGCTGCTTTCGTGCATTCGAAATGCCTTCTTTTGTTTTGTCAATCTCTGTCGCTCTTTCTCTTCATTCCCTCCTTGTTTACTCTGCGCCGTGGGATCCTCTACTACTACCGGAGTTCGATCTTCACCAACAAGATCTAGTGATAACGGAGACACTGACATCAACTGTTGTGACGGCGGCGGCGGCGGTGGCGACAAGCTCTGCATCAGCTACTGTCAATTTGGCTAGCCTGTCTGCTTTCGCTGTTCAGCCAACGTCGTCTACTCCGGTGATATCTTCTAGTTTGAACTCTGCTGCTACTGCGACTGTGTCGACGTCTGGACCGGAGGCGATCTTGTTCATGCCTGACGAAGGTCCTCCGGTTGGCCCTGGAACGACTTCAACTGCTCAGGCGACACCGAGTTCGAACTCGATAACTTCGCAGACGACGTCCAGCCCAGCCTCGGCAGCCAGCCAAGACACAACTTCGAGCCAGGCGTCCATAACACCGACATTGACCTCTAGTGAGATTTCGATCGCCAGCCAGACCGCTCTCTCGAGTGCTTCCGCGGCTTCCAATCAGACTGCTACATCGGGCCAGGGACAACCAGCCCCATCGCCTTCGTCTGTGGTGCCCCAGGTCATGGCGTACTACCCCGATTGGGCAGCACCCACGTTCCCGCCGGAGAAGATCGATTTCGGCCGCTTTGATTGGATAGACTTTGCTTTCGCTCTCCCGGACCAGAACTACAACCTCACCTGGGACGAGCCGAGCTCTGCCCCGGGCCTACTCTCGCGCCTCGTCTCTGCCGCGCATCGCAGCGGTAAGAAGGTCAAGCTAAGCGTTGGCGGCTGGACCGGGAGCAAGTGCGTCCGTTCGAGACACCGCACTTCCGATTGTGGCTGATATCTGTGGGCGCCTAGGTACTTCTCTCCAGCAGTCTCGGATGCCGATAGCAGACAGACGCTTGCGGCGAACATCCTGGCGCTGTACCGGGAGTTCGACCTCGATGGCATCGACATCGACTGGGAATATCCCGCGCAGGATGGCCTAGATGGGAATGAGGTTTCCCCAGATGACAGCGCCAACTTCCTTTCGTTCCTGCAGCTGCTTCGGACCACACTGCCCCCGACGTCTAAAATAAGCGCCGCCGTGCAAACCGTACCGTTCGCGGATGCAAACGGCAATCCACTCGGGGATGTGTCTGATTTTGCAAAAGTCCTCGATTGGGTGCTTATCATGAACTATGATACGTTCGGCTGTGAGTGCCTATGTGGCCGTGTACCGCGTCTCTTCGCGTTTCCTTTCTGCTCGCATCGTGTCGATACTGACATGCCTGAAATCAGCGTCGAATACCCCCGGTCCTAACGCACCGCTGAGCGATGCCTGCCACAACTCGACGCAGCCCAGCTCGAACGCGGCGGCAGCCCTCGGCGCCTGGACTGCAGCCGGCTTCCCGGCGTCCCAGCTCATCCTGGGCGTTCCATCGTACGGCTACATCTCGCAATCCGACGCGACCCGGCTCCGTGCTCGCGCGCAGGACTTTGCGTCCGAAGCGAAGCCGCTTCCCGCGACACGTCGCAAGACGCGCTCTCGTGACCGAGGGACTCGGCACGCACGCCGTCGGGCGTCTGCCCGGGATTGGCCAGGCGCGTTTCGGGTGCTCGCCGAGGCGGGTCCCGCGATCCAGGCGACCAACGACGATGGCGGGACGGACGACGGGCAGGTGCAGTTCCGCTCGCTGATCGCGCAGGGGATCCTGCAGTACGCGCCGCAGGACGACGACGGGGGTGGTGGTGGCGGCGGTGGCGGTGACAACGGCACGAGCGCGGCGCCGACGCGGATGACCGTGGATGGGCAGGAGTTCGACAGCCTGTATGAGGGCTGGAGCGGCTTCACGCGATACTGGGACGAGTGCTCGAGCACGCCGTTCCTGCGGTCGGGGGCGGCGGACCAGGTGGTGACGTATGACGACCCGCTGTCCCTGGGCCTCAAGGCGGCGTTCGCCCGGCAGTCGGGGATGCTCGGCGTGAATATGTTCGATGTGCATGGGGACACGGACCAATGGGACCTGACGGATGCGCTCAGGAAAGGTCTTGGCGTGTCCTGAGTGGCGGCGAATCTTCTGAACTGCTGTGTTTCGCGCGTTCATCCGGTGTTAGCTCTGACTCTACTGTGCTATCTAGATGTTGTGCAGTTTCTGGTTGACTGCATGGGTACACATCTCGTTTCCATTGCACCCCGCCGGTCTCATGCTGAAATGGTCATCTTGGGAAATTGGCGAACGGTCAGCATCGTTATGCAATGAACGGATCGCGGCAACGTCCCAAACATACGTGATCAATTACGGGTCTCTCCTTATTCTTCGTATATTATAATCAAGTCGTCATGGAGGCATAACACGGAAGAGGCTGATCATGTTGTACGTAGACCTATATCTACACTAAAAGAGTCCTTTAGGATATGTCACGGAAGGGATTAAGTGCGGAACATTGATATTCCACACTTAAACCCATCCATACAATGTTGTATCTGTTTGTCGCAAGCATGCTAGCTCCCTAGCCCTTCATATATTCGTCTGTGATTGCGTAGAAAGACAGTCCGGCGTGTGGGTATTTGATGTATACCCCTGCCGAGGAGTGGGTATGTTTGAATGGACAGGGAATCGGGTGCGAATTTTTGGCTTAATGGAGCATAAACGATTTTGGCGGCCACGGATGGGCTGTGTACCATGACTTCAGTCAAAATTACACGCCAACAAGGACAAGTGGCGTACTGGTAGCGGATGTTGTCTTTTCATATTAATTAAAGCCCAAGGGCCTTCTTCCAGTTAGGCGTGGCAGAGGGCATGCTATTGCGTCTCCTGCGGCCGCTGAATTGGGCATGCGACGGTCGCAGTGCTTGTCTGAGGTCCTCATACATCATATACGAGTCTCGTGGAGAGGTAGATATCGAGAATATCGAGAATATGCTCGGTGCAGTCGGATTCGAGGGGAAAGGGGTATATGCGGCTGCGCCGGTGGTCGCGTAAGACATTGTGAACTGCACCGAAAAGAATGGAGCGGATCTGTCGTGTGATCGTCGTGAAGGATGCGGTCCGTTGTGTCCCTCGTCCCAGACGAGTTGCTCAGACTGTGCTGGTGAGTGTAAAGCCCTCTATGCTGTGTGGAATATATACTGTGGCAGACACCTCGCCGCCAGATGTAATCGCCGATCGACACAAGCCTACTTCTTTGGGGTAAAGGGGTTTCATTGTGAGGACCTACAAGAGCATACAGTACAAGGTCGTTGTACGAGCTATGACCCGCCGAATGCACAAAGTAGTGATACGTGAACAAAGTCGCGACGCGACGCGTCCGCATCGCGTTCGTGTTGTAGTCATCTGCTTGCGCGTGTTTGGCCTACACTTTCCGTATCTTGAAACCTGCGCACCTAGCGACCACATCTCTTCTCAGCCTCTGTTGCTACCATCTGACTTGCTGAGGTTTTGTGCAGACTGTTGCTCTCACGACCCATCTTGGATGTTTCCGGTAACGGAGTTGTAATCGAGGGACAAGATGCATTGAAGCCCACGTGTTCAGTGCTCCGAGTCTATTCAAAGCATCTACAATTTTCATTCCAAGATTGTTAGAGTGATAGATATCATGCCCTTCGAACGGCGTGGTATACTTTGTACGTGATAGCGCTGCTTGCATCAATCTGTCAAATCACTGATTGGAGGCGGTGTCTGTCAACTGAAGACTTCGCCGGTGTTGATGTCGCAGTGAGCATATGATGAGACTTTCGCAGGTCTCGCGGAGAGGAGAGGGGATAGTCAATGTGCGGAATGTCATAAAGTTGTGGTGCATCATCCAAGCCAGACCTACTCAAATTCTCGGTATGTGGCTTTCCTGTGGGCATATACCAAGCGGGCGACCTTGCCTTTGAATGGAGCAAGATCCAAATAAGCATTCGCTATTTTAGTCAAGTGTCAATGAAGATTTCCAGGCTCAGCTTCTATAGGCTGTGTCATCAAATCCAGGGGTACCTATAACACTTCAGTCTGTCTCTCACCAACTCGTTCTGGGTCGTGCTCTTGTTACCTTCCAGCGAAATGCTTCCCTCGCTTCTATATTCATTTATATTGTACTTTGGATTGGTGAGCTGTGGCACTCCTACTCCTCAATCGATTCCTCTCGCCGTTCGTTCTCCATATTTCTCGGCTTGGCTGCAGGCGCCCGCCAATTTTGTGCTGAATAATGTATGGCCGTCCTTCTGGACTGGATCCGTGCGTATCCTACTAGGTCGGTGGATTGGTTGCTTAGTGATACTCTATCGCCATACTTCCGCTAGACCCTTGGTTGGGCCGGTTTCATTAATGTTGATGGCACTTCGTATGTCTGGATGGGTGAGCCTAACGTTCCGAACACTCGGTTCAACAAAACAGTTCAGCAAAGTGTCACGGTGAGTCCATCGTAGGCCATCGTCATACATTGGTCACCAATGCGCTCTACTTTGAGTAGATTACGGCTACCCAGAGCACATTCGTTATGACTGCGGGTCCCGTTGCTCTCACCATCATTTTCCTGAGCCCCGTTGAGGTAATATTTCATCGGTATAAGCGGGTGAAGCATCCTATTGAAGATAAATCCACAGCCAACAGATTTAGTGAACCAATCATTCCCATTTGCATACATGGCGATGTCAGCCAAAGCAACTGACGGCAACAGCCACAAGGTTCGGCTATACAGTGATATCAGCGGCGAATGGCTGTCCGGTAACGACGACATGATCATGAACTGGACAACCTCAACTACGGGCGATACCATAATTCACCAATCACAGCTAGAGAACCAGACTGCGTTGGTCGATATTAACGACCGCATTCAGCGTGAGTGCACACTCGGGGTGTCTCTGCACGCTGATTGAGCAATGTGATTCAGAGGGATCGTCATATTTTGCCTCGTTAAATGTAAGTGATATGCCAACGAATCTCCTCGAGACTAATAGGGCGCCATTTAACCTCCAGGCCTCTGGAGTCACATGGCAAACTGGCCAGGACATTGTCGTTCGTGCGCAATTCATCAACAACAGCGTTCTTTTGAATACAGAAGACAACAAGTTCCGCGACATTAACGATGATTGGCCTGTTCTCGCAATCTCTCATGATCTTGGGACCGTCTCGAACACGCCACAAACAGCGGTGATTGCAATCGGCCTTGTTCGAGATCCCGTCATTGAGTATGTCACTGCTGGGGGTGGGACTCAAAACCGTAGTCTCTACTTCTGGACACGCTTTTCGTCGATAGAAGATGCTGTAAGTGCAGTGTCGACTGCGCCTAGGTTTCGGATACTTACCGTTAGCCTAAATCGAAGATCACCACTTTCCTGGGAGACTACGACAACGCATTGGCTAGGGCGACGAAGTTCGACGCACAGGTCGTAACAGACGCGGGGAACGCCAATCTTCCACCTAACTATCTTTCACTCGTGGAATGGTCCATCAGACAAGCGTTCGGCGGTATCGAGATAACTGTTTCGAAGGATAGTACCGGCGCATACAATTCGTCAGACGCTACCGCTTTCTTGAAAGGTATTGTGCAGGTTGCTCACTTGTTCTTGATGCCCAATTACTTACCTTGCGACTCGCCGCAGAAATTTCCAGTTCAGGTGTAAGCGCAATGAAGTTATGGGTTACTTCATTTATTGATAGTATCGCTTTACAGAGGACGAGCACCGCTGATGTCATATTCGCCGCATGGCCTTTGTTCTTGTACACCAATCCTGCAATCGGCAAGGCTTTGCTTCTTCCTCTGCTCGAATACCAGGCAACAGGACAGTATCCAAACAAGTGGGCATGCCACGACTTAGGTACGTTGTTATACCCCAGCCTCCATATGCGTGCCTAAGTTTTGTCTGTTCCCAAACTCAGGTCCAGCATATCCACAGGCTCTTGGCTATCCCAAGGGTGAGTACTTCACAGTTTGGACAATGCTCGGGTCGATGCTGACTATGCGTTGAACAGGGAATGACCTTTTTGCGCCTGTTGAAGGTAGGCTGCTACTTTTGCCGTCGCTGCTAACGAGGCCGCAGCTGATTGAGGACTCAGAAAGCGCCGATATGTTGATCATGACTCTTAGCTATGCTCAGAAGTCGAAAGACACATCTCTGATTAAAACCTACGTGGGTCAGCCTCTACTGCCGCTTGGGTTGTCACTGAAGTGATCTCTAGTACAATCTATTGCAACAATGGGCCCAGTATCTGCAAGAGAACACGCTGACGCCTAGTAGCCAGTACAGCGCTGACGTCTTTGCGGGCATGCTGCCCAACCAGACTAATCTCGCGATGAAGGGTATCATCGCCCTTCAGGCGATGTCAGAAATGGCCACCATGATCAGCGATTCCTCTCTCAGCTCGACGTACGCTGTACGTTTTACCCCAAGCATGCGTTCTGCGGATACCATGAGCATGCTAACGTGATCCCCAGACGACTGCAAAGACGTACGTGGGACAGTGGCAGACGTTAGCCACAGCCGCGGATGATCTTCACTTGACATACACGGTATGTATGCGTTTCAGGCCTTGCTTAAGGAGTTGTTGACCTTATCCCTACTGTTTGTAGTATGGCAACAGCTCTAGGTCAGGCTACTGGCAAGGGCATCGTCGGAACAATCATGCTGACCTCGCCGCAGCTGGGGGCTTTTGTATAATTTGTATGCGGATAAACTCTTGCAGACAAATATCATACCAGGCAGTATTTACGACACACGTGAGACGGCCTTGTATTGGACACCTCGTGACATGTTTCACTCACATTTATGTCAGAATCCTCCTTCTACTCTGAGTCCCAGAATAACAGTGAGTAGGCCATCACTTACTATGTTCCACCGTGAAACTCAGAACATGTCTCTAGATCAGTTTGGAATTCCGCTCAACACATGGTGTGTGTATACTGATCATCGGTGTTGTCCACCTTGAGTCTAACTGTTGACGTCTAGGAACACCTCTGCATTGACTGGTACGTGGCGTGCGACTCGTTCACACTCCTTGTGCTCATTTGAATAGGGTGGGAGATCTGGATGGCAGCCATTGTGAACGACTCGTCTCTTCAGGCCAGCCTTATCAACGACGTATATCAGTACCTCACAGATGGCCGCTCCACCGCTCCATTCCCAGATTTGTACGACACCGTATCCGGAGACACTGCACCTCTGTTCTATAGGAACCGACCTGTGGTCGGTGGGAATCTAGCGTTGGTGCGTCTTGTACTTTCATTTGTATTATGTACTTCGCAAGTCTGATATTGCAACCTTGTATTCTCGCGATGCTCCTAGCTGGTGTTATCTCAGTCGAGCTCCTCAAATCCGAACACTAACTCATCAAGCGGAACTAGCAGCAGTCCACCGTCTCCCACGTCAACGGGTGGTCATTCGTCGTCAGTCGAGACCCTGGCATCGGCAAGAACTGTCAGTGTGGTCTTTGCGTTAGTGATTGCGGTGACAGTCTCTGCACTGTTCTGAGGTACCAAGTTTGTTGCATATGGACAATTAGCATACGTACATGTAAGATCTGGTCATATTTTAGTGCGCTGTGTGGGGGCGTCGACGTGAGCCATGTTGCCTTCGCATTCGACAGAACAGACGAGCCTCAGTCCCAATGTCGTTGGGCCTGTCGATTCAGGATTGCCGCTAGCATGCTGCATTGTTCGTTGGTCGAGGTGTGATTACAAAATACACTCGCCGCCTCGTTAGCATGCAGTCACTCATTGATTTCCACAACAGTGCCAACATGCTGTTAAATAGCACTTGCCTGCAGGACTCGCTTGTCAAGTTCTCTGCAGTGGCAGTCGAGACATGAACGGACATGAAGGCTATACTACAACGGCAAGCTGGACTAGCGGTGCGAAACGAGGTGTGACCGCATGGCGAGTACGACACCTAGATCTGGAGTAGCGCTCCAGAATCCCATGCCACAGTCGCAATCTGTCAAACTGGTGTGGTTTAAACTGATCGCGGTGAAATAGCCTGCAGGCACGTGCTACCCGTATGTCCGCTTTAGCCTATCCGCTCTTGCATCGACGGCCCGTGGTTCAGAGAAGATTACCAGGCTGACCGGGCTGCCAGATGAACATCTTTCTCAACTCTGCACGCTTGTGTATGCATCCCATGATCATGCCGCACGCATGCTACTCTGCCTGACACAAAGCGGTGAAGTTTATCCCATCTGTAGCCGCACCGCGCACGCGTCGTTGTCAGTCTCATGATACGGTCGCCATCACCAGCGGAGCCAGCCTGACTCAAGGGCGAGATGATTTCATATAATGGCCGCCGTTAACCATTGTGCAACACTGATTCCCACTCCCCGATCCCTCTAGCATGCGCTCGGTTGCATCGACTACCGTCTTACTCTTTTTGCCCATCTGCCAAGCGCTTTCATGGACCGCGACGCCCTTCAGCCCGGCATCTTATCCTCTCGCTGTTCGTTCGCCCTACCTATCTGCATGGCTACCACAGGGAGGCGGAACTGCTCTCAATCAAGCTTGGCCACAGTTTTGGGATGGTGACGTGCGCCGGGTTCTAAATGAAGTCGCAGCGGATGTCTGTTCTAACGTCTTCGCGTATGTGCGTTCAGACCTTAGGATGGGCTGGTTATGTCAATGTCGATGGGGTTTCCTATAACTTCCTTGGTGATCCAGACGTACCCAACACCGATGCAGCTAAGGCGGTCCAGAAGAGCGCTGAAGTGAGCGTTGATTGTTGATGGATCCTGCACATATTTCATGACCGCTTTCCTTGAATTAAGTTCACTAGTACTCAAACCACCTTTGTCCTTACTGCCGGACCTGTCGATCTCACTGTTACATTCCTGAGTCCTGTGGAGGTAACGACTGAAAGCTATCAGTACGACGGGTTTTTGACTCCTTGATGCGCATAGCCAAGCGACCTCCTAAACCAATCACTTCCGTGGTCTTATCTCGCCCTATCCGCCGCGCCCAGCGATGGCAATTCTCACTCTGTCCAGGTGTATACTGACATCAGTGCAGAGTGGGTGTTTGGGGACGATAGTCAGACCGTGAACTGGACAACGTTGGCTAGCGATGTCGTTACACACCAAGTACAGTTGGAATCTCAAGATGTATTCAACGAGGTCAATGACCGTATCCAACGTGGGCCGATCCCGCCTCATAACATGACTTCTGCTAATTGGTCATTCTTGGACAGAGGGGTCGGCATATTATTCGACCTTGAATGTGGGTGGTTTTTGTACGGTTCCTGCAGGTGCTAAAATCGCTTGTGCAGTCAGCAGGAGTGACATACCAGACCGGCCAGGATATTGTCGTCCGTGCCCAGTTCATCAACCACAGTACATTGTCTAACACCCAAGACACGAACTTTCGCTCAATCTCCGACGACTGGCCTGTCTTTGCTCTGGCACACGATCTTGGCACAATCTCTGGCCCCTCGGATACTGTTGTCTACTCAGTTGGACATGCTCGTGATCCGGCGATTGAGTACCTCATCGCGAACGACGCTCTACAGAACCGGAGCTCTTATTTCTGGAGCCAGTACTCAACGGCGACTGACGCAGTATGTCGAGACATTTGCTAAAACATGGTACATCTGAACAATTCCGCAGATCACCACATTCCTCGGAGACTACGATAACGCTCTGACACGAGCAACCGCGTTTGATGCGCAAGTCAGCGCCGATGCATCGAGCATCTCGTCCAATTATGCTGGACTTGTTGCCTTGTCTGTGAGGCAAGGATTCGGCGCCATTGAAATTACTGTTTCCAAAGACAGTTCCGGAGAATACAACACGTCCGATATCATGACATTCCTGAAAGGTATGAACACGTATTCGTGTTCGAGGCGATCGCTGACAGCGCCTCTCCCAAATTTCGTTTAGAGATCTCCAGCGACGGGGTCAGTGATGCGCTCTTCCACAGGTTGACAGAGTTTGATGAGGATTAACAGAACGTAAACACCATCGATGTCATCTATCCTGCTTGGCCCCTCTTCCTGTACACCAATCCTGTGATAGGCAGGGACCTCATCCTTCCGCTCCTTGCGTACCAAGAGACGGGCCAATATCCCAATCAGTGGGCCTGCCATGACATGGGTATGTGCAATTGTTCACCGTTTGTTTCAGCATGTGGCTCATTTTGGTTATCAGGAGCTACATATCCCAAAGCGCTGGGCCATAACGATGGTATGTATTAGCCGCGACCGCTTTCTCGTACGCTCATATTCTCCGCACATAGGTAATGACGAGAAAATGCCCATTGAAGGTGAGCGCGGACAGAGTACGACATTCGGATTATTCAGCATAACATTACAGAGAGTGGAAACATGCTTATCATGTCGCTGAGCTACGTGCAAGCAGCAAACGATAAGTCATTCATCACGTCCTACGTGAGTACATAAGCATGCAAAGTGCGGGGCCATAGTAATAGACCTTCGTTTTGAACTTCGCGAAGTATAACCTCCTCGACCAATGGACACGATACCTCGTCGATAACACGCTCATCCCCGGTGATCAAATCAGCACGGATGACTTCGCCGGTGCGTTGGCTAACCAAACGAATCTCGCAATCAAGGGAATTATCGGGATCAAGGCTATGTCGGTCATGGCAGATCTCGTTGGGAATTCAGCCGATGCCGCTAATTACAGCGTACGTCTCCCGTACGGCCGAGCGCCTGCGCCAAGCTCATCGTATCACATCCCACAGTCTATCGCTTCCTCATATGTCACGCAGTGGCAAGGCTTCGCAACGTCTTCAGATGGATTGCATCTGACACTCGCGGTATGTCACACTTGTACCAGTTTTTTGTCCTCCCGTTCAATGACGACATGCTGTACAGTATAACAATGATTCCACGTTAGCTGCAATTTCCTTACAGCGTATGGACCACACTGACGCTCATCAGTTGGGGTCTTTCATATAACATGTATGCCGACAAGCTATTGAAAACCAATCTGATACCCAGCTCGGTGTATGAAATGCGTGAGGCGCAACGTATTCTCGTACATCCTTCGCCTCAATCTCACACGTTCTGCTCTTAGAGACAGCATGGTATTCTACGGTTGACGGTGAGTCAGAACATGCTCGATAGGTCTTTGGTGCTGAAATTAACAAACAGAGGAGTACGGTGTACCCTTGGATACACGGTGCGTTTAGCAGTTGTATCGCCAAATATTGTGCTAATTTACGCTGTGCAGTCACACGTACACGAAGTCGGGTACGCTTATTCAACATTGTTGATTATCCGATAAATCTGACCGCAGCGCAGACTGGCAGTCTTTGACGGCAGCTTTCATGACGAACACCACCGTGCGGGATATGCTCATTGATGCGGTCCAGAGCTATGCCGCAGACGGCCTGAACTCTGTGCCCCTTTCCGATTGGTATTGGGCCAACAACGGCGTGGTCCAAGGCTTCCAAGCACGTCCTGTGGTCGGGGGACATCTCGCTCTAGTAAGTCGAGAAATGTTCCACGTTGTATGAGCTTCTCATTGATTTATTGTTTGCAGCTTGCCCTAGCTAAGGCTCAATCTGAGGTTGTAAACAACGCGACTGTGGGTCCCACCAACAAGGGGTCACCGGGATCAATTGACACATCTGTAGGCTTTTGATTGAATGCCGGATGTCTCGGGCGGACATTGGGCCTGCTAGCCGTGTTTCTCGTTGCACTCTCATGACAGGACAGCTTTGCGTAGCCCCCATGATGGCTCTGATTAATTATTCAGAGCGGATGTAGCTTGGTATATGATTGATGTGAAGTCCAATTCCTGCCTATTCTATCTGAGAGAAAACAGAGTGCTTCGTTTGCTGACTGGAGGACGGTATCCGAGACTTCCACAACAAATGTTTTATCTGACTTGGACAGACGAGGTTCAGCGAATGAGACTGAGACGCGATCACGTGCGCTGCTCGATGCGACGCGGTCCAGGTATCACGATCGCGCCTGACGTACGCTGTGTGCGGTTCAACACTGTCAGCCATGCTCAGACACGTCATTCTCCCACAGCTTTGCCTCGATTACCTCTTAATCCCATACGGCTCACCATGTCAAAGCGTCCTCGTAGTTTGTCCCCAAATCTCGGTAGATCGATGAGTCCTCCAACGAAGAAGACGCGCGAGGATACCAAGTTTTTGCCGAACAAGATTGCTAGCGCTGAGGCTGCGGCCAAAGTTGACAGAGACCCCCCTCTTCATAAACTAATGAATCTCCAGAATTCTGGTGTCAAGAATTTGACGAAAGGAGATTCAATCGTCTACTGGATGAGAATGGAGGACCTCAGGAGTGCGTCGCCCGTCATTTGAGATTTGCACTGACGTTGATCACTAATATACCCCTCTCACAAGCTCGCGACAACAGAGCCTTAGCGCAAGCATCCGAGCAAGCTCGGGAAGATCATGTCCCTCTCATCGCCTTTTTCGTCCTAAGCCCGCACGACTACATTGCACACGACAGGAGTGCTCGTAGAATCGACTTCACTCTGCGAAATCTGCGGTGCATCAGGGTAGATATTTCATATACTCTACATGACGTTTCACGCTGATGATATTAGTCCTCGCTCGCCGAGCTGCACGTTCCGCTCTACACGACTACGCATACACCACGCACCAACATCCCATCTTATGTCTTGTCTCTACTGAATGAGTGGAATGCGACAAGACTCTACGCCAACATTGAATACGAAGTTGATGAGCTTCGACGAGACATCAAGGTGTGCGAGCTGGCTAGAGAAAAGAAGGTGGCTTGTACATTCGTACACGACAAATGCATTATTCCGCCCGGAAAGGTTTTGACGAAAGGAGAGAAGGGATATACAGTCAGTATACACTAATCCCGTTTGCTATGCATTGATCACCGACGTGCATGTTCTAGGTCTATTCTCCTTTCTTGCGTGCATGGACTCCTCACCTGACGCCGTCCAAAGGCGAGGCTGACCCATTGGCATATGCTCCTTCTCCAGCTGCCAATTCGCCCTCGATCCATAACCATCCGGTGTACGGGAAGCTGTTCGACCAGTCTGTTCCAGATGAAGTCGATGGCTTCTCGCTCCAAGATACCGAAGAGAGAGACAGGATTAGGACATGCTGGCCTGCGGGTGAAGATGCCGCTAAAGAGGTCTGTGAGCCTCCTTGTGAAAGACCGCCCGCCACCTTACACTACGCATCTGCTAGATCTTGGAACGCTTTGTGAATACCATGGCACGGTCAGAGCAGATGGGCGCCGTCAATCCGCTTTCGAACGGCGCCAAAGTGCCTACCAAAAGTCCTACTAAAGATAGCCGTATCGGAAAGTACAAAGATGCGCGAGACAAAGTAGATGCGGACACAACTAGCCGATTGAGGTGATGCATTTTCTGAGCCTCATTCAGCGAGTTTCCAAACCCATTATCGTGCAATACAGCCCCTATCTTGCCGCAGGTGTAATTTCTGCGAGAGAATGTATCAGGGCCACCATGCAATTATCTGCGTCGAAAGCGCCAAAGGTCGACGTCAGCCGCGAAACGGGATCAGGTCGCTGGGTGCAAGAGATAGGTGCCTTTATTGCTGGTTCCTCTATTGCGATATTGAACACTCACTGTGTTACACTACCAGCCTGGCGTGACTTCTACACACATGTCGTTGCGCTCTTCCCTCGTGTATCTATGGGACGCCCGTTCCAAGAGAAGCTGTCTAGTATCAAATGGGAAGCTGACACTGCCGGTGACCACCTTCAGGCTTGGAAGGACGGGCGCACGGGCGTTCCTATTGTTGACGCAGGGATGCGCCAGGCCCTCGCGATGGGCTGGATGCACAATCGCGTGCGGATGGTTGCGGCGATGTACCTCGTGAAGGATCTCATGATCGACTGGAGACTCGGAGAAAAAGTGCGACCTCTGTCTCTCGCCTGTCGCGCAGCATCCTGACATTCGGGGATGTAGCACTTCATGGAGACGCTCATCGACGGTGACCTCGCTTCAAACAACGGCGGATGGCAATGGAGCGCAAGCACCGGCGTGGACCCGGCACCATACTTCCGGATATTCAACCCATACACGCAAAGCCAGAAGGTACGCCCTCATCCCATTCCTGGTGAGAGTCGAAAACGTGAGACCATCGTCATATGCAGGCAGATCCGACAGGAGATTACATACGGTACTTTGTCCCAGAGCTGGCGAACGTCCGCGGTGCCGGTGAAGCATCTCATGTTGGCATTACTGGTCCAGATACTAACGGATTGTAGATATCCATAATCCGCCGCCCGCACTTGCGGACAAGCTGGGCTATCCGAGGCCGCTCGTCAAGCACGACGAAGCCAGGCAACGTGCGATTCGGCGTTATAAGAATCCCGGACAGGAGTAGGTCCTGCTAAGTGTGGCTTCATCACGATGTGTGCATATCCAGTCACCAATGGGCGCCTTACCGACTGTCATTATAGGACTGTATTGATTCTAGTCAGTTAGTCAGTATCATAATGGTGGATATGTTCTGACGCCAGCGTCTCCGAAGCACGATCTGAAATAGTCTGAAACAGCCGGTTTGCACTTTTAAAAGTCTTGGAGACGGGCCGGGGAATGTTAGGCTACCGCTAGCCATGTAGGTGCGTGTGTGTTCGAGCCCGAGGGGTTTGGAGTCTAGGCGCGGATGTTCCCAATTTGGTGAACGGCCTGCTTAATCGGGACGAGGAGAGCGGATGAGGAGCACAACATATCCGCGTAAACCGATATCCGCGCTCTGTCCGAAGCCGAGATCCCCTTCTCGCCTCCTGCTTGCAGTCTACAGCGAATGACAGAAATGGATATAAGGGGAGCCCTCTTCAGTCACGAAAGACCCAAATCTCTTCGCGCCAAGTACCATCCATACCTTCGTTCACTTAAACACTATCCCACTATCCTTCAGTATGACTTCTGTCGTCTACAATACGATGCCTACTCCTAGTCATTATGACTCGCAGTACACCGCACCCATCCCGGTTGCCATAACCGATGAGACGGAGTCCACTGTTGTGCATGGCAGGCTCCAGCACAACGGTGTCGTCTCTGTCTCTGGAGCAAACGTCATCCCGTTCTGCCAAACCGTAGTCTTGCCAGGCCTACAACGTGTCGCACATCAGATCCGCAAGTTGTCCATCGACTTTGGCAGCGAGCGTCCAACCCACTCGAACCTGGAGCACCTCTCCGCTGCGCTCGAGGCACTACCCAATTGCACCAACCTGACGCTCCTCGGGCTCCCCTCCGTCGAATACGACGGCTGGGTCCTGCGCAACACGACATTCTCGCTCACGCGGCTGGTCACGAACCTCTCGCTCACCTCGAAAGACGTGATCGACTTTCTCCGGCGGCAGCCCGCGCTCGCCGAGCTCAGCACCACCTCGCCACCACCGCACCTTGTGCAGCCTCGCAGCACATACGCGCACTTCCCATTCCCGCATGAGGTCGTGCCGAACCTGCACACACTCGACTGCCCCGCGCCATTCCTTTTCTCGCTGCAGGTGGCGACGCCGCCGACGCGCCCGCTCATGAACATGCGCCTCGACCTCAACCGCCTCAACTCGCTCGTCGAAATCGAGGCACTCACTGCTCTCGCGACGTATAGTGCAACGGTCGAGCGCCTCAGCTTGCGCCGTAGCGTGCTCCGCACGTCCCCCGCCCTTGACAGCGTTGTCGCGCTCAATATGGCAAGCGTGATCTCCCGCGTGGCAAACAAGCGGCAGTGGTCCAAGCTGAAATTCCTCGAGATGCGTGATGGCATGTACGACTCGGTGAGTATTCCGCGTGGCAGGCACGAGAGGAGCGAACCTGACTGTATATCACGCGGCACAGTACTCTATCCCGAAGCTGGCACAAGCCATCTCGTCCTGCTTCCCAAATGTCGAGACACTCGTCTGGGCACCCGCAAGTCATCCAGCGGGATCCACAATCGTTGTGCCCTTCATTGCGTCGATCTTCTTCACGTTCTGCCGGTCACTCAAGCAGTTCATATTCCTGGACGACGCATCCGACGTCACGAACAAGAAGTTTGTGTCTATCGCCAAGACCTCCAGCGGGTTATGCGAGGTACTGGTGAAGGCACCTGAAGTTGAAAACATGTGGAGGGAGGAGTCAGTATAGACGCAGAATTAAACAACGGAACATTACCATAGACCGTACTGTAACACCACTTATTACTGTAGAATGAACCACACTTTAATTCGCAATCTGGAGGTTTGAACATGAGCTGTGCGAACTGTGCCTTCGGGAGACCTGATATGTGCATACATCGCGGTAGTACTATACATGGGATATCATATTGTCAGTCGAGATCGAAATCTGAGTCGTCATCTCTTGTCCTTCGAATGCTTTGTCGCACAGTGGTATTTACTCCATAGGTGATGGCTGGACCAGTGCGGTCTTCCTTCTTGACAACACCTACAATGAGAGCGTGCTTATTAGTGCTGCCACGCATCCGATACAGGACAGTGTTTACCGCAATTTAACAGACGCCATTCCATGGTGGCGGTCTCGAATTCGTCATTGTTACCCAACTCCTCGAAACCGACGAGCCTGCGCAAACATAAGTAGTGTAGCATCGGTTAACGGCAACGCGGAACAAACCGATCTTTCGTTACACCGTCCATGAAACAGACGACGCATGGGAGCACCTGAATCGCTAGCTTCTCCACTAGCCATGGCACGTTCTCAACAAACACGCGGAGGAAGCGTGTACCGAAGTACTTTGGCGCTAGTTTCTGCGCAGGTACAGTGGGTTTGGGTAAGGCCATGCTAAGAGGTTGTCATAACGTACAGCGAGATGCTTGTCCATTATTTCACAGCGCTTGAACTTACTATGATAAAAATGGATGATACATCGTGGTTCATTGCTGCGCGTCGGCCTGAACTCCCTGCGACCCCCAAAATAGAGCAGAAGGACTCACGCACTCGTCCGGATAACTTCCTTCTCGTCAGTAAGTTCGTCGTAGCGTCCATGTCCACTGGACTTCATCTGCTGCAATTGCTGCATTCTGGTGGCACGGTGTGTCGTTTAGTCCCCATCCTCCGCACCTGATGCATTCAAGGCAGCTCACTCTCGCTGAAGCCGCTTGATTCCATGCTCTCTGAGCTCTGCATTGGAGTCGTTCTCGAGTTCCTCTTCAAGCTGAGCAAAGAGCTCCTCGTCATCGAGGTCGGAGGCGTTGTCATCCCTGGGCCTGGAAGAGGACGCGCTCTGGACGATATGGGACTTGAGCGTAGCGATTTTGGCATCCGTGGCTGACATTATGCAATTGGACAAATGTGATGCAGAATGGATACAAGCAAGAAGTGCGCACAGGTGGAGAGATGGCTGGAGACAAACGCGGGGCAATCCGATCAAACTCAGGATCACGGATCAAGATTCCCACGATCGGCTAGATCGGTGTGTGGATCTGATGACATCTTCGTACTGAGCCTCAAGTCCTCACCAAGCCATACATCAGTCGACTCACATTTCATCCCGCTTCCCATTCTTCATTACGACGATTGCGATAAACAAGAATGAAGCTCGTTGGAAAGTTCATTGACAAAACTGCCTCAGTCTGTCATATCACATTACCATCCCCACCGCATACGCTTATGAGCACATAGGGGCATGTAACCTTACGACCAGAGGACGACGAGGATATGTGGCATTTGTACAACCTCATTCAAGTGGTTTGTTTAAATTTTATTTACTCTTCACCGTACAACGTTGACCACCAGAACCAGGGTGATCATGTTCGAGCACCAGCCATTCGCCGGATACAAAACGTCTCCGCAACAGGGTCCACCGAGTCCCACCGAGTCCGTTTGAACCTCACGCTTGCAGTCACGCGTGTCGCCTGGGCTCCATCGACAACAGCCGCGGCAGATGCCACACCGTCCGCAGCATCTTCAGCCGGTCAGCAGGAGTCGACCGCAGGGCTGCATATCACTGGTCGTGTTACATCAGAGAACCCGCACGTCAAAATGGGCGCATTCCACACGCTCGACATAGAGGCAAACAGGGATGTGCGCATTGAGAAGGAGGACGGTTGGGATAGCATTGCCCTTGGCCGGGTGCAAGAAAGCTGTGTACCAGGGCGCGGTGCAGAGGTCGCTGCTCTAGTGTGCGGCGAAGGTCAGTGGTGTCTGTTCTTTGCAATGCTGTCTTTTCTGTTAGTCTTACTTACAAACTGCTCACGCAGGAACGGCTATTTTTTGCTTACTGTCTGAACATATGACTGTAGTTTTACAACGACTGGAGGTCCCAATACCGCGCAAGATCGCAACAGGGACCTCAGCCCATGAAAAAGTAGGCTATTTCACCGCAATCTGTTGTCCTGATGCTAACGCTGCTATGTCTGAAGGGCCTACAACGCTTCTATTCTACGCTCTACGCATCCTTCCTCCGACATATACCATACTCCGCCCCATCCTTGCGTGCTATCGTGATTGCATCCCCAGGCTGGGTGCGCGACGCCGTGCTCGACTTCATCATGGCGGAGGCCAGCAGAACGGGAAACAAGCCACTGATGAGCGTCAGGAACAAGTTCGTCAAGGTGCATGTGAACAGCCCACACGTGCATAGCTTAGTGGAGGTGCTGAAGAGCCCAGAGGTGCGTCGTGGACTGTGCTCGGTTTCCACAATGACGAGAGTTGAACTTCGGTACGGACAGATCGCGTCACAGCTCAAGGAGACAAAGTTTGCCCGTGAAGGCATCATGCTCGACAGGTAATGATGACCCAATGTATGCGCGAGTGCATCGCTCATGTGCTTTTCTGTCATCAGATTCTTCAAAATGCTTGGAACTGACGAGATGCGCGCGTGGTATGGACCCGACCACGTTGCGCTTGCAGTGGATCGCGGCGCCGTGGGTACACTGTTGATCTCTGACGAACTATTCCGGTGCGTACGTAGGGCAGATACCAACATGGGGTTCAGCTGACGAGCCGTTCGCTAGAGCGAGTGACCCCGAGCTGCGGAAGAAATACGTCTCGCTCGTTGAAGATGTCCGTTCGCGGGGCGGGGAGGTACTCATATTCTCGAGTATGCATGAGTCGGGACAGCGTATGTCTTGGTTTTGGTTCACACGCCGTGTGCACTGATTCTATCCCTCTCCTCGTAGAACTCAATCAGCTATCAGGCATTGCGGCGATCCTGACATACCCACTAGATGTCGAGATCGTAGAAGCAGAAGAACGAGATGCTAAAGAGGAAGAGGAAAGGCAAAAGGCTGAAGAAAATGGAAAAGCAACATGAGACAGCGACGCAGCGCATAATGTCAATACCTATGTATGATTTGGGACATCTTGTCTTTCCAGCCCTCTTGTAGCCGTAGCGGATTCGATTTACACACGATGACTTTGGATAGTTGTACAGCATTCGATTTGTAGTTGCTACAATTTAATACCACCCTGCTCAACTGTTGGACCTAACTTCACGATCGAGGAGACACTCTTCCCTCATATGCTACCCAGCCCTCCCTCCTGTACCTTTCGGCTTGCTCCCGCACCTCCGCGTCGCTTCCCTTGCCATAAATGCCTCGCCCGACGATGATCACATCGCATCCCGACTCGAGGACAACCTCTCTGGGCGTCCTGTACTGCTGTCCCATGCTGTCCCCCTTCACGTCTAGTCCGACACCCGGCGTGAGGATGAGGAAGTCCTCATCCTCGACAGCCTCACCTGCTTGCGCGCCGATGCCGTCCATGCGGTGCATCGCGATGAAGCCAATAACGAAGTCACGGTGCGCGCGGGCCATGCGGACCGCGTCCGCGGTGTACGTTCCGGTTGCAAGGTTTCCCTTCGTGCTCATCTCGGCGAGGAGCAGCAGCCCGCGACCGAGCGGTGTGCCGACGGAGGCGAGTCCGGTGACGATGCCGGGCCCGGGGACGGGGTGTGCATTTGTAATGTGCGACCAGGAGGCGATCTTGTGGACGCCGCTAGAGTATTGCAGGGCGACAGTGTTGCCTGGTCGGAAGGTCAGTACGGGTGTGGGACGGGCGATGCACGCGACGAGGGGACGTACCAATGTCTGCGAATTTTCTGTCCTCGAAGATGAGGAAATCGTGCTTTGCGCTGAGTTCCTTGAGGCGGTCAATGAGGCTGGAGTCGAAGTCCTCGATGATATCGACGTGCGTCTGATATTGTATAAACATTTGAGGCTGAAGGTGAGAGATAAACAATTTGCGGTGTTTACCTTCACGAGACAGACGTAGGGTCCGACGATGTCGATGATCCTGAGGAAATCGGCCTTCTTGGTGACATCCACGCTGACGCACAGATTACTGCTTTTGCGTTCAATAGTCTCTAGGAGTGCCTTCGCGGCAGGGTTGGCATGTTTCTCTGCCCTTTGCGCGTAGGTCTGGAGGTGTGCGGACGGCATCCTGGTGTGCAGCCTGGGCCTTGCTACATTCTGTCAGATCGCGGTTAACAGAGACTAAAATAGCCGTATTGTTGTGCACACCTTGTCAGTCGAAAGGGGTATCAAATAAGAGAAGAGAAATGGGTTGCACTGGAGGCGTCTGCCAGGGACATCACACCGAGAAATGCAAGATGATCGAGGTCGATCGTTTGATGTGAACTAGCGCGCTCGCCCCGATCTCTCATTTCTCTAGTCGCCTCCCATGTCCTCGCCCAAGTCTCGCCCAAGGGAGGATGAAGAGCCCGGACGCTCGCACAAGCGCGCCAAGATAGACGTCGCTGATGTGCAGGATGTCGCAATGGCCGTGGACGAATCCAACGAGCCATCCGCGGACGACACAACGCCTTTCGAACAACCCGCGAATGACGACCCAGAGGTAGAGCAGGTGGAAGAGCCCATGTTGCCACCCAGTCACGCCTTGCTGGGTGCACCACCACCGGTATTTTCCTCTGACGGAACCATGCAATGCATCATGGAGACCGACGTGGGCATTTCAGAATATATTGGGCACGACGTGCCGAAGATTGAAGGCATCATCAAGCAAAGGTGAGTGGCTCGCACAACTCGCGCCGTGAATACGAGCACACCCATGTCTTAAATGTTCACTTTAGATTCACCGACTTCTTGGTGTATGAGGTGGACCTGGATGGCAACGTTATCCATGTGAAGTCCCTCACAAAGCCAGAATCTTCACCCAAAAAGAAGGAAGACACTAAGGAGAACCACCCTGCTGCAGAAGAGGGGGCTCCTTCCGCGCAGCCTACTTCTGATAGCACTAATGGACCCGTTCCTCCGACTACAGAACCCTCTGAAAAGGCGGACGAATCCACGGAAGCTGCAGAAAACGTCGTCGCTGAAATGGCGGGCACTCCAAACGCGGCTCCCAACTGTGAATCCTCGCAGACACAAAATGAGCCATGGCCCGAGCAATTCACTGCAAAGTTGACTGCTTTCCTCTCGGAAGAGACGGTCGTTAAGATCAAGGAACTCTACTTGGAGGGCCCAGAACCTCCCTTCGTCAGCGACAGCGGCTGGGGCGGTCGTCAGGCCAAGCCCGCCGAAGACGACAACAAGCCCGAAGGCGAAGACACCCCCGCGGCACCCGAAGCGCCAGAAGAAGAGCCCAAGCAAGGCCGAGGGAAGCGCGGACGCGACCGCGGTGTGCGCGGGGGACGTGGTGCACGCGGCGGAAGGGGAGGGCGCGGTGGGCGACCAGGCGCGCGGGAGGACCACCGCAGGGTGCTGACCGATGTCTGTCTCGGCATGTCCGCTCTTCGCCTCGTGGACCGTGATCTAACTTTGACGGCCCCGGCTAGCCCATCGCGTCCAAGACGACGCGCACCGGTCTGCACCAGGCGGTCCGCGAGCTCTTCGGAGGGAAGCTTGATACGGAGACGGACCTGAACACGCCTGCGGACGATGAGGGCTCGCGCATAGTCATCAAATGGTCGCGAAGAGGCAGTGGGCGCGGTGGTGCGCGGGGAGGCCGCGGGGGTACGTCACTCATGCTTCTTTCTAGCAATTCGGTAGCTCTGACACAGATATGCAATAGGCCGTGGGGACAGGCCCGAGCGGGGGAACTACCCACCGTACATCCACTTCACGATGCAGAAGACGAACCGCGATACGCAGGATGCGCTCGCGCACCTCTCGCGTATTCTGCATGTCAACGTGAAGGATCTCTCCGTTGCAGGCACCAAGGACAAGCGCGGCGTCACCGTCCAGCGCGTGTCTCTCCGCAGGGGAAACAAAAGCGTCGAAGACGTGTGGACCATGGCAAACGGTGTGAACGGCCGGCGGACAGCCGAGGAAGCGTTGACGCGCCGAGGGGAGCGCGGTATCCGTATCGCCGACTTCAATTACAGAAAGGCGAGCTTAGAGCTTGGCCTGCTGAAGGGAAATGCGTTTGTGATCACCCTAAGGTATGTAAATGTTAAACACTGCGCAGCGCGCGATGCTCATAGCTATGCAGAAATGTACAAGTTGACTCGATGGAAACTCTCGATCGGGCCATGAATTCGATCAAGAACAAGGGCTTCATCAACTATTATGGTACGGACATGCGCTATCTTGGCGTTATAAACACGTTAACACGTCGTCAGGTATGCAACGCTTTGGAACCGCATCTATCCCAACACATTCGATCGGCCTTGCTCTCCTCAAGTCCGACTGGCATCGTGCGGTATCGCTGATCCTAAGGAACAGGCCGGGCGAACACCCTGACGTAGTCGCTGCACGGGACGCCTGGCTAGTCGACGGTGACCTAGACAAGGCACTCGAGCTCATGCCGCGACGTGTCGTTGCGGAGCGTTGCATTCTCGAAAGCTATAAGAAGCAAGGAGGCGACACCAGGAATGCTATGGGGACGCTGTCGACGGTGCGTCGAGTTGCCTGGTGGTCTTACGCTAACATAGTGACTCGTTTATTTCTGCAGATCCCCAAGAACCTGCGCCTCATGTACGTGCACGCCTACCAGTCGTACGTGTGGAATGCTATCGTCTCCGAGCGCATCAAAATGCACGGCGCAGAGAAACCGGTTGTCGGTGACTTGGTATTCGATACGTCCTCTGAAAAAGGCGCCGATGAGGACCCAGAAGCCACGGCGGAGCTTGCTGAGGGCGAGCAGCCAGTGGAGGACAAGGACGCTGGTGAGAGCACATAGGTTCCTGACGCCATAATCGCATTGAGCCATATGTGCAGACAACGATGCCCTCTCTGGGCGGTCAAGTAAACGGTCGAGAAAGCCCTGGGAGCCGTTCAAGGTCAAGACTTTGACTGAGGAGGACGTTGACAAGTACTCTATCTTCGACGTGATCATGCCTCTGCCCGGAAGGGACGTTGCGTATCCGGGCGGTGCCCTAGGAGAGCGCTACAGGGAGTTCCTAAGGACTGATGGCCTGGACCCGGACAACTTTGTCCGCAAACAAAAGTGCGTCTCACCGTCAAGTTGATGGCTTGTTCTGACATGTCTGCGCGCAGAGAGTATAGTCTCGGTGGCTCCTATCGCAAGATCCTGCACCTCCCGAAGGAGCTGTCTTGGTCTGTGCTCAGGTACACAGACCCGGACGTCCCTCTCGCTCAAGCGGACGAAGACAAGCTCCTGGGCTTCGAACCACCGGTCGTTGTAGAGGACGGCAAGTTCCTAGCACTCCAGATAAACTTGCAGCTTGGGACTGCGGCATACGCGACCATGGCGTTGCGGGAGGTGACAAAGACGGAGACGAGCTCGCACTATCAGACGACTCTGACACAGGCGTCTGAGGATCAAAAATACAAGGCATCTGCTGAGGCCGACGGTGAAGTAGTCGAAACGTGACGCACATGTACTAGTCCTCTAAACGGACCAAAACCCACATGTTGTAGCGTATAGTCTGGTGTATTTTCGTCTTATCTCTGTCTGAATCATGTTGCGATGTCTCGTCTGGGACATCTCTTGATCAACATGAAGGCGATGAAGGCGCCTGCGTTGCAGGCAGGCCATCACCTTCGTCTTGACTTCGTGTTCTCGAGCGTGCAGTGCCATTAGTCAGTACTTCAGTGTCGGGACAGAAGATCTCTCACAAAATGACCTAGACCGGGCGCGGCTCCTCTTCATCTCTTTGTCTCATACCACACTGTCCGCTTGCTCTGGTGTCCAAATTCAATTTCTTGTCTGTTTCTGTCGACTTTGAAAGTCGCATTCACCCACTGGTATGGCTAAGATTGAACGCATCGTGTTCCTGTCCTTGGTGCTGGATCTATTTGGTATGTGAAACACCAACTCACTCGCGACGGAACGTGTCATATTGGCGCTCTATAGCATTCACCATTCCTTTGCCCTTGTTCCCGCGTATTATCGAGTGGTATACGAACGTATGTATTGCATGTATTCAACGGGAAATATATGCATCAACAGGTGTTTGTATAGAGGGAGTCGTCCGACCCGACAGGCTTTCTTTCGCGCACCCTCTACTTCGTGTCCACCGTGCGCGGTCTGCTGTATACACCCTCCTCCAACCCGCAAAGATGGGACATAGTATTGCTTGGTGAGATCCGAGTTCATGGAGTTGTCGAGATACGTTCTGACGCAACGGCAGGCGGTCTCATGGGCTCTGTCTTCTCGTGAGTAGTTCACGCACTAAAGTAGTGTTCTCTCATCCAAGAGTATTACAGTATACTTCAATGGTAACAATTACTATCCTTGGAGCTATGGAAGAGAATGCTCAAGGAACATATGCAGGTTCATCTCACCTCGCATCGGAGCCCTGAGCGACAAACATGGTCGTAAGAAAGTGCTACTGGTCACGATGATCGGGAACATCCTGTCTGCATTAATGTATGCTGAAATGAGCGCAGTGGACTTTCTTTTCCTGCTGATCCCCGTTACTGTAGATGGGTGAAGTCAACCACTTTTGCTTCCTACCTCCTTTCCCGCGTCGTCGGTGGTTTGAGCGAGGGCAATGTACAATTGGCAATGTGAGTAATGTCAATAAATTGGGTTCGATGTGCTACTAATGCCTTCCGTAGCGCGATCTTATCCGACGTTTCCACACCAGCCACCCGCGCAAAGGCCCTGGCACATGTCGGCATCGCATTCGCTATCTGCTTCTGCATTGGGCCTCCCATCGGCGCGTACTTTGCGTCTCGCCCCCTGCCGTCATCAATCACCGCGTCTGGTTTCGAGCTCAACGTGTACGCTACCCCAGCACTGCTGACTCTGGTCTTGTTGGTCTTGGAGACTGTATTCTTGGCAGTGGCGTTGCCAGAAACCCGGGGCAAGCGTGTTCAACCCAAAGATGCCGCCCGGAGTAGCGATAAGCTTGCCAAGGAGAAGATTGAACAGAAGGCAACTGGAGCAAGTTCCGAGCAAACCAAACAGAGCACCGTTGTAGAGCGTCTCCAAACCCTCAGGACCCTACGAAGGCTGCACTTCCTTTTCCTGGGTGTCTTCTCTGGCGTAGAGTTCACCTTGACGTTCCTCACGTTCGACCGTAAGTCCTGAATGCAATCCGACAGCCAATCTGCTAACCGTACATGGCAGTGTTTGACTGGAACAATAAGCAGAACGGCGCGCTCATCGGCTCCATCGGCATCGTCAGCGCGCTCCTACAAGGAGGCTATGTGCGCAGGGCGATCCCCAAGGTGGGCGAAGGAGCCATGGCGCGACGTGGAATATCCAGCTGCGCGCTCGGCCTCGTTCTCCTCACTTTGGTTCCACTGCTCGTCGCAGATCACACCACGGCGGCCGTGCGACTTCTCCAAGGCGCTGCGGTCTGCATGGCGTTCACGTCGGCGACAGTAGTCAACTCGCTGACCTCGTACGCCTCGCTGCAATGCGACGACGGCGTCGACGAGAACACTGGAAAACCTGTCGAGGAGCACCCAGAGCTTGCTAAGGGAAAGGCCCTGGGCGAGTTCCGCTCGTCCGGTCAACTCGGACGGGCCATCGGCCCACTCCTGGGTGCGTGCGGGTTTGGCTGCGGACGGGGTACTTGTCATGCTGATATTCGAATTCATCGGCAGCTTGCGCGTCTTACTGGACGTTCGGTCCGTCATTGACATATGCCGTGAGCGCCGTAGCCATGTTTGCGCTGTCGGCACATACGAGGCCCATAGCCAGACGGAGGACTGCCTCCGTGGCATCATAGTGGCTTACGTAGTGACTTCATGGAAAGCTCCCCAAATGTTATATGATACCGGAGAAAGGTGGCCGCGAAAGCCATTTCGCCTTGACAATTTCGCGTGTTCCTGATATTTCAGGCGCAGTGAAGAACGTGTGCTCCGATGCTGGAGCGATATTCTGTGCTATGCGCTGAGACTTTCCGACCAAGGTGCAGAGCAAAAACGAGAAAGTGTTCTTTGTTTGCTTTAAATAGATATAGGTGTGGTATATGCTACGGAAATTGCGACTACTCTATAAACAACTGTTCTTTGGACCAGCCACAAAAGAGGGGAACAAGCAGAAACGACCGGCACAAAAGCTACAGTCCAAGAGCAGTCATCACTAAGCTAAACAAAACGCGGGTATACTGTCCCCTCAGCCCATTAAAGCAAGCATTGCTATCCCGATATTACATGGGCGCAAATGGTCTGAGACTTCTTTACCGTGCACTGGCTATTCATACACGCCACGACGTCGCACAGTCTGGCCGTCGGGCTGCAGCCCCGGCCTATGAGAGCGGCGCTCCGTCTGACGAGCCCGCACCTCGCGAGTACGGCGGCAGGTCGGTGTCGAAGTACCCGCCCGACTCCATATCACCAGGGTACAACGGCTTTTCCGGCGGTGGCTGGGCGTGCGCATAGACATTTGGGGAACGCACAGGCGAGAGGCGCGAACGCGATCGTGGCAGGCTGCGCCCGCGTGGGAGCTCAATGTCTTGCGACGGGGCCAGAAACGCGGGCAGGAAGAAGAGCACACCACGAGAGCGCCGTGGCCGCCGCGTGCGCGGAACTGTGTCGGGCGCGCCGAAGAGCGTCGTGATGACGCTGCGTCCTGCGCGCCGCACGACGTCGAGCGTGGAGCGCCCCCTGGGCGGCTGCCACGAGGTGGTGGACACGGTGTCCATCATGGAGGAACTGTCTGACCGTGCAGGTGAGGACGAGCGTGGCGCGAATGAGAGCGGTAGGAGCTGCATGTCCTCTTCTTCTGTGTCGGACGAAGCTTCGCTGGGAAGCGAGATGGGGGAACGGGGCTGCGTGGGCGTGTTCACGCCGGATGCGGGGAGGCCGAACCAACCCAGGTCGAGGTACCAACGACCGTCGCGCAAGACCCAGCGGGGCATCATGACTTCGTAGCCACCGATGCGCCTGAGGCGGTATTTGCGCCTCTTGGCGCTAGGCGCCAGAACTAGCCGGATCACGCCTAAAATCAGAACGACGAGCCCAACCCACATAAGACCCTTGCCCCATTTTCCAAGGAAACCAATGAACGCAGCGTCATCGGCGTGCCAAGAGCTGCCGTAGTAATGGGAGAAGAACGAGTGCGGGGCCTCCTCGGGTTTCGCGTTCTTCCCGTATAGCGACTTGGGAAGAATGCGGACCTCACCGCCAGGCTGCGCAAGCGTGGGTGGGTGCGTGGAAGTGTACAGCCCGTACTGCGCGGAGAGAAACATGGGGCCCGTGCTGAACATGACCGTGGGGTAGTTGAGGACCCAGCTATGATCGAACCCCATGAGTCCGTGGATGGTCTGCTCCATGAAGGGATGGCGTGCCGCCGAGAAGATGAGGTCGTTGGAAACACCGACCGGGATAGTCTTGGGCAAGATGACAGGATAGACAAGCAGGGGGTCGAGCGGCCGCAAGCAGCCAATGTCTAAGTCGAGGTAGATTCCGCCATAGTGGTGGAGGATGAAATATCGTATAGCGTCCGCGCGCTGAATAGGGTACGTGTAGCCGTCAAACGTCTCGAGGAACCAGGGATAGTGCTCGGCAATGAACTCGCGCGAGCTGGCGTCAGTCCATAGCATGTATTCACTGACAAAATGTCACGACGAGGGCTCAACAAGACGGCATATTGGCAGACTTACTAGTCAGGCATCATGTCTCGGCAGCCTTGGGACACGTCGACCCATTTTTCAGGCAAAGTCTCAGACTTCCATGTTTGGTGGAGGATACGGGGGATGAGCTCTACTTGTCCGTGCTCTGTCGCGTTCCAGGGCAAGGACGCATTGATGGGGGCGTCGAGCTCGAGCTCGGAGATGTAGGCGTTGGTGTTAATTGAGAGGTAATAGGAGATGGAAGAAAGGACGACGACGGTGCCAACAAGCACGGCAGCAAGGAGAGAGAGAAAGATGTAGACCGTGCGCCGACGAAACATACCGGGAGTAAGGAAGGAGAGGAAGGGGCGAGGGAGGGTGGATATAGATTGCAGTGCAGACTGCTCTCGCGCGCTATTCTCGGCAGCCCCAGTTCTTCCGCGCCAAGCGCCACCGGCTTGCCTTATATGGCATCCAAGAACGTCCGCAGCCAGGCACGCGCTTCCCTCGGCCAGAGCAAACAGTACTCCTTTGCGGAGCTGCCGCAGGCGCAGTACTAGCACCAATACTGCGTATTGTCGTATCTCCGCATTGCAAGGAGCAAAGGCCCAGTGATACAATCACCTGCTTATCGCCATTTCAACGACCTCTATCTCTCAGGTACCGCCTACCCAAAGTTATCCACAATCCAAGCTCGACATCTACACACGCCATGTATGGCGCTACCATTCCCCACTTGCCTGTCCTTCCACATCCGCCCCATTGACGCAGTTCAGCTGTCCGCCAGTGGTGCATACCCACCCACGGCCTCCCCGATGACGGCCTCTTGATCTTGTATGCAGAATTACAATATCTCCACTCGAGGAAAATAGACCCGCAGCATACACACGTTCAAACGTCTGCGGCGCCCGCGGTATCTTCGGCAGCTAGAGACCGGATGAGAACCCAGTAATGACAGATTCGAGATTCGAAAACGCAGAGGCTGATTCGCGCGTCCGCATCCGTTGAGCATCCAATAGCAAGCAGTCACAGTCCCGTGGGCCGCATCGGCAGGTTGAAGACCCGTTCTGTCTCCACCCTGAGCAGCTCGACGGACGCTAAGATAGCGCCGTCCTCGAACTTTGTCCCTATTTCGACGAGCGCGCCCATAGCGTGCAACCAGTCTTGGCGTGACCAGTCCTGCCCTCGACGCCATATTTCTTCATGGGGAAGGTCTTCATACGGACGGCGCATGAATCTTTGCAGGGATGGGGAGGTCGGTTTAAGCGGCTTCTTCGATCCCAAGTATTTGATGCAGTCACCCAGGATCCAGTCCTTGAATAGCTTGCGCTCGTACTCAGTTGCCCACTGGGAGGCACTTCTCACGTCTCCTGCCGCCGTGCGAATACGGAACGCCAGGTCCCTAAGCAGGAGCGTGAAATGGTCGATCACCTGCAGATGCAAGGCGTCGAGCGCGTGACTGGGGGTGTAGTCTTTCTTGAAATTCGTGTGCGAGGCCCCGTGCCGTGTGCCGTCGTCATCGACGTCCATTCGATCCTCGCCATCGTCTTCAGGTGCGACGACGGCAATTCTTGTCTCAGGTCTGATGGCCGTGATTCGATGCGCCAATGTCTTGTCGGGTCGGTAATGGTAATGAGGTGAAGTGTCATCTTTCGGTCGCTGAAACATGCGGTAGTCGATACCAGGAATATCGATGGCTCGTGCTAGCTCGAGGCTAGTCCAACCATACTTCTGTGGTGTGACAGTTTTGATCCCTGATAGCGAGAAACGTCTGCACGCCTGCGGTTCGAGATCTCATCTGAAAGACTCACCTTCCGCTTCACTCTGACTGGCCAGATTGTTGTCGTTGCTGTAAAGCACGACACGGCCGCCTTTATCTTCCATAAAATAGCGACAACAATCCCATATGGTGAGATCATTCTGGCGCCTAGGATCGATGATCCTCGGGGACGTGGTCTCCCAAGTCGCTTGGACCTTGACATGCTTGCGAGCCCTCATTCTGTCCAGTATCCATGTCGAGGCCCTGCTCGCGAACCACCCGACTTGGTCACTCTTCTTTAGTCTAAGACATAAACGGCTTAATCAACGATTCGTGAAACGCCCAGGAAGGCCAACTCACCCATCTAGCTCACCCAGGAGGACGTTGGGTATGATGATAACGACCGGTAAAACAAGGGTCTCGAGATCTTCATTGAACTGCTTCAAAACGTCGAAGAAATGGATCAATATGTTGGTATCCAGTACGACGTAAGTGATTTGAGAGGCGTAGACATCCTGTAGACACCGTGTTCATTCCTGTATATGAGGCAAACGCACGAAAATTGTGTACCTGCATCTCTACATCTTTATCGGCAGCTTCAGATATACGCTGCAGCGTGAGATCACGGCTCGCATGTGGTGTAGGAGCCGTCGCAGCCACTGCATACGCTATCGAGCATTCGATTGAAGTCACGCAAATAAACAAATTACTGGATAGCGTACCAGGAGCCGCAGAGGCGGCCTGAAAAGCCATCGCCTCAGGGGCGGGCGAGTTCCAGTACGAGCCCTGTGGGAGAGCATACCCAACGGACATGACGGAACACTCACCTTTCGGCTTGCACGACTATATTTCACCGGTCTGATTGACAAGATATATCTGCGCGGAGGAGGCCAGATAGTGAGGATCAGCGATAATTGCAGGGTGCAGACAAAGCGCAACTGGCAAGACCGGCCGCAAAGTGGGATACATATCGCGATCACGTGCCGGTGCTTGCGACGCGTCCTTCAGCCTTCACGTCCAGAACAAATCCATAGGCGCAATCATATGCGCTGGGCGATGGTTTGTACTGTTCAGGCGACAAAATGAAAGCTTCACTCAAACACGTTCGTATGCTCATGGGTCCCTCGGGGCCGCTGCTGAGAAAGCCTCGTTTCCGAGGCACACGACGCTTCGTAACCCAAATAGCTGTGACTGAAATTGCGATGCTGTGTCTAGAGAGTACAATATGCGCTAGAAATACTGAAGAATAAAGATGCAATGCGACCCTGTCCATGCTTGCCACACACATCATGCTATGGTCAATGCTTACACCGACAATGCCTGCTTCTTCAGCGGTGGTACGTCGCTCTTACTGTCCTGGGTACCCGGACCGTCAGCGTCGTCTGCCTTACGTTTCGTGCCTACAGGCGTTGATGGAGACGACGGTGCCGATTTCTTTGACTCCTCACTGAGCGGGACAAGGACCTTTGGGGGGGTTCGGACCTGCTGCTTCTCAGGCGTTCTTGATCGACTGCGGCTTGACGAGACCTCGTTCCGCAGCCGCGAAGCAAGAGTGGACTTCGACGCTGTTGCTTCAGCATGACACGTCGCATGATATATCTAAGAAGGAAGGGCTGGTGAGTGATATCATCTCACGACAGGGCGAAAGAAACATACCTTGTCGTCGCGCTTGACCGAGTTGCGCCAAACCCACTCTTCATCGTCTTCGTTGAATTCAGACTTCAAGGGCTCCTTGCAGATAGGACATGATATGGATTTCGCCTCATCACCCGGTGGTACGACCACGTATTGGGCTTGCAGCTCAGCCTCACGCTTGGCCGCCTCTACCGCTGCGGCAGCACTGGAACTCAGGATACGACCGTCCGCACGACCCTTGCCTTTAACATCGACCGAGCCGTCATGAATCCAATCCTAAAGGAACTTCATTAGGAGCGTGAAACAACGAACACGGACATTTGACGAACCTCCATGCTGATGAGCCAACTGCGGCTGTAGCCACGGCCAACTGCCTGACCTGCCTTTCTGTTCTGCCGGAAGTGCATATCCAAGTGATCCTCCATATGTTTCTTGCCCTTGGGCCCATCAGGGAATCGGATACCACATTGCTTGCATTGCGAGGGCAATCGGTTGTAGAGGAAGTCAACGATATTTGACCGTTGCCTACGTTCAAGGAACGTTAGCTTGTCGCACATGATACACGTTGTCGACGTACCTTGTGATATCTGCGCTGGTCAACTTGATCTTTTGGGCAAGGATCGCCTTTCTGTGATCTCTAATGGCATCTCGTACGGGATCAGATGGTCGACACTCTTCAACCTTTGCGCTCGCACCGGCACCAGTGGGCGTGCCCGTCGCACCGACGACACCTGCCTTCAGCAGAGCATTGTAGAGGTTCGTAATGCTATTCATGGGAGCCAATGTAGATATTGGAGGATTTACTGACGGCGGCGTAGGCTGTACAGGCAATGACTGAGGTGCCAACAAGCCGCTTAAGTTCACCGGTTCTGACTTGGGTACGTTGTACGAAGGTGCAGAGTATGCTGATGGTAGTGGATATGTAGGTTGCTCAACGGGACCAGGGAAAGGCGCTGGTGGTGCTGGCGACGGATATGGCATTTGGGTAGGATACGATTGAGTTGGAATCGGAGCAGGAGTAAGTTGTGGAGGGACAGACGCAGGTTGAGCCAATGCTCTGAGTTGAGTGAGTATTTGACCCAACTCCTCCTGCGACACTCCAGCTTGTACCAACTTACGTAGCTACAACAACATTGCGTGAGCAAGTGGCATGTGGAAACGAAGGCAACCTCGTCCTACCTGCTGCAGAACAGCGACATGGTTCTGAGCCATCTTATCATATGGGTTTGCGACCACAGAGCGCTCCTTCTGACTGAGAACGAACTCCAATTCGCTGAGGACCTGGGCGGTAGATATCGAACTAGAACCCGCGGTATGCCTGCTCGAGGACTGCAGGAACGAGTTTGAGAACCCCACACGACACTGAGTCAAGGGGCGTCTTACCGCAGCACTCTGTGTCGCTTCACCACCCCATATATGCCGTTCGATGGCAACTTGTGGCACTACGCCAAACAACTCTCGCCCTGTCGGTGCGCCAGTCCGCCAGGTGAGAAGCATCTCTTCCATCTTACTGCGGGTGTTCTGGTCAACCTGCTCATATGTATCAAGGAACAACCGGACGACAAGCGGGGTAAACTGGCGAGCGTATGGGTCGAATACATTCTTCGAGATCGCGTCGAGTAGGTAGAACGCGGGCAGCTTCATCCATGGCAGAACCTAATGGCAAGTTACCATAATAGGCAAGTAATGAGTCAGCATTCCATGGGTTGCAACAATGTGAAAATAAAAACAAGAGAACAGCGTCGCAGTGCGGCGTAGGCGTCAAAGTTCGTCAGACCATGCCTGGGCAGCTTGAAGCCCATGCTAGGAGACACGCCCATCGAGGAGGGCCATGAACGGGCTCATTTTTGCTCCAGCCGAACTACGACTACTGCTATCTACAATACATGATATCCTGTATGCTATATTGGCCGTTCCACGGCAACCAGCCACAGCTATCAAGCACAGGTTGTGCGACGTGAGGAAGACACATAACAGGAGCAGGACTCACCCTTCGAATGTGAGACTCAATACACTGAGCAACGATCTCGGCAAACCTCGAGTATTCTTGCGCGATCATGGATAGATTCTGTATGATTGGTCTAGAATTGACGGTGAGCTCAGCCAAGCGCGCCATGTAATCACGACGAAACATGTTCGAGTCGACATGAAAAACGGGCTGCACAGCCGCGGGATAGTGGTATGCAGCCTGAGGCAGCATGGGCTGACTGTACGGCTGCGAAGCGTAAGCCATCTGGCCAAAGGCCGGACTCGCGGGCTGAGGGTAGAGCGACATGGTTTGTCGACTTAGGACAATGGCCTGAAAATTGTAGTTGGTGTTTGTTGGCGTACGCTCTCAATGACGGCGCGGTTGCCGCAGAGGGAGGTGAGGAAGGGAGAACGGCCGATCGCTCGAGACGGAAAGCTAGAGGTTGTAAAGAATATATCTCTTATATGGCCTCACACGGAGCACTCCAATCGCAAGAGGCGAGATGCACAGATGTACGAAGCGCGCACTAGGAGATGGTGGTCGATGGTAAAGCCTGGCTGACGTGTGGCGAACGCCGTGCGGTACAATGAAGGGCTTTTGCGCGGAGCTTGAATGTAGCCACAGGCCACTGCCGGGTTCTCCAGACTCGGGCCTGGCCTCCGAACAGTCCGGAAAAGGCAAGGAGCAATACTACGTCCCGTAAGATCTCACAACAGTCACGAAACCTAACGGTGCATCCCTCCCTCCCCTCCTCAAGACACAACGGTGAGTTCTTGTTTTCGATGGAAAAGTGCTTCGCTGTGGTATTGCTGCCATTCCGCCGCTCACGGGAGGTCGTTTGAGTGAGGGAGGAGATGGATGCGTTCGGCTGTATGTGGATGCACTGGAAACATCGTCTGACCCAATGTTCATAACAGATGAAGGACGTTATCAAAACGGAAGAGCTCGACATTCCTGAGGGCGTTGAAGTCGATATCAAGTCCCGACTGATCACCGTCAAGGGCCCCCGCGGGACACTAACCAAGAATGTCCGTCACATTGACATGGACATCCGGCTGCAGAAGGGCAAGACCAACAAGGTCTCCCTGGCAGTATGGCAGGGAGGGCGCAAGCATGTCGCTTGCCTCCGCACAATCAAGAGTCTTATCGTTAACATGATTACTGGTGTGACGAAGGTACGAGCTTTATGCATTCAGTGGAACATTTCATGATTGGTTGCTGTCGCTCCATAGGGCTTCCAATACAAGATGCGCGCTGTGTATGCCCATTTCCCCATCAACAATATCATCCAAGACAACGGCTCGGCATTGGAAATCCGTAACTTCTTGGGCGAGAAGGTATGTCTTGGCCTTGAGCGCACGATGATCTCCTGCAATAATTTTTGCCTAGATTGTGCGACATGTAAACATGCTGGAGGGCGTCACGATCTCAGAATCAAAAGCGCAAAAGGATGAGCTCATCCTGGAGGGTAATGACGTTCAGAATGTTTCGCAGTCAGGTACATCTGCTGTTTTCCAGTTACATCCAGGTTAATAACCTCCTTTCTAGCTGCATCCATCCAGGGGGTCTGCCGGGTACGGAACAAGGATATCCGTAAGTTCTTGGACGGTATCTACGTTTCGGAGAAGAGCACTGTTACGCAGTAAACAGTCCTTTTACCTTATGGGTGGTCTTCTTGGGTCTTCGTCAAAACCTGCATGTCTGTTATTTGCTATGACCAATATGACTACGCCATGCTTTGCTTTGTAGTGCTATTGCAAGAAAATTCCTTTGAGCTATATCTTATGGAGTATACATCGCAGTTGAGTATTAAGGTATAAATGGGATTTTTGTCCCTACCCGTGCGCGGTAATCGACGTAATCTTTTCCAAAGAAACGGATCAGATACCCTTCTTCAGCTTCAATGGATAGTCAGTATACGTCCAAGCTTCTCGGTCTTTGTGCAACTTACCACGAATGCGATGGTAAAAGAACCTCCATAGCACGACAACGAAGCCGACGAGACTGATTGGATTTATGAGTACGAACTGAGTCCCAAGAGCCCAGTAGAAAAAGCCAGCATATGATGGATGGCGGAACCACCTGCGCAAGAGTTTAACCAGCTACGAGTGAGCTCATCTTGGATTTTTGCATACCTGTATACGCCGTCGGTCACAAGGGCGTGGCCATCGAGCTTTCGCAGAGCAACAACATGTGAGAAGTTCGACGCGGCATGAATCATGGCGGCCGATCTCAGGAATTGACCCATAAGAACTAACCCAATACCTGCATCATTCGTGAGTACTTGTAGGAAAAGCAGTTACACTAACGCACCTGTCAGAGAAACATACGTGTTCCTCTTGAACCACGGGAAGAAGTACAAGGTGACCAGGTACTCGAAGACGGCGAAACCATGTGCTATGTGATACTGAATGCCGTTTTCCAAGAGAAATGCTATGAATGATAACAATTGACACAATCATAGCAGTTAGGACGGAGGGAAACTCACAGTCAACGCTGCATTTGTCCTTGTTCCAGCCAGCCGTGACCGCGAACTCTCCCCAGTGGAATACTGCCCAGGAAGCAACGAAAAATCCTAGTTCATACGTTGACCACCAGAATCGTTGAAAGCCGCCCACGGCGAAAGTCAAGAAGCCAAGTGCGAATATGGATCCAAGGAGGAATGATACGGCAGACACGGCTAGGGGTGTGTTTGGAATGGCACCGCGGGGCCTGAGTGAAGTATCAGTCGGTATCGTATCAAGTGGGTGAGATTTGGCCATCGTCCTCTGGCGCAGACGTTCGTCGAAGCCATCTGTGTCGGTATCTGACCGCATGAGTGAATTGTAGACTGAAGGCCAGCTCTGGACAAGACATTGTGTGAACAATAAGATGCATGTAGCCCTGAGGCTTGTTTGGGCGTGTAGGCGTGCATGATTTCACGTGCACTCTTGCAAAACGCGTTCAGCTTGCCACACACGACGTGCTGCTCTCGGGCTCACGCAGGTCTCAGCTTGCCGTTTGGCTGCTCTCTTACGGGAAGCCACAAGTCTGGGTAATGATTCGAACTCATGCACAATCTCTCAAGTTGTATCGGCCTTTGAATGGCAACCAAGTCTTCTCCCGTCGAGGAGTTGCCACTGTTGTAGGAAATGACCCGTCCAAATCGCGCAACATGGCTCTCGTGGCCCACATCGGTTCGTATTGTACTGCTTCACTCTGAGGTTGGTCTGACTGTCTCCGGTAGACTCCGGGAAAACAACTCTCACCGAGTCCATACTCCTAAAGTCGTCATACCTCTCCTCGGCCGGCTCTGTCGACACAGGAAGTACAACAACGGACTTCCTCCCTGCTGAGCGCGAGAGAGGAATCACGATACAGTCTGCCAGCATACCGGTCAAATGGCGAGATTGGACGTTCAATCTCATTGACACGCCCGGACATGCCGACTTCGGTATGGAAGTCGAAAGCGCTAGCCGAGTCGTGGACGGTGCCGTGGTATTACTGGACTCTGTAGAGGGCGTTGAGGCACAGACCAAAGGAGTCTGGGGCCAACTAGACAGGTAAGCCTTGCACCCAGGTGAGGGCAAACTTGAGATCCATTCTGCGATGTTTCTCTAATCTATCCGACGAATAGATATGGCGTACGGTCAAGACTGATGTTCCTCAACAAGCTTGATCGCGCAGGAGCCTCGTTCTCTCACTCCGTCGCATCTCTACTCACAAACCGTCTGCATCCCAAGCCCATGGCATTGACATTGCCCATCGCATCTTTCGATCCGCAGGACTATAGTCGAGCCGAACCGGGCGTGCAAGGTATTATCGATCTTGTTCAATGGGAACTGTGGAAGTGGGATGAGAATGGCGAATCAACCCGACACGCTCTGCCTGCACAGCTGGACAAGCTAGACCAGGGCCTTCTTCCAGCGTCACATCCAATCATCCCGCATTTGCTACCTGCCAGAATTAATCTCTTGGAAAACTTGTCGATGTTTTCCGAGGAGCTGATGGACACTCTGCTCAACCTCCCCTCCGAACCCTCAGCTTATCTCCAGATTGCACCCTCACAAATCATGCCGCATCTCCGGAGCGCCACCCTTCGTAGCGATGTACTGCCAGTTCTGTGCGGCTCTGCATTCAAGCATATTGGGACTGAACTCGTCATGAATTATGTCGGAGAGCTCTTCCCTAGTCCTGTGGACGTTGTCGAGTCCGTTCCCGCGGCAAATGCGCCCCTTCGCATGCTGGCCTGGAAGGTGGGCTGGGACAAACGCAAAGGGTGGATGACGTTCGTCCGCATATACTCCGGTACGAGACTGCACATAGTCAAACAATGTTATTTGACTCACGATGCTCAGGCACTTTAACACGGCAAAGTACGATCCTAAACGCTACGCGCAATCAGCGCGAGAGGGTATCCAAAATTCTTCTGCTGTATGCATCAGAAGTGGAAGAGGTGGATAGTTTGTCCTTTGGCTCTGTCGGTGTCATCGTTGGGCTCAAATATACACGTACGGGAGATACCTTGGTCTCAACAAACCGCTCCTCGGAAACGACTTCCCTCCGAGATATTATTCCCCCTCCACCGGTCATGTCTATGTCTGTCATACCTCAGTCGCATTCTGACCTTGAACCTGTGCAAGAAGCACTGGCTTCGCTTGCCCGCACCGATCCGTCAGTGCGTGTCGAGATGCAAGAAGGCCAAATTCTCGTGCATGGCCTTGGTTCACTCCACCTCGAGATTGTAGAAAGTCGGCTTAAAGACGAGTGGAACGCTCAATTCGAGCTTGGGAGACGCCGCGTCAGCTATCGCGAAGGGCTAGGCCAAGGAACCCTCACCGCCGGCGAGAACACCTGGACTGCTGAGATTGCAGGAAAGCCGGTCGCTGTCTCGATCGACTTCGCTATAAGGGCCCTCGAGGATGACGAGGATGGCGACCCGGTCTGGGATGGAAACATTGTTCTCGACGAACAGGGCAACCCTCTACGGTCGCCGGAATCGTATTCAAATGTGCTCGATCCTATCACCAACATAGCTCGCGGAATCTACAACACTCTTTCCAATTCGCCGCATACATCCTTAGCTCTATCACATCTACACGTCCAGCTCAAGAGCTATAACTATCCGCATGCAAATGCCCCGCCATCCGTTCTCGCCGGCGCAAGTGCCGTTATCTTGCGAAGCTGCATACGCAACGCCGGTATGGGCCCCTTACTTGAACCCTTCGTTCGCCTAAAAATCACCGTCAACGAGGATTCCGTCGGCAAAGTGGTGAGGGATCTGACGGAGCACGGCGGCGAGGTGCTCGACCTGGCGACAGGTTCTGGGGGTGCTGCTGGCGCAGAGGAGGACCTGCAGCCCTACTCTGAGAATGGTGTATACATACCACCGCAGGAGCTTTCGCCCTCCTCGGGGAACGTGCGGGATGGTGACGTCTCGTCCTCTCGATTCAAACGCTCGATCCACGCCATTGCACCTCTGAGCAGGATGCTTGACTACTCGAATCGGCTGCGAGCACTTTCGGGCGGGCACGGTCTATTTGAAATGGTCAATGCGGGTTTCAGGCAGGTGTCGGAGGCGAGGAAGGTGGAGATTTTGCGGGAAATTGGGCGAGTGTGATTTTAGGAGTGGCAGTCTCCATGTCTCCATGTTTTGCATCGGCTGTATCAATATATGCATCTTCCACATGTTAAAGCTCTCTCGTCTCATCTGCATCGCCAAACAATACAGCGCCATCGATCTCGTCGTCGTCTTCGACGAGGCCTGCGCGGTATTCACCGACTGACTGCAGTAACTGGCTGAAGTTCATGATGGCATCATCGTCGCTATCACTGTCTGCCATCGAAGCGTTGAAGAGAGGAACAGGAGGCAGCGAGCGCTGCTGGTGGAAGGCGGGTGCAGGGGTGACGCTTCTCTCCCTGTCATATTCGGGAAGAAACAGTGGGGTCTGCGCTCTCCGTGCCGCGCCCCCGCTGGGGACGAAGTCAGGCGGCGCAATGCTAGGGGCACGCAACGAGAAATTACCAGGAGGCGCCATTGCAGGAGCCAATGAAGGAGCCCTCGAAAGCTCTCTTGTCATAGCCCGTATCGAAGAGAACGGTTCGATGATCACACATAGACATCGACCATGAATATTGAAGCCCTGGTATTGAAGTCGGAGGGCGAGCTTGCTCTTGTCTTCATCTCCTTCTTGCAGGTCCTTTTGAGGCACGATCACAGCTGAGTCGCCTGCGCTTATAGGCTGCTCAGGTGCAGCAGGTCCGGCTTGCTTGTCGAGTGTAGTAAGACTGGGCTCCGCATCTTCATGCTTGACGGTGACCGACGCGGAGTCTTCGGCATCATCTATCGTAATTAGGCCGGAGTCGTCGAGTGCAGGAGGCAGAGCAGCAGCTTGTTCGTCCGGTAGGCGAGCTGGTTCCACTTCCGGTAGTTGGTCTGGAGGAGCCATTTCCACGTCTGCGTCGACATCGACGTCGATCACGTCGGGCATGATGGCGTCCGCCTCTTCGTCTTCGTTTTGGCCGTGATATCCACCAGCCACAAATTTTCTCACTCTCATTGAACGCCTTGGTGCGACACGAGCGTCACCAGGGGGAAGAGCATCGCCATCATCGGACGGGTCGCTCGAAATTGAGATAGCATCATCTTCCTCGTCAGACCCGCGTGCCCTTCGCTTGCCTTTGGTCTTTGGCTTCTTGCTTCTCTTTGATGGTGCTTTCTTTGGCTTTGCTGTACGTTTCTTACCCTTCTGGGCAGTCGCTGGCTCGGGAGAAGGAGAATTAGGTGGCATAGCCGTCTGTGGACGCTCCGGCGCAGGGACGAAATATCGTGTCTGGGAGCGCGCGAGAGGTTATCCAAACGCTCGCGACGCAGAGGGCCAGACGCACCTTGACCAATACCGCGTGCGGATCTGTTTTCCGAAGAAAGTATCCGAACTGGTATGTATCTGCATCCGCTTCATTAGTATGAGGCAGCTGTCGCGAGTGAGCAAGAAGCCTACCACCACGGTGCACGTCTACTGTGCCCCGTTTCGCGTTGGCGGGCCCGCCAGGTCCCAAGTGCGCGTCCTCTTCGGCATTCAACTTCGGCAGCACCCTGAACATGGGTTAGTAATGACCGGTGCGTCCGGTACAAACAATGACTTCTACGTACAGCGGCCGCAGATCCTCTAGTACGTGTAGCAGCACGCGCTCCGACATCCAGTCGATGTGACGCTCATCAAGGTAGATCTATGCAGAAAAACGGGATGAGCATACTCGATCGGTGTGTCGAGCAAGGTATGAACTTACGTAGAGAGGCAATACTGTGTTCTCAGATATTCTGAGATAGTACGCGTTTCGTGGCCCAAAACGCATGTTGACGTCTCTCTATGCGGCTCTGGCCTACTGTGGCAGTATACTTAAAAACGATGACCTTGGCCTCGCCGACTGATGATATCTGAGTGAGAGCCCGCGAGAATCCTCGAGGGCGATGCATATTGCTTTGCAACATTGGACGCGTCTGCAGGACACGACCTCGTGACTCGCGAATCGCGCGGGTCGACAGTACTGTCCCGCCCGGCTGACACGCCAGCTTATTTCTAAGTGTTTCATTCATTTGCGGCGCTGCCTATTCGTACATGTGACAAACTCTATGTATGTTGTATACGCGAAAACCCAGCAATCGCAAAACCTCAGTACTCGTCGGGGGAAACGTCAGGACCGGAGATGACTGCCTTAATGACCCCCTTGCCGTCGGAGCTCTTGCCCGTTCTTGTGGTCTTGAACGCTTCCTCCGCGTCCTCGAACTTGAACCTGCCACGCCTATCAGACATCATGATGCGAAACTTAGATGCACATGCATTACCTATGCGTGATGAGGGGCTTGAGGTCGATCTTGCCCTGTGCGACAAGCGCGATCGCAAGCGGGTAGTCACCGGGGCCATAGCGGAACGAGCCCTTGAAGGTGAGCTCCTTCGTGAGGAGCGTCGTGACGGGGATCACGATCTCCGGACTGCCCATGCCGACCTGGACGTACGTGCCGCCCGTCTTGGCAACGATGATGCCCGTCTGGATCGACACCTCCGCACCACTCGCGTCGACGACGAGGTCGATCGAGCGCGGGCCACGCTCCTCAATGCCGAGCGTCTTCATCAGGGTGGCCGCGTTGCGCTCTGAGTAGCGCAGGCGTGCCTCGCCCGGCTCCATCGGCGGGGGGAGGTATGTGTCCGTCGCCGCGTAGCTCTTCGCGAACTCGAGACGCCCGGGCACGATGTCGACCGCGACCACGCGCGATGCGCCGAGCGCTCTCGCGGCCGCCATACACGCGAGACCGACCGGTCCCGCGCCGAAGACGACGATGCTCTGGTTCGGACGGAAGCCGGCGATGTTCGCGATCGCGTGTACTGCGACGGATAGGGGCTCGATCTATGCGGGGATCAGTATAGGTAATTGTGAGGATCGCGTGGAGGGACGCTCACCATGGCACCGTCCTCGAGCGTGAGGTTGTCAGGGAGCTTGTAGCAGATGTCCTCGGGGATGCGGTAGTACCGCCCAAGGGTACCATCGTGCGGAGGGGTAGCAGCGAAGACGATGTTCGGGCAGAGCTTTAAGGGTTACGATGAGCGGTTTGCGTTGCAAGATCTGTTAACAAGTCCGCGTACCTCGTAACGGCCGCTCTTGCAAGCATCGCACTTTCGGCAGGTCGCACCGGGCTCCATTGCTACGCGGTCGCCGACTTTGAGGGTCTTGACGTTGGGGCCAACTGGAAGGGGTTGGAAGGGCTGCATTAGCCCTGCTTTTCAAGTCCCACTGCAATCGACGAACCCTTTGTGACTACACCGGATGATTCATGACCGAGCACCTATGGACTCTGTGTTACAATGGGGGTGCGAAAACACAAAGCATTCGAGCTCACCATAGGCTTCTCAACGATGAAATTGCCGATACGCCCCGCAACGACGAAGTGGACCTGATCATCGAACGGGGCATTAAATACGGATCAACGTCCAGTATATATCGACCTACGTCGGAGCCGCAAATGCCTAGATCGACGACAATCAACATGTAATAAGCTTCTGGGATCATATGAGTACCGCACCCGTCTTCTTTACCGAAACGAGGACTTCGTCATCGACGACTATCGCAGGATATTCAATATACGATCGAGCGAGCATGGAGTGATCGAGAGCTCACTCTCAGGGACCGGGCGCTGCTCGAAGGTGACATCCTCGATGCCGCGCATGAGGAACGACGGGTTGTCAGACATGGTGGTGAGTATGAGACGAGGGGAGAGTGGGCGAGGTGGGTGTTGTGTGCAGGCTGGACGGGCATCCTCGACCCCGCACCCAGGCCTTATGAGGGGGTGGGGGAGGGGGCGGAGCGAATCCGGACCGGGTCATGCGCCTGGTCGAACAGATCTGATACAGCGCGATGGATTGGTGAATATATCTCGCAGCGGGGCAAGTGATAGGACGTACAGGCGTACCTCGAGTGTACGCCGAAGGCCGCGACAGGGGCCGCGGAAGCGTCGAACTCAAAGTAAGAAGCGGAATTCGCGACATGTGGCCGCCCAAGTGACCCCATGAAGTTCTGGATGGTGAAACAGGAACCTGACTTGACACTTTGAGAATTCTGGAGCGCGAGCCCGGTATTCCATATGTTATTGCAGAAGGTTTCGCAAACATTAATGTTCGGTATTCCGGACAGGTCAAGAACATCTAGCGGGCGTGCAGGCGGCCTGGCGTAGTGCTAATGTCGGACGATCGATCATCGGAAAACGCTTATTCCTTCATCCCTGCGCTCACCAGGCGCGCTCTGGAGCGGGCACGATGCGGGGTCGGTAATGCGGGTTTGCGGTCAGCCGAGAGCGCGGTGTATTTGTCGTCGAAGACAGCGGGCGAACATGGTGCACGGTGAAGACTCTATTGCGAACGACGACTTCGCAAGGCCAGGGTTCGGTGAGTAAATATAGGGTGAATAGTTAAGGGGTGTGAATGGCCAATGGAGTGAATGGAGCAGACTGTGCGAATGGAATGATCCCACAAAGTGATAACAGACAGACGCTGAGATGCGAAGACATCGAGGGCAGCATTGCAGAACACTTGACCCGGTGCGGACACGGCCTGCGTGATCCAGACGCGACTCTGGACGCGTCCTCCCTGACGCGCTTCCGACCAACAGGCGGCAGCGCGACCTGCACGCGCAGAACACCTTGCACACCATTCATCCATCGATGCGAGCAACAGTCGAGAGTCTATTCAGAGATAGCCAACCCGCCATGGCAGCGACCTTTCCACCCGCAGCCAAATCCCATCGGATGGGAATTCCAATGGGGAACTATAGGGCCGGCGCTACATCAAATTCTCAGCGTGCGAATATATAAGACCCCCTCGAACGATTGCACCATCCTCACCCCTCATTTCTTTTCACACCATCCTCCCCCATCTCCTCAGACACTGCAGAATGGTTGCGTCCAGCGTCCTCGGGTTCCCCCGCATCGGTCAGTAGCACTACCGTCTCATTTAGTGCACTCCTCGTTGACGAATGCATGAAAACGTGCAGGTGCAAACCGTGAGGTTAAGAAGGCCGTCGAGGCTTACTGGGCGGGCAAGATCTCGGCCGACGAGCTCACCAAGGCTGCTGCAGAGGTCAAGAAGGCCAGCTGGACCAGCCTCAAGGAGCGCGGCGTTGGTCTCATCCCTAGGTATGTAATAGGGCTTTTCGCCAATCGCGCAACCAAACTAACCCTCCGTCCCCGTCACATAGCGGTGACTTCTCGCTGTACGACCACGTCCTTGACCACTCCGCTGCGTTCAACGTTATCCCGAAGCGCTACCTCGGGCACAACCTGTCTGCTCTTGATGTATACTTCGCCATGGGCCGTGGTCGCCAGGCAGATGGCGTCGACGTCCCCGCCTCTGAGATGAAGAAGTGGTGAGTATATGCATTCCCATGTCGTTTTAGCGCAATCCCGCGTGTACATCTATCACGCAATCATGTCCCAGTATCTCCTAAGCGCCTAGAATCCAGAGCTAACGGATCCCCCTTTCAGGTTCGACTCTAACTACCACTTCGTCGTTCCCGAGTTCTCGGACGAAACCGACTTCAAGCTCAACTTCAACAAGGCGCTTGAGGAGTTCAACGAGGCTAAGGCCCTCGGCATCGCGACACGGCCCGTTGTCCTCGGCCCCATCTCCTTCCTCACCCTTGGTAAGGCCGCAAAGGATGCGAAGCCTGGCTTCCAGCCGATCTCCCTCCTTCCCAAGGTTCTCCCCGTATACAAGCAGCTCCTTGCTGACCTCAAGGCCGCCGGCGCCGAGTGGGTCCAGGTCGACGAGCCCGTCCTTGTCCTCGACTCCGCCGCGTACCTTGAGAGGCAGTATGCGACCGCGTATGCCGAGCTCGCGCCCGTCTCGCCCAAGATTCTGCTCGCGACCTACTACGGCCGCCTCGACTCGAACCTCTCGTTCGTCGCCAAGCTGCCGGTCGCCGGTCTACACATTGACCTCGACCGTGGCCTTAAGCAGCTCGATGAGGTTATCGCCGCCGTCAAGCCCACCCCCATTGTGCTGTCTCTTGGTATTGTCTCAGGCCGCAACATCTGGAAGGCCGACCTCCAGGCTGGCCTTGTGCTTGGCCAGAAGGCAGTCTCTGTGCTCGGCCTGGACCGTGTCATCATCGCGACGTCGTCCTCGCTCCTGCACACCCCGGTCACGATTGCAGCAGAGAACAAGCTGACCCCTGCTCAGAAGGACTGGTTCTCCTTTGCCCTTGAAAAGGCCACTGAGGTCTCCGTCCTCGCTGCTGTTCTCTCCGGCTCCCAAGATTCGGCCGTTGCTTCTGCCGTTGAGGCGAACAAGGCTTCCATCACCAAGCGCCGTGAGTTCGAGCGCACGTCGGACGATGCCGTCAGGAAGCGCGTTGCATCGATCACCCCCGACATGCTTGAACGCAAGAGCCCGTTCGCCGTGCGCAAGGAGGTTCAGGCCAAGTACCTCAACCTCCCCAAGTTCCCGACTACTACGATTGGTTCTTTCCCCGTGAGTGATATCTTTCAAGAGTTTGAGGGCCTTTTAATGACCTTTGTCATATAGCAAACCAAGGAGATCCGTACCGCTCGTGCGAAGCTCAACAAGAAGGAGATCTCTGAGGTTGAGTACGAGGACTTCATTAAGAAGGAGGTTGAGCACGTCGTCCGCTTCCAGGAGCGCATCGGACTCGACCTCCTCGTGCACGGTGAGCCCGAGCGCAACGACATGGTCCAGTACTTCGGCGAGCAGCTCGAGGGCTTCGTCTTCACGCAGAACGGCTGGGTGCAGAGCTACGGCTCCCGCTACGTCCGCCCGCCGATCATCGTGTCTGACGTTTCCCGCCCCGGCCCGATGACCGTCAAGTGGAGTAGCTACGCGCAGAGCCTCACGTCCAAGCCGATGAAGGGTATGCTGACGGGTCCCGTCACGATCCTCAACTGGTCGTTCCCCCGTGCGGATGTATCCCGTGAACTCCAGTGCATGCAGCTCGCCCTTGCGCTCCGCGACGAGGTTGTTGACCTCGAGAAGGCGGGTATTAAGGCCGTCCAGGTCGATGAGCCCGCTCTCCGTGAGGGTGTAAGTCCCTATATGTTGTTTGCTTGTTGACCAACTTGACTGACTGGCGTCCCCTCAGCTGCCGCTCCGCAAGGTCGACTGGGAGCCCTACCTCAAGTGGGCACTGCCCTCGTTCAAGCTCGCGACGGCGGGTGTGAGCGACAGCCTGCAAACCCACTCGCACTTCTGCTACTCGGACTTTGACGACATCTTCCCGTCGATCCAGGCGCTTGACGCAGACGTCATCTCGATTGAAGCGTCGAAGAGCGACATGAAGCTGCTCAAGACGTTCAAGCAGTACGGCTACTCGAACCAGATCGGTCCCGGTGTGTACGACATCCACTCGCCCCGTGTGCCAGGCGAGCAGGAGATCAAGGACCGTGTCGCGGACATGCTCGCGATTCTGCCCGACGACCTGCTCTTCATCAACCCCGTACGTGTGCTAGTGTTGCATATACTTCCACGCAAAACTGACGAATGATTTTCAATCTGCAGGACTGCGGTCTTAAGACTCGTGGCTGGAAGGAGACCGAGACCTCGCTCGTGAACCTCGTCAACGCCGCTCGCTGGGCCCGTCAGACATACGCGTAATTGCATCCCCCCTTGCGCTTCAACAGCGCCCGTGACGTGGTTACTGTAACTTATCGGCGCGCTCGCTCTCAACGCGGCAGCGTTCGGTGCATGACCCAGGGTAGTTGTGGCGACAAAATATCGGGCTGGAGGATGGCACCCGGTGAACCCCGGCGACGTCGAGCCCAGTGGGTCGGTCCTCGTGGTAGCGGAGATCGGAGGGCCTGCTGTGCTCGATAGCGTCGAGGCTGCGTAGCATGTAGTGGATTTTGGAGCGTGTAAGTAGTAGTGTTCGGATTTCAACAATCCCGAATGAGAAGCGCTTCAACGGCGTAGATGTCACGACGAATACTATTGGTGTAACTTGTTTTTGAGCTACGCGACTACAGTGGGACTAGCAGATGGGCAACACTCGAGAATTTGAATGTGAGATCGTTGTCAAAGGAAGTGTGAATATACAGACCCCCTCCCCCGAGCTCTCCCAAGGCCAGCCGCTGGTTTGGCATCGCTATACGGCGCCAGCTGCATATTGTCTCATCGCATGCTCAGAGCCCTTCCTTTGTGTATTACCCTACCGCAATGCCCGTCACCAGATGCGGAAGAATGGCGCTCCTGGTTAGTATCTGCTCAACGGAGTGAACCTATCCTCAATGCTCAGCACGCATGAAACTTTCTGCGAACATGCGGTCGGTATGCCACCCCTAGCGCACCAAATACATAAGCTACAAGTTCATATCTACATGACGGCAGGATTGAATTTAGGTTGCACACTACTCCTGCAAGCCACCCCCCACATGTGGTAGCTGGCTTTGCCAAAGGACCTACTGTATATGATACGAAGATTTTGACCGAGAAATCGCACCATTGGTCACCGTAGCTCTTCTGGAAATGATTTCCTCCTCTCCTCCCCCAAAAGGTGACGGCCTTACTCAACCCATGATTGGGTTTGATGTGCTTCTAGCTAATTCGATACCATGAAACCTGTTCAACTTCGTGTGCGTAAGCGGACTTCTAACGGGAATGGGTCCCAGAAACAAGGGTCTACTGAAGTATACTGTGGCTGTAATGATACTTCCCCGTGTCCAGCTAGGTCGGACGCCGCTCATCAACACCACTTTTGCGTACAAATATCCTCAGATAGGTCTGGCGGCATTGATTTAGCTGTCGTATGAGTTCGACTGGATACACCCGATCTGATTCCTTACTCGCATCGAGCTGCCGCACCGAATGTGCGTGTATAAAACCTCGTGCGTGATCCCCTGCCTCTTGTCCTCAAATCACTACGTTCGCAAACCCACACTTTACTCTGCCGCTATCGAATACCCAAGATGAAGTTCACCGTTGCTGCCGTCTTCGCCGCCCTCGCGCTTATGGGAGCCTCTCCTGTGGGTGCCGGGCCCAACGCCTACGGTATCTGCCAGAGCGGTAAGCACTAACCCTGAGCAGCAGTTCAATTACACTGACCTTGCATCACGCAGGCTGTAACAAAGTCGCTGTCGCCTGCCACGCCGCCGGCGGTCTCCAGTTCGGTACGGTCCTGGCTGCTGCGGCCCTAGCAACAATCATCGCCTGTAACCCTGCGCTCGAGGGGTGTCAGCGTCGATTCCGGCACTGTCTGAGTGCACACAACAAATGTCATGCAGATCGTAATTGTTTCATTCGTTTGCTTTCTAAGTCTTGCAATCTGTCGTTGCACTCAACTGGCTCATGGCATGCGCAGTCGTGCCGTCGTCAGTCCGTCGTACAGATAGTCAGCTGTGTGTGTACAATATGGCTATGGGCGGGCGCTGCTGGTCACTGGTGTGCTCACAACTCCCGTTGATAGAAAGAGACCGTTTTTGAGCCATGCGGTTCATGTTCTTCGGTTGAGCGGAGGGCATACGGAGTTCCTGTGAAACAGGGACGCATCGTACTGCATATATTGAGAGATCTTACTTGACTTGCACCATCGTCACAGGATGGGACATGTCATTTATCGAGATACATGTTTAAGTAGGTCTGTAGACTTCCGGCCTCTTCATCTAGCGTAGGGAGTCCTATTGACAAGTACGTTATGCCAGGTGCTCATCTTGTAGTCATAAGTAGTCTGTGTCGGTGGCTGCATTCATGATATATATTTTGTACTAAATCACAGTCAAGCCTGGCTCGGGACCTGTATGCCAACTCTTTCTCAATAACAAACCCTCGACACGGAAGTAGTGGAGGGAAATGCTGCAACAGTCTCGTCTTAGTATTTTTGTGCAAGTGTCCGCTGGCTTTGAAATACACACGGACTCCTTCCACCAAATTCCCGTCACGTTGGCAGCCCTAGTGTAGCCCTCTATTGATGTATCAATATGAAGGTATCATTTGTGTCGAATGAGTCTTAGGCGCTGTATGCAACATCCGGTCTGCTTGTGGCCTTTGAACGTCTGCCATGAAGTTTGTGGGCATGCAACGCATTACGTCGCTACGAATTTTTATCATATTGTCTTGTATTGCATTCATCTACAGTACTGAATGGTCCGGTATCAACAAGCAGGGAGTAAATAGCGGATAAATTACAAGACACGAGAGGGATCTCCCACACGCTTGCATTCAGCACGTAAGTCGGAAGCGTATGGCAATCTTCTGACCTGGGAAATACTTATGTCTTCGATCCCAAGCAACGACTATCTCCATCTCCCCAGCCAATCTCCGCACCAGTGGTGAGTTGACGGGAGAGGCCGGGGCTTCTTGAGCGACGGAAGATATCATGGGTATTTGCAGCTCGTGCAGACAGCCAAAGCGAGTGATCACAGACTGATTTTCACCCACTAGTGTTTCAGTCACTCTGTAGAATAGTTTAGTACTATTCTGGGCGCGAACTAGGTAATCAGATTATGCACCTGAATTTAACACCCACTGCGCCCTGAATTTCGTGCACAACGCCCTGAACGATTTTGTGCACGAGACCACCAGCAGGATCGGCAACGAGCGAGTACTCGCCCTCGAAGCCAAATAGCGACACGCGAAGGTTGTCCAGTCCCGTGCCGGTGTCCAGCTTGAAGCGCAGGTATTGCGACTGCGAGTCGAGGAATGCGAAGAATCGCAATCGGAGCTCATCGAGTAACGCAGCCAAATGTTGATATGCAGTCTACCAATGCTCATCAGTCGGACCCGAGAGGTATATACCGTAATTTTAAGACATCGCGTACTGGTGTGTTGTCGACGTATACTAATTCTGCATTCCCTGGCGTAATCCCAATACTCGCGGGAGTATCCGAACCGTTCTGACGAGAAGACTTCCTTGACGCTATATGCGGACGATTGTTAGACGTAGGAGGAAATCATGGAGGTTTACCCAATCTCACAATCATTGGTTCGCCCGGAGAACATCAAGAGCAAGGTACGACAGGTCGATTTGATCGATGGTTGAAAGTCGACATTGCTTTCGCTCCCGACCGGATCGGCTGAATCTGTTGAATTCACCTGATTCAATAATTTGCGGCGACAATCGTTGCACCTGGTTGAAGGGTGTTCCGTGATAGTGGGAATGAAGTTTCGGCACCATCGCCCAGCACACTGTCGCCAACCGGGAGGCAATGCGCCTGTGCAAGGATGTTAGGCGCCATGGTGTAAGGAGACAAGATTACACGTACTGAGAATCGACAACGTGGACTGTGCGGCGGACAAGATCAGCGAAGAAGGTATGATGAAAATGAGGACGCGACTAACTGGATCCTCTTCCATTTTTTTCTTGGCTGCACGTTCCTTCCGTCTTCGTTGTATGTTACGGTTGTGTTCCCGACAGGTTTCGCAGAGCTTCCAACGAGTGCCCGGCCGCAGAAGATTGTGACAGCGGCGAATGTTACATTGTGTGCGAGCTTTCCCACTTCCTGACACCATCGGGCCGTTGGGTCGAGGAGGGATGCGAATCTGCAAGGAAAGTGTTCAATCTGACTACGTGTCGGTGGGCTTACAATATAGACACTGACCGTTAGTCGCACCGAGGTGTCGACTTCAGACTCCCCAGAATCTTCCAGTGGTGTTAGATCAGACAGGTCGCTGTTCCAGCCTTGCGCTCCGAAGGACGGTGACGACAATGCGGGCAATCTAGGTGTATTAGCTGCAGAGTCAGGCTTGGACAACATTTGTGCACTGTCGGTGTGTTCGTGCTCTTTCTCATTAGGTGGTAGTAGATTATCTCCATCTGGCTTGGTTGTACCATTGCTGTTCTCGGATGGCGCGGAGGCAACTGCAATGGTGCGTTCCGAGTTCTGTCCGGCCACATCGTTGTTAACATGGAGGGATACGCCATCTTTCAACCGATTCACTCGATTGCCCTCCTCGTACGTATTGGCTATACTGGGGTCAGCATCAATATCAAATTGTCGTCCCGACGCCACGACGGACTCCGAGGCCGCCTTGTCATCGTCAGCGAGCGGGGTCATAAGTGCTTGCGTGGCGGTGTCTTCTTCGAGGCTCGCGCTTGTAGATGTCGACGGGTCCGGCTCATGGTCCTGCTCTGAGAAAGTGACCCACTTGGCCATTTCTTCCGCCTCTTCTCTATCTTTGACGTGTTTGCGCAATAGAGCTTCAACGTGTTCCAGCATGAAGTCGGCTTCTAAATCAACATTTTCCACCGCCATTGAAAGACGGCGAGCTTGACGGGGGTTTTTCTCGGCTTGGGCAGGGAATGACGGTGTTGATAAGGCACTGATGTCGATCGCCTTGGGTTGCGGTCTGCCAGATTTCATGGGTTGAAAGAGATGGTTATTCTGCATGCCCCGTCAGTCTTCGCGATGGTGTCTTCGTTATGTACGCGCTCACCAAGAAACCAGACGATATACGTGGAGATTCACGCCGTAAGCGAGAGATAGGTGGGGCTCCCGCCAGCATCAAAGGACTCTGTGCATTACACGAACTAGCGTAAGTACTCGAACACTAACGCCTGACAAGCACGCTCTACCATCTCCGCAACAATTTGTGCCGCTGGCGCACCATTGGTAGGACTGTGTGATTGACCAACACTCGTTTTGACTTGCAAATCTTGCTGACAGCTTGTTTCACTGTCCGCTTCGGCAGCATAGGCTACGAGATTCTCAAACGATGCGGATTCGCTGACTGGCCTCTGCGGCTGTGTAACCTCAGGATGCACGACTTGACCGGCAACGGACACAAGCTGCATGGCAGGCCGGCTATCCACCGTCAAACCAGCCTCAGGGTCAGAAGTAACAAGTAAACATTTGTTGCAAACGATCCAAAGATGCTCTGGCGGCAGGACTGAGTCGCAGCCAGATGTCGCGCAGAGACGCACTTCGGGGCTTGGGCTCTGCTGGGAACCTGACGTTACGCGACCATGGGCAGGGGTAGCAATCCCGGAGAATCCACCGACACGGTCTGACAGGCGATTGATGCCAGGAAGGACACCATGGGGAGAGGCTGGACCTGCTTGCGCTAGTCTCTGTCCAAAATGAGCACTGATTCAGTAAAAATTCCAGAAGAAGCACGCGGGAACCCACCTTTATATATGGATGTACGGCGCCTGGCGTGACCTTAAGGTGAGGCACCGCGATCCCACCCCGCAAATCATAATGAAGCACGCCGGGGGTCGGAATAAAATCTGGCTGCGCTTCGTACATCGGTATGGGCGCGCTATCGCGCTGTTGCAATCGTGCATCGCCTGATGCGGGATACAAAAGGCTAACGTTCGCAGGGTGCACGAAGATCGCTGCAGATTCTGCGATGGCAGCTACGAATTGTGGAGTATCGAGGTCCATCAAACTCGGTTGCTGAGGTGGAAGGTGTCTGCCGCCTTGTGACACATGACGAGCTGTGCTCGGCAGCGCATTCTGCGCATACATGGCCTTTACACGTTTATGCTGGCAGGACGCGCATAGGGCGTGCGGGACCGTGCCGTCGGATTGCACAGCGGTTGCAGGGATTTTGATAATCACGCGACATTCAGCGCAGGAGACCATCTGAGCACGGCACATGAGATGTCTGTCGGACGTATGCGTTTTCATGCCTACAACGTTAGAGTCACGTCTCTTCCGCAATGCATTTCTATCGTGTTGGGCGCGACATGGGGGGCATATGTCCCACTTCCAGCCTGCAGCTAGCACATTGCGGCATCCGGGGCTGCTGCATGCCACTATGCTCGGCGTAGTCTTTGGGGCCGGTCGTTCTGGATAGTAATCATCATCAGCGTCATGGATAATGCATAGATTCTGTGCAATGAAATGCATCACACATCACAAGAGAACTCACTTCGCTCGTTGACGACGCGGCGCATGGCTCGATTAGAGCACCGATGAGTGCAATTTCTGTTCAACATGACTTCAGTGCTACTTTTTGTTGCCGGAAAATCTCGTTACTGACCAAAAGTTACAATTGACTTAAGAGCTCCCTTGGCTGAGCAATCCCGACAGCCCAAGGCAAATAAATGCCTGCAGCGATGAGCTTCCTCGAGCTTCGTGCCCTGTCAGAGCAAGCTCGGGTACGCAGGGGAGCAAGGAAACACGACACATCCAATCCAGTCCTTACGCAATCGAGGCGTCGGCTAGCTATGGAAGCGCGGGAGTTGTTGCTTTGAAAAATTTCCCGTCGGCTCGGTCATGGCGATCTGCGACTCTTGCCTTTTCCGAGTCGGCGCACCATCGCATCAAATCAGTGGCTTATATCCCCGCCCGCTTCAGCCTCCTTGCTGCTACAGCCATTGCTCCTACACATTCACACAGCCGATGACAAGGTTTCGGTCGTATGTATATTTTACGTATCATGGCCTTGCCGACGCGCTAGAAGGGTATCACATTCAAACACGCGGCAGGAGGTCCCGCCTGGCAATGGACGCCTATTAGATATCTGAGCACCAACCATGACATTCATCAGCATCCGAAAACGGTTCTCGCAGACTTGACGGCCGTCAAGGACAATCGCACTCTTACAGCTTGCACAAATAGTAACATGAAGGACATGAATGCGCCATAGGCGACGAAATAATGTATAACAATTGTTGGAGGGAGTGTGTGTGAGTAAGCAGTCACAAAGTCCGTTAGGGTCACCAATCCATCCCGCATCCAGATCACCATCTCCGATTATCATCTTCCAGTGCGCTCGCAGGGGGGACCGTCATCTCGTCCACAATGGTTATCCCAGGCGTGGTCGGCGTGACAGGGGAAAGTGGCGTCTCAGGAACCCTATTCCCTTCCGATTCCGCGAAGTCCTTGGACCGTGTCTTCTGCATCTCGCTTGGAAATGTCTGCGTGTAATCACCCGGTCGTGCCTCCGGCACACGCGACGCGCCTTCCATCATCGTAATCGACTGCCGTTCGGCTCCGTCATCGAGCGGAGGGCGCTCCATAGCGAGCGCCATACGGAGGCGTTCCATAACTTCCTTCACGCGCTTTGTCTTGCGCCCACCCCAGTAGATCAGGAAACCCGCAACGATTCCGGCAACCTAAAACTCAATGTCAAACAAGAGGAGCACAATGAGGGAAGAATACACATACGAAGGCGGCAGGTAGCGTAGTTGCGGTGGTCCAAGCCGGGCGCTGAAACCGATTCATGCTCCACATGCAGCCGCTAAGCAGACACTGTATGCCGATCATTATATTTCAGGACGATCCGCAGCTAACACAGCGTACTAACCTGAAAGAAGGTGTTCAGATCGTTCATTCCACATATCCAGACTGCGATACTGCAAGAGAGGGTTAGTCGCAGCTAAAACTGAGTTGTTTTGAAGCCATACTCAATTGGGAATGCCTGCAATTGTAATAAGCTCGGATACTTTAACGATTGTCGCGTAATGTACTCACCCGGTGCGTCTGCGTCCCATGAGGGCGATACCACGTCTGCGCCTGCATGAACTTATGCTGCTCTGATATCCTACGACTCAGAACACTGCGAGTACAAATGTTTGGACATACTCACGGTAGTGCAGGTCTATCTGCTCCTGCTCCGTCAACACTGGAATATAATTCGCGTCGTAGTGCGGATCCGGTAGATCATTCGGGTCGTAGAGCTCCGGCAAACCCGCTCTGAGCCGGAGCTTCTCAGTCTTGCGCTGATAGTACCAAATCTTGCAAACACCTGGAGAATCAACGCCGTGAGTCCGCTGATCGACTAATGTGACTGACAGCCATGATAAAGAAGACGCACGATATGTATCGACGATGCGAAATGGTCCTAAGCCGATACTTGTGACAGAGAATAATCCTGTATGAGGTGAAATGTTAGCACACGCATGCTCAACGGTCATATAGACAACATACCAGTTTCGATCTGCTGACAGACCTCGACCCAGAAGTCTTGCGTATTGTCGTTGTGCAAGTCGATGAACCGAGCGAGGAAAAGTACAAGCGCAGTTCCCCAAAATACTGCACGAAAGAGCCACTCAGCTAAGACGATGTATCCACCTGATGGCACGACTCACCAACGAGGAACCCATATACTGCTGTGACAATCTGCAGCCTTAACGTCAGATTCTGCGACAATTGAAACTTCTGGAATGCTTACGCCCAGCGCTAACAATGTATATGAGCACCAGTCGCATAAGGAGAACACTAAACCACATACGGGTCTTCACAAATGACCACACGCCCTGCATGACCCTGCGGAATCGGTCTCTCTTCCTGAGGACATCTTCCACATGCCGATCTAGATTGTCCTCGTCGTCATCAGCATCTTCCGCTCGTCCTTTCTCAGCGTTGTTTGTTCTTGATTTCCTCCGTCGCCTGCGAGGCAGGACGACCACGGGCTTGCGGGAATAGAAGTCTAGAGGGGGTCTAGGGATACCTTTGTCAGCGAAGCGCATCGCTCGACTCCACCAATTGAACGTACATCACAATCGCGTTTGCCGCGTTGGTAAGTGTGGCAACAGTGGATATCTGAGGGTCTATATCATACACATTAGGTGAGTCCTGACGCTTGTAAACGAGCGCTGGGGTATACCTATCACATCAAGATGCTCGACAATGTCATCCGGGTGGTGCTCTCCATCCCAGTCGAGCTGCAACATCTCTGAATCAGGCAAGCTGAGTGCACTCCCAACACGCCCCGGCTCCCGATCATCTCTAGGCACGAGTACATCCATCTGTGAGCCCTGCAGCGACATCATACCCTCGTCTCCTTCACGATGTCGCGTCAGCGGGTGCGCCCGGCTCTTCTCGACTGTCCTGCACGGGGGGAAGAAGGGGTTATGATTTTCGCTGAAGTGCTGCGAAGAGCGATATCCAGTTCCCGTTCCTTGTGGTAGCCCCGTGTGCGGAGCGGGTATCGTGTTCATTACATGCTGCGAAACCCTTGAGGGACGGCAGTTCGAGGACATAGGCCGTGGGGCCGCATGGTTGGCCTGGATGCTATTCTCGGTGGATGTGGACGCCCTCGCATGCGCCTGAGTGGTGTTATGCTCGCGGTTCGTTTCTGGGACATTATGCAGCGAGGGTGGACGCGCAGTTTGAGGAGTAAGCGCATCCGCAAGAGAACGTGTTCTTGATCGATATGAACCATTCAGAGCTCTGTGGCGATTAGCAGGTGCGTCCTGGAGAGGTGTGTAGCCGCGCTTGACTCTGACGGAGGGCATGGGACTTTGAGCGAAGGGAGCGACGACGGATGTGCACGTCGGATGAGGAGCTGAGGCGGAAGGAGAGGAAAAGCGTATGGAGCTGAGGATGCATGGTGCCTAAGGACATGATATTTGCAAGTGGAGTGGGAGCTGGTGTAAATGAGCAGTCCCTCGGTGGATTTGATCGAGCCTGCAGCTCCGACTGAGGTCACCGCCGCGCCAGGTCCATCTTACTGCCCCGCCACGTGCGCTGCCATATACGGCAACTATAGTATTCGACTTCGCGACGGCTCCTGCGCAATACCAACGAGTGTTGCAATTAGCACGATCTATTGTACGTAGATAGCAATGCGTGGCAGATAATTTAGAGGTAAATACGAAAGAAAGCATAGCCCAACCCTGTCCACATTACTCGTTCTTAGTGTTGATCTTCTCGCGAATGCTGGCCTGAGGGTCGAGCTTTTGAGGCAGTTCTACGAGATGCAGTCTGCGTATCAAACATTAGCTAAACCCTTTCGCTTCATATTATGATGTTAACGCTTACACTAGCGGCAGAGACGTCTGAGTCCATGCTTGACCGTGGTCCCGTTGTATGCTTGCGCTTGAACACGCTGAGTACACGAACCCTTCCACTACGTGCGGCGGCCACCTGCTCCATGGCGTCCTCCGGCAGTGGCTCAGGCTCCGCCGTGAGGTCCTTAGCAAGTATGGGTTGCGATTTAGATTGCCGACTGAAGAGAGATATTCCACGTTGGCGCTTAGTCTCCGACGTCGTCGAGCTCGGAGTGTTCACCGTGGAACTAGAGGAAGTCGTCGCCGAGGTGTTATTGTGACGTCCATGGAATGGCAAAAATAAGCTTGGTGAATTAGGACGCTCATCCTGCGTATGACTATGATGGCTCTTGTTGGAAATCCACTTGGTCTTCGAGATCAGCTCGCGTGCGACCGGTAGTACGGGAACGAGCGGTTGCTGGAACGCCATCTTAACCCAGCCACGCCAATTGCGGCCCGAGGGTATGAACTGGTCAACGAGCTCTTCGAACTATCGAGGCCTCAGCATTCTGTAAACTGAACAATATCGAGACACGTACGCTCCACGTCTGGTTGCGGTATTCGAGTGCTCGTGTACGGATGCGTGCATCTCGACACAGGAACGAGTCTTCCTTCGCGATACTGAGTAGCAAGTGCAGACTGGGACGATACGTTAGGATAGCATCCGCATACACGCGAACCATACTCACCTATTCACCTTGACCCACACGAACGTCTTTTGCGACGACCGCGTCTTCATCACCGTCGCATCGTCGATCTCCCTCGCACTCCGCGCCGACGGGCGGCGATCGAGGCCTTCTGTGACCTTGCTACCCGACTGTGACGGCGATGAGAACGCCAGAAGCGCGTCTGTCGAGCGCGTCTTGTGCAGCTTCGGCGCCACCATTGAGTCGCTCATCGTATTTCGGAGGTCGGTGAAGGACCGCGACGCGCCCAGCTTGCGCAGCGGGCTTGCCGGGGCGAGTCGGTGTGAGTCGTACGACTGGCGAGGCGCTCGCGGGGAGACGTCCCAGGACGAGCGGCGCGGGCTCATGGGGCTCTCTGGGACAATGACGACGTTCGACGACTCGTCGAAGGCGCTCGGCGACTCCGGGATGTCGTCGAACGCTTGCACTTCGTCCTCTGTGTTGTGTCGATGCCGCCGTGCGGGCCAGACGTACTCCATGATCTTACGGCCTACGCGAGTGTCGATCTGCAGTCGCATGGGGTGGAAGGTGATCTCGAAGCGTTCATAGATCGTGATGCCTCCCACGGGTGGGAGAACTGTCCAGTCAGCAACGAGGAACAACTTTTGCTACAACAAATCATCAACTAACGCGGATGCGGAGATGATATCGTGCATACCTTCACGAGAGGATGGCTAGACGGCTCATCGTATCTCGACAGGATTTCCGTCCATTCAGCGTCAGCGGACCCGTCGAACGCCTGGAGGTCACCAACGACAAGGTTGTTCACAGTAGAGCTGTCCTGGCGACTAAGCCAGTAGAAATGGATGTCACGGACAGCGAGTTTGGCGAGGAGCTGGTCTTGCCGGTCCAGCATCCCCCAGGAAATCTCCGAGGATGATGCGTGCAGTAGTAGAGCTGACTTCTGCTCAGAACCTTCGTTTGCCTTGTCCTGTGCGAGCTTTATTGCATCGAAGATGAGATTGAGTTCGTCCGCCAGCAGGAATATATGCGCGTCGATCTTGTAGACTTCCACCTTCCCATCATCTCCGAAGCCTTGGAGTCTCTGCACCGCTTCTCTCCTGGTCTCGAGGGCATGTCTTAGACGGGCCTGCATGTTTGCCACGACATCGGCAGCAGATGCGAGATTCGTGAAATCGTAGCTGAAGAGCATCTTCTCCAGCTTGTCGGCACGGTCCTTTAGGGCAGCGTCGGAGAAGAGAATCAACTTCGTGACTATGTTGGAGATGAATTGGAAGTGCTGGTCATTGGCGGAGACCGTGAAGCGTGGAACATGCACTCGCACGAGGTCCTGTATAGGGGTTGAGTGGATCTCCATGCAAGTCAGGCCAATGTGGATGCTTACAGTATGGTTCTGGAGATGGTCGTGCGGGTGATTAGCATCGTGAATACTTCGAGTCAAAGATGCAGCATTGGTACGAAGTCGTAGGCGATTGAACTTGTCATACTGCAACGAAGCATCCGTTTGCGGCACGAGCCGGTCGAACTGGCTATTCTCGCAACGCAAGTCAATCAACACCTCCAGAGGAACATATTCGTCACCAGACTTGTTTGACGCTGAAGGTGAGAACGTCTGCAAACCAGTCACCGAAGCAAAATTCCTACATCAAAGATATAAGTATATTGAATGTGACAGTCAGCCTGCCGGGACCCACCTACTCATGACCTTACCGCTAATAGGGTCATCCGCGTTGGCGTCATCCATAATATTGTACGACTTCATCTTCCCTTGCACAGCTGCCAGAACGCAGACAGAGTCGGCATCCGACTCTGCCGTCGCCTCGCTTCTTAGAACAATCTGCGGCTTCAATAGCAGACAGAAATCGCTCTTGCGAAGGGAAACACCCTGCGACCAGCCGTCTAGTGGATCAGCAGCTCCCGGGGCTTCCATGATGGGATATGACACGCTCTCCACGCCTGTGCTGCCGTCTCCTGTCAGGAAGTTCCGGACTGCTGCGGCTGCGGCTTGCGCACTGGCAACAGGTCCGCGAGGACCGTCCGACTCATGAAGCAGATCAGCGAGTGCACTTTTTGCCTGATCTCTGATGAACTTGACCGCGCTGGATGGATATGAGTTCCAGTACGTCTGATCTCGATGGTGAATCACTGACCGCGTTGCCATGTGATACTCGATACCGCGTTTCGCACGAGAGCAATAATAATATTGCATCATGATCTACATAATACGTCAACACAAGAACCAGGCGATGAAACGCGGAACGCACATCGCGAATGGTTTGATTCATGAAAATCTGTGGAAAGTGCAGTTGATAGACATTGTCAAATTCAGCCCATTCTTCTTGAGAAACCGCCTCTGAAGGCATGTAGTAATTATGTTGCGCAGCCGATGCCTCAATTTTCTCCAAATGAAGGCCGTAGCTGTTCAGCAGGGCGATGTTCTTGCGTACGCTCGTAGATCGTTCGTCAGCCTGTAGCCCCAAGAGCCGTCAGCGATACATGCCGTCCAAACGTCGTGAAACATACTAGACCATGTGAGCTATCATAGCAGTCAGCGGAATGGCTACGTTCGCATTGCCCTGATGTATGCTCAAGTTTGTGTTCGAGTTCTCTGATACGTGCAGCTGTGAGTGCAATTTGAACTTGGGTAACAGCTGAAATGCGTTGATCAGTACTGATGGTATTTATACTTGATCCAGAACTTACAAGCCTCCTTGCCCAGATAGCATGTATGCGTGTCCTCGTTGCCAAATTTGCTTCGCACAACTGGACCTCCAGACGGACTCTCATTGTTATCAACGGCGCGTTTGAAGTACGTAAATTGCGGACAGCGAGCGGCGGGCAACAAATAGACGGTCGGCGGTGCGGATGGCGCCCATTCCGGCTTGCTAAAATCATCCGCATCCAGCCATAAGGACTCCGCAGAGATTGGGTCTGCCTTGATCTTGGTCCTATAATTGCTCAGAAGCGGAGACGACTCCATCCGCACTTGTTGTTTGAGGGGTTCTTCGAAGACGGCCAGCATTGATCGTAGGTCAAGACCTTTCGTAACGACCTCGATAGCGTAGAATGCTTTATGATGAATGGCCTTGGGTCCGTCACGGATGATACGAGTACTTTCTTGATCTCTCTGATGCATATCGGCTTGGAAGTGATCTATAAGAGTTTTGACTCCAACATAAGGAGTAACACCGTCTGCCCAAGCATCCCGCGAATTGTCGACATATAGATGTGATATGAAAATCTTTTCGAAAGAGATCCGGTACTTCAATGTAGCAAGATGTTGGCCAAGCTTCGGGGAGACGGGCCTCTTGCGAGCGTATAGAGGGCCTTGGCGGATCGGAAGAGACAACGCACCGTCAAACAAATGATACCAGGCCCAGAAGTGCTCGAAGACTTCCGGCGACAGATGTATGCTACTTTGCTGTTGAGTAAGATGACGACGGCCTTTGTGAACGGCAGATGTGAGGGATAATGACATATGTATGAAGTCAGATCGGAAACCGTTGTACGAATCCTCCGCTGACTGTATGATGGGGTAATAAGCATAGGTCTACGCAAAAGACAAACTTGTGATTGTGCAAGTACCTTGGGCTCCGGAGCCTGCTCTTTCGTTTCCAGTTTCACATTGTAGTGTGGCTTGAAATCAAAGAAACGACATTTGCGGTCAAAAGGTTTGCCGCTGCATTCCTGACACTCCGGCCCACAAGCCCTTTCGAGAGCAAAGCCAACGCCGAACCGCACGCCGGAGCTCAGTTTAGCACAGACCTTAGGCTCGCGGGACTTGCTGGTTTCTGACTCCGTGAAGGGCACTGATGATATCGATGGCATGTGCAACTGTCCTTCGGACCTGCCATCGCCCCAGGTGTCCACTAAGCTGAGTATATGCGCTATCAGACTACGGGCGAGCCAGATACTAATGCCGCTCACTTTGGAATGATGACCAACATAGAATCACTGATCACTTGTATCAGTTCATTCTGATCATTTGGCTGTCCGATGAGTAGCTGGGGATTCCCACTCCAACATAGAGCGAACCCTGCACCAGGTCCTTTGAGACTGTAGGGATCACGTGAACCTCCGCCGATTCAGTGACTGTAGCTGGATGACTGTGAAGCAGTATCACCTTTCATGTGCAGATGTATATCGCCCGCAAATAGAACCTTCAAGCGCCAATGGAAGACGAGTCGCAGCTAGGAGTTGTGCACCCATTGCTATCAGACTAAGTGACTAGATACCAACGTACGACACACCTTGTCCCAGAAGCCAATGGGAGGAGAGCAGTCCCGCGGAGCATGTGAAAGCGTGTCGATGATCCTCATGAGATCCTGCGTGGCAGCGCCGTAGCTGACTCCCCATGAGAAATCAGTTGTACCCGAGGTCAGGACTCGTATCGTAGGCTCAGCGTAAGTCTTGACAGGCATAATTGTTTTCGGTACCATTATAGACAAGTGGGCAGCGCCGTGAAGTCCTTGATGAGCCGGAACAACCTCCGCGGGGAACCATTCGACAGAAGATTCGGTGCCCATTTCCTCCGCAATTACTACATGACCATCGAATTCAAGGGCTGGCGAGCCTTCAGAGGTATTTGGCGGAATGTTGAGCAAAGGAAGAGGATATTCGCGGAACGAAAACCGTAAGGAGGCTACTGTAAAGTTCAGATGGAGTGGTACCAACAGCGAGAACTCTGTGTCCTTGGGGAGCCCATTACCCGCGGCGAAAAGGAAGTCAGGGACGTTGTTGATGAGAGATGGAGGTGCGATGAGATGTAAAGATAGCGAGTCGAACGTTAGTCGGAATAAGGGTGGGATGGATCTCAATGGGTTAACGCGCACGAGATCTCCAAACGTGTCTTCCTCACATCGAGTCCTAGCTGCATAATATGCGTAAGATACCTCACGAGCCGCTTGTGTCTGCTTCGCCTTCACGAAAGCTGACCTCCAAGCGACGGAATGTACCTGATGAAGCCGCTGTCGAGCGTTGTCCACCGACACAGTGTGCTTGTTACCGAAATGGAAGTCAGGGTCGACGTCACCAGGCTTAGAGGTTAGACTTGAGCCGTGTGATGTACGAATTACGGAAGCTTTGGCTTCGAATGCTTCGTCTCTCTCAAGCCTAACCCGAGAGGCCTCTGAACCTGCTCGCCAGATAAGTCCTAAGTTTGACTCGAGATCCTCGTCGGCGGCTTGAACCGTCAAGCAGCGGACTTTGATGGTAATGTCCGGGACAATCTTAGCCTCCTCGGCCTCCGGAGCGGGAGGCTGGGAGTATTTCCCTGCAGCTACCATGCGTATCAGATGCTTTGAGCTCTTCACAGTGAGATTGATGTCGAGAATGAGGTCTGCCAATACAAAGTCAAACGGTATGTGGAGACGACCGCTGTCACCCTCAACCAAAAGGGAGGGTGGACGCGTACTCGAAGGTATTGTCACTCTCCAATCAGTCAACCGAACGAGTTCTTCCCAATTTTCTTTCTCCCGCCCATCACGAAGCGTCGTCGCAGCAACTGCGAGAGTAAGGCTGCTCCACTTGACCTGCATTGCTTCCTCAGGAAGCAGCTGGCAACGTAGATTGGAGATACGAGCAAACATCTTCGACCGAAGAGGGAACTCGAAGAGCACTTGAAGCTCTCTGAGATCAGACTGGAAATGTAACGCGAGAGTTGAGGGGGCGGCGACAGTCTTGGAGACAGGCTTCGGGGATGCAGGTGTGAGCGTCTTAAGTGTCTTGGCGGCCAGGAGCATATTATATATATGGGCGAGGCGTAAGGAGCCGCGCACTTTCGATACGAGGACCGTAATCAGGAGGTCGTCCTTGACACCCGGACGATACGAACCGTTCGGTCGCATACCGGAGAGGATGACGTCCACGTCGATAGACTTGATCCGGACGGACTCACGAGAAGCGGGGCTGCCGTCCCCGTCAGCGTAGCAATATGGATCATCGGCAGTAAATCGAGTTGCGATGGCATCCCGGAGACCAACATCCCAAAGCGCGATACCTAAGAGAACACGGGTGTTTGGCATAGCCGACGGCACGGTCGCACCAGCCACTGCTTTTACGATGTTTTCAGAGGGAAGTGATAAGCTCAGTCGTTTTTGACTCCGAGGAAGCAGGTCGCGGATGCGGTCAGAGTGCCTGCTATGGACAGCACAATAGCTGAATGATATGCCGGAGTGGATCGCGACTCCACGGGTGAGCTCAAGTTCATCTCCGGGTGCGATGTCCGGCCCTGTGACAAAGACAACCAAGCGGCCGACTGCCACGGATGCGGCGATACCGAATGGGAGGTGGTCAAGGACGTACTGCGGTGAGTCTCGCTTCACAGGCGGCTTGGGTGAACCGCCGAAAGTCCTCGCCATCCTGCGCACAGCGCCAATCACGCCCGGCTGCCACAGCTCGATGGAGATGGCTTCCGTCGAGCAGTGTAATTCCGTAAACAATGATGGTACGTCCATAGTCACCGCGCCATGTAATTCATCTGCAATGTCGCCGAGGGAGGAGCCATGTCCTGATATTTCGATCGCTTCCAGCGACAAGAGGTTCTCTCCCGGGTAGCTGGAGGAGCCAGGCAGTGGTCCGGGATGATGTCCTTCGCTCATGTCCGATCCGAAACAGACGCTGACGAACGTACGGTGAAGTGCGCATTTGAGGTAGAAGTCCATCTGCAGCCCTGGGTGGTCGTGCGCCATGTTAGACAGGTGTTTGTCGGTCATAAAGCGATACTGGGAATCGAAAGACGTCATGAAGCCATCTGTCCGCGCCTCGAGCGCAAACGGGCCTTCGTCGCTGCTTGTACCGGTCGAGATGAGGCGCACGAGGACAGGCCCGATCTTCATGCCGAAGGCTACTCTGGGGAGGGGGGAAAGTACGGATGGGAGGAGCGTGCGTGACTCGGAATGCGGCTTTGGGCTCGGCCTATTCGCGAGCATACTTTGAAGGACCTCTAGCCGTTCCGTGAGCCGAATGGAACCCAGCTCGAGATTCACCGCCAAGAGCTGGGAGTTTGGGTCGCCCGACATGAACGTTGGACCACATACCCAGGGAAATGGCCACTGAGACACGACGGCGTCGATTTTGACTAGGTCCACGGATATAACCTGAAGATGGTCTACGACAGCGCCTGATCCAAATCTGTCCAGGGTAAGCGAGCTGACAGAAAAATCGAGACGGTAGACGTCTGCGCTCAGATCGTCGTTGGGCACACTCCGTGAGCCAAGATATTGGCGGTGCATCGAGTTGATATCTGGATGGCTTAGACCACCACCCAAGTGAAGATTGTTCATTGTGACAGCAAAGACTTGAGAGACATCTGTCTGCACGGGTGTTAGGCAGTGCCGCAAGGTCAGCTTGTTCACATTGAAGCTGACAGCTTTGAACATCGAGATGTGAGTTTGCTGTTCCACGGACAACTCAGCAGTGAATTAACTGGCGTGTATGAAGAGTTCAATGCTCACAGCGTCATCTCGTCTGTTTAGCTTGCGGGCGGGTGTCGGACCAAAACCCCAACCGAAGCGCACAGACGCCTACAACCAACTAATCAACATCACTGAATAGGGATGTTAGATGTGGGATCTTTACGGATGACAGAGCCTCCCTGAGAGGAGACCCTGGGGACATGGGAGATGACCATGTCATTCGGCGACTTTCCAGAGACGATGGCCGGAGCGGCGGACTGAACGTAGGCTGAACGTTCGGCTGTGTGCGATCAATGGGGGTATCCAAAGTCCTATCCTCCTTCTTGAGAGCTTTCATTAGGTATTTGACGACGTCGATGTTGAGATTGACTGCATCCAGCGACAAGGATGTCGTCACACTATGAGGTTGAATGGCTCTGTGAGGATCGATGCAGAGAGATACTGTGAATTCTGTCGACGCGATGTCGACAAATGATACCATACCTGCAAATCTAGTTAGTCACCTCAGCGATAATGGCAACAGTCGTTGTTATTACCGACGGAGGGTATTGAGAGTAGATCATTCAGAGCCAGAGCAGATGATGTGCCCGAGATGTCCTTCACACGAACAGAAAGAGATGTTGTCACTTGAGTCGCACCCCAGGCCTTGTCCCAAGTACGACGTACACTGCTCGCCAGGCGAGCGTTCCAGTCTGCGACACTGGTGAACCGTCTGTGTTGGACTGGGCGTGCAAGCGTAGACTCCGGTATGACTAGGCTGCCCAGAGAAGAAAGCGATACCTTGGTGTGGACTTGGACTTGTGCAACCGCGAGCTCCACGCCTGGTATTGCCGAAAGCGTGACAACAGCAGATTGGAGCTCAAAATCGAGCACATGGGTGAGTGCAGGCAATGCTTGTATCACCACGCGCAGTACTCCGACAATAGTCGACCGGATGAAAGGTCGTATGTAGGGGTCGACAGAGGCATAGATAACCCCCAGCACACGCCACGCCTTAGACAGCATTTGGCGCATACGAGGTGTAAGAGATTTAGATGGCAGATGCTGCGGCTTCGTACGACTCAGTGAGGGCTTGATGATTGATGTATCCTCAGCCTCCGCGAGTTCCAGCTTGAGGCCCTCTACCACCAAGGAGAACCGACTTGCAGTGGTTGCTGAAGGACGGTGATACGATATGCCGACCCTTTCAATCTGCCATGTCCCACTTCCTGCACGGAAGTATATGCCACGAATGGAGCGTAAGCTTACGCTACGTACTTGCAATCGTTTCGAGACGAGTCTGAGGATTGAAGGGCCCACGTATGTCCGGAACAGCAGTGAGAGCGATACGATCCGTAGTGCCCAGAGAACAATGATTGCCCAAGCTGAGTACTCTCCCGGATGACTTAACAGGAGCAAGCGCAATGCGAGAGAAACGTAGCTCAAGGCCATATTGGTGTCGGCGCGCTCCGAGTCGCGGTTTCCAGGAGCGAAATAGGAGCGAAAGATCCGGAGGAGAGCAAATGAGACTTAGCCTCTAGCAGGATGTGTAGAATAGTTGACCTGCATGAGACAGTGAAGTCGTGGTACGGTGGCAGCCAGTCGGGAATCACGAAACCCGCGGACGCGTCGGTCTTCGGCGTCACCAATTACATCGCCACGTGCTTAGCCGCTCAGGATCTCGATGCAGTGATCGGGTGGGCTGGACCCAGTCTATAAGTACTTGAGGTACCAGGAACTGCAGCACGCTTGATGAATTGTGTGGAAGATCGCCTGATCCTGGTAGAGAATTCGGCAAACATGTGCTTATCAGGGAAGCTATGCTTTTATCGACCTACATCATCACCTCACAAGATGCTGGTCGATGTATACAATCAAGACAATTTAAAAGTATCAAAGTTACTGCTAATCTTCAGCATCCATCTCCAGTACGCTGCAACAGACATTTCGTCAAGGATTTCATTCAGACATCGGTATAGGTACTCACCACTCTTCAGACTCCCTGCGTGATGGCGTGTAGGCAGAGAATGTGAATGAATTACCTCCAACAAAACTTCCAGGATTGAATACGTGACAGCCCTCGTAAGTCATCTGGAACCTGTCGTACTTATCTGCGAGTACCACCTGCAGCAAGATGTTAATAGTGGGTGCCAAGCTCAGAGCGGATGTAGCTACCGCAGTAGGAAGCGGATACAACCGCAGTGTGTGATCGAAGTCGGGCTGAACAGGCTGGATGGATATGGTGAGTGGTACCAAATGGCTCTGGTCAAGTATAGTTTGAACAAGCTAGAGAATCAATATCAGTCGTTGTAGAAGGTAAATGGACAGGGAATTGGTTAGCCCACATAACGCTTTAAATCATCATTCTTGACATTTTGCTTGACGCCAACTAGGTTCCGCAACATTTTTGCCATCAGGTTCTCTCTGAAGATGACTATCTCTTGTTCAAAGAACTTTATGCGACACGGGTTGCTTGCCAAGTGCACTTTTGGCACACGGGATTTCAAACGCGAGACGAAAGCGGACAACAATGGGCGTCGAGGCAAGATGGAGTTGACGGCCACGTCTAACGGACCCGGTACAAAGACGAAGTGTGTGGTACGCGTGATAAGCGGATACGATGCAATCAAGTCGGCTAGGGTGTCCAAATTGTCTGCGGGGACGGAAGTCAGCCACGGTGTTGTGGAGCAACAAACGCATCATACCTTGGAATTTTCGTGCCTCTCTGCTGTCGCCTTGCGGAATCCCTCGACTGCTAAAATTGCCACAAAACACCATCACTTTTGGAACGAAGCTGTTCTCCATGCAGTTGTCGAACATCTTGCGTAGACCGCTGAGCGTGTCTGGATGATCTAGCCAAACATCTGACAGCACAAAGAAGCGCAAATCGGCAAGGTCGAGTCTGACGCGGGCAGCAAGTTGCGTCTGTATCGATTAATGTAAGTTGATGCAAAGCTGGCAGATACGACTATGCTCACATCTTCGAGGAGTGTTGTGGCCCCTTTGCCTAGAAAGTCGACGTGGCCGAAGATTGATCTAATACAGTCAATACACATCTCAAACTTGTGGGATTCCGCTTACCGTGCAGCTTCCCGGCTTTCGCAAGGAGGGTGGCCAATGGCTATTACAATGAGTGTGGCGTCTTCTGAATATTCCCCTTCCACAAGGGCAAAGCATCCTTCGGTAAATAGACCTTCGCTTGGCTGGTCCTGTCACCAATAATTGTCAACCAACAAAAAGTCGACACAATAGGAGAACAGACAAGTTGTGAGAAATCAAGTTCCACGAAACCATCTTGGTCTTCTAAACAGAGTTTGCCTTCTTTATTATGAGCTAGCATTCCGAAGAGAAGGAATCGTTCTCCAGCGCGGCCCAGTAATTGTTTTGTGGATCTTAGCTATGCTAGTGTTATCATTGGAAGCTAGCGACAGAGATGGATGACTATGTACCGTCAAAAGATGCTCTCTGTCACGAGATGGAAGAGTTGAAGGAGAGAAGTGATCGTTTCGAAGGATGGACTGCTTGATAATGTTGAGTCTATTGCGCATTGCCAAGACTCGAGAGTCTGCAGAGCCGGATACTGTGAGCGGGCCCGCTGCTCTGGAGTGCCCCAGTCTATCCGTAAGTAACTTCTCAAGGACTAATGATTGGCACACCTCTCGAATGTACTCCTTTCATGTGACCAATGCCACAGTGGCATATCAAACGCGTTCACTACAAACATGTGGCTTTCTGGGTCGAGAAGTTCATGTTCTTGGCTATGACTGTCTCCTGAGCCTTGAAATGCTTCATAAACTCTCTGAAGAACATCGACGGAGACCTTCATCTGTGCGTCTACAAATTACCGTGAACAGACAGCTAAGTGGACCGAGCGGACGAACTCGCCATCTTGTTTATTATATTCCTTGGCGATCCATTCAATGGAATATTCAACGTCCCCATCAGCAATCTCATGTTGATCCAATATTTCTTCCAGAAATTCCAGGGCTTCCGGACCCAACGAATGGCTGTACTTGCGGAATACCTGCATTGTGACCAAGTTTCGGTAGCTGGACTAGCAAACCTCGTCCTACAAACCTTAATGATGATCTTTTGGCGTTGGCCAGACATGTCTTCACAAATTATGGCCAGAACTTATATGAGAGTATAGCACTCAGTCAAGCTTATAGCTTTGAAGGCCCGAAGGAGAAGACGCGACGCGACGCGTCGCGCCGGAACTTGAATATCGTGTCGATCGCGTCTTTCCACTTTTGGTCTTTCGATCACAGTGGCTTGGGCAGTACTCGCCTTCAGGCCACCAGCTGTTTGCACCGTCGAATAGGCAGTAAATGCCACAATAACAATTCATGAATCACTTTTTTTCGTGCCACACCTAGCTTACATTACTGTTTGAACAAGTTTGACCATACAGTGCGCAGTTCCTCTAGGTCAGATACCGTTGAAATACCACTGTCGTCTGGAAATAACCCCGCGTCTCCCCCTATTTCCTTCTCCTTCCCTCCTTCCACCGCGACTAGACCACGCTCACAGAAATGGACACACCTCCCCCAGCCAAGCTTGTGTGCTGCGAGGACATTGGTTCTACTATCGTCAACGAAATAACATTTCGAAGGATCGGTGACTCCAGCGTTCCTCAGTGCCTGTAAACCCACTTGCTTTATGTGATCAACTAAGCTTCAGTAGTATGTGGCACATACCGCCTGATAGTATTCGGCCTCCGGCTTGCACGAAAAATTCGGCAGTGAGTAGTCGCAATAGACAAGACCCTCAATCTGATCCTCAACGCCGAGGATGCGCAATACGCGTTGAGCGTGCTAGGACCCGAGCATTCACAGCCAGCCATGAGCTCAGTGACAATGCCGACCCACTGTACGATACGCATTTGTCAGAGCCCAAACGCGAGTTTTGCTACGGTCGAAGTCCTCTAACAGTTTTCGAAGCTTGGGATCGGGCTTCAGCGTTTCCTCCAGCGGTAAGGACCCATCGCATTTACGATCGAAGTCTAGCGCGTCTGGGTATGCGTTCGCATGAGCACTGCAAGTGTGCCAGACCCTCCGATGCGACCTCACCAACATGATGATGCCGGACCAAGCCTCGTAGAGCTAGACCGTACTGAGTGTAGTACTTGTGATGGAGTTCTGATGCCTCTTCTTCGGGAAAGCCAAGCGAGATGAAGTAGGCTGTAGGACGGCATGTGAGCATAGCGACGTGGTTGGCAGGACACCAAGAAAGATCAGGACCATGTATCCGTTCCCCCATAGCCTGAGAGATACGTGCGCTAGCAGAGTATAGGGTATTGTCAATATCTAGCCAGACAATGCAACGGTCGTCGTCTGCAATAGCGAGCAGGATTTGGTCTTAGTTAGCCCGTGCATAGGTACAGTCTAATGATTCTGACTTCTTTCATCCGCGGAGGTTGTCATTGCAGAAAAATCGTGGTGTATCTGTGGCCCGATAGCAAAGGATGCGAGTGGACTGTAGCGAAAAGAACAACAACCAGTAAGTCTAAACCTCAAGCTTGTTCCCCGAGTCAACAGCGCTAGCGACATGCAGGAGCCGATAACGCGGAGCGCTTAGAGAGTCGCCATCAAATCCAGATTTAGCAAATCATCCTGGGTGCTGACTAAGCACGTTCTCCCTGTCGAAGCTTCACCAAGAGGGCTGTCAACACAGTCCAGCAAACCTCAAGACCCGACTCAGTGAGCATCTATTTCTCTGGTTGGCATGAAATATTGGCTGTACGGCCGAGATATCACACCCGGTCGAACGAATGGTCCCATTACGACCGGTTTCGGGGTGGATGCGAGCCCGTCAATCAGGATGCACCGTCCGACCGCGCAACTAAGTCAGTCTTCAACATCTGTACTAACACACGTCTCTGCAGATGGCCCGTAGCAAGGAACTCGTACCCGGCGTGGGGCGCCTCTCTCGCTCCCAAGTCTTCGCCCGCCGTGGTCTCTACAAGGGCCTCAAAAAATCCGAGAAGCCCGCAGCGCCGGAGGTTGCAGAGACCAAGGAGAAGGAGATCGGTGGGGAGAAGAACGGTGGAAAGCGTGTTATCCCGGTCGCGAAGGCGCCGCGATTCTACCCCGCTGAGGACGTCCGCCAGCCCAAGAAGAGCCGGAAGTCGCCCAAGCCCACGAAGCTGCGCTCATCCATCACCCCTGGCACTGTTCTCATTCTGCTTGCGGGTCGCTTCCGGGGGAAGCGCGTCGTATTCTTGAAGCAGCTGGAGAGTGGTCTGCTATTGGTGACCGGTCCCTACAAGGTCAACGGTGTGCCCCTTCGCCGGGTCAACCAGGCCTATGTCATTGCAACGTCAACGAAGATCGATCTCGCTGAATTCAAGGTGAGTATTGGAGTGATTTATCATTCTTCAATCAGGTCTCATATCCTGTGGCAGGCCGACGAAAAGATCAACGACGCGTACTTCGCAAAAGCCGCTGCTAAGGGCCCCCGCTCGGCAGAAGCAGAGTTCTTCTCTGAGGGCAAGCCTAAGGAGAAGGAGGCCTTCCCCGAGTCGAAGGCGGCCGACCAGAAAGCGGTTGACGCTGCTGTAATCGCTGCCGTCAAGAAGACGGAGAACCTCAACAAGTACCTCAAGGCGAGCTGGGGTCTGTCGAAGGGTCAGTTCCCTCACCAGATGGCTTTCTGAGGGTAGTACTGGTTCGGGGACGCGGCGCAGGGGTGCGGGCTTTTATCGCAGAGCGGCAGATATCTCGTTCACTTAGGCTATGACTACGATATGCTATGTAGCATCATATGATCTCTCTTTCTCGCAGAGAATGGGCAGGGACGGATGGCCACTCGTTCTTGTTTGTGTATCATATAACGCCATGAATATCCTTTGCGAATGAACGATTCGAATGCTCGCTTCTACCTCGAGTGGTTATTTCTTCGGCACGAGGTCAAATTGGCGCCGTCTCTTGAGCCGGACCCCATGCTAACTGCAACCTTCGCGAGGACCACTTCATATCGGTATGCCGGCCGAGTACACTCATTACAGGCGAGAAGAACATCACGCTCGTCCCGAAAATTCGCGTCTGCAGCAATTCAGAGCCTCACAGATGGCTTTCTCGACCTAGCCATCGCATTGCCATTGCCTCCCGGCTTGCCACCATACTCCACCACGATCATACTGGTGACGGCCGTCTCCCGTCTCATCTTCACCGTACCATTTTCTATCTGGGTGAGTTCATAAATCCGACTATTGACACATGTCTCATAGCTGATGTGTATTGTCTCCTTGCACAGGCTAAGAATCGACAATGGAGGGCAGAGAACTTCGTCATCCCACAACTCCGGCAGGAGATGCCACAGCTGTACCAACGTGCGATTCGGGACATGAAGACGGATGGCTTTAGAGGAGATGAGGATGCAGCGCGAGCAGAGGTCAACAAGAGAACGAAACCACTTGTATGTCGTTCAGCTCTATACCGCTCGAGTTCTACAGCTGACGACAGGCTGATTGACAGGCTGAAGTCAGGAAGAAGGAACTACTGGCGTTACATCGATGTTCTCCCCTGCCAAGTATGCTTATACCGCCACTGACCCAGCTGCCATTGTTTGTCGGGTTCAGCATGGTGCTCAATAATGCCTCAAAATCGCCTACTGTCTTCGACACTGAACAGTTTGCCACTTTGACGTCGCTGGTGCATTCCGACCCGACTTTGACCTTGCCGATTGTGCTCGGCCTCGTAACGTTAGCCAACGTCGAGTCAGCAAGGTGGTTCCTCGACGCCGCAACGCTTGAGAGGCAGAAAAAGACAGCCAAGTGGGTCGCTGCGAGAAGGGCCAAGGGAGAGACCGTCGTGGAGCCCCATAAAGTCATCCAGTCAAGTCTTCGAGCGCTGTCCGTTGCCCGTATTCTGATAGCAGCCGTCGTTCCCGGAGTAAGTTTCCTTGCACTACGATTCTAAAGGTGTTGTGATGTTGACGCTAGCGCAGAGCATTCAAATTTACTGGGTAGCGTCTGCTACGTTCGGTCTCATTCAATCATGGGTTCTCGACTGGTGGGATGCCAGAAGAACGCGCAAATACAAGCAAGTCTTGGCAGTAAAGTCCGCACCAAAGCGGTGAACACGACGAGAACTAAACAGTCAAGGTGAGTAATCATTCCCTCTTGAGCCCGTTGGGCCGAATGACTAGAAAAGTGGAATGAGGGAACTAGCGTCATACTCTTCCAAGAGTGCTTGGTTCCCCGTGATACATTCTTGATCTAATATGATGTATTTTGTCAAGCTTGCCTACACAGTTGCTAACCAGCCCACGCAGTAGGTCTTGCTGTAATCATTACCGCAATAACGATCGATTTATGAGGGGTATTTTCCGATCGCAATGTCGTCAGTTAGTATATTCAATAATCCAATGATATCCCTGGGTCTGCCATCATATGCCTAAATAGTGATCTAGATGTGCACCACACGATATCCAAGCGAACGCGGTAGGTTAGGCCGTCTTCCCTATGTTTCTGTCCCTCGCATCAACGTACCGCCCAATCCCCATGTGCCAAGATATCCTGGGGATCATCAAGCTAAGGCCGGTTACGACCGTGATCCACAGAATGCCACCCCAATTCGCAATATCCCACCGGCTGTCTCCCAGCGCCCATAGCGTGATAGCGATATGCAGGAAGTCTCCCAGAAGGAGAGGCTTGAGCAGAGCGCCTACGATCTTCTCCTGCAACGCGGGTTGCGAGAAGAGGTACTTGCGGCACGCCGAGAGCACGAAGAAATTCAGCAGACCGAGAAGGCCTGCGACGTGACCTAGTTGTAGGAGGGTGACGCGAGTCGCCAATGGCATCTCGTCGGGCGGCCCGCCTGCGGGCCACGGTGCCTGCTGGTCGTGGGTCTGGCCTGCGAGTGAGAAGCGCTGCGAGGCGATGTCAACGTACTACTCACCGATTTCGGATCGAACACTGCTCCCATGAAACCAAGGCTCGTGAGCAGTGGCTCGTAGAGACCGAAGACAACCCAATAGAAGGTTGGGAGGGCCGTGGAAGGCGGCATGAGAGCGCGCGAGCGAGTGGCTAGCCGAGAGGCTCAGTGGCAGACCGCTGGTGGATGGACCAGCCCTTAGCGATCCCGTGGGCAGTTGCGACGATGTGACGAGGCTCGGTCGGGGCAGTTATGAAGGTGATTGTGCGGTGAGAAGAGAGCCATCTAGACATAGTCCGCTCCCTCAGCGTGGATGGAAGCGGTGCACGTCCGACGAACCGATTGGGCGCATGATTCCCTGGCCTGCCCTGAACGCCCGCCTCTATGAAAGGAAACTATTGTGCAACAACTTTTTTTAATCTTACATCACGGTCCAAATTACATCCAGGTAACCAACTCATACTCATACGTTGAGCTGCCAAATGGCACGGACCAAGACAAAAATGCGGGGTCTAATGCGCTCTTTCTTGTGAATTGTTCGCAATTCCGTAGAATTTGCGCTTCGCCCCTCCAGACATTTTTCTCCGAAAGTTTCGGCCTTACCTCGTGGACAACCATGGGAGTGCATGTTGTAGGGTACTCAACAACTGCCCGGGGATAATAGCATTTCCGTAGTAACGTAACATATGTCTACGCTTCTCTCGTGAAAACACCCAGCGTGTCTTACCGCGTTCAGCGGGGGAGATTAAGAAATCGGACGGAAATGAGGTGGGATAATCCAATGCAGACAACCAGTGACGACACAATGCATCATGTATTCGTAGGAGTCTTTAGTTGTCCACTAGGCCCTTCCCTGAGAGATACTCTTGGTGCTCCGGCAAATGAGAACGCACAGTTGCGTCCACAGAACGTCGCCAGAAGGGCAAGGCGATCTCCTCGTGTCGTTAGGGCGATATAACGCAGTACAAACGATTGGAACTCACGAAACCAAGGAGACTGTAAAATATGTCCGTGACTACGTTGTTTCGAGGTGAAGATCCAGCCGTTGATGCTCGGAAGACATTTCCGATGAAATCGTACGTGATGTGGAAGTCGCCATTTTGCACCCCTTGGCCAGTCCGATGAGCGTAGGAGATAGCTAATAAGTGCCGTGATGCTCACCCCTCAACAGACCCTCGGCGACGACCTCCGGGGATGCCCCATCATCGGTCTCCTCTATCTTGAGTGTCACCTTTGGCTTGCACTCATTCTCATGCTCTAAACCGGGCGAGTAAATGGTCCCAGGAAAGCATATGTGCACGTCAATGCCGTATAGCATGAATTCTGACTGCAGGGCTTCGGCAAGGCCTGATTGGCGGCGTAAGTGCGATCCTCGAAGAACCATGGGGGCGACTGACCTCGTATTGCGAACTTCCCTGGTGAATATGTAGAGTACCCGACCATAGAGAAGTAGCCCAAGACGGACGATACGAAGACTATCTTCCCTTTCTCGCGGTGACTCACGTACCGCTTCGCAGCGACCTCGACTGCATTGTCAGAGATACCGTGGTATATGGTCTTATATGAAGACTCCCACCAGTGCTGACGGCGCCTGGGCCCAATATGTCTCGTCCATGCCCGACCTGAGAGACGCCTCGTCTTGCTCGATGAAGAAACCGGGCGTAGACTTCCCCGCACATAGGAATAGTGCATCTGGACATCGCCCACCATGAGGTTGGCATGCGGCTTCCAGCGCAGCCGCTGCTCCTGCCTCTTTGTCGAGTGCAAACGCGTACGCCTTCAAAAGTTGATTTGGAGTCTGACGCACAGCCTGTCGCGTGGCATGAGTCGACTGGACAGTGCTATGCAGTTGCATGCGCATACCTCTAACGCGTCCAACGCTTTCTGCAACCGATCCTCATTACGTGCGACTATGGACACGTCGGCACCCTTTTTGGTCAAGAGCACAGCTAGGGCAAGACCGAGTCCAGAAGAGCCGCCGGTAATGTAGCAATGCTATAGTCATAGTTCAGCCATTGGTACGAACTCACGGGTGTATGGACGCAACTCGGCCCCGGGGATCCCACTTCTTCTTGAAGAACATGGATGTAACGGTAGCTGCTATGAGTACTGAGACGGCCAGAGAGAACAACAGCCCGAACATGAATGTTCAGTTTTTGGTGAAGTCGAGGATCATGGTCAGTCGGTTTTGATCCATCTCCGGTCATACAACCGACGCGCAAAGATCACTGACGCGCTTTACGTAATCTGCCGATCGAGGATGCGGGGAAAGAGGACTACCTCCTTTGTCGTTTGACTTTGACCACAGCCTGAGCTGCCGCCTGACACGCTCTACGTCTCAGGAGCCGCTTACTCCATGGGCAGTGGACATCCACCACTCCCTCACCATGTCTCAAACTTTGACTAAGTCTGCTTCGGATACTATGCCCCAGACTCCGGCAACCCTCACCAACGGTCACTCCGACCTGGAGAAATCGACCCCCGGCTCGAGTGTCGAGAACGGTGACGAAAGACGCGACGGCGATCCACGTCTGCGCGACGGCGACAATGAGGTTGGCTCCGCTCTCGCCCGACACGAGTCTCTTCGCGATGCCGCATCGTTGGCGTCGATAGATCGGCCTCCAAGTGAAGAAGAGAAGCTCCCGCCCTCCAAAGTTTACCATCCTTTATCACCCCCAATTCTAGCACTTTTGATGCCTGCTTCAGTATTCGGATGTCTTGCTCGACTTGGTTTGGAGGCGCTGGTCACTTACGACGGCCAAAGCATTTTCACGCTCGCATGGGTTCAAGTAGTGGGGTGTTTCGTGATGGGATTTTGTCTCGAAATTAAGGATTCCTTCGGTCAATTGTGAGCGCAACAATCAGAGCAGCCGGCAGAGTCTTACAGCCACACATAGTTATGGCCCACTATATACAGCTTTTACGACTGGTGCGTTCTCCCCTCTTACGGGGTTGCGTTTGCTCTTATCTTGATGTAGGATTTTGTGGGTCTCTCACCACATTTTCCTCGTGGCAACTTCAAGTATTTGACGCATGGATTAACCCCAGCCATTATCATCGCGATTGGCTACGTGATGTTGGTTCAATCTCTTGGCTTCACATATTCCTTGACCAATCGCGATCCCTCACAGGTCATAGATGGCTTGACGCAGATAGTGTTCACCCTAGCACTATCGCTCTCCTCCGTGAAATTTGGTGCACATATCGCTAGTCTGCTCCGACCCTTCTTCCAGACTTTACCTTCGCCAAATCGCCCCTCCCGCTACACTCTGACCGCGCTTTCGGTCCTCATCTACGCAGCGACCTGCCCTGCCTACTTCCGCCTGCCCGAGTCATACCGCGTGAAAGCAACCTCCGCGCTTCTCTACTCGTTCCCGGGGACGCTTACACGATACCTACTCTCGATCAACCTGAACCCGCGCTTCCACGTCCTCCCTGTGGGGACGTTCGCGGCCAATATGCTCGGCACAGCGCTGATCGCCGTGTTCACCGTCCTGCAGAGCACACGTGGGCCTCCGTCTCCCAACGGCTGCAATGTCCTTTCCGGGCTGGCGAACGGATATTGCGGGTGCCTGACGACGGTCAGCACATTCGCTGCGGAGGTCGCGACGCTCGAAAATAAAAAGTCGTGGTTCTACGTCATGCTGAGCGTTGTAACGGCGCAGTTGCTGCTGCTGGTTATCCTGGGGCCATCATACTGGGCCGGCAACGTAAGCGACCGGACGACCTGTTCTTATACATAAATATTCTTGTGGTAGAATGCAGGTTCTATTTCGGTATAATTCGTTTTTACCCATTTTATACCATGTCGATTTACTGGAGATCTAGCTTTTTTTTTAGTAGTCAAATTCAGGGTCAGTGTCAAATCACCTTTCCCATAGTGCCCAGAACGCAAGCTCATATACAATATAGGAGGTAGATTTTACGCCATCATTTACATCCGCCCAATTTAGCGCACTCAACGTGTAGTGACTCTTCTTCCCTATGGCCACCACACCGAACCACAACGCCCCGCCTTGTTTTCTGCTTGCTCTTGAGGCATACTACTAGAAAGCGACCATCGCATTGCTACAGCCCTTCTTCAGCACGCGGGAGCCCCGTTTGCTATCGACCCCCCTGAATCCCTGCTTCTATCTCTTCCCCATGGGAACGTTCTGAGGACCCACATGCCCGGCACTGCAGACCTGCAGTGGGAGGGCGCACGGGCTGTCATCAAATGGCTGTTCCTGGACTGGCGTGGATGCCAATGCGCTGGGAACACAAAGTCGTAAATTTACGTCAGACACAGCGTTGGGACGGCAATTGTTGCTGTTTGTCATCCTAGGCTTTCATGCTGGGTTGGCAGCGTTAGCGATTGTACGCCATGCACCTATATTCTTCCGCCGGAATGCAATCCCACACTTCTAGCGCACGCTGTCCTTCATTTTCCAGCCCGTTTGTGTTCCCCAACGGTCCCACACGCCTATTTTTGTTTCATGTCTTCGGCACCATGGAATGGGAGTCATTGCCCGAGTTATATGTAGGTAGACGCTCTCTCGTGGTCCGGGGACGTAAGCTAAGTACAATCTAGGGCGCGTGAAGAGCGTGGAATATCTTGCATATATACCGAACAGCACCTGCTTGACAGGGAATATCACACGTTCCCGCTCTCCACGGTGATGTGTTCTCATCGCAGAGAGCGTGTACTCTGCGAAGAGGGTGGTTATCGTTGAATCTGATATCAGGTATGGTCTCCGGATTGCATCAAGGTCTATTGTCCAAGGACGGGCGTTGCGATCCAAACCAGATGAACCGCTGTACGAAGATGATCGTCGCAAGCATGCTTTGCGACATATGGAGGTAAATTGAGCGCCAGCTCCCATGCCGCGACGAGTCACAACTTCCTGTCGGACGCTGTGCCTGATCGGTCTCATCTTCGGAAGGTGGACAAGCACCCGGGGAGGATGTGGCAAGCTGCCTGTTTCTGATCATGCCGAGGTGGAGCTGGACAGACGGGACCCGTGTTGCTTTGCCTGGCGGTTTGGCATCTCGATGCAGCTGTCTATTAAGGTCATCACTTAATATCCGACCATGATTTGTGTGGCTGGGTGTAGGCCCGGCACATCTCCCATTCATTCTTCCCCCATGGGTCGTCGCAATCTATTAGCGGTCCCGCGCGTACACTCCGCGAATGTCAAAACGCTGTAGACTCTGTCAAATGCTGACGAAGGCCTCCCCTGTGTTTGTACAGACTGCTCACGTGCACATTAACGCGTCCCCATCGGCATCGGCACTGGCGGCAAGATCGTGGCAGATCAGCGCTCGCTAACGATTAAGGATGCTTGTTCAACAGGCCAGCATCAGTATTCAGTACTTTTGCCACGGCAGTCGCAGCCAGAAAGTCAGAGTAAGTCCCCGAGAGAACCTTCAATTCATATTATGCTACAGAAGCTCCGCGCGACGGCAGCGCATACGGCTCTCCGGCAAGTACTCTGCGTGTAGCGAACATCAAGCAACAAAACGCCATTGATACGCAAGCCGCGCGCCCTCTCCGGAACGCATCGGCAGGATCGGGCAAACGAGCGGACCCGCGAACGAAAGTGAAAGTGAAAGTGAATGCGAAAGCGAAGGCAACGGCGACCTATCCAAGCAACAACCCACGAGGAGGCAAGAAGCAAAAACACACAAGCGAATGCAGATGCGAATGGATGCAAAAGCGTATTGAGGCAGGAGAACGAGCACGATAAATATAACACACTGTGGACCCGAGCGGATGATGATGTTACGGTATGCATGGCATGCGGGGGCACAGCAGGAGCAGTGAGTATCGTAGCACATTATGGTACGGACATATGGAGCATGATGGCGTGGTGAGAGTGCAGGCGCGATGGGATCGTGAAGCACCGTTGGGGCGACAGATCGCAGATGCAGGTGCAAATGCGGATGCAGAGCCGAGACACGGCAGCACGGATGCAGATGGGGCAGAGGCGAGTCCAGATAGACAGGTTCTATGTGGTGGTTTATGGCAGGCACGGGAGGTCATTGGTCATTAGAGGCGCGGCACCATACGCACCCGTCGCGGGGCGGTGGGATTAGGAGTGCCGGCCGGGGTAACGTCATTGAGATAGGAGGCGGAGGCGGGCGCAATCGGCATCGGTGGGAACGTAGGTGTCGCGTCGTGGTATCCGTGAGGCAGAGGTATCATCAAGCCCTATCGGGCAGGTGCATTCACAATGGCAGGCTCGCGTTCTTCTCCTGGACGAGGGCCTCGAGCTCCTTCGCGTATGTCTCCTTCCGTGACCGCGAGCGCGACGGCACGCGTATCCGGTTCTGCCAGTCCTTGACCCAGGCCCAGCGCGATAGTCGCTCCTCAGGAACGTCCGCATCAAGCGGTGGCACGGACGAGACGGAAGAGGAGATCCACTGACGTAAGCGATTCCGTCCGAGGATAGGCGCGAGGGAGAGAATGGAGAGGAATGCGAGCTTCATCAGGATTTCTGGTGACGTGAGCAGCGACCGGACACTTTGGTGTGTCGGCGACGGGTTTGAGGCGACGGTCTGTAGGATGTCGCCAATCTGGCATGTCACGGCGGTCCACGGCAATGAGCCGAGGAACGACCCCAGGAGGCAATCCCAAATTGCGACGCCACATACACCGGACGCGATATTAATCCCTGCCCACGGAACTACGCCTATGAGCCTAAGGATGGAGAGGCGCACCCATGCCTGCGAGTGTTTGCCGCTTGACGTGCCTTCGGAGCTCGAGTCGCCTTCGAGTGCAGACCGGGTCTTGTCCAGTGCGCGAGGGAATACTTGAGTCACGAAGGGAGCTAGCGGCGTTGCAAGTAAGCTCGCACATGTTGACCCAATAGTAGTAAGGGTCGTAAAGAGGATGGTGGCGAGTGCAGGAGAGATGAGAGCGCCTGCCAAAACGTTCTACACGCATACAGTGTCAGCCGTCTAAGCGCACAGGCAGGATGTCTGCCGACATACCCAAATGACGCTTCCCGGTATTGACCAAGCGTGCTTCCAAACCGCGGTGATAGAAATCACCCCAATGACGTGTGCCATAGAAGCTGGTCCACTCTGGGTGTAGCCTTGGAGTTCACGCCCCAATTCTGCGAGGTCTGAGAGATTCCGCGGCCACTGCATGGTGATGGGGAGGGTAGACATGCAGAAGACAACAAGTGCAGTAGACAGCGGGAAGAGCATGAGCACAAAGAGTACAGGTGTGTGTATCTGGGAACGTGACACGATGAGTGTTGCTCACACGACTAGTGAGAGCACGTACCGACGGAGGCCCACGCAAGAAAGCTTTCCGCGGCTGCAGCAGTTGCTGCTCGGGGAAGGCGTCTGCAAATGTTGTACGTGTCGGGGAAGCAGACAGCGGCAGGATTGTCGAGTCGGTGCTGGCTCGACTAAGGCGGGGTGAGGAAGGGGTTGAAAGGTCATCATGCTTCTGGTTGATGGGAAGTAGCTGCAGACACCGGGAGACGAAAGACTCTATGCGCGAAGGCGACGCCTTGGGTGCGGGAGAAGGAGGGAGAGCAGGCATTGGAAGTGAATACCTGATGTCCTTCTCCGACGGAGTCAGCGGGGGCGTCTCGAGGGGAGAGGCAACGGGCGGGGGAAGGGCCAGCAGAGAGTTGGACCTGCGGCGGGAACCCAGGGAGGTCAAAGTTAGCGGGGGGCGGACATTCGTCGAAGATGCACGATGTCTGTTGGGAGGAGGAGGAGGGGCGAGAGAGGCCATCACCAGGGATGGGAACAAGAGGGAACTGATGAGGCCGCGGCTGGGTGCTGAGGCGGACAGATTTCCTTCTCGATTTCGCAACTCTCTTTGACTGCTCGGGCGAGCGGCGCCCACACGTAATCCCCATTCGTCAGCCATCCTCGGTCCCGGCTGACGTGACCTACCGGCTCACTCCGCCCATCCCACCGACGCGGCGCTACCCGCCTGGCCCCGCCCGAGGCCTCGAGCACGCCAGCACACCACGTAGATCCGCAAAGTGGTCATCGATGACTCGTCCACCGTATCTCGCATTGCACACACAGTGGTTTCACCCGCCTTCTTGTGTCATCGCATGACCCCCGTCTCGTCTCATAGCAACGCACTGTCACCCCCGCCCGGTCCTCGCGCCAAACAGCGCTTAACAGCGAACACCGCCGACGATCGCCCCGTCCGAATGTTCGCATGCATATATCATAGGCATTGCATACAGGTACAGCGGACGCATAGCAGCATGATAATCGCCCGAGCCCATCCCCATGGGCGTGAACAAGCGGAGAGACATAACAGCGCAGCCCTGTACACTCCTTTTAGTGGCCTGCCCTCCTGCTCTCCTGAATGATCGTGCCGAGCTCCTCCAACTTGCGCTTCGAGCGCAGGAGCGTACCGAGCTAAAATGCAGCATATTAGTTGTCTGTACGCAAAGCACTCTGGCAAACGCAACGTACCCGCTTCTTCGTCAGCTTCCTCGCCTTCTTGTCCTGGAAAGCATGGCAAATAATGCATCAGCTGCGAGGGTCCGCGCGAGAGAAACCAAACTGCGCACCTTGGAGTTCCTCAACAGCTCCATTACTCGTCGCTCATATGGCGAGAAACCTGCAACCTCCCGCACGATAGAGCGCACGAACTTGGTGCGCGCAGACTGGACACCCTTCCGCTGGCTGGGGCGGACAGTCTTCGGGATGGCAGTCGTGGGGTGACCCTTGGTCAAGCCGTAGCGGATATCTGCAAGTCGTTCCAAAGCAATTAGACGGACAGTCAGCACCTCCCCACACTTTATAGAATAACAAAGCCAGAATACGCACTGGAACGGGCCATTTTACTTGATGTCTTGAGGAGTCTTGAGTCGCCGTCTACCGTGGAGGATGGCCGTACCACAGTTTACGACACGTGATAGAGGTCAATTGTGGCGTTTGGTACTGTATAGTTGAGGTCTCTTATAGTCAAGCGTTCTCCCACGATAAGCGTTTTGCATTCTATTGTTACCGATTGTTACCACCCCTTTGAACTTAGTAAGCACAGTGTACAGTACTTTCTAATGGCCACGAAAAACAGTACTACATTATCATCTATACTGTTGTATACGTTCAGTAGAGGACAACCCGGGGAAATGTGTCAAAGCAAGAGAAATAGAAGAGAACTAGCGTCCATGAATGGTCTAACAGACCTGCGCCGTCGTCCCTTGAGTCCACTGCCGCACTGCTCTCACCCTCGAGCCTGCACCGGCAAGTTGCCCCAAGAGTATCTGCGGAGTCCGGGCGCTACCCAGATCCTGACGCTCCTGCGCATAGTGTGGGCTCGTACCCGGCTGCCGCAGGCTCGGTGCGGACGCGGAGTGAGCGACTCTCCGCGCCTTCATGTCCCCCGCAGGCGGCGCATCGTTCTCCTCCTCCTCCTCCTCCTCTTCTTCTTCCTCTTCCTCCTCTGACTCAACCGCGCCTTCATAGTATTCCTACATTCTGTCAAAACCTGTCCACGGCGGCGCGCTCACAGGGTAGCCCGTACACTCACATCGAACTCGCCCATCTGCTTGTCCTCGCCCTCCTCCTCTTGCTCATCCTCGTACTCCTCGTCGTCGTCGATCCACCGCCCTCGCGAGTCGACCTCGTCAAGCTCCTCGGGGCTCCATGGGCGCAGCCGCATCCATTGCATGCGTGGCCCACACTTTGCCCGCTCACTAACCTTGAAGCCGTATATCTTCGGCTGGTAGACGCCCCCAGCAGCGGGTTTCTGCCCGCCGTGGGGGTTGGGGTTCACAAAGGCTGTATGCCGGCCCTCTTGTGAGTGCTGCGGGGAGCCAGATGAGCGGCCAGACATAGACGAACTTGAGCCGGATGGTGGCCTGTAGAATGGAGCTGGTGCAATCTCGCGGTAGCTCTGGAAGAAAAGATGAGGGAATGTCGTCCCAAAGAAGGCTCCTGTAGGACCAAATGAGGTTGCGTGACTTCCATAAAGCATGATAAACCAACCGTCCACGCCTTGAAAACGACTGCTTGGTGGGGTATAGATATCATTACAGTTCGGGCAATACAATTTGACGGTGTCGAGGCCTGGCAAATCGGAGCGACCGCAGGGGACGATATTGCAACCATTGCAGTACACGCGTGGACATGAGCCAAATGAGCCACCGTCGTATTTGTCAATCTGGCGAGAGCTGTGAAGTGAATGTCAAACTAGCAATGCAGGTATACGGACCATGGCTTGCAGTCCTGCGCGTGTCAGGATGTAACGCTGGTGGACAAGCCCGTATAGCAACTCAGCGGATGCCTCTACGATCGAGACATCAGGTATTTTGGGAGCATCTTCATCTGAGGTGGGAATGTAGGCTCTTGAGGGCGGTTGTTAGGATCACAGTGAAGACAGACGCACCTGGTTCGACATCCAAAACCATCTCCATCGCCTCCTTCCAGAAAGGGACCATAGCGTTCAGCCCAGTTAGATTGAAATCATCTTCAATGAAGTCTTCCGAGACTTCGCAGAAGTACTCGTGACCTGGCAGCGCGCAAAACCAGCTGATCCAGGTTAGCGTCGACGTCGGGGTGGAGGAGCCTGCCATGCGAGCCAAACACGATCAGCTTGCAGCACATCTCGTATCGCGGGCCCGCATATGAAGGTGCGATCACTGGAAATGAAAGGCCGAGACACGCACTATATTCCCTGCCATCATCCGCATCCTCCATGACCTCGTCGCCCTCCGCGACGCCGCTGACTACCTCTTCCTCCTCGATTTCGCCTTGTGCAACTTCAGGCTCCTGCTGCTGGAGTCGGCGCATGATCTAGGGAGTATAAAGGTGATGCAGGTCGCGCGGTCGCCCACGGTGCAAGAGCAATGCAGGTTCAGTGGCTCGGTTGAAGGAAGGCGCGGACGCCACGAGGCGACCCGAAGTCGAGTTCGAATCGGGTAGGATCTGGCGAATTCGGATGCCGCATTTGGCAACTTTAGTATTCATGTCCGTGTGGCATGGTGTAATTATGCGTATGCCAGTAAGAAAGCGTGCACGAGCTCGTGGTGAGGCCTATGAACCTTAGGCATGTATCCGTACGCCCAATGGGCCATCTTGGCACCGTAGGTGCAGGTCACTTTGCATCAGGGTGAATGCTCAGCTGCAAGCAAGCATCCTCCGGCCGATAGAGACTGTAGCAGATCATCTTTATGGATATCCAACTGTCTGCAAGATTTGGAATCAGCGTACATACAGTACACTGACAAACTTGACACAGAGGGCACACACTGACTATGCGCAACACGACAGTCAACATCGCCAATCTACAAAAATCTTTCTCATTTTATCACTGTATGCTACATATATGCGCTGCTTTTTCTGACAGTGTGAGGTTACATCATGATACATATAATTCATGGCAATGGATGCCATAGGCGTTCTTCAGTTAGTCACGAGTCGTTCTTCTAGGTCCTCCCTTCTCTTGTCCTGCATCAACCGTTGACCCTGACGAAAAAGGACGAAGATACATCTCTGTCCTAAAGTTTGTAGAACCTGAAAAACTAGTGGATCCATCAATGACTCAATGAGGCCTCGAGGAGGCGCACTTGAGCGAGTCCCGAGTCTAATGTGGACCCATGCCGCACGTGAGCGCGTCGCGTCGCGTCCGAGCCTGCGCGCGCCCGCTTCTTATCCTTCCTCTCAACAGCTATACCGTGCGTATATATCGTGAACTACTGCGCCGCACCCAACAACTGCGACAGGCGTTCTCGACCGCTATCTAGCAGCGCAACGAGGATGTCCGAACAGTTTCCCCAAAGTTCTATCTTCAGTTCCCGTGCCAGTCAGCGTTCCATCCAGACAGACTTGACGCCCCATAATCCCGGGCTAGATCTTACCGCCGAGTCTCTTCATGCTGGCTCTCATACAAAAATATTCCCGTTAACAGGTGCAGAGAACGTAGAAAGCGCACAGAGATCATCGTTCGATCCTGCGCAGCGCGCCCGCAATGCAGATTCTCAGCGAAGCCGTCTCATCTTTGGATCAATGTTTGCATCTCCTGCTGTTGAAAACAGAAGGAAACCACAAGTGAAAGAGCATGATCAGAAAAACGAAAGTCCAGTGCCTGCCAGTGAAAGACAAACCGCGCATATAGGCCTCGGTGGTCGCGTCCAGTCACCAGAAATGCGCAAGATCGCCCGTGGTAGTTTAGCAAACACGTCTTCCAATCTTCGCATGGAACAAACTGCTAAAGGTCTGAACAATCGTTCAGGTGAAGGTATGTCTATAATACATGTCTAGGTGTTTTATGTCTTCATGTTTTCCTTCTTGATCAGCTCCCGAACAATCCGCACGGCATCCGTTCCTATATATGCCCCACCTCGTAGACTCTGCTGACTCATATAGCCCTACCAGTCATGGGCGAAATGTCCACGATGCAGGCCAGACGATCCCTCACATGGCAACTCTGCCCCCAGTGCATTCTAGAAGCGCATCTGTCGTGAGTTCTATCACTGTAAGACAAGATGAAGACATATCTGCAATCATGATGCGCGGAGCAACGGATCTACGGAATACTAAATTTGAATTAGAGGAACAGGTAATCTCCTTCAAAGCATGGATATTCATATATTGACGAAATTAACGTGCAGCGTCGCGAGATTGCATTTCTTCAAGCCCAACTAGAGAATGTGAAAGGCGAGAAGGAAGAGGTAGTCAAACGCCTTAAGGCTGTCAAAGACGCCGCCAAACGCAGTCTTGAAACAACTTCTAAGAGGTCCGTCTATAGCTGATGTGTGGAATTGACAATAATAGCGCATACACACATAGATTAAGCGGTCTCGGGGCTGCTATGGAGGATCTCAAAGCACAATCTCTGACATCCTTCGAGGCAATAACTCAAGCTCGATGTACGTTGCCGGATGTCCAGGAGCTGAAGGCGACTGTCTCCGAAGCGATTGAGAGTGCGTGCGGTCCGATCTCCTCACATTTCATTTGGCTGATGTGTGTAGGCATTGCACCGCTTTTGGACGGTACCGGGCAATATCCCAAAGCACATGAGACTAAGGTAGTCATTGAGAACTTAGAGCTTGAGTGCCAAAGATGTGAGACACATCTTTTCTGTCGCATAGATCTGACTCTGACACACCTATTCTCCTTGTATTGACGTTCTTAGCGCAGCAAGTTGCTGATTTACTCCGTGATCGTCTTCAATCTATGGGCGCAGAGCTTCTCGAAGCCAGGAGCCGCGTTACAGAACTTGAGCTAGGTCAAAGCGCCGACCGGCAGGTGCTGCAGACGTCAACCGCCAACCTGGCGAATGCAGGTATAATGTGTAGTCATTGCCTGAGTGGCTTTTGGCTCATGGGGCATGCAGGGGAACGTATGACAGAGCTTGTCGAGAGAATGAAACAGCAGAAAGAAGATATGCATGTTACCCTGTCCGCATCTGCTGAAACACAGGCGCAATTGGCAGCGACAGAAGACCGGTGCAGTCCAATTCGGAAAGCCAATTAGAGCTCAAGAAGCTAATGCATTATTGTTGCAGGTGTGCGCAATTAGCTGCCCTAATCACTCAGAAAGACACAGAGCTCCAAGAATTGAGGAACGTTTGTCAAGAGTACGCCCTCCAGTTTGTGCACTGACGTTGCGTAATCATCAACGCAATACTTTAGAAACAGTAGTCTCTCAAAGACAATTGATGAACAAGAGGCAAAGTTGCATCAACTGACTGAGGTCTCTAAAGAGTACGCCCACGTTCCACTTCTCCTGAGACATCTGCTAGAACATCACGGCAGACTGACTGCCGTGCGCCTGACTGTCGCTGACCGAGACGGGACCATCCGAGTCTTGAAGACGTCTCTTGCCGCTAAAGAGGATAATTTGACCGATTTGAAGGCTAGGTACCAAAGTGTTGCCTCTGCTCTTGATTTGATGTCTCATACACTCTCAGATGTGCCAACATGCAGCAACACATAGACAATGACTCGATGATCATTCAAGAGCTGCAGCAGAGTGTTCAAGACCACACGACGCGCGAGACTGAGGCTCAGAGGCAACATGAACAACGTTCCCATGAGATCTCCAAGTTACAAACGCAACTCAAAGACATGCAAGGTAACCTTGAAGACATGCAGAAAGAGGTCGAGCGTCGCAATGAAAAGTACGTGGCCTGGACCCGTAGTTTTGTTGGCCCTGACGCCCTGCTTCGCACGGTAGAATAAATCAGGTCAACGTTCGCTGTCAGGTTAGTATCGTTGCTTTTAGTAACGTAGGGTGACAAACACCTTCATGGAACCACAGGTCCTAGAGGAGCGATTTGAGGACCAGTCAGTTACGCTCAGGATAACGCGAGAAGCAAACGGTGATTTACAGGTACTTAAGCATTTCTTGCAACAGCTAGTGTTCTCACTAGAACCACCAGGAACGCTTGTTGACCGCCGAGACTTCATACGCAGTGAGCAATCTTCTGTGTTGTCGAATAAGGGCTGACACTACAAATAAGAGAGATCTCGAATCAGCAATTGGCAAGCTTAAATGCGAGCTAGCGTTGTCTAATGAACAGAATACATCTTTCCAACAGAGAGCTCGGGACCTAGAGGCAGAAATTAAACGGCAGGCGGACGGCATTCAAGCTTTGAAGGAGCTATATGAAGAGAAATTCAAGGAGCGACACGATGCGCTTCACGCTCAGATCAACTTCGAGGCCCAACGCGCTGAGCGGGCGGAGGATGAAATTACATCCTCACGGGCACATACTCAAACGCTTCAAGACAAATTAGCAGCCAGCGCGGCGGAGATCAACAATTTACAGGAACAGCTGAATAGCGCTAAGATGCCAGACCCTCGTCAAATAGAGGAAGTCAATAACCTCAGAGCAACAGTGAGAGAACTTGAAACTGAGAGGGACCGGCTCCAGGAGAGAACGAGGAACATCGACATACGTTATCGGCATGGAGAATTGGTAGGCTAAGCGTTGTATGCTACTATTCCTCGCTCAGTATCTCGCAGGCGGAGGGTGAGAAAACATTCATCAACAACCTGATCCAGACCTCGCAGGCGATCCACGAGAAAGAACTCATCGCCAAGGGCAATGATCTCCGTCGGGTATGTTCGCGATTCAGCGGTTGTTCAATGGCGGCTGATCGCCTTCAGAGGGACAACACGATCAAAGAGTTGCGCTCGAAGATACAGTTGCTAGAATCCACCCTGGCTAAACATCTGCGCACTCAGGTACGTTACAGAATCAGCTTCGTAAGCGATTGCTGACCGGCTCTTTACAGGCGAAGGCGAAGGCCGCTGCTGCTGCAGTCGAGAATCGCTCAATGATTAATCCGTTAGCTTGGAAATCGTCAGATCTAAGCAGCCCACCTGCAGTCCCCACAGAGATCCTGGATCAAGACTTACCAGTCGGTTCTTGGTGTCGAGACGTTGCAAAACGCTGATACATTGTGCTCACAGTCAACCAACGTCGACCCCACTGTTACAGCCAAATCAACGCCTGCACCATCTCGTCAAGTGGGCCGTGTTAGTCCTGATACCCTGGCAGCTTCTATTCACGTAACGGCATTGCACGAAGCGAGGCCAACAGTCATGAAGCATACAATCACTATCCCGAAGACACCAGCTGCAGTATTGCCCGGGTCTTCACATACGCCTACAGGCGACCGCAACAAGCCTGCGTTCAGCAGACTCGCTAGGGATTCTTCGGATGAGATAGTTGATTTTGACGATATGTCCAGTAGCCAGCAGCCTTTGGCCACCACTCTCGGCAAGAGGGACAAGATGAGCTCGCCTGGTGAACCTGAGAATCAAAGCGTGCCGAGGCCAGCCAAACGAGTGGTGCGTCGAACTAGTGTGGTCGTCCGCGCGCCTGAATCTAAGAGATATAATAGCGGACTTCTACGAGAAAGCTCGAAGAGCACGATATAATTGACACGGTAACTGACAAGGTACGTCTTCCAAACCGAATCACGTTCTCTCTCAACACCTTGGGTGGCCATTCTGATGTATCATAGCCCACGAACCAAGGGATTAAGAAGACCAAATCCCGAAGACGCCGCTAAACAAATGCTGTCTTGGTCTTCATGCTCTTGCCCTCGGACTCCTGGCTTGCATATCCGGACTTCGACTGCGACTAGAAATTACTGTTCCCTGGCTTCCCTGGCTTCCCTAGCTGCTCTTGCTGCTCTTGTGACTTTCGTCTACGACTTATCGCAATGGACCCGAATGAAGAATCGTTTTCTTTTTGACTTTGTGTCGAAATCATGTTGTATGTACAAGTTTAGGTTTGTAGAAATACACAAAGCAATGTATGATAAACATATCGCCCGACTAGTCGTGAACGACTTTTCCCTTCAGCATGATTATCAGTCATCTTGATTATAGGTAGACGCCATGCTCATCGACCGTCTCCCCCGATTGAAAATCATCGGGACGCCCGCCGGCTATTGTTTCACTTGACGTTTGCGTTATGGTTCGGCTGGGTTCATTCGGGGGTAGGGAAGCCACATCGTAATGGCTGCCCATCAGGATGCCTCTCTCAGTTAGCGCCATCTTTAGGATCGCTACTCGTTCTTGTTGCGAACCTCTAGGATAAAGTCAAACGTCAGCGCAGATGTTCTTCTGAGGACCGAGATCATACATGACGAGCTCATTCTCTTCTATGGCCTTGATGAACTCAGGATCAGGATCTGCTTTTGCCGCCATTTGTAGCTCGTCTTGGGTCCTCTTCAAGTGGACCAATGAGTTTTGTAGTCGTCCAATCTCTGCAGTACAGGTTATTACGCCGCATCACTAGCTACTATCGGGTACACAACCTTCGGTAATGACAGGCACATCCATGTGCGCCGCTTCTTGCAGCGTGAATGGCTGACTGTAGTGCGGTCTGTACTCCATGACTGAGCGAAAGAAAAGCCGTGCTGAAAAGGTCACTTCAAAGGCTATCGAGGCGACGTCAATCCTACACGTCAGTTGTAAGATTCATTAGGTAAGCCGTCTAGCTCCTCTACAATCAAAGGAGGGACACAGCGAAAACATGCGTGCAGTCCGTTACGGATGTGAGTATATAGTAGATACAGTGTGTAATAACTGGAAAACAGTGAAATCTAGGGATCGAAAGCGAATGCAAAATGCGACTATACACCCAATCTACGGTAGTGGTCAGCACGCCGAAGGCGATGCGTATACGAGATGGCACTTACTTCTTTTTGGTAGATTCATATACGACGTAAGATATCGATACGGCGGGAACAACCTGAAAGCCGTGTCATTACACACTTGCGAAACCGAAAAAACAAAATGTCGAGTATTCTCACCTTAGCCAACGTCGGAAACAGTCCGCGATAGAAGCCCCGCCAGCCATCTCGTGCGTACGTCTTACGTGCGACATCGAGTATTCCAGTATATCGCTCTGGATGACCCGAAGACCCAGACGCTTGCAGACGTGTTCGGATCAGGTTCAAAGGGTATACACTCGTCGCTCCTATACTTCCGGACACACTGCCAAATGCAAGCAGGGCGAGTACCCCCGGTTCGTCTTTGCCCGCAGATCGCAGGTATGCCAACTTGAGCGCTTCAAATGTGCTCATGTCAATGGCGGAATACCTAAACATAAATCAGGACACTGTGTGTTAAATAGGACCGAACCGACGTACGGGAAAACACCGACAAGTCCGATCTAGTGGCGAAGTTGTAAGAGTGGCGACACAAATGAATACAACAAAGCTCACAGACAATCCGCGATAGAACGCGCGCAACCCTCCCAGTCCCCATACTTTGCGCGCAGCAGATAGCAAAGTCCGTTTCTGCTCCCCCGTGCTGCTCATCATTTGAGTCTAATCATTTGGATTAGTCTCTTGTCCTGCAGGAATGAGAGGCACTTACCTTAAGCGTCTCGATAGGGTAGATACCTAAGTTACATGGAGATTGTTAAGTGAAATCAACAATGGTGGGTGTGGGGTGAACGAACTGAGCTGGCTGCTTAACCCACCAATCCCACCTGAGAGAAAGCGACTGATACCGCTGATCTCCCGTGGATCCTCAACGTGGTCCCAGTGTTGGGCGAACATACGTTTCTGAAGGAATGGTCGGTCTTTGGATTCAAAAGCGCGCAGGAATGACTGACGGATGACTCATAAGTCAGGAACTTAATGGCTGACTCTGGGAGGATCTTCGCGACGGATAATCCATTGCCTGTCCAGAAAGCCCGAACGCCTCCTTCCGCATATATGCGTGCGACAGCACCTCCAATCGCCTTTACCCCGCGTGCAGGTGCTTGAGAGCTGAGAGACACGCCACCGAGGTCTGGCGGTCGTGTTATGAGGAAGATCTTCAGACGATCAAAAGGTGCTGTGCACGTTCGAGATACTGTAGTAGAGCGAGATAAAAGCGGTCGCCACGGGTATGGCTGAGGGACCTAGCTCACCAGCACCTGCAATACCTCCCGCAAGGAGATATTTGACAGCAGTAGAGCCTGCAAGCCAACTCCGATGCTCATCCTCCGTATACTCATCCTCATCTATGTCGTCATCGTCCGCCAGGCCGCCGCGGGTGTGGTCCACGGGAGTTTCTACGTTTTCCGCAACGTGAAGAGATGCACAAAATCTTGGCTTGGACATATCCTCTGCGCTAAGGCTAACGTTGCCTTGCAATATCTTGGTCACCAAAGCGAGGACTCACGCGCGATTGTGCTCACCTTCCATGTTGACGCGGGCAGCTCCTCTCAACTCGTCACTGGCAAATCTCTTCACCTCGTAGTACCTGAACATCTCGGATGGCGATGCTTGTCGTGGCATCAGCAGCAGGAAGTCACGGAACTCTTGAAAGTTGATTGCATGAGAATGGGGTGAAGATGTGAGATATGCCATGAATTCGGACAGTGTAGCAGGGGATAGCTGGATGTCTTAATGCGCAATCAAATAGCTCAATGTGGGTCGCCGACATTGCAAGGTCGAGACATACCGGCTTTCCTCAAGGCGTGCAGCAGTTCACCGGCATCCAGACGACCGTTGCCGTCTAGATCCAGTTCGTGATGGAACATATGCCATAGCTCTACGAATATCAGCCTTCGTCCTAAGGCACCTCGAACTGGCAGTAGCACATACCAGCTTCTTTCATGTCCGCATACTTTCGGAACTCCCTCCATGACGTCTTCCGATGCAAGAAGCCGCTGGTATGTGCCCCGCACCGAGACCGTAGCTCGTTGTCGTACATCTCTTGCAGCTTCCTCGCCGTCTCTGGAGTCAACGCACCGTCGGCTTTGACTGCGTAGGTCTCCGCAAAACGTTCGTCATCCGCATCGAGGCTCCCGCTCCGCTGCGGTAGCCGTGACCACAGCTCGCGCAGCCGCCTTTCGCGTGCTTCATGACCCTCCTGTTCACGAAATTCCTGTAGACTATGTGGCACTGGCCGGTAAGTTGGTAGATCCGATCTCAGTCGAGGGATATAAGGCGGATCTTGTGCGCCCGAGAGCGTAGCGTCGAAGAGTTCGCGTTTGGAGGGTTGGTCTCCGTGCACACCGGCGGAAAGAGCCATGCACGCGGTGAAGGGGTAGGATGTAATGGGAAAAGAGAGAACCCTAGGAGGAGAACATGGATGATAGACGCGACGGGAAGAATGAGCGGCTGTGAGGGTGGAGTCGCGAGGCTACTGTGAGTTGTGTGCCTCACCCGGAGATGCAACACTCCTGATTGGCTCATTCTTGCACACGGCTTTTACACATACCGGAAGTCCGACATAAACTGCATATATATACACCGGAAAACATGTAACATAGTACATCGCTCGGGACACTCATCAGGAGACAATTTGACAATGTCAACATCATAATGTACCATAAAATCACGATAGGTGTGACATAGAATATCAATATGAAACCCGAGTACACTCCAGGCGCAACACGAGAGTTACTTTTGTGCGAACGTGGGCTCCTATACTCTTCAATACATGCGAAACCCGCGCGTGTGTCCTGTTAGACCTCCAGCTTGCGAATGTAGATGATATGCGCCTTGTTCGACGCTGAGACAGTTTTGGGAGAGTGGACGCATAAGACATATGGGATCGGGCTTGCAGGTCTTCTAGCGAATTGACGGCAGTGACAGAATGGTTTGGCCATAGCTGAGATGAAGGTGTTGACGCGCTCAACGTGAAGGGCCCCGCGACCCAGGCATCAGAAGACAACAAATGAGGCGCTATCTAGTGATGTCCGGCAATCAGTTGGGGTCTATGATAACAGAAGAAGAATATACGCACACCGTGTTGATCATTGTTGGAGGGATGGGCGTCATTTGGCCTGCGTCGCTTTGCGTGGTCCCTGGGGAGCGGTGGTGTTGGTGGGCGATAGTGCTGCGGCACATGAGCGAAAGCAGGGCACAAGAAGGCGGAGAAGCCGCACTCGTGGTAATGAACGCTTCGATCGTAATGGTCCACTTGTGATCGCGATTTTCTCGGTGTCCTGCCTTCCTAGTTGTGTTGAAAGGCCTTGCAGGCGCTGCTGTGGAGGTGATCCACACAGAGTTGAAGCTGCGCGAAGTGAGGTATCACACGTAGCGTCCTCGCCAGCATGCTGAGCAGGTGGTACGGCCGGAAGCGATAGTGGATGGTGTAGATATTCTTCCATCCACGCAGGCGTGACTTCAGAATCCAGGACGAAGGCGTGGCGCTTCTCGCTGCCCATAGCGTCACCCACTTGCTGAACCCAATCACCAGGGTCCTTACCACACGCATCAGACCATCCACTGTGAAACAGAATAGGAGCGCTTCACTAACCGGTGGTGTCGGCCCCTCCGTAGCATGAGCTATGGAGAGCCGCTGGATTGAAGTGCTCAGTCTCGCAGCAAGAGATGACGATGAGTCAGGAATAAACTTGGGGACTGGTTTTCTCCAGGCCATGTTACGTTGTGGCGGCATGTCGAGCATCGGATACGTGCAAGATGGGAGTGGCGCTGTTGAGCAATCGGCAGTGAATAGGATCGACCTTATATGCGTGCAGGACAGCTTGGCAGGTGTGTCTAAGCGCGAGGGTTGCAGGCACGGTGACGAAGGCGAGCCAAAAGCGATCCACGATGTTCTACATCCGTCCAGACCGGGGTTGGCCCAACAGAAGTTTCTGCATTTAACGCGCTTAACAAGTGAACAGACCCATGTGCAAAGGAGATCCGCGTATAGGGGCCATGTATGAAGCTGAGAAGCTCGCGGTTGTCAGTATGACCGACCGAAGAAGGCGTGAGCTATGCCTGCACACACGGCACCGGCCTGCAGGCACTGAGGGTCCTGGGTCAGACGCCTCGAGCCTCACCGCTACCATGCCGTGATCTCGGCTGTCAAAGGGCCAGAAGCCCTACGGCCTGAGTCCACCAAGGCGCATTATGCGCGGCTATATGCCAAACGCGGCTGCCTCGTCGACGTGCACGAGCTCTGGGACACAAGAAAAAGCAACTAGATGCCACTTAGCGCCTGTTGCAATTTGACCGGAGCCGACACTGAACGCCTTCAAAATGAGGCGGACGGGGAACGCAGTGATGTTCTCAACCGGAACAAGCGTATGGGCGATACGACAACAGTGAAGGTGACAGTCGACGCAGCCTTGATACTGGTTTGTGCGGAAGTCGCGACTCGCGACGTGACACGCTTTGTGACGGGTCGCATCAAACGCGTACATACGCGCCCACGTCACGTCATGCAACGCGCTCCCTAAATCTGCGGAATTGAACATACAACATCATATTGCATAAAACAATCATACACCATCGGAAGTGCGGATACACGACTGGCATAGTACACGAGTACATGGGAAATTGTGGTACAAACTTACTGGAATCAAAGCACGTCGACAACGAGATGACAAATGCTGAACGATACAGTCCAACTAATCCTTCGCGTGGTTTCCCGCCTTACGAGAAGTACATGACTTTTGCCGCGTTGGCGTGCAGAGGCTTAAACCCGCGTTTGAATGCGTCAAGCTGGGTGTTAACCGCAGCCGCGTCATTCTGGGTGTTAGAGTCGGAGAAGTCCAGGCCTTCCTCAGGATTATAGTGGATTTTCGCCCGAGCACAGACAATATCGGCGTCTGAGTAGAAAGATGATTAGACACAACGTGCGTTGCGAAAGAAGGGTACTCACAATAGACTGGAGCGGGGATCGAGACCGACCGCGTGGAACGAGCGTAAACATGACATAACGCGAATGATAGGGCTTGCAGGCCATCCGGACTGTTCAGAGAAATGTAAGTCCCACTTACGCGTACGTGAGGCAAGTACGTACGTAAAGTTGTTCTCGTCGAAGAGGACACTGTAGTGCGCTGGACGCGAGGTCCCCAGCAGCGTAATCAACCAAAAACGAAGCTCATGTTAGTCGGCATCAATGCGCGATGGGAAGAAAGGACTTATCCAGCGTGGCTTTGAAGGTACCAATCTAGCTCCAAGGGATGAGTGACCTCTCGGTCAACGACTGTCCCGGCGGGGCAGTTGCCACTCCGATCGGCGTCGTTCGAGTTCTGCGGGAAGAAACGCACATGGTGCCGTTTACCCACGACAACCACGGTAATGGTCGGGTTTATCTTGAGTTTGGCGCAGGCCTCTGCAGGGAAATCAGCGATATATTCCTGACAAGGCATCAATGTCACACACCTTTCAGTTTAGGCAGTTCTATGTACAATGTCGCGTGTCAGTCGCGTATCAATCTCGCACCGCGTGGCGAACTCACCGAAGTCCAGAACCTGCTTGAATTGTCCTTCAGATACACCATCTGTCGGGCGAACAAACGCGTCAGACGCAAGAGGCGCATGCAAAACATTAATGTGGCGCTTACCGCGGTAGAAGATGATCCTCTTCGGAGCCGGGTTCGGTTTCTTCTCCACCATCTGCCTGTACTGCATGTACATCCTGAGCATGCGCTGTAGACATAAACAATCAGAAGGTCTAGCCTGGCGGAGTCGCACGGAGGGGGGGCTTACCTCGCTCATCAGGCCCAGATCTTCGATGAGCTCCTGTCGCGAGGTCTGCACTTGACAGTCGGCGATGTACTTCGCAGTATCGGAGTCGACGTTAGCGACGAGAGCGGTGAAGGAGGGTCTGCCCTCTGCGCCGGGGGCCGGATGGATCACGTCAGCACTACGGAACAAGATATGTGAGTACTCGCCACCGTCAAAGGAGTCGCACATACCCCATGACGATCGTCGGGTTGTGCGGATCAGTGAGAATGGATACGGATCGAGGGTCGGGAATCGTGTTGATGCCACCAAGCTTTACATTGATCCTGTCCTGTGATGAGCAAAGGGATTTGCGAAGACCCTAGGATACACTTACTTGAGGCACACATTGGCATAGTATTGTGCCTTTGCCTTAGAACACTTGTTGCTCTTCATGCACTGCGTAGCCACGCCGGTCTAATACGCAAGTAAGAAGGAATGCTAACAGATATGAGTAACTGCGAACGCACAGTAATGTCACCGAAACTAACGACGCACACAAGTCAGAACGCTGGTAAGGTGCGGGTGACTAGTTTCACTCACTGCTTGATTGCTGTATACAGATCTGTTGCATTCTCTGGGAGAATAGCGACGAGCACTGTCGGATACCCCTTCTTCTTCTGAAAACATTCTTGACCCACGTCTTTCAATTGCTGCGCGTCGAGTTAGGCTTCAAGAACGAGAAGAACACAAAAAAACTCGCCTGAGAGATGCGGCCCTGCGCGTTCTCCCACCGAACAATGGGTTCTGGGTCCTTGACAATCATGCCTGATGAAATGTCCCTCAGACCATCTACAAATCGTAGAATATGGATTGTACTCACCGCAGTCGCGGGCCGCCGAGACCAGCCCAGCGATCATGTCGCCAACTATCTGGTTCCCGAAACGCTGCTGCCGCTCATAGATAACGACGATCCAGCGCTCGATAGTGGCTGGCTTCCAAAACTTTTTGTCTATCCTGTAGCAATTCGTCATGAGGATCGTCAAAGATCGTCGAGTGCAAGTTCTACTCACATATTCCACGCCCCGTCTCGCGGTGTCTAAAGTCAAGGGCATAAGCATACGTACGTCATCATCGCACGCTTGTGAGAAGCTCACGATATTAGCCTGCTTCGAGCCAGGGCCATATTTCAACATCGGCGGTTGCAGGACGCGGGCCTGGATGCTCATGGGTGTCGCATTGGGCGCAACATGAAGGCCAAATTGCTGAGACAGACACGTCAGGGTTGTGACAATAGAAGGCCTACTCCGCTACTCACCCTGACATACTCGGATTGCCCGTAAGCAAGCACCTAGATAAGAAGGATACGCTCAGCGCCACGAAGCTGTGCTGTTTATCAGACTCAACTTACCCCAAGTCCATTTGCGATACTGTGCAAGCGGTCTTGAGGTCTCTTCGTGGCGAAATCCAAGACATCCTTGGTTTTCTCTGGAGGCACCTGCTTGCGCATGATTTGGCCGGGCTCAACCTCACAGAGTTCAAGGGGAATGATGGCCCCATTCCCAACCTATAGAAAGTGTTTAATCGCTCCCAATAATACTGATTCACAAAGAAAGCGCACCTCTACGCAGATAATATCAGGGTGCGCCAGGTTAAAATTGTACGTGCGTCGATAATACTGTGCCACGGTCATCGACCCGACGTCGCGCATTTGAAAAGTGAGCCCGGCCGCGCCCGCGGAGGTAACCTTTCTCACAACTCGAGGCGATCGACGAGTGTTCTGCCCCGGCTGTTTGGTGATAACACGGATTCCGGTGAGAAAACGCTGGAGGCGGATGCGTTCGCGCTCAGGGAGTCCACGGGAGGGTGCGAGAATTGCTGCGTTGTCTTTGCCAAAGAAGTCAAGACACAGTTTTATGAGAGGTCCGGGCTTGTACATCGTCCCGGTGCTGATGTCCACATTGATCAACATTTGGCCGACTGCCGGACGCACGGACTGAAAGTAACCGCGCCATAGCTCGATGCCGCCCCCGATATCCTTGGTTTCTCGGTTTGTGAAGAACGAGCGCACGTTGAAGGGGTACTTCAAAGATGGTTCCATGCGAATGACGACGTTGAGAGCCTGCGAGAATAAATATGAAAAAAGGCCACTGGGCTTTGTTGATCACAAACTGTTATAGCCGTCAGGACGGTGTTGTCGTGCGACTGCTTGCCTTCGAGAAAACGCGCGAGAACTCTACAGCATCGCATCACACGTCATGAGACTTCACGCACGGCAAGAGAAATGAACGTACTCTGGGTTGATTTCCGCAACGTGTGTCAACCTGATCTTGTATACTTTGGGCCCGCGTCCACTAGGCGACACTTCAGCAGGGTTTCCGAGTGTCACATCGAACTGTTGCATATTAAAACATAGTGTGGACTCTCATCAACGCGCTACTTACCTCTGCGCTGTTACTCCCACCAAAAGGCAGTTCACGGGCGGCAAAGAGATTCTTGCGTCCGTCATAAACTGCCCTGGGCGTGAACACCTGTGGCGCCACGACTGTCTGCAACACCTCGATGAGCCTCATGTTGAGGCGTGCTGGAAGGGCTTTTTCGTCTGGATGTATCACTGTGCAACAGATAAGTGTATGCCGGTACATCGGCAAGGTTTGTACATACCAACTGCGCAAGATCATGTTAGAAAGGAGGTTGTACACTGTCAGTTCAAATGGACGTACCATCGTAATGATGAATGATCGCCTCTGGGATCTTGACAGCATAATGGTTTGTGAAGACGGAGAGCGGCCTGCCTGCCGACCCAAATGCTGTCCTCTTCACCCCGACGGTCGTGATGTGTGTCTCCGTCGACGGGAGGCCAACAGCCATGGGGGCGCCACCACGGGCGCCTCCTCTAATCGCAGGGCCACCCCTAATCGCAGGGCCGCCCCTGATCGCAGGGCCACCACGACCACGCCCGGCAGCTGCAGTTCCTCTGGGTGGCATGATGTTGAGTTCGAGTAAGAAGTTTTAGAAGGGAGGTAGGTTGATCAGTGTGTAGTGCGAGAGCCTGGGGACCAAGAGTTGGAGGCAAGGGCGTGTCGCGTCGTGCCTTTATAGGACAGAAGCTAGGACCCACTGCTTTGACCGTTGATTCAGGTGGCTGCTTTGTGCCTCTTGATACGCGAGGTTAAACTGTGCTAAAGCACTTATAATAGAGGGACAAATGAGATGCGCCGGTGGCGCTGGACGCGTTAGACAATGTGTTTACCGTTTACGGGTTGTTGATCTCTGTTGACGCGTCTCGGTACAGCTCTCGGTACCAGCCCTCAGCGTGTGACTCGTCACTCGACCACAATCAGGGACTGCTGCCCTCCCTTTCTGCTCCTCACTGCCTTTTGCGTCCTTGCACTCTCCCACCCTCTTGCTTCATCGTTGCTACGGAGTAATTCTTGTCTTCTCCGCAGGCCTCCAGGTTCGGATGGCTCTCACACATGAGGCAAGGCGATTACAGGGTCCACGCGGGGCCACAACAAACCTTTTTGGGTCGATCGAGACTCGCTGTGAGTACATATTATGACAACATAGTGCGCAGTGGATGTCTTCGTATGCATCTGTTCCGATCAAGCAGCCTTATTGTGTCCAAAAACGATGGTCATTGCTTTCGGCAGATAGGCATCATCTCGCCCGTGTTAAACCTTGCCGCTGGAAATCGGATTAATCGCACTGTCAGACGTCTGGCTTACGATAGGGCATTCATATGCTGCAGGGTGGTTTGCATGACATTCGCCGCCGACCAAATATGTGCAGAAATGCTCACGCTCGTCCTCAACAGTGGCTACCTAAGCACGCCTCCTGTGGCTCCTTCGAGGTTAGATATGCACTGTCCACACACGCCGCGCTATAATGGTCAGGAGAGGATTACCATGATGCAAGGCAATGAGCCGTGGCTTTTCCTCTGTGGCTGCTGTGCTGAGAGATTTTGCTCAGACGTTCTGTCAGAGATCTATCTCCCCCATTATGTGGAATGTCTCGCCAGCATGCTACTTGTACTATCTTGCTCCTCCTGCAAATTCTGTGAGGTCGTCATGGACAACGCGAAGCAAGACTGGTGAGCTATGTCCACGTGGCCGTGTAGTGGATTCGAGGACGTGATCCCCCCCTTTCCACCGTACTTTGCGCTTATTTTAATGCTGACTAGAAGATAGGTCTATGCCTCACGCTGTAGATGTTTCGCAACGCTATAATCACATGATGTCATAATATGGTACTCCTATTGAATGGAATGTCTCCAACAACGTGAAAAACACTCGATAGCGTCCTGACAGAACTCTGACACTTGAGAAGACGTAATACGCCATCGAATACTACAGGCGAGGTGATGCTCGCATACGCGCGCATTAGTGATTGCTCTGCCTGATACTCGTGCATTGAACAGAACGGCCATTGCACTGCTTACTCGCCTCACTAAGGTCAAAACTGTGCGTTCAACCATTATTAATTGTCAACAGTACATAAAGCAACTCGCTTTGGTTCCGCGGGCACCAATATTGAGAGGTGAACAGATCTAGGTTACTCATGGATATCCATGACTGAAGACGCCACAAATGTTGCCGTGGCGGATCAAAAAGAACAGGTCCTGCCAGGACTCGAACCTGGGTTTTGAGAAGAGAGGTGTACGACCGAGGCCACGACACTCAGAATCTCAAGTGATAAGACCGCTACACTACAGGACCATGGTTACAACTCAAAGTGTCATGCATTATATGTGTACGCTACACACTCACTAACGGCTCATTCATGATGAACATTTACACCGAGTCATATTTTCCCAATGTCTGTCTTCCTACCACTCCTCGAGGACGCCGCAGACGAGGCTCTACTGCAGGCCCTCGCTCGAATTGGCCCTGTCATTGTTCCGGCATCGCAGGCAAATGCAGTCCATCTACCCGAACATGCCACCCGCTATGTCCTGCTCGATCGCGACTTTTCTCTCGACGAAGTGACTTCTTTCCTCGACCAGGGTGCAGAGAAGGTGATCCTCCCGCTTGGTCAGGCCAAGGACGCCATCGGGATTCTGCCTGCGGATCGCCTCGTCTTACTTATCGATGTAGGCAGTGTCAGCGCAGTATCAGACAGAATCCGCAACGGCGTGTCTGGCGTGCTCATAAAGACACCTGCGCTCGATCTCGACTTTGTTGCTTCCTTCTCCCGGTTCTTCGCCGGCTCGGCTGTCCATGTCCTGCCTGCAACCACGAGCACACCGCCTTCGCAGTCGTCCATTCGCGGTCTTCTCTCCGCAGGAGCTATTCTGGTTCTTCCTACGACCCTGCTCACTCTCTCGGCCTCGACTGACCGCCACATCAATGTCGCGGATGCATTCCTTTCCCCCATTAGCTCTGACCGCCCGGATGGCCTCATACCCACCGTCGTTTCCTCTCACGCTGAGGGGGGCCGCTCGCTGGGTCTGGTGTATTCGTCCGCGCAGTCTATCAGCGCTAGCATCGCCACTGGGAAGGGAGTATATCAGTCGCGCAAGCACGGTCTCTGGCGCAAGGGCGAGACATCTGGTGCAACACAGGATGTCATCAGTATCCGTCTCGACTGCGACTCGGATTCGCTAGAGTTTAGTGTGATTCAACACGGCGCAGGATTCTGTCACCTCGACCGATCGTCTTGTTTTGGGGAGACGGAGACCACAAGTTTGTTTGCACTGGAAAAGACCCTGCAATCAAGGCTGTCTTCTGCGCCTGAAGGGTCATACACCCGCAGATTGTTCGACGACCCGGATCTCCTTCGCGCAAAGATCATGGAGGAAGCGGACGAGCTGTGTCGCGCACAGACCAAGGAAGAGATCGCCTTTGAGGCGGCCGATCTGCTCTACTTTGCCCTCACTCGTTGTGTCGCCGCGGGTGTCAGCATTGCAGACATCGAGCGATCGCTGGACAGGAAGGCAAAGAAGGTCACTCGCCGTGCAGGTAACGCCAAGCCACAATGGACAAAACCCGCATCAAGCGCGAAGCCAAAGCCCGTGCAGGCGGTCATTGACCCGGACACACCCATCCGCATGCGCAGCTATGAGCTCGCAGCGGTTTCTGTGGACGAGAGAGCACAGTTGCTTCGCCGACCTGTACTCAAGTACAATGAAATGCTGGCTAAGGTCAAGCCAATCGTCGACGATGTTCGCATCCGCGGCGACGCCGCACTGTTGGAGCTAACAGCCAAGTTCGACAAGGCGCAGCTTACATCGACTGTGTTGCGTCCGCCATTCCCACCAGAATCTATACAGCTTGATCCCACTGTCCGCGATGCAATCGACGTCGCGTACGCAAACATCCACAAGTTCCATGCAGCACAAGCAGAGCAGGGGACCATGTCCGTCGAGACCATGCCCGGTGTCGTCTGTGCCCGCTTCGCACGGCCCATCGCACGCGTGGGCTTGTACGTTCCGGGAGGCACTGCCATCCTCCCGTCCACCGCGCTCATGCTGGGCATCCCCGCACAGGTGGCAGGCTGCAAGGAGGTCGTCATCGCCACGCCTCCCAGGCAGGACGGGAGCATCTCGCCGGAGGTGATGTACGTCGCCTACCTCGTAGGGGCGTCGGCAATACTTAAGGCGGGCGGTGCGCAAGCTGTAGCTGCACTCGCGTACGGGACGCAGAGCGTGCCCAAAGTAGACAAGATCTTTGGTCCAGGCAACCAGTGGGTCACTGCGGCGAAGATGCTTGTGCAAAATGACACCGATGCACTGGTATCGATCGACATGCCTGCAGGCCCATCTGAAGTCCTCGTGAGTACCAGCTTCAAGTATGAACTATCATGCTGCACAGGTTTTGAAAATTTGCGTTGTAGGTTATCGCTGATCATACATGCAACCCTGCATTCGTCGCAGCCGATCTGCTGTCGCAGGCAGAGCACGGCGTCGATTCGCAGGTTGTCCTCGTTGCAGTAAATCTTTCAGACGGGGAGTTGTCGGCGATCGAAGCAGAGCTAGATGCTCAGGCTCATGCATTGCCTCGCGTCGACATCGTCCGCGAGTCTATTTCGAAGAGCAACATTGTCAAGGCGCAGTCCGTTGATGAGGCGATCAAGTTCTCGAATGACTACGCACCGGAGCACTTGATCCTGCACCTTGAAAACGCAAGCAAGGTGGTGCCTCTCGTAGAGAATGCTGGCAGTGTCTTCGTCGGTCCCTATTCTCCGGAGAGGTGTGTGCACAGCCAGAGCTATCGCAGCAATCGCTGACCAGAAGTCTTAGCTGCGGCGACTACGCTTCGGGTACCAACCATACTCTACCGACGAACGGGTACGCTCGTCAATTCAGTGGCGTCAACACACTGTCCTTCCAAAAACACATAACCTCGCAAGAAGTCACTGCGGATGGTTTGAGGGGTCTTGGCCCTGTGGTGGCAACACTGGCTGATTGCGAAGGGTTGCAAGCGCACGCGAACGCCGTCAGGGTCCGCCTGCGGGCTCTGTAATTTATCTCTAGTGATCTCAAGCGAGCGAGAAGTGTAACAGATATGTAGAGTAACGTACTACAATAAGAGGATGCTTCCTAGATGATAACATGCTCTAGACAGCCCCAACCGAAAATACTTGAAACGATGTCCCTCCTCATAAGTGCAGCCCAACGCCACAGCTACATTCAAGGTGGGAGGCCCCTTAGTTTGTCCTGTACAGAGCACGTTTGGCAACCTTCGCGATGACGGGGCCATCTGGGAAAGCACGGGCCTCCAGGTTGATAGCGTACTAAAAGCAATGTCAACGATAGGGCAGCGCTCGACAGGGCAGACACGTACGGGTGTGGGCACATCAGCGCCGGTGACACGCTCGACGGGGGCGTCTAGGTAGTCGAAGGCTTCGCTCTCGATCACTTGTGCGCAGATCTCGCTGCCGACACCGAAGGCGGGGAAACCACCCTCGACGATAACGAGACTAAGACACGCGTTGATCAGCTGGATGTCTGTGAGCGGCGTCCGGAGAACATACCGATTTGTCTTCTGGATCGACTTCTTAATAGTGTCAATATCGAGGGGGCGTATGCTACGCAGGTTGATGACCTCCGCCTTGATGCCCTCCTTCGCCAATTCGTCAGCGGCATCAAGACTGCGGGTGACCATCAAGCTGTGCGCAACGATGGTGACATCGCTACCCTCGCGCTCGACTTTACACTTGCCGATGGGGAGGATGAAGTTGTCTGACATCGCCTCCTCGGACATGGGGAAGCTGACACCGTACATCATCTCGTTCTCGAGGAAGACAACGGGGTTAGGATCCCGAATAGCAGCCTGAAACACTGAGATGGGCGAACACTGTTATACATGCCATTCATGATGAACGCACCTTCAAGAGACCTTTGCAATCCTCTGCACTCCAAGGGCTGACGACCTTGAGGCCTGGTATTGAGCCGTACCATGCTGCGTAGTCTTGTGAGTGCTGGGCAGCCACACCAGCAGCTGCACCATTAGGTCCACGGAACACAATCGGGCAAGTGACGCCGCCGCCAGACATGTAGTGCGTCTTTGCCGCGGAGTTGACAATTTGGTCAATAGCCTGCATAGCGAAGTTGAAGGTCATGAACTCGCAGCTATGATTCGGGTGAGCATACGCAACAGCTCCGTGAAAGGGTAACTTACACTGGTCTTAAACCAGCGAACGCGGCTCCGGTAGCCAGACCTGCGAAACCCATCTCTGTAATGGGAGTATCGACAACCCGCTTCTCCCCAAATTTATCCATGAGGCCCTTCGTCACCTAGGACATGCTGTGAGAGAGGGCAGGGCGGCCATATCTCGAAGAAATATACCTTGTAGGCACCGTTGTATCGTGCAACCTCCTCGCCAATGACGAAGACCCTGTCATCTCGCAACATCTCCTCCTCGAGCGCGGAGTTGAGGGCATCACGAACAGTCACCTGAGATAATAACTACAGTTAGATCGACGAATGCTTTCGGAAACGACGCGAATCACTGACTGTCTGTTCGCTCTGTGTAGCATAACTGCGCGCAAGAGCAGCTCGGCGCAGCGCAGCTGCAGGGCCTGCGCGAGCGTGTGCGAGGGCAGGGGCGATGCGGGTGAATGCAGCTCGCGACATGCTGATTTTGGGGGGAGGAGAGAGGGGAGGAGATGACTGGGAAGGATTGGTGAGACGAGGGACGCGGTCAGGCAACTTTTCTGTGTGCGCTGGCTCGGCACGCCTCGGGACGGACTTCCTGAACCCCAGCCGTGCGAAAGACGCCCGCTCTCTCTCGTGCCATCGTCTCCCCAGGCCGCCGTCCTCGTCGCCCACATCGTCTCATTTTCGCGTCCCAGCTATGGCGCGCAACCCTGTTGTTCTCATCACCGGCGCATCCAAGTGCATCATCCTTCAATTGATCTTCCCGACGTAAGGGTGGTGGCTGAATTGTTGTCGCAGAGGACTCGGCCTCGCAGCTACGACAATTCTGCTCGCCGAATTTCACGCCAACGTCATCGCTCTCTCACGCACAGAGACTCCTGAGCTCGCCGATCTGCGCAATGCTCATCAGAACGCGCTCATAATTGTCAAAGGCGACGTGTTAGTCTCGGGTTCCCTCTACGATCTATCCCCAAGTCTTAGATGGACTCATGTATAGGACTGACGAAACCGTGGTCTCGGAAGCTGTCACCACTGCTCTCAAGGCCTTCCAGCATATCGACAGTCTCATACTGAACGCCGGGATCTTGGACCCGCTTGGTAGAGTTGACGCCCCCGATATTCCGCTTGCTGCATGGAAATCGCACTTCGATGTGAACTTTTTCTCCCTGATTACGGCTCTGAGGGCAACGCTTCCATCTCTACGCGGGAGTGACCTGGGTGGTCGCGTGGTGTTTGTCAGTTCGGGTTCTGCGACCAAAGGGACACCTTCCATGGGTCCTTACAATGCTAGCAAGGCTGCAATGAACAGCCTATGCAGGTATATGCGCCTTTCCCTCTGTTTCTCAGATCTGCCTGACAGTATGTGGCAGAACATTGGCCGAAGAAGAGCCATCTGTGACTTGTGTGGCCATGCGTCCAGGGACTGTAGACACTCAGGTATGTCTTTTTCGCGAGTAAGCTGTCAACCGTTACCTATTTGCTCCCTCGTTACAGATGCAGACGCAGCTGAGAGCAGGTGCAGATACCTTAGAGGACAAGGTGCACAAGATGTTCATCGGCTTGCATGAGGACAAGAAGCTCATCAAGCCTGAGCAATCTGGATATGTGATCGCCGCGCTGGCGGTCAAGGCGTCGAGCTCGATGAGTGGCAAGTTCGTAAGCTACGACGCGGAAGAATGCAAGGATTTCAGGAAGTAATGTCCACCTCAAGGGGAGAGGCGAGTGTATAATCTTATGTTTTCGATTATATCAATATTATCTGCACCCTGAGCGGCCTTGCTTTGATCATTTTGCAACTTAGCACGCCGACAAGGTTTGTCCTTTGTGCGTTATTCGTCAATGCTGCCATTTTGTCCGATAATCTCGTCCGACTTTTTCGGACTGCTAGTCAATGACGGCTACAGTGTCCCTCATGCGTGGCGTGCTACAGGGTGGATGTCCACAGTTCCTCAACTATTCTCCAAGAGTCGGCATCCGTCGCATCGATGTCCACCACCACTTTCAACCTAACAGGTTCAACGACATCATGGCATCGTCCCATTTCCGTCATTTGGGTTGAGCAATGCTTCCCGGGATCATGCCGTGGAGTTCTCAAAGCAGCCTCTGCGCGACGGACATGCTGGGCATCGATGCCGCAATAAGTATTGCCGTCGCTGCTGCTTCACCCGCCAAGTCCTCCGGGCGACCAGGATTGTAAGTTGGCGAGAAAGTGGATTCATTTTATGGCGCAAGCTTGTAAGGAGTATCCTGGACGGTTGGGGTCCTTCGCATGTCTTCCGACCTTGAGCGATACTGCAGGTAAGGATATACGGGTTGCACTTAGTAGATACAATGCGAACTAACAATGGCATTCTAGGTGTCCTTGCCAAACTAGCCCACGCATTAGACGGACTGCACGCTGTTGGTATCAGCATGGTATCGTTTTATGGCGAAGACAAGAAAGCGGTTAAATCCATATATTTTGGCACCCACGCAGAACTCTCACCAGTTGGTCCCTAAAAGAATACATCGGGCACGACATCTATGACACTATCTGGGAGGGACTAAACAGGCGATGCAGAGCAGTCTTCCTGCATGGCGCCCAGATACTGTCCTCGACGCTCTATCCTCACCCCTTCCTGAGTCACTGGTCACTGGTCACTGAAGGATCTATAAGAAGCCCCGCAGCGCGTGCTGTGCTCATGCAAACGCTTCTTGTAGGTTCCTAACGAGACGTACGAGGCTGCTGTGCATCTTATCGTGACGGGCAAAAAGCACCGCTGGACAAATGTAAATATCATGCTTTCTCACACTGGTGGCAGCACTATCTGGCTTGCACCGCGGGCGGCGGTGCTGTCCTTGTACATGGTCTCCCCCGCCCACAGCGGGGGATATCCTTGGCGATTTCGAGACGCTCCCCTTCGACACGGCGCTAGCTGCGCACGACATCACGCTCATGGCTGCGAAGACGTTCGTGAGGCCATATTCTGTTCGGCACCAACTTCCCTGGTGTGTCTGCACAAGCCTTAAATGTTATCACCGTGACCTGGCTGAGTTATCTCCCGCTCAGGGAGCTGTCAGTAGGAAGATGGACGCGTGGTATGTGAAGAATGTCGATGATCTTTTCGTTGGTGGTTCTGCTGCGTTGGACACCTTCATGCACAAGAGTGCTCTGGCACTCTTTGCGAAATCTAGTGAGGCGATGCATCGTGCAGTGCAGGTGCTGTGCCAGAGCTTACGTCGCAGTGCGTCTGATATTTAGCCCTACGACCAATTCTCTTACGTCAATTTCAGGAAGGATCACACGCGGGATGCTTGTAGCATCCGCATCGCTTAGGATTCTGTTCAATCTGGACTCGAGCACTGCGAACTATTGCCTTCTCGTGTGAGCTTCATAGTACGACATTTGATAGCCAGGCCGTAGCCATGTCATCGGTATAGTCCGCAAAAAATGGGATTGCCAATTCATTCTGTCGATGGCATCTGTCTGGGCCCGTTCACTTTGCAGGCGAAGATCCCCACACACATCCATGGCGTAGGTCTCACTACACAAATGCTCTCTGCACCCGGCAACGTGGCCCCCTCCACCGCTAGCGGAAGATGTACGATGAAGGTGAGATATACGGTCAACTAAGGGTGAAGGCTCCATGCTCATGCGCAAACGCTGTTGACCCGAGACCGGCGCCTTCATTTCCTTCTCGATGTCAGTGGCTACCCGTGTAGTATTTGCCTCAATAGCACTGCCATCTCCAGGTTAGGCGTGACAAATATGGCGAGGCTCTCGCCAATTCGCGTCACGACAAACCCTGAGCTATAGTTGGCAATACACATGACACGCACGGTCTTGAACTTACATAAAGTCTGCAATACCCACCAACCCAGACGTCTAGAACGAGAGCTTGCCGGCAAAGAGCAACTTCGCTTGGATCTAGCGATCAATGTCGCGGGTATGTTTCTGGTGTGTTGTGCAACGCATCGCATACAGGAGTCATTCCCCGAATACACTTTTCTCCAGAAGCACCGTTGCATCGATGTGCACCACCACATCTTCCCTGCCACTCTACGCAAGGCCGCGCAAAGCGAGTCAGTAGGCTTCCGAACGCCTCCGGAGAACCTGCCATGGTCCCCCGAGGTCAGCCTCGAGGCCATGGATGCGTTAGGCGTCGACATGGCCGTGTTATCATTGCCTGCGGGTGTGCCTAGTGGTCCAATTGGACCCGCGAATCGCGCAGCGGCGCGGGAGCTCAATGTCACGGCTGCTCGCATCTGCCAAAAGTACCCTGGGCGGTTCGCTTTCTTTGCATGTCTACCTATCCCAAGCGACACCGATGGTATGATCAACTGCTCCGCCTCAGTTACGTCGTACTGATCGATAATCTATATGCCTTTTAATAGCCGCCCTTCAGGAGTTGGCCTATGCTATTGATGAGCTACATGCTCAGGGAGTGGCTCTCGCGTCGTCCTATGGCGATGGCGCTGACGCAAGTAAGCCGAGCTCAAATACACCGTTTACATCCATTTGACTGTCTAGCATTGCAGCTTACATCGGTGATGATCGGTACGATCCTGTTTGGGAAGAGCTCGATAGACGAGGGACTGTAGTCTTCTTGCACGGAGCGCAAATACCGTCATCGACGCCGTATCCTCATTCATCCTTAGGAATCCCTATCACAGAGGTACGCATTTTATTGGGTCACAAAATGTGTATCCGACGGAAGTTAGGTCCCGAATGAGACATACAAGGCCGCCGCCCACCTTGTCGTCAGCGGTAAGAAGCGCCGCTATCCGAATACTAAGATAATCCTCGCGCACCTCGGCGGAAGCACGCTTTCACTCGCACCACGCGTCGCTGTCCTCTCGCGCCACATGGGATGCAGCTTGATGCCGGAAGAGATCCTGGAGGATTTTAAGAGCTTCTACTACGACACTGCGCTCAGCGCTCATCAGACTACGCTGGCTGCTGCGGAACACTTTATAGACCGTAATCGGATCCTCTTTGGCACTGACTTTCCTGGTAAGTCGGCATACCTTCCCCGGACACCTCTCTGAACCCTTTGCCCTCGCCCCCAGCTGTCAGTAAAGACATGGCAGGATGGTTCACGAGAAATGTCGAAGACTTCTATGCGGCTGATCAGGAGCAGCTAATAGATGTCCTGAGTGGAAATGCCGTCAAGCTCATGCCTTCCCTCGCGCTGAGCGAATCATCGTGATTTGCGATCAATAGCAAATGCGACAGCAATGTACGAGCAATTTTAACGAATTAGGTGACATGCGTAGGATATACAGCAGGTATACAGAAGCTTCACGACTTCATCTCTAAGAAATCAGCGTACATGGGCCGAGCGCATGCCGCTCGTCCTCATGATTTCCGGTTGTCTTGTAGTAACCAGTTGAAAAACTCTTTCTGCCCTGGCGAGCCAGACAGCATTGCTTGACCGTGGCGGCCGTTCGGGTCGTACCACAATCCTTTTCGAATGCCGTGCGATGTAAGGTATCGCCTCACTCGCTGAAAAACGGGAAGCAGTATCAGCATCTCTGGTTGTAGTGATAAGACAGCGAACACACTTTGGCGTTTGCAATGTCGTCCCGACCGCCAAGGAAAAACTTCGTCTTCTTCGGATCACGCGGATTTGGAATCTCTTCATACCAGAGCGAGTTGGCATTCCAGTCGAAGTGGCGCTGCAGGAAGTTGGCGACGCCGAGCTCGGTGCCGACGAAGTACTTGATGACCAGCTCCATTCCCTAAAAGAACACAAATGAGTATCACTGAAATGACGCCAATATCAATAAGACTTGCCGTCGTGCACCGACGATATATGAAGTTGTAGCAAAGGTCTAGGTTCGAGATGAGTGCGAGCGATATGCAAATGCCAGAAGCACATACCGCCTTCCCAACCACAGAACGTCACCGGGTCAATGAAGCATGAGCGAGTGACCATGGACGGGTATGCCTTCAGCATCCAAGCATGTACGAACGAGCCACTTGCTTCGCGTCAAAATTGCTTCCCGCCTCTAAACCAGAGTACTCACTTCGAGTGACTTATCATCGTCACACCCATCGGAACTTGGTCTCGATCTCCCTCACCCTTCTCTCTCTCCCTGTCCGACTCCTCCTTGTCTTCCCACTTCGCCCAACCGAGCTTGTCCAGCAGTCCCGCAAGCGTCCCTGCCATGTCGCGGCGCCCCAATGGACGCAGGTACCGCGGATGGAAGATTTGCTGGCTCACGTGGGGTTGAAGGGGGACGAGAATGGGATGGTTGGGGGCGGTGCGGAGCAGGGTTGTCAAGAAGCGTTGGTATTGAGTGATTCCGAGCCCGAGGCCGTGCATGAAGACGAGCGGTCGAGGGCCAGTGATATGATTCCAGCCAGGAGGAATACGGAGAACGTAGCTATGACAGCAGGAGCGTGCACCGCAAGGCATACTCGCTAAGCTCAGGATCACCAAGACATGATAATACCTGACTCACTCTAGCCCATGGTATGTTCCAAACTTAACGTTCCAATCCCTCACTAAGCGTCTGCGCACAAAGAAGTTACTGATCTCCACAGCAAGGTACCAGACCAGTGGCCGCCAGACAACGCTAACCGGGTCCAATGTGAGTAATAAAGGCTTGACTGTGGGATTAGAACCCTCAGGAATGGTTGTCCCCGATCGCCGCTCGATCAGTTGGCATACTTCTTGCAATGCTTTCTGGTGTACTGGAGGAAGTGCCTCAAAGGAGGTGTAGGAGGCGTTGTAGATTGACCAGTACAACCATGTGTACATTTCATGCTTGTGGACCGCGGACCAAGGTACCTTACCGAACCTGGAGGGGCTTGAGTAAGTTCGACTCTCGACAGAAAGAAGTGCGCTGCTCACCAAGTTCTCAGAGTATTTCGGAAATCCACAGCTCGAGGGTCGTCATACTGCAGCGTGATGATATCCTCGGCGGGGCTCCCAGGTCTCTCTACGTCTAGCATCTCTTCGTCGAACCCATCCTCGGGCAGATTGGCAAGGCCGGCTCTAAGGACACGCGTGAACGCGCCCTGGAGTTCAGCGAGCTTGTTCGGCGGCAGAGAGTGCGGGCCGGCAATAAAACGTGCAAGGTTGTAGTGGTGTACGCTGAAGAACGCCTACCAAGCAGGACACAGTGGAAGTGAGCGTCTGGAGGATGATCAAGACATAGTCACTGGGTCTGACCTCAGCTAGCGCAGTAGCAAATACAGCGCGGCCTGGCCATGATAAAGTCCATACTGTGCCTGATCGGAGGGTGTAGATCACGAACGCCCACGACAATGGCACGATCGACCAGAGAGGAATTACAGCGACGAAGAGCACTACATAGAATGAAAGGTCGCGCCTTCGCGTAGGGAGTAAGTGCTCTGCGAGGTCGCCAACAGGCGTCTTTCCCTTTGTCTCCATTTTGCGGCTGCCAGAGATAAAGACGAAAAGACAGTGGTGGTCGGGGCAGACCAGGGAGCCGCGGGAGGGAGAGCAGGAACGGGGACGAAGAGGTCGACGTGGGCCGAGGTGGACGAGCTTTGCCTGGGGCGGCAGACAAGCGCCCATAGCGACCATGCTGGCGCTTGCTGTATGACGTTGATCACGTGCACCGGGTCGACCGCCTCCCTTGTTCGGCCGATGTCGATATCCCATTTTTCAACGCCGTCCGCGACAAGTGCTGGCCATTCCTCCACCCTGGCCCTCCTCTCATAACCACCATGCTCCGCAACGCCCTCTCCGCTGCCACTCGTCCGGCTCTCCAAGCGGTGCGCGCGTCGAGCATAGAGTAGCAGTCGTTGAGCTTAGTTATTCGCTTCAGAGAACTGCCACCACCCTCTCTGCTGGCTTTCCGAAGATCACCCACAGAGTACGTGTCAAATACCATAACTCGTGTTCTTGTTGCTGACGTTAGGTCTTTGGCAGCAACCGACCAAGTATGGCGGTGTCTACACTGTATGTCATACGTCCGTGTTTCTGTAGAACGCGCCTGACACCGGAGCGTATGCCATAGGTTACCCTCATCCCGGGTGATGGTATCGGTAACGAGATTACGGACTCCGTGAAGGAGATCTTCGAGTATGTCAACGCCCCCATTGAGTGGGAGCAGTACAACGTCTCCGGAATGTCGTCCGCCGGCGAGGATCTCTTCAAGCAGGCTGTGGAGAGCTTGAGGCGCAACCGGGTCGGTCTCAAGGGTGCGTAACTACTGTCCCATGTAACCCATCCATTGGCCGACATGTCCGCAGGTATCCTTTTCACCCCCATCTCCCAGTCCGGTCACGTTTCGTGGAACGTTGCCATGCGCCAGCAGCTTGACATCTACGCGTCCCTAGTCCTCTGCAAGTCGCTCCCCGGCTTCCCCACCCGCCACAACAACGTCGATTTCGCTATCATCCGTGAGAACACGGAAGGCGAGTACTCTGGTCTCGAGCACCAGAGCTACCCTGGCGTTGTCGAGAGCTTGAAAGTCTCGACGCGCGCCAAGGCCGAGCGTATCTCGCGCTTCGCATTCGACTTTGCGCTGAAGAACAACCGCAAGGTGTGTGAGATTGGATCTCCGTAGCATCTTCGGATGTCGTCACAGGCTTATTCTGGTTGCAGAAAGTCACGTGTGTGCATAAGGCGAACATCATGAAGCTCGGCGATGGTCTCTTCCTGAACACCTTCCGCCGTGTTGCGGAGGAATACAAGGACACGGGAATCGAGTACAATGACATGATCGTTGACAACACGTAAGAATATTTCGCCTTGAGCTGCTCGGGATCGCTCAAAGCACTGCTTTACAGGTCCATGCAGCTGGTTGCACGACCCTCGCAGTTCGACGTCATGGTCATGCCCAACTTGTACGGTGCGATTGTCTCCAATATCGGGGCCGCCCTTGTCGGTGGTCCTGGCATTGTTCCTGGCTGCAATGTTGGACGTGTACGTTCACTTTGTTCCTGGCCCAATCAACAATGTATTGAAAATCGTTTCCCGTAGGAATATGCTCTTTTTGAGCCTGGATGCCGTCACGTTGCGAAGGACATCATGGGTACTAACAAAGCCAACCCTGCAGCCATGATTCTGAGTGCCACCATGATGTTGAGACATCTCGGGTGCGTTCTACATTGTACTTGTCGTTAGTCAAGCTCCAGCTCATCGCATGAATAGTCTGGACGGCCTCGCAAATAACATTGCTAGCGCGACCTTCGATGTTATCAATGCTGCCACGGTCCGCACTGCGGATATGGGTGGTACGTCTATACAGCTTGTTCGTCTCTACTGTGCATTCCTTTAAATCCCCTCTACTTCGCGCAGGCTCTGCAACGACCTCTGAGTTCACCGCTGCTGTCATCAAAAACCTCAACTGAAAGCTGCACGGTATCGGGAGTCCCAGTGGATCGTGCTAGAGAGGCTCAGGACAGTGAATAGCTGGATTTATTAGACGCTATGGTTTGTTAATGTAGCTACATTATACGACAATCTTGACGCACCGCGTTCCCCTACTATGCATCACATACGGAACCGCAGGAGGTGACTATGTTTCTCATGAAGGTCAGGCAACCCACAAAGTCACGGAATGTTGCTGAGGTCCAAGTTGGCGAACGAGTCATCCGCATCCAGGGCTGCTTCATATTCCTCTAGTGTCATTGCACGCGGCCTCTTGCTCTCCGGCTCTTCCATGATGCGACTAGCATCGACGCTGGGACCCGCACTATCTCCCTCGAGTTGCTCAATCTTGACTAGTGGTTTCGCACTACCCGCTTCCGCGCCTCCGCGCTCTTCGGGGCGCTCCTCCTTCACCCCCGTCCTGCGCAGTGCCAAGATGGTCGCGCAGCGTACCTCACCACGCCCACCCCAGCCGTCCACGTCTGGCCGGAAGTCCTGGTAGAGCGCAAAGCCCGTGCGGTTGAGCTCCGCGGGCGTGTAGCTCGCGGCAAGGAGGCGCAGTGCGCCGAGGACCGCCGGCGCTGTCTGCCGCAGCGCGCGGGTGATGTACGAGAACGCGGATGTAGGCACGATGGGCGTTCCAGAGGAGAGGGCGCGCCAGCTGCCGGAAGCGGTTTGGTAGAGTGGTCTGGAGGTCCGGGGAGAGGCGTGTGAGCGAGGGGGAACGGAACCATGAAGAGTAGGTATGGAGAATGAAAGGTACGTACACCCTAGACAGGCGCGGAGCAAGCGACGATCCGTGTTTCAGTATCAGTAGCTAGTCGTTGTGTGGAGACGATGTACTAACCGTCGGCCCATGAGGTCTACGTACGGCTGCGAGCCGCTGGAGGAGGCTTCCACGCCCTTGCCTCTGTTCTTGTCGAAGACCCCAAGTGAGACGCCCTTGGTTATGGCGTTCATCTCCGTGTACACAGATGCTGCATAATTCAAATGGCGGTGAGCAAAATGGTGAGAAGCGAATAAGCGGTGCGCACAGCCTAGGCTGCGCACAATGCCGGACGCGGCGTACCAATACTAAGGGCCTCCTCACGATGAAAACCAAGGCGTTCTGCCACGACGAATGCCCACGCCATCATGATGGGAGCGCGGTTCACGATCATATACTTAGGCTGAAGAACCTGTATATTGGTAAGTGACGAGATAGCCAATTCATATGCTGAGTTTCAGAAGGCGCCACAGACAGCAGGGAAGCGGGGTAGACCATACGGTACGAGTGGTGGGCTGTTCCAGGCGGGAGCCGGGCGCATGACACACCTGTTCGTCGAGCAATTCATTAAATTCTAGGCTGCCGTACTGCTCGCCCTCCTCTGGGTGTCTGTCCGGCAGGAATTCGTTCAGGTCGTCATCTCGCTTACGCTTCTTCCTGGGTCGCTGTGTTTGCCGTGCGGAACGAGCACACGGGTACATTGACGGGAAGACGTCAGAGCGCTCATTTAAGAGAAGAGGTCGTCAATTTTCCATCACCCGCGACGCACCTCTGCTGATGTACTAGTGGAAGAAATGCTGGAGCCAGCACCGCCCGGCGTGCCCTGCATTGCAGCACGGCTCGTCCCTGCTGCAGGTTTGCCAGGGGTTGCTTTGTATCCTGCTTTCCGCAAAGCGGCTAGCACAAGCTTGCGTGTGTCCTGGTCATCCACACCTGCAGCCTTGAGGCTGGAGTCTGTGAGTTTAGAGAGCTGAGAGGGGGTGTTGTGCGTCTTGTAGCTGCACGGCGAGGGTCTGAGTGCACTGGAGTGGGTGCGGAGAAGAATGATGGGCTGACATTTTCCCTGCAACTGCAATTGCTCGTGATGGGGGCACGCCATGCTTTGTGAGGACCTGGAGAAACGCAGGCAAGGCCATCTTGCCTTCCGTCGACGCCATACCCGGGAGGTGAATGTGACAAGAGATGATAAAGAAATAATGTCAAGTCCCCCCGGACGCGTAGGCGCCGGAGTGAATCTCTCGATCACCGCAGCGGGAATCATAAGTGTGAGTATGTTTGGTCCTGCTTGTTATCTTCCAGGAATGGCAATCAGCAGTGCTACACCGATCGCTGCTGAGCGCGCCTGGCGCATCACTCCCGCCACCATGATCACTTACATCCTCCTCGTCTCCCGACAAGGTTCGTTCTTATGATTCCCTGCTCCTGCTCTTGTGCCCATTCCCCTTCCCCACTCCTCAGGCAAGGTCCGTCTTGCAAAGTGGTTCACGACAATGCCGCAGAAGACCAAGGCCAAGATCGTCAAGGACGTCACCCAGCTCGTTCTAGCACGCAGGACGCGCATGTGCAACGTCCTCGAGTATAAGGGTACGCATCTCCACATCGGAGGCTCCGACCGCTCTTGTGATTGACGCGTCTCCAGACACTAAGGTGGTCTATCGCCGCTATGCGTCGCTGTTCTTCGTCTGTGGGATTGGTTCCGGGGACAACGAGCTGATCACGCTGGAGATCATCCATAGATATGTGGAGGTGCTTGACAGATACTTTGGAAACGTAAGTTCGTGCCACCACCATATATGTCGCTTGTTTTGACTTCGTCTCGATCAGGTATGCGAGCTCGACCTGTGAGCCCGTTTGATCGCCTGGTCCTCATTCATTGCTGACGGTTTCGGTGTACAGCATCTTCAATTTCCAGAAAGCATATGCAGTCTGTGTTTCCCACCGTTATCCCCGATACTCCGGCGCTGACGTCTCACAGATCCTGGACGAGCTCATCATCGCGGGCGAGCTGCAAGAATCTTCGAAGAAGTCCGTGCTTCGAGTGGTCTGTGTCCCTCTTAGTACAATGATCCCTGACGCTCATCTGTATACAATCAACGCTACCCAGGTCACCCAATCGGACAGCATCGAAGAGCAAGAAAACAGTGAAGATACTATGGCACGGCTGGGGAGTCTTGGGTCAAGAGGACCGTAGGCGCGTCGGATGCGTTGGGGATGAGTGTCACGGACAGTACATGGTCGGTCATCTGTATGCATATTGGTCTCTATTATTCCTTCCTATTCCATCATGGCTACGACCAAGAAGGTCCATATAGCTGGCAGATGCAATCTACCACAACGTGCGTCCCAAACGACGCAAAGCATGATATTCGCAGCGAACTTGACCGTGTATTCGAGCTGTGGTGTTCCTGTTAGCCGACTGCAGGAGTCCCGGACGATTTCGCAGGTGGCTTAGGTCGGTTAAGAAGGTGCCAACGGACGAGGTCCAATGTTGCGATCGCGTCCTCCACTGAGCTGTGCCCGGTCGTCCCCCCACCCGACTGTATTGTCTGTCCCAGATGCTCTTTGACTCTGTCATACAGACGCGTCAGCAACATCCCTCTGCACAAGCTGGCAATAGCAACAGAGATGCACGTACAGAAACCTCAGCGCCCTCCGGTAGGGTGGGCCCGACTGATGCGGGAAGAGCGCAACCGTGTCTACGCAGCGCAGGTGCACCATGCGCAGTGTCTTCAAGTCGTTTTCAAGTGCGTGTCCGACGACGATCGTCCGCGCGCTCACAAGCGTGTCGAGCGAGCGCCGGATCGACGCCAGCGGAAGGACCGCCTTCTCAGCGTATTCCTCTGGCGTAATACCAGAAAAGCGTGTGTTAAAGTCGCTGTCAGAGTGTAAGCAGGAACGGGAAACGAGGGGGGAGGAGCCATGACGCGCACATGACCTCGACGCCGTCGTCCATCCGCACGAGCTCGTCAAATATCTGCTGTCCCGCAGCGTCGACGACGGACACGCGCGCAACGCGGAACCCGCCCGTCGTGTACACCATTTCGCAATCCAGCGCGACAATGTCGAGTGCGGTGTCCGCTTCTGGGTCGTCTGGTGGGCGTGTGACCGTAAACGAGTGCCGGAGGTGCAGATCCTCGGGCGCCGATTCATAGAAGACGTGCGGTCCTTGTGAACAGCCTTCGCTGTCCGGCTCGCGCTCGCAGCACGAATATACCCGCCGCTTCTCTCCTGATCATGCGTGCCGGAGTCAGCTCAGCTACCTCGAGAACGGATAAGAGAGACGTACCACCAGCCTTAGTCGTGAATGCACGCCCCCAGTGGTAGGTGCACTCCTCCGCCTCCTCGCGGCGCTTGACCATGAATGGTTGTTTGCAACGCTCACACGTCTTTACACCGCCGAGCTCTGCGGGGCGTGTGCCGCCCGCGCCCTCGGGCACCTCTATCACGTAGCCCCATGTGAGCAGCTCTTCTGGCGTAAGGACGTACGGCTCGAGCTGCGCGGCCGTGAGGCGGAGCGCGTCGAGCTTCTTGCGCGCCTCGACGCGCGCGGCGATGTCGCCTTCTGTGCCGACAGAGCGGTGCCCCGCACTGTCGGGCTGCTCGCGCCGCTTGAGCGCGGCGACGGAAGAGATGACGGCCTATGGGTAGGAGGCGCGCTGCGCGTTGTAAGGCTGCTCTGTTGGCTGGCGGGCGGGGAGGAACAGAACGTACGTGACGGTAGGTCAGCTTGTTGGACTTGTCATAGACCTCTTGTTCCTGCCGGAGGGCGTGCTCGGAGGCGAGGGTGGGGTTGGCGGGGATGATCTTCGCGTAGAGGATTTGGAAGTGCTCGTAAAGTGTTTTCAGCATGGCCTAGTGTGCGTGAGCGTAAGAGCATGGCGCATGGATGCGTACGCACCTGGCGGACGGGGATCGCGACCTGGGACTGAGGGGGAGGAACGCGTATGAGAGGTACGCCAGTCTAAAATGCGACCTCAGCGTTCATCCTATGGGCAAGTGGTCTGCAATGACACTCACGGGTGTATGCGTCGCGGTGGGTACAGCGACGGGCCTAGCGAGCGGGCCAGTCTTCTGTAGCTTCCTCGGAGGCTCGCGAGAGGAAGACGCGCAGTTACTGGACGCGACGCTCTGGAGCTGGGATGCCAAGGGACGCTTCGCAGGCACATTTTGAGGTATTTGTGTGCTGCTGCGTGCAGACGATGATGGGGCGTGGTCCGGCTGAGCTGAGGATGAGCTTGCCACAGGCGCGTCAGCGAGGACGCGTATGGGCTGCTCCACCACAGATGAGCGATGGCTGAAGATACAGTTGACGCGGGTGCATGTGTGCTTGTCGGGGCATGGAAGGACGTCAAACAGACCGAGGGTGCTGAACATGGGCACACTGAAGGAAGGATCCAACCAAAGTATTCAAACGACTCGAGCCACCACGGATGTTACCTCCAGAGATGTAGGCGCCTGTAGGCGCTCGCAGACAACCTGATCGGGCTGCAAATCTAGAAACAAATCCTCTTCCCGCTTTCTCTTTATAACGCCGTCGCAGGCCGCTAATGCGTGTCCGATTGCTACTCATGCCTATGCAGACAAGTCTGAGGCATCAAGTAATGGCAGGTACCTTGGTAAAGTATCCTAATTGTATGTTGAAAGTGCTTGCTAGCACTGGTGAGCACTTGTGTCACACTTGTGCATTTTAGTTGGTTTATAGTACTTCGCTACAAGTTTACATATACTGGCAAGCAGTCACAAGGGTAAGGTCATGAGAAGTCTGAATTTATTGATCATTACTAGCAACTGCTTGTTAGCACTTGTACCCTTGTGGCAAGTGCTACTTGAAGCTGACCAAAAGTTCTCAAGTGTATCACAAGTGTTGGCAAGCATTTTCATGTTCTTCTGATGCTTGGTTAACTGACTCGGATGTATCATATGCACAGATGCCGTTTGACATGTGTGATCACAATATGCTGTGACCTATACACCTAGCTATTTTTACATCTCACCAGTACCTGTTGACTCGGAGACTTCTTCCTGACTTCTGCCCGCACGACAGCTCGCATCGCCCCAAGCACAGCTTGTTGGGGGACCAAAGTGTAAATGTTCCGTCTCTAATTTTGTCTTCCGGCCCCGTGCAATCTCCAGCCATCCGAAAGGTCTGCGGAGCGTCTCGTCACATATGTCGCCTGCGTCTGTCTCCGCAGCGGCGCACCTTAATATACGTTCCGCAGCCTCAAGGGGGAAGGCACGGGTAAGACGATCTTGTGCCTAACGCATAACGCCGCACCTCTCCAACACGCGAAATTCGCAACGGTGAGAAGTTTGGCTATGAGACCAGGCCACGGCCGCCACGAACCATTCGCCGAAACGACGTGCAGAACTTGACACCGCGCGCAGTGTCAAGCACACCAAGGCAGTAGTGAGGAGTGTGTGTCGTCCCGTCTGTCTTGAACCGCTTCTGTATATTCCTTCCAGTTACCCCGACCGTTTGCTAGGCAAGGGGACAAATAAGGGATAGGTGAGTCTCACGCTATCAATGGCCATGATGCCTCCCTAGCGCAAGTGACGGATACCGTCCTCGTTTCGTTTGACACTCGCTGCACGTCAAGAACAGGAAGGGGCTAGATGGGTAATCGACTGTGGAAGTGAGCCGGAGTCAGCCAGCTTGCTCGCACACACTTTGATTGTTTCATGATAACAACAATATATATCTTTGCGCCCCCTTCACGTCTCAGGGCGTCTAACCTCAAGTGCTATCTTGTGGCGCACGTACTGATCAACGGACATGTTGACTCGTCCCCTTTAATCGCCTCTCGGGCAGGCAGGAGTCACTTTCCTTCTCGTTCGCAGCGTATGTGTGACGTGTGCACTGTATATTCTGCACGACGTGATTGTCCGCTCCCGAATATATACGGCACATCCTGGGCAGCTCCGGGTCGCCGCCGAAGGACAGAGATTTTAGAATGCTTGGCGAGACGTTGTGCGTGATTGTCGCGCGAGGAGAGGATGCCGGCGGGACCGGCCGAAGGAGGGAGGATTCGGCAGAGGATGTCAGCGGGGATGCGTAAGGACTAGTCGACGAGAGAGGTGGGGGAGCAGGCCAGTGGTTGCTTGCATATGCGCGGGCATATAACAGAACGTCTGGCCGGCTGAGAAAACAAAAGTGAAGCGGAGTTGAACGGGAAGGGTGAGGGCAGCGGTGCCGAAGCCAGGAAGCAGACGGGCGTCTAGGCGTGAGGACGAGGGAGATGATGAGGTGGGGATGGACGGGTATATAGCCAGCGGCCGCCCTTGCCCCGACCAGCTGCTCGTCCCCCGCTTTCACCTGCACCATGTCCCCGCCGAAAGCGCGACCACAGGGCAAGCTCAAGCCCCGCCGCCCCAGTCTTCGTGCCAACACCCTCCGTCAGTCTCTCCAGCACATCGAGTACGCCCATCTCCGTCTCTGTCACACCCGGCTACCCGCAGCCCGCTCACTCGTTTCGCCCCTGACAGGACGGATTCAGCACACCACCTAGCCGGCCCCTTTAGGCCGCAGACGTATGTCGTCTTGTGCTCGTCCGCTCGTGCTCCGCTTATCCTTGTGTAGTCCGCTCGACGCGCAGTTCAATTCGCCTGTACGTTCTCCGAGCACAGTCCTTGATCCATTCAATTCCATCTCCCACGGCCTTTGGAAAGATATCAAATCGAACAGATGGGTCATAGTCCCCGGTGCGTCTCACGTAGTGTTTACCAGCCTCCTGCCCTGACGCGCGTTCACAAGCCTCGTCCTTCAAACTACTCCTTATCACCGTGGTTCTCTGGTGTAACTGGGAGCTCCTCGCCCCGCATGTCGCGCCTGAGCTATCCAACCCCTTCGCACCGCTCCTCTTTATCTCGCATCCTGTCCCTGACTCGCCGCCGCACGACCCGCGCTACGCCAAAGGCTACCTCGACCTCGTCTTCATCGCCTTCTATGTCGTCTTCTGGTCCTTCTGGCGCCAAATAGTCACCCTGCACTTCGCCCGTCCGGCCGGCCAGTGGTTTGGCATTAAGAAGGAAGCGAAGCTCGCGCGCTTTGGCGAGCAGGCCTACGCCGTGGCCTACTTTGGGATCATGGGCGCGTGGGGCATCGTGAGTCGCATGCGCGGTCGGTCTCCGCACCTCGCTTACCTCTGGTCTGCAGCGGATCATGTCCCAGCTCCCAACGTGGTGGTATCGCACGGAGTACTTCTGGATTGGTGCGTAGTGTGACCGCTGTATCGTGTCCCTGTTGTCCTCATGTGTGCCGCGGCGCGCCTCAGACTATCCGCACTGGCAGATGGTCCCGGAGCTGAAATGCTACTACCTCATTCAAGCGTCCTACTGGTGCCAGCAGCTCATAGTGTTACTACTTAATCTCGAGAAGCCGCGTAAGGACTATACGGAGCTCGTCGCGCACCACTTCGTGACGCTCTGGCTTGTTGGGTATGCATCCCGTGCACACTGTACCTATCATGCTCCCTCACACACCCACCAGCTGGAGCTATCTCATCAACCTGACCTTGATTGGGAACGCGGTGTATGTCAGCATGGACGTGCCTGACGTCTTCCTTGCAGTGCGTCCCCCCTTCGTAGTGCTCCTATCGCGCGCTCACACGGCGCCCGGCCGACCCCTAGCTCTCGAAGATCGCAAACTATATACAGTATGATCGCCTGAAGGTGGTGCTCTACATTGTATTCGTCTGCATCTGGACGTGTGTATCTCCGGTAGCCTGTCTGGCGGAGAACTCTCATTGACTATCGCGTTCACACCAGATATTTCCGGCATTGGCTCAACCTCGTTATCCTTTGGTCTGTTTGGACAGAGTTTGATTTGATGCCGTGCGTGGAATTAACTCAAGGGCGCATTCCTGTTTCTCTGATGTGCTCGCACGCACAGCGAGACTTCTAAGCGGTGGTCGCCGGAAGACGGCGTGTGGATGGTCTGGTGGATGAAGTACCAGATCTTCACCCCCATAATGCTCCTGCATTTCCTGAATGTGTTCTGGTATATCCTTATCCTTCGCATAGGAGTGAGGTAAGTGCAATCCGATCAAATTGATGCACACCAATCTTCTTCAGACGGCGTTCGCGTCTGTTTCCTCTCATCTGCGTGGTCCTTGCTAATCCCATGGACACATGTGCAGGGCGCTCAGGGTGGAAGAATTCACCAAGATCAAGGACGATCGTTCGGACGACGAGGACGAGGACGAGGACAAGGAGGACTAAATGCTCCTCATATGGGCGTAGGCGGGGTTTGTCGTATACGCCGGCCGCACGGACGGGCGAGACGCGAGGAGCGCGGTACGAGAGTCATGGTGTTACCGTAGTCTAAAAGTGGATGTGGCGAGCGGACGAACTGACGACGCTGTACCATACACGTTGGCGGCGCATACATGTATACCTTGTAGTCATAGACTCGGGCCCACTCCTGGTCGCTTGCCCTGGCGGCGTCGGTTTAATTTGGGGTTTCCGTGCATCTCGCTAGCTCCGTGGACAGAGATAGACGAGGACGATGGTACTGGATGCAGGCTCCGTTGTCGCATTGAATAAATAGACCCGCCGATTCGCGTTCCAGCTTTATGCGCGGACAGTGCCTAGTCGACCGAGTGCAGCTGTTCCTTCTTGATCACCTGCGTGAATATCTCGAGGGCCGCTTGTGGCTGGAAGGCGGGCTGCAGCGTCATCCAGCTCAGCATGCCTGCGGAGGGCGGGCACGGTTCACTCACCACTTCGTGCCCAGACTCGTAGACCCTCCTAGATCGCAGTGCGTCAGTCGTCTTTCTGTTCTGCAAGGATTTGCACTTACGCGAAAGTGAAGTTGTCTACATTCTGCACCGCCGCGACCGGGTGCCCGCCGATGGTCATATTGACGAAGGGCGTGGCGTGCAGGGCGGCGCTGCCGTACCACTCCATCGCGAGCACGGACGCGTGGGCGCCGAGCCAGTTACAACTACAAGAACCATGATTGTCAGCACATCGCGCTCGCCCGAGCCTCAAGCATGGTGACGCCCGCTGACTTTATGTCCGCGTCCCCCGCCTGTTGGAGTCGGAAGGCACGTCAGCTGCTGATGGGGTGTACGCATGGGATGTGCGAGAAAATAAATGTACCCATATGAGCATTTTGAGCCCTGAGTTCGCCAGTGCGCCGAGTTCGGGAAGGAGCGTGCGCGCATCGTCTCCGGTTCGCTCAAACTCATCATCGACCGGGTAGGAGCACTCCTGGTATTGCACCTATCGTTGACGCTTCGTAAGGCTATCTTTACAGCGCGCAATGCGCCTGCAGGCGTACTGACCTCGGCACCTATCCGTGCCATGACCTCGGGGTTCTGCAGGTAGGCCACATAGTACTCCGGAGGAAAGAGCGCCGACGCGTTCTGGCGGAGATCGTCTGCGTCGCGGTCGCCCACTGCCGGCACAAAAACGTAGTCTATCTGGTCACGCGATAGGGGGTGCGTTTAGTATGTTTGTGCACACGACCTTGGATTGTACGAGTTGTAATTGACTCACGCAATACGCGTCGGCGGTATTGCAGATCTGGTTGCTCTCCGCAGACTCGCCGGCGATGTAGCAGTCCAGCTCTTGCTCCAGGCAGCCGCCAGGTCCGTAGAACGCCTCATTGAGTTGTGCAAGGACCGTATCGTTCTGCAGCTGACCGTACCCCGGCGCATAGGTCGCGAACGTGACGTATGCCTCGTTCTGGAGGAGAGGGTCGTACCACCCACTACGGGCATATCAGGGAGATCAACGGCCGAAAACGCATAGATGCGCACTTGTTTATCATGAGCGCGCTCACTTTCAGCTGCTCTGCCTGGAGGGTGCCGCTCTGGATCTTCGCGTTCTGTTCGTCGAAGTATGTGACAAATGCTGGTCCGTAGTGCCCTCCGTAGCTCTCCGTAGCAAAGATGAATCTTAAAATGATCGCAATAGTGAGCATACAAGCATCAGGGGGGCGACTAAACCATACTCTCGGCTCTGGTATTGCTCGAATTTACCACTCTCAAAAAAGATCTGTAGGGCTTGCCAGACCGTTGGGGCTGCCGCAAATGTGCTGTTGACATCAATAGTACCGTAAGAGAAGCCTGACCCAATGGGCTGGTCGATATACAGCACTGGCGAAGCACTCGGGTGAGCGATTTGACACGTAACACCTAAAACTAGGATTACATACTGTTGCTGATATTGTTCCAGCTAGTGCTGTTTATGAGTATGGAAATGCATGATACATCTTGTAGTGCCACACCTGTATGGATTGAGGAAGGTCTCGTTGCCGTCGAGTGTGACATGACAAGGTCCGTTCTCTGTGGTCCTTCATCGATTAGCTGCCGTGCTATTGCAATAGGGTGGGTCCCACCTTGAAATACACCAATCATTGAGGAGCATCCAGGTCCACCATTAAGCCTAGAACGGATTACTATGAGAGAAATATTTAAGGGGGTGGAGGCTCCTATACCACAAAGTGAAGGGTGCCGATTCCGGCTCGTTTCTTGACTCAAAAAACCAGAACCACTGAAATCAAATCTTAATGTCATCAATTGTGTTGGTCGGACTGAATCACTTACCATTGACATGTTCGAGCCAACATCTAGATACCCTGAGATCTGCTTGACGCCGGGCGTCGTCTCGCACACCCCAGAATTGGTGGTGTATCTGATTTGAGTGTCATTCTGTAGCCGCGAAACAAACGTATTTCGAATGGGCCTGTGTACTGCCTGCTCGTCTAGAAATGAACCTGCAGAACTTGTGGCGACCGCCAGAAATGCCGCTAGCAAACAAGGGACTATGACCCCGCCTTGTGTGAGTGACGAGACGATGATTTGTAGCATACTGCGCAATAAGTGATGCCTCGCTACCGTCAAACGATTTTTATGCCCTACGTCGGTCGTTCTGAAGGGCGATAGGTTTGAGCCCTACAGAACCCTGAACAGGTCTTGTTACACCAGGGAGGATGTGAGAGGTGCGACTATCGAGTGTCGGAAGTATCGCCCCCAGACTCGCACTGCACGCGTAGGGGCGACGAATTTGCCTATCAGAAGCAAACATGAGGCCGAGAAATTTGCGCCACCACTTGCCATGAGACATCCTGAAACATCCCACGAGGCATAAAAATGTGGCAATAGATTCGCAGCTGGCAATGAACAATGACATAGGTGCTGAGACGAGGGAATGTATTTCCTTCGACAACCTATTACTAATTGCGTATGTGAGTGTGTGGAAGGCTTGTCGAGGTACCACTGAGTGGGCGTTGCATTCCACGGTGCATGCAGTGTACGGTCCCACTGACATCACGATCGATACAATCGAGATCGCCCTGTCACCGATCTCTCGATCGGTTCGTGTTCGTGTCTTCGATGCAGCGACAACGCCGTCACGTCTCTATCAACTGGTACACGCTACTTACTGAGCGACCCACCGTCTCCCAGGGATTCCGTGTACAAAATTTGCGGGTTTTTCTGCTACTCAGATGGTGCAGGCGATCGAACAGGCTCATCATGACACTGCTGCAAGCGCTCACTCGTTGCGAACTCGGAATACAGCCGACCGTTGAAAACTTCTTTCAATTCGGTCTCATGAAGAAATCAGTAATGAACACTTCCACTCTTACGGTGAGCTAACTACTACTTCTATACCAATCGCTGCGCTCATATCTTAGGCGTCCACCACTTCCGGTAAACAATGTCGTATAGCATGTTCCATGATGGCGTTAAAATGGTTGACGCTCATTTTGTTGGCGAAAAAGGTCCAACGCAACGACCCAAACGAAGGGCTTTCCCCCATATTTCGATTGACCGAGGTATGTTCTACTTTATAACATACGTACAGGCTAAGTACAGACCAAATATGTGACCAGGCCAGCATCTCGAGCGAGTCCGTGTAAGAGAGAAACAACTAGGGTCCCAACACAACGCCTAAAAGGCCATCGGGTCAGAAGGTCAACGATGGACGGTTCCAACGGCCCCGCAGGTAAAGTATATGGTCTGTATGTAGTACGTGCTAAAAAAAAGTAATGCGGCATTTGCGGTTGCGTGTGATACACCATGAGTGAATGCAGAGTCCCTGGAGCACAAGCATGTGACAAATGAAAAGTAGCGACAAGAAGAGTAATAAAGGAACACCAGTCGCGGAAAAAGTACCATATCGAATGAAGTGAGGCAGAGAGAGGGAGAGCGAAAGGTAGTGTAGTCAGCAACGAGTGACGTCCGTACGAGCGCAGCGATAGCATATGCGGGTGACAACATGCGATGGTACATGTACATTTAGCATTTTCTATGTGATGGTCGTGGGGCCGGGTCCGAGGAAGGCGTCAGGCATTATGTCACACTCTTCGAGCACGCCGGCCCAAAGAATTTAAGAGAGATGCCCGTCAGGGCGAGTGTCATGAGATCATGGTCTGCCTCCGCGGCTGCGCCGGCCTGCTCAGGATCTGGAAGCCAGACGACGGGATCGCCCACGAGCTGCGCGGCTCGCTGACCACAACAGGCGGGGACGTCGGCACGGCTGGCGGCAATGTCGAGGAGTGGTGCGGCGACGGCCGCTGCTGGGGCGAGGCGGTCGACGAGTGCACGCGCCGGCGGTCGTCCGTCTCCCGGCGGTGCTCGCTCCTGGCCGCAGATGTAGGCGGGCTCATGGACTGGGACATGCGATGAAGGTCGGCGTCGGCGCTCGAGCGGCGTTGGTGGGTATAGTCGCGCGGCGAACGCGGCGAGGGCGAGGACTCCTTGCGCGCGCTGTGGCTCTGACCTTGGCTGGCCATGACCGCCGCCCGGCTGGAACTCGGCGGGAACGCCGCTTCTCGAGGCCCACGCTGGGCGGTCGGTGAGGAGCTGTGGCTTCGGTTTTGCGGCGGCTCGGGCTGGAGATGCTGCATGTGCGGTGGAGTGGGAGACGAGCTATGTGAGCGTCGCTGACCCTGGCCTTGACTCTGGCCTTGCCCTTGATTATGGCTTTGCCCTTGGCTATGGCCTTGACTATGGCTCTGCGCCGAACTACGGCCCGGACTCGAGCTGCGGCTATGTTCCCTGCTCTGGCTCTGGCCCTGGCCCGCGTTCTGGCTATGCTGCGACGGCGGGCGGTAGCCAAACTGCTGCATCACGAACGGCGGCGTCGGCGGGAGGAGCGGCTCCATGCCCATGCCCATGCCCACCGGCATCCCGTACCCAGGCACCGGGACGGGCACGGGCACGGGCACCGCCATCATCGGCACGCCCATCATGCCCATGTTCATGCTCATCCGGTTCATGTTCATGGCCATGTTCATGCCGTTCATGTTGCCCATGCTGTTCATGCCGTTCATAGGCATGCCCTGCCCCGGACTCGCCATCCACATCGACTGCGGCGGCGGCGTCGACCCGAAGCTCGCCGTGCGCGGCTTCCCCGCATCCGAGATCATCGACGCGCGGTTCGCCGCACCGACGCTCCCGGCCCTGTTCTCGCGCGGACGCACGTCGGGCGCGGAGGACGAGCGCACGGACGCCGTGAGCGCACCGGGCGGCGCAAGGTGCGAGTGTGCCGATGAGTCGCGCTGGCTCTGGCTCTGGCTCCCGCTCCCGCTCGGCGCAGGCGACGAATTGCGCGCGCTGTTGTTGGACGGCGGCGGCCGTGGGGCGGGCGACGAGTTGCGCGCGCTGTTATTGGACGGCAGTGGCGCTGGTGGTGGGGCGGGCGACGAGCTCTGCCTGCGCCCATCGTACACCGGGCGCGCAAACGTCTCCTCCCTCTCCGCCTGCTTTTCCCGCCCCCTGCCCCTCCCCCCCGCGCTATCGTGCCTGTCCCGCTCGCGCTCCCTGCCCTTGTCCCACTCCGCCGGCCCGCTGCCCACGCCGCCCGGGCCCACGAGCGCCGGCGGGATGAAGCGCTGGCTCTCGCGCCGGCTGCGCGCCGCGGCGACCTCCTCCGCATACATCCTGCGCCTCCGCTCCTCCTCCCGCTCGCGGCTCTCCACACGGCGCCGCTCCTCCTCTTCGCGCTCGGCCCGGCGCTGCGCCTGGTCCGCGTGCGCGCGCCGCACCTTCTCCGCCGCGAGGAACTTGGCCTTCTCGAGGCGCTGCTGCTTGATGCGCTGCACGTACCCCAGCGGGATGTTGTCGCGCCGCCCGTCCGCGCTCCCGTCCGACGTGTCATCGGCCTCCCGCCGCTCCTTCGGCGTGTCCACGAAGCGCACGGCAGGCTTGGACGTGCGGCCGGGCGACGCTGCTTGCGGCCGTTCGGGCGCGGGCGGCGCCGGCCTCGGCCTCTGGGCGTTCGGGGTCGGGGTTGGGGTCGACACGGCCCGCGAGGTGATCGTCGCGGTCGATGTGCTCGTGCTTGCCGTTGTCGGCGCAGGAGACGTCGATTTTGTGCGCTCGATCTCGATGGCCGGCACAGGCTTCTCTGCCGTCGTCGATGCAGGCTTCTCTATTGTCGTCGTCGTCGTCGGCGCAGGTTTGTACTGCTGCTGCGGCCCCTTCACGGGCGACCAGGGGCTGGGGAGTGCCATGTTCTGCTCGATACGAAGCGGCGAGGGCATTGCTTTGTACGGCTGCGCGCGCGGTGACGGCGAGCCCGCTTGAGAACCTGACGGGTGGGATACGGTCAGCACCGCTGTCATCGCAGGCATCGCACGCTCAAAAAAGCGCGAGAGAAAAGAGTAAAAGAGTAAACAGTGCGCGATCCGCCAGATCACGGCGATGGAGGCGATGGAGGGAAACGGGCGTGGGCGTGATGAAGGCCCCAGCGCGCGTCAGTAAGAAGGATAAGATGAAACGTGTGCGGTGCACACGGAAGAGTGGACGAGAGGCAGCGAGGGGGAGTCACAGACGCAAGAGGCGAAACGCAGCAGGCGAAGGAAGCTCACCTGCCTGTCCTTGTCCTTGAGGCTGCGCCGGCAGCTGAGTCTTCCCCACGGCAGGCACGCCCCCCGTGGGCGTCGGCGGGCCTGTTGACGCCGGGCTACCCAGGAGAGAGGCCGACGCCGACAACGGCGGCGTGAGGTCCGGCGCGCTGAAATTGAGCAAGGGCCCGCCTGTGTCGATCTCCACGTTCAGCGCAGGCCACGATGATGACTGTTGTCGCTGAGGCTTGAGCGTTGGAGCCGCGTTAGCTAGCGAGGCCAGAGGTGGGGATTCTTGTGATGCGGCAGCCCCACGGGGGAACGGCACGCCCGCTCCAAGCGGCGAGGAATCTGCGGATGCGATTGCGCCTGCTCCCGGCGCCCGTGCCGCGCCGTCGCCGTGGCCTACCGCGGCATCCTCGTCCTCATCAGCGAATACCCCCGCGAGCGCCTCGAGCGCCTCGCTGTATTCGAGCTCGGCGACGCCGAGCCCAGTCCCGGACACGCGGACACACACCACCGCGTCGTCGCCGTGTTCCCGATCCGCCGCGTCTCTCGGGAGGTACACCGCAAACCGATCCTCGAAGCACGGACGCTCTATCCAGCGCAGGAGCCCTTCGCTGTACCGGCGCACGCCTCGCGCGAATGCTTTCGGCACGGCGGTGTCGTCGAGCACCAGCGTCGGCCCGCGCGGCGCAGGTGCCTTGCCGCGGCGCGCGAACGGCGCGAGGGCGCGTGTGTCAGCGCCAGGCACGGCAAGGCGGTGCAATATGCGCTTGTGGAACAGCCGGGGCAGCAGCGCGTCGCCGTCGTACCGCGGTGAGGACTGCAGCACCGAGTGCAGGTTGCAGGAGCGCGGGAAGAGAGGTGCATCAGGAACGTGCAGAGTCGGCGGTGGCGCAAACGGTGGCAAGAGCGCATTCTGCGCGAGCGCGCGGGCGTATTCCACGGCCGTGAGCGGCCGCGCGCGTGCCGTCTCCTGCCGCACAACCGCAGGCAGCGGCGGGACGCGCGCTACTGGCGTTGCCGACGGCTGGGCGGTGCGCGCGCGCGGCGGTGGCTCCGCGTAGCGCTCAGAGTCGCCGCTGTCGGACGTGTCGTCGTCAGTGTCGTTCAGATGGAGGCGAGGGTGGGCAAGGGCAGAGCGCGCCGGGCCGACGGCGGCAATTGCGGACGCACTCTGGGACGCGGTCAGGGCAGAGCGCGACTGGCAAGGGATCATAGAGCTCGCCTGTGCGCGGACGGCAGTGGGCTCTGCGGGCGGCGCCTTGTCCGGGAAGGGCTGCAGATAGACGCGGTCTGGGTGGAGGCTGCGAGCATCGTCGTCTGGGGTGGGAGGGCCTGCGCTGGACGACGACGACGAGGCGGGCTCTGTGGAGATGTGGGGGCTAGACAGAGACGGTGCGCGGCGGGAGATGGTGCGGAAAAAGCGGGCCTTTGGGCGGAGCAGCTGCTGTTGCTTTTGGGCAGCATCGACGGTGGCCTGTGCGTGCTGGGTGGAGGCGTCGTCGCGGTGCGAAGAGGTTGCGTCCGACTTGTCAGTGCGCCGAGAGGCGAAGACGGCGGCGATGCGGCGCATGAGGGAGGAGGAAGGGAGGGGATAGAGGCTTCGAAGGCGAGCGGACGGACAGAAAAGGACGGGGGTGGCTGGATCAGGGCCGTGTGAGGAACATCTGAGAAGGGAATGTTCGGCGGGCAGAGATGAAATGACGCGGCTGGACGATGTGTGCGATGGCGTGCAGCAACGCAGGCGGCGGGGACACTGGCTGGCTAAGCTCGCAGCCGTGCGCAGAGAAAGAGAGCGAACACGGCCAGGGCCAGCCTGCCCACGCCTCCTCCTCAATCCGGCACACCCACGCGTCCGGGCACCCGGCTCGCTTCATCACTCGCCCGTCGCCACTGTCCGCCCCTTGCTCGTCCTCGTATCGTCCGCAGATAGCTTTCAGTAGCTCCCTCCTCGTCTTCCCTCTCTCATGCGGGCCTTCCCCTTATCGCGCACCCTACCTGTCCCCCGGCTCGGCCCTGCCTCGTCCGTGCTTGCTCCTAATTCTGTCCCCTGCCCTCGTCCTCTCGCTTCCTCTCACGAACGTGGCTTCCATACGTCCCCGCGCTAGCCTGGGTTCTTCCCCGCATGATCGCTTTCACAGGCCACGCCCGGTGTCTCTGCCGCCTTGATCAATCCTAGGCATGCACACGTCCATCTCCAGATCCTACGCCGCTATGTATACCGCGTTTCCCATTGCCGTTGCTATGCACCCACCACCGGCCCTCCGCACTGCCCGTCTATTCCCTCGACTTTCCCCATCGCCACAACCTGGCTGCCCCGACGCCTGTCTTCGCGTCCCGCTCTCGCATCATCACCTGTCCGCCCTCAACAGCGTCATGTGGCTCGCGTCACAGCCCCCGATCGCGCGCGTCCATGCTTCCCGAAGATCCCGGCCGTGCTCGCACTCCGCGATGGCAAGCGCGCCTCGCCCCGCGCTCACTCTAAAACAGTCAATGCGCGAGTCCGGCGCAACATGGCGTCATGGGCCCCGGCTTAGACGCTCTTAGCCCGGCCGCACATTATGCATTGCTGCACGGTCAATCCTTCCGTGACGTATGCACGCAGCGATAGCGTATGACTAGGACGTCGGACGTACAGTCCGTACCACCTCTTACTGTAAGTACAGCCGACGCCCGTCACCGGTCCCCGGCCTTGCCGTCTCGGTCTACGCTGCTCTGGGTGTCCCCTCATTTTGAATTTGTCCTGCAAGCTTGAATAGGGAATGCGGTTACTCCCTCGTCGTCATTGAGGACCCGGGTTAGTGCGCCTGTCGGTTCTTGCGCGGGCACGCATCGCACGTAGCTGTCGTTTCTGGCGCTCGGTCTCTTCGCTCGACACAAACTCCGTCGCCGGCGTTTCTGGCAACGCGCGCTCTTCCCCGCATCGCTTCCCAGCCACCGCGATCCAGTGTACAAGCGTGCCCTGTGTACGGCGTCAGTCGCGACAAGACACCTTCAGGCCCCGCGCCCCGGTGCGATTCACACGATTGCACCCCCTTTCTAGTCTTCGTGACCCTCACAGAAGCAAACCACATCGTCTGCATTCTCTTCGGGAATGCTCACAACACAGCGCCTCGCTTGCGCTGAATAGCTTCGGTAAGCCTTGCGTCTGCATAGCGTGCCTAGGCGCACGGAAATAACAACTCAACGCCAGGCCCAGCCCGGGCATCGTTAGCACAATGCGCTGAACACAGATGCACACATTTACACCCGCGCCGCTTCGTCTGTCACATCGCGCGGCGGGTATCTTAATGGCGGTCTCCACAACCGCGCGGCCGCTATGTCGATGCCGTAAGACCGCACGCAACTACCTGCCCGACGTCTGGGCAGCGTAAATCAGCATCTCCCCATGCCAACCTCAGCCAGCGACAGACCCGGGGCGCTCACGCTCACGGGTCCAGTTCCCGCCAGGCGTGCTCTCTCCAGACGCACACAAATAGCAACGCCACGGCGCGCCCGAACCCGGCACAATAGCGGGACGGGACATGGGCAGCGGCGCGCACACCCACGCCGACTCATCCTCTCCTGCTCACATCACGCGGTGCGTATCTCAATGGCCGTGCCTCAACGCTCCTCACGCGGACGCCTAGCCTGAGCGGAATGCACCCCCGCGGGGATCCCGGAGCCTGGAACCTGCCACCCGTGAGTCCGCCCGCGCGCGCGCACTGCGTGTTCTGCACCATCTCACTAACGCGCCCCGAGGGATACTGGCGTCCACGCCGAGCGCCAGGGAGGGCCACCAGACGAGCGGGCGCGGCGAACACCACGTCATATCCAGTAACAAAGGTGGTCAGCCGTGGCGCTGCCAGAGACGGGAGCCCAGACACGTACCGTGCGCGGGCGCGCGGCGCACGACACGCGAGCAGCGTCCTGCCTGATTCACACCCTGGGGACGCGGATGGCCAACACGCGGCGCTGACAAGCGCGGGCCATGGTGCGGGCGCGAGCTGGTGGGAGCAAAGTCCGGTCAGTATGTCTCATGCGGAGCAGACGGGCGCGGCACACGCACCGCGCGAGAAAGAGCAGGACAGCGGACGTCCGCGCCAGACACGGGCGGGACTCGCCAGATGAGCAGCGGGGGCGCGTTCAGCGCCGCGTCGTATCTGGTGCGCTGCGAGCAACGGCGGCGGGCTCTTGGTATGGCGATGCTGCGGCACCGGTGATCAGCCGCGGCGCTGCCAGAGACGAGAAGCGGGAGCGCGGACACATACCGTGCGTGTGCGCGCGGGCAGCATGCTGCATGACTGACGTTCCGGGACGGCAAAGGATTGATTGTCGATCGGCGGCTGCGGATGCGAATTCGGGGCACAGCCCGGTCAGTACGCCTCTTGTGGAGAGGACGGGCACGGCACACGCACCGCGTAAGGAGAGGCAGGACGTCGGTGCGTGATGTCCCGATGACCGGGAGCGCGCGCAGTCCTAGCGAGTGTGACCGCGGACACACGGTTGCCGCGCACAACGCGTGTCAAGATCTGCGGGACCAAGCGCGCGATGCTCAGAGCCTCAGGGGTAAACGGTCAGCACGAGTGGCACCGGTCGAGGCGGCCACATACTCATGGACAACGGCAGGTGCGTCTATTCCCGTCCATCTGACGCGTGAGCATTGTACTGCGCTGACGAATTCGACGCTCCTTTCTTAACACTCAACGGGCAGCGGGCGCGTGATTGTACGCACCATGCTGCCCTCAACATGTGCTCTGCTGCCTGTTGATGCGCACGCACTCGCTGGTAGCCCGCTCGCTCGACGACGACGTCGCCCTCGCTGGACTGTTGCTCTAGCTCGTTGGCGTCTCTCTGTTGTCCCGGGAACCCCCCGTCGCCCTTCTGGCTGGCCATCCATGCCTCCGCGCGCTCTCAGCAGTCCCTACAGCAATACACAACTGGCCGCTAGTACGTCGTTCGTCCGCCCAACTGCGCGCATGCTCGCACCGGCGCACAGTATGCTAACAGCCGTCTTGACTAGCCTCGCGTTTGTCTAGCGCAACATCGGCCGCAACGCGTGTCCCGCCCACTGCCCGTGTGCTTGCCTCTCGCGTGATCATCAGCGCGCGCATCGCCTACAGGTGCGCTGTTACATACCCTGACTCCGAGCACCACTGACGAGTGGTGGTACGCGTATACACTGCAAACTGTCGCCTGTGAGCTCGCGTCTTGTACTCCGAACAAGGTACGCACTCTACATTCCGCAAAGCGACCATTATCAGCGTATGCACGACGCGCGACCGCGGTGTCACCTACTATGGATCCGATGCCCACCCCTCTTGATGGCCTGCGCGGCGTCCAGAAACCAGTGTAAGCAACTAACTAAAGATAACGAGGTCAAGGACTAACAGGTGACCATGCCGCTGTCTCTCGCATTCATCCCCCTTATACGCTGTCAACGACACCTCTCTGCTGCATCCCACGCCCGGACCATGTCCATCAGCGCTCGTTGCTCGCGGCCAAGCGGCCTAGCGACGTACAACGGGGATTCCGTGTTAGCCGCGTCTGACGCATCCTTCCGCGCCCCGCATCGGCCGGCTGCCCCTCGCACGGATGCCTCTCACATGCGGACGCAATGGCTCGTCGTGATCTCGCGTCTCCTGCGTCTCCCGTGTCTCCCTCGCGACCCGGCGTCAGATACGCGGCGGGAGAATGGCCGCGCGTCAGCTCACCCCTCGCATCGGATCGCGTCCAGGGCACCAGACGCACCGCTCGCCTGATGTCGGTGCGACAGACGGCGCGGGCACACCAACGAATGGACGTAGCCGTCCTGCCCGCGCTGTGCGCCTGACCCGCGCCCTCCCTGGTCATTCGGGGGATACACCGCAAGATGCGCCTAGGGATTCACCGCATTGTGCGCCTCCGCAACGGGTCCCTCGGTGCGCTGCGCCCATGTACGTATGCGGTGCTGTTTTCATGGCACACGGGCAGAAGTGCCCTGGTAAGATGGCTCCCGCCTGTTCCCATTTTCGCGGCCGCTTGCTGCTTGCCGATCCTGTGGACAGTGTCGAAGGCTCTCGCGCGGCGTCCACCGAGTGCGTGCCCACACGCACAATGTTCAGTCGCGTGAAGCTGCCGTGCGTCCACATCCTTGCTGGACGAGGGTGCTGCACTCGTGCAGTGTTCTTCTTAGCCTGGCATCGGCCAAGCGTGTGAGACCGCTACGGTACACGCAATCTATTTGTGCTCATACACGTCCTGTCACCTTGTCAACGGGCGCGCGTGCATGTCCTCCCGATGCGTGATGCCCGCCGAATTCAATCAATTTACTCCGAGTGTGTGCATGTGAATTTGTGAACAACAACAGCCAGCTGGCTCGCACATGTGGGAAGTGAAATGAAATGTTGCGGGAGGGATCGACCAGACAAGGCAAACATGGGTGGGCAGAATCGAGACGGGACCCGCACGAAGGAAGACGGGAGAATGAATGACAAGGGACGTGAGCGGAACCGCTGTCCCATTGCAAACACAGCTTACGCGGGCGCAGCTGATAGGAGCATGTCCTGGTGCATGCGCGAACCCGCCTGGGGAGATGCAAATAGGCATTACAAAGAAACCGTCGACAGATGGTGCAGCTGTACGTAGAGCAGACACTGTCAACAGGGCAGGGCTGTGCAGCATAAGCCCGTTCCCCGTGTCCACACTGTCTGTCTGTCTGTCCGTCGGAGCAATCTACACTGTGTGAACTATGCTAACTTGAGGCCATGTGTGGCTGTCACTCTGGCTAAATTGCAGAGCGGGCTCGTCTCCTGCATGCTCGCGAGATGTGGTCAGATACGCTGTGGGGCCACAACTAATGCTTGTCTCGTTTGCATGCCGGTACATGCACACATAGTTGGCGAACATCTCTGCGGAGAACAGCATTGTTGCGGGGTTATTGTCGTATCAATTATCTGGAACAGGTGGGCGTGTGAATGCACTTACAAATCCCATCATTGTTGCGAGGGACACCATCACTGTCGTAATAACTTACATATGAGAACGGGGTATGGGCGCAACAGAGGTTCTGCGCGCGCTGTCTAGCCGAAACTATATATAATGGATGCATGACTTTATTCCAAAACTTTCCATGCTACTTCTTTTGTTATCGCTTTGTTACCTTGGCGCACACACTCCATCCCTTTCTGTTCCTGTCTCTTATTCTGCTCCGAAGTCTGCAGCCATGTCCCTAGCTTCCGAGTAAGTGTTCCCGTGGCTGTTGTCATCTTGTATTCGCAGTCCCTGATGGGGCTTTGTTTGGTTTGCCACGATAGGTTGCTGTGTCCGGCATCCAAGCATACCAGAAGACGGAAGATTACATGATGCATTGCAAAGTCGCGAGCGAGATGGAGGTTGGATGACAGGCCGGGCGAGGTAAGCATATTGATTGAGGGCTATGATCGATCAGCGCTGATCTCGATCAGGGCACGACAGTCGACACTCACCACCACATTGTCGTACAAGAGGTGCGGTCGCCAACATCTTGACCGGGCTCTGCATATCAACCACGAAGATGGGGTGAACTCAACCCCGCCCGCCGTGGACAAGACAGCAGACCCAGTGTTAGAGAGCGTCCTGGAAGATGGGCGCAGACTCGGTCACAACACCTTGCGTGGGCACGATCCCCGCGACGTCGTGGCATCTGAGAGCGCGGGCGGCGCACGCACCCGAGAGCGTGAGCGGCGCACGCACCCCGAGCGCGCCACTGCACCGTAAAATCAGCTTGCCTGTGTCAATGCTGTTGGGCTCCATCAGTCGCTCGCTCGAGCAGGCCGCACGCGCATCCATCCTGTTTCAGCCTGCGCCTGCATCTGCCTTCGAGCCTCCTTACGCGGTGCGTGTGCTGTGCCGGTCCTCTCCACAAGAGGCGTACTGACCGGGCTGTGCCCCGAATTCGTGTCCGCAGCTTGCTGCTGCCACCGGTCGACAATCAATCCTTCGCCGTCCCGGAAAGTCAGTCATGCAGAATGCTGCCCGCGCGCACATGCACGGTACGTCTCCGTGCTCCCGTTTCCTGTCTCTGGCAGCGCTGTGGCTGATCGCCGGTGCCGCAGCATTGCCATACCAAGAGCCCGCCGCGCTTGCTCGCAGCACACCAACCAGGTACGACACGGCGCTGAACACGCGCCCACTACTCATGTGGCGAGTCCCGCCCGTGTGTGGTGTGGACGCCCGGTGTCCTGCTCCTTCTCGCGCGGTGCGTGTGCCGCGCCCGTCCGCTCCGCATGAGAGATACTGACCGGGCTCTGCTCCCACCAGCTTGCGCCCGGCGCACTGAAGTGCTAAATGCGGCCGGCGCGTGCGCGACGTCGTTGAGCACACGCCCGGTGCGATAGGCCATGACTGCGCACGTCGAGACTGTTGCAAAGGTAAGTTGGGGCTTGCTTTTGTGCGGTCGTACTGACCATTGAGCGGGAGCCTTGAGCAGTAGGTGGCGGCGACAAATAAAGCGCCGCGCGACCTGCAGAAATGCGGTAACCAGCGAGCACGAACCAGAGTGGCTCGCTGGGTGCGAGCGGGACGCAGGATCGAGCGGGCGCAACACGCATCCCGCCGTCGGGAGCGCAGCGCACACAAGGGCGTCGCACGGGGACGGTTGGAGGCGGTGAGCTGACCGGGCGCGGCGTGCGGGCGTCCGGTACGCATCAGCACGATGGTTTTGAGACGCGGGCTGTGTCAAAATTACCATAGTAAGTTTAGGCCTACCTTTTCGCGGCTGTACTAACCGTCGAGCGGTGGTATTGCAGGCGTAGGCGGCGGCGAAGAATGGAGCGTCGCGCGACCTACAGATGTGCGGTAGCCAGTGCGCGCGGAACAGAGTGGCTCGCTGGGTGCGAGCGGGACACAAGATCGAGTGGGCGCAATACGCATCCCGCCGTCGGGAGCGCAGCGCACACAAGGGCGTCCCGCGGGGACGGTTCGAGGCGGTGAGTTGACCGGGCGCTGCGTGCGGGCGCCCGGTAGCTATGAGCGCGGTGATTGTGAGCAGAACCATCGGGCGGCGTGGCCACGCTTTGGGCTCGGCCAGATGCGGGCTGCGTCAAGGGTATCGTATCGCAACGGTAAGTTTGGGCTTACTGGATTGCGGTTGTGCTGACTATTGAGCGGCGGCAGCGCAGAATGGAGTGTGGCGCGACCTACCGAGGTGTGGTAAGCAGCGCGCGGAGCAAAGTGGCTCGCTGGTGCGTTGGGCGCGAGCGGGATGCAACATGGAGCGGGCGCGGTACGTATTGCGCCGCTGGGAGCGCGACGTATGCGAGATCGTCGCACGGGGACGGTTGGAGGTGGCGAGCTGACCGAGTGTGGCGTGCGGGCGTGCGGGCATGCTCGCGCTGACCGCCTTTGCAGGCGCGAGGGCGAACGCGCACAGCAGCAACGGGCGGTGCTGTGCTCCCGGTCAGTATACGTCGCTGCGCGCTCGCCGGCCTGTCTGACTTGGATGCAGCATCCAGCGCGTGCTTCTGCGATGCGCCAGCGACCTGGTGCGGAGCGTGCTGACCGGGCTGTGCAGACCCGCGCGCGCAAGACGGAGTGTGCTGGTTGCGGGACAATGGCAGGCGATGGGCAGGGTAGCGGGGCTGTATGGGTGCCAGTAAGGCTATGAAATATATTTGGTTGTGACCTACGGTATTGTACTCCCTTGTCGCTACTTCCTGCTACTCCCTACCGTGCTCTGCTCCCCAGCGCTCTCTACTCCCCACCGTGCTCTATTCTCCACTGCCCTCTACTCCCCACCGCTCTCTATTGCCTTTGTGCTGGCCTATCTCTCGATTTTCACTCGGTCGCTGCTCGCACGCGCACGAGACTTACCACGTGTGCGCGTGACTCTAGATCCTCGTCCTCGTCCGCGAATACCCCCGCGGGTGCCTCGAGCGCCTCGCCTTGCCCCGTCCCGGACACGCGGACACACACCACCGCGTCCTCGCCGTGTTCCTGCTCCGCCGCGTCTCTGGGGAGGTACACCGCAAACCGATCCTCGAAGCACGGACGCTCTATCCAGCGCAGGAGCCCCTCGCTGTACCGGCGCACGCCTCGCGCGAATGCTTTCGGCACGGCGGTGTCGTCGAGCACCAGCGTCGGCCCGCGCGCGGCAGGCGCCTTGCCGCGGCGCGCGAACGGCGCGAGGGCGCGTGTGTCAGCGCCAGGCACGGCAAGGCGGTGCAATATGCGCCTCTGGAACAGCTGGGGGAGCAGCGCGTCGCCGTCGTACCGCGGTGCGGACTGCAGCACCGAGTGCAGGTTGCAGGAGCGCGGGAAGACCGGTGCGTCGGAGACGTGCAGGGTCGGCGGTGGCGCAAACGGTGGCAAGAGCGCATTCTGCGCGAGCGCGCGGGTGTATTCCATCGCCGTGAGCGGCCGCGCGCGTGCCGTCTCCTGCCGCACAACCGCAGGCAGCGGCGGGACGCGCGCTACTGGCGTTGCCGACGGCTGGGCGGTGCGCGCGCGCGGCGGTGGCTCCGCGTAGCGCTCAGAGTCGCCGCTGTCGGACGTGTCGTCGTCGGTGTCGTTCAGATGGAGGCGAGGGTGCGGCAGGAGGTGGGCGAGCGCTGAGCGCGCCGGCCCGACGGCGGCAATTGCGGACGCACTCTGGGACGCGGTCAGGGCAGAGCGCGACTGAGATGGGATCATAGAGCTCGCCTGTGCGCGGACGGCAGTGGGCTCTGCAGGCGGGGCCTTGTCCGGGAAGGGCTGAAGATACACGCGGTCTGGGTGGAGGCTGCGAGCATCGTCGTCTGGGGTGGGAGGGCCTGCGCTGGACGACGACGACGAGGCGGGCTCTGTGGAGATGTGGGGGCTAGAGAGAGCCGGTGCGCGGCGGGAGATGGTGCGGAAAAAGCGAGCCTTTGGGCGGAGCAGCTGCTGTTGCTTTTGGGCAGCATCGACGGTGGCCTGTGCGTGCTGGGTGGAGGCGTCGTCGCGGTGAGAAGAGGTTGCGTCCGACTTGTCAGTGCGCCGTGAGGCGAAGACGGCGGCGATGCGGCGCATGAGGGAGGAGGAAGGGAGGAGATAGAGGCTTCGAAGGCGAGCGGACGGACAGAAAAGGACGAGGGTGGCTGGATCAGGGCCGTGTGAGGAACATCTGAGAAGGGAATGTTCGGCGGGCAGAAATGAAATGACGCGGCTGGACGATGTGTGCGATGGTGTGCAGCAACGCAGGCGGCGGGGACACTGGCTGGCTAAGCTCGCAGCCGTGCGCAGAGAAAGAGAGCGAACACGGCCAGGGCCAGCCTGCCCACGCCTCCTCCTCAATCCGGCACACCCACGCGTCCGGGCGTCCGGCTCGCTTCATCACTCGCCCGCCCGCCACTGTCCGCCCCTTGCTCGTCCTCGTATCGTCCGCAGATAGCTTTCAGTAGCTCCCTCCTCGTCTTCCCTCTCTCATGCGGGCCTTCACCTTATCGCGCACTCTACCTGTTCCCCGGCTCGTCCCTGCCTCGTCCACGCTTGCTCCCAATTCTGTCCCCTGCCCCCGTCCTCTCGCTTCCTCTCACGAACGTGGCCTCCATACGTCCCCGCGCTAGCCTGGGTTCTTCCCCGCATGATCGCTTTCACAGGCCACGCCCGGTGTCTCTGCCGCCTTGATCAATCCTAGGCATGCACACGTCCATCTACAGATCCTACGCCGCTATGTATACCGCCTTTCCCATTGCCGTTGCTATGCACCCACCACCGGCCCTCCGCATCGCCCGTCTTTCCTCTCGACTTTCCCCATCGCCACAACCTGGCTGCCCCGACGCCTATCTTCGCGTCCCGCTCTGGCATCATCACCTGTCCGCCCTCAACAGCGTCATGTGGCTCGCGTCACAGCCCCCGATCGCGCGCGTCCATGCTTCCCGAAGATCCCGGCCGTGCTCGCACTCCGCGGCCTACGCCCAGCGCGCCTCGCCCCGCGCTCACTCTAAAACAGTCAATGCGCGAGTCCGGCGCATTATCGCGTCATGGGCCCCGGCTTAGACGCTCTTAGCCCGGCCGCACATTATGCATTGCTGCACGGTCAACCCTTCCGTGACGTATGCACCCAGCGATAGCATGACTAGGACGTCGGACGTACAGTCCGTACCACATCTTACTGTAAGTACAGCCGACGCCCGTCACCGGTCCCCGGCCTTGCCGTCTCGGTCTATGCTGCTCTGGATGACTCCTCATTTTGAATTTGTCCTGGAAGCTTGAATAGGGAGTGTATCTACTCCCTCATCGTCATCAAGGACCCTGGCTAGTGCGCCTGTCGATGACTCTGTCTTCCATGCTGATCTTTAGGGCTGCCTCCCTGTCTCGTGTCTCGGGTATACAATGTCGCCTTGTCTTGGCTGCCAATAAACATCTTGCGCGGGCATGCGTCGCACGCAGCTGGCGTGTCTGGCGCTCGGTCTATTCGCTCAACGCCAAACATCGTGTCTATTGTGCCAGATTCCGCCGCGGGCATTTCGTGCGGCGCGCGCTCTCACGTCATCCGTCCGCCGCATCACTTCCCAGCCACCTCGATCCAGTGTACAAGTGTACCCTGTGTAGGGCGCCAGTCGCGACAAGACACCTTCAGGCCCCGCGCTCCGATGTGACTCGCACAAACACACCCCCTCTCTGGTCTTCGTGACGCTCACGCTAATGGCCTGCGAAAGCAAGCCGCATCATCTGCATCATCTTCGAGAATATCCAATTCCGCAATCCACTCCCAGCCAGCCGTGAGAGCATGCTCTATTTCTGTCTACGTCACTTTTCCAGGCGCGGCGATAGACGGACGGTGGTCTTGGCGGCGCAGCTGCAGGTCGCTGTGCGCCTTCCTTCGATCCCGCGGTAAGTGATCAGGGGTCAGGGGTGGGGGGAGCAGACGCGCTGCCCACATACGTACACATAGGTCCGCTTTCGGCCACGATGCTTGACTCGACGTTTGGCTAAGCGCACCTCTGAGGGCGCCCACCGACTGCCCGCCGACCGCGTCTCCCCTTCTCCGCCGTCGTTCTCATGTGTCCCGGCCGTGCGGGCGACGACGGGGCAGCCTGTGCTACACGGATCGCGTGCGCAGCTTCTGCTTCTGCTTTCCGCGCTGCACTTACTGCCGTCTAATCTTGCTATCGCGGGCAGCTGGGCAGCTGCCATTCTACAATCTGGGTCAGGATATCAGGATGTCGACAGCGGCACGCGCTAATGCCACGTCTTATATACTTATACTAGCATGCGACGCGGGTGGAAGCGCAGAGCCTAAGCTTGCGCTTGCGCTTGACTTTTGTTGGTGTTCCCTTGTGCCTAACGACGATGACAGAGCGGTCCCGGTCCGGACGATATCAAGCGCGGAACTCAAAGCGCGGAACTCAGAGACGGGGCCGGCGAGCCTACGTTGGCCACATTTCATGACCCCTCGTGGTGGTGATTCATTCCAAGGTTGGGGAGGGAGGGAGGGAGGATGGGTTCATTTCGAGGAAAGAGGAAATTGTTCCCTGCCGACGGGGTATAGCCTGTACAATAACGTGCGGACGATTCTGGACCCGCCTCGCGTCGGCATGGACATAAGCGCATTAACATTAAATGACGCGCCACCTTCGCCATGACGCCGGAAAGACACCTCCAGCCGTTATTCGGATCAGCAATAGGCGAAGAGCGAACGGACAGTTATGGAGAATATGTTCTACGCATTCTCTTTAAGATAGAACAACTCCAACATGAGCCACCGCAGCTGAGCAGCTGTTGGGGGCGCGATGGGCGGGATCGAGATGGATCTCGATCCCGATCGGCGGCAGTGATTGATTGGGAGCCGGAGCGCCTCAGTCAAACCTGTTGTGGGTGTGGCGGCCAGAAGTGCAGGCACGCACCAGAGGACCACCGCCACAGTATGTCCCTTCCCGGCAGTGACAGTTCTCTCGCCTCTATTGCGTGGGGGGTGATTCACATAATGTTTGTGCCCGTCTCATGCTTCACCCATCTCCTGTACTCTGTGGCATGTAGCTGGTGGCGGCGCTAGCCTTACGCATTTAACGAGACTTACCCTGACCCATGTGTTGCATGAGATGGTTTCTGTATACGTATATATTTTTTCCAAAGGAAAACACACCTCGAACGAAAGGAGCACGACCACCCACCTCCATGTCCGGGTATCGAGCTACTCAGCCTTGCGCGCCGTTCGTGCGCAGAACGGCACCAATACAAATCAAGCCCTGCTTTTACTGCGGACGCAGAAATAACACGTCAAAGAGGGTTCCTAAGGCTCTGGGCTGCGTAGCATCCCTAAGAATTCCGCGGCTCCTACGACAAATGAGAGCACATGCCCCGACTATACGACTGATGCTTTCGCCGCAGTTCGCGTGCCCTACATGCTAGCACAATTCGTCCCAGTCTCAGGTTCACCAGTGGTTGGGCAGTCCAGGCCCGGCGTCGAGCAGCCCCGTCCGCTGGTTCTCGCGGCGGAGGCGTGCCGCTGGACACGGATATCCAGGATGCACAAAAAATGTGATTCACTAGCGATTCACTGGTGCGCTGAATCAGGGGTTCGATCAGCGTTTGCCCGTCTCGGTCTCTCATCCCGCGGGCTTCCGTGGCTGGTGAAGAGATATGCTTCTGACTGCCGGCGGGTTCCAATGCCCGTCAGTGCACCCGTAAACTCACGGAAACCTGAGCAGAAAATCGTGGGACCCATATACCTGCTACGAGCCGATTCTCCAAATGGGCAGTTCGAGCTCGCCTTTATGCTCTGTCGTTGGACTTACTGTGCCCTCGCGGAAGCAGGAGGCCCAAGCTCCGAGCTGAAAGCCAAGATAGTGAAAGATGGGGGCGTTAGGAGAGCACAACAAGACATCACCGTGTCCGCGCATACCAGACCCGCGCTCAACAGATGTGACCAATGTGAGACACAGTTCATTGGAAATTGATAATGGAGCTGGGAAATAGTCAAGTATGGTGAAGTGCTATGACAACAGGGGGAACGAGAGGGGTCTGATGCCGTACCATGAGGCGCACCGTGATCCTCCCGGGGTGAACTGGGGTATCTTCGAGGACACACGCTGACACACGTGCTAGTGCCCAACACACAAAAAGGAACACGCAGCACAGAGTGCGCTGGAGAACAGAAGTCCTGCGAGTGCGGCCTTTCTCTACACCCGGTCCCTAAAGGAGTAGGTTCAAAGCGAGAGCCTGTTCGACCCATCTCTTCGAGTTGAAGACCGCAGCGATACAGCAAGCGAACGGCACCGGTGAGATTCATAACATTTGTGAAGCGTGTATACGCATTCGCGGTCAAACCGGCAAATGCCCATCATGGGGGGAGTCCGGAGCCTGACAGGAGCTAGTCAACAAGACACAAACGACGCAGACCAGCACGTACGCATCTCCCATACCAAGCTTGGCCGAGTCGCATTATCCGAGATTTCGTACACGGTTTGTGGCATCAAGGCCCGAAGCGAATATAAGCTTGATATTTCTGTAAGCGAGGAGTAATTCTGGGGATGGATATCACCGACAATAAAGCATGAAGTCCAGATGCATCAGACCAAAAAAGGCAAGAATCAACTCAGTCCATTAAGCACCGCCACCCCAGGAACCTCGTATACGACGTGCTAGCTGAATGTCTCGCTGCATGATTGTTACTCGTTTTGCATGAATAGCACACAAATTCCTATAGCAACAACATCGTCAGAGGAATAGGCGAGATTGACGTATATTGACCGCCGGTGGTATGAGCACTCACGCATCCTCGAATAGATGTACCAAGTAGGCCTCTGTCGCCTCTTGCAGTGCCAATATTGCGGAGCTTTGCCATCGTAGGCCGGCATCGGCATAGTCGTTCATATCCGTCGTCATGTCCAGCGCAATCTCACGTACCTAGCCACAGCATCCTCAGCATCCGTCGAGCTACACCCAAGACTGGGCGCAAGAAGGTACGCACTACACGCGAAAACGGCAGTTTGCGAATGAGCAAGTCTGTGCTTTTCTGATATTTGCGTATTTCACGCAACGCTACGGTTCCAGGTCGGAAGCGTTTTTCTGCGCGCGGCCAAACGTCGAACTGAGAACTGTGCAGACACAGACATATACGCACTACGATGAGCTCCTTGGCCGCCATCCGCGCCGCCACCGCCACCGCCACCTCCGCCTCCGCCGCCGCCGCCGCCCCCACCGCCGGCCCCACTTCCACGGCCTCCGCCACTTGAACGTCGAAGCTTTGGAGGTTGCCCTCCCGTGCTCTTGCGGGCAGTGGCTGAGCGTGACTTCTTCGGCATAGGTGGTGGTGTCGCGTCTGAGCTATCCTCCTCTTGTATCGGCTGCTTGCGCTTAGCTTTCTGGACTGTCTGCGCCATGGCCTGAGAATTAGGGCAAGCTGCGGTCACTTTCTATAGTAGGTTGCAGAGGTCGCGTTAGTGACCGTGTCTTGGGTACGTTGCAGAGCTTTATCAGGAGCAAAGAGGCAAAGTCAGAGATGCACAACGTAGAGAGTACAAGATGAGAGGTATCACAAGAGGCACGAGCGCGTTATGGGGTGAAGACAGCAGCGACGGTCGACGCGATCGGGTTGAATTCGAACAAGACGCGTCGTCCAAATACGGCATTTTATCACGTGCATGACGCGCAAGTGGCCGCGCGACTCGACCTTCCGCCTTTCAATTGTCCGCGGCATGTGGGTGGCCCTTATATTGCTTGCAGGCCCTGCCGCAGCTCTTGCTCTCTCACTCTCTTCCTCCCTCCACTGCGACAATCATGACTACCGTGACCGGCTATTACAGATTCACTGATATTTTCTTTGAATGGTGCGTATTCTCATCAGGTGGTGAATAGCGCGATGCTCGACTAACCGTAGATCCACCAGGTCTAGGGTTCTACCGCAAGCGAAAGATATCGGCCCTTTGAAAGCTCTGCTTGCCCACGAAGCGCTGGTGCATCCTGATCACCCACTTAAGAAGCCTGGCGTTGACGGACTCGAGCTTCACTTGGGTGTGCTTGTGATTTCTTTGATACGCCACAGTCATAGCTTACACAACCTTTTTGCGCCACTCTTGACTAGGCACATTTGCTAATGGCGAGATGCGTCTGCTCTTTTCGTCTGCCCAAATCGAATACATCCAGTACTGGCTTCACGCCATGGGGCTGACGAACCCCCAAATCCCGATCCCATCTTCTGATTATTTGATACAAGCGAATGATCTCACGAATTGTTCCCCTGTCGTGTACAAAGACTTAACGGCGCTGAAGAAGGCCAACAAGGTATGTGCGCAGACTTATGCTTCTTCCAGTAGCACTCACCATAAAGCTTCGGCAACTGGTCACTCTGGGTAGACAATCGAAAAGAACAATAAGCGACTCAAGGCGACAGGAACTCTACTGGCCGCACGTCGGCACGCCTTTGAAAAGATCCGCACATTCTGGGCCGCAGGTGTCGGCACATGGTGTGCCATTGATTTCGAGGCCTGGGATCGTGACCACAAACTGCTCACAGAGTTCGGGTGGAGCTTGGTTCGCTGGGAGGGGGATGACAACGCAGACGGTGAAAAGAAGCTCATCGAGGAGGAAGGGCACTTGATAGTAAAGGAACGCAGAGGATACACCAATACATACGTACCTCAGTACCGTGACGTAAGTCAACCTCAGTTTTCGGTACATACACTCAAGCGTACCATTGACACACCCCTTTCAGCATTTCGGGTTTGGACAGAGCGAAGACGTGGACAAGACCACGTTTGCGCAGCGCATTCGGGACCTCATTACTATGCATCGTGCGGCTGGACCATTGTTCTTGGTCTTCCACGACAGCCACCAAGACATAAAGTATGTCACGACCGTTTTGCTGGGTCAACCGTCATTGATTGTTACCAGGTACCTGCGCTCGGAGGCGGTACAAGCTCTCCCTAACTTCGACTATCTTCTTCCCGATCAAGTGCCTGACTCAGGCATCTATGTAGTGGACACTGCGGACTTGTTTGCGGCCCTAGAGGGTGACGCAAGCGGCAACAGGCGTGCACTGGAGCGGGTTTGCAGGCACTTGCAGATCGATACCAAGTTTCTGCACAACGCTGGTAACGATGCTCATGTCAGTCTCTGTTCGCCCATCCCTGCCACGCTCTCGTTCTAACTAGTGATATCGCCAGTACACTATGGCCGCCATGCGATCGATGGCCTCAGGAGACCCGGTCGACGAGCAGCGCGAAAAGCGTTGGCCTAACCGTACGACTAGCACGAACCCGAAGGTCGAATTCAAGGCCTGGGAGGAAGATTCTGATTTCGATGACGAGAATTTCATGCCAGTGGATATGAATGCGCGTCTAGAGAATGGCGAAGAGACGACTGATAACGGGTTTGATCTCTGACATAGTAATGTAGTTCTAGGTCTGCGGTCTGCCATGCGCTTGGCTCAACCTTCCGTCGCTTGCCATGTACGACTAGCTGTGTGTAGAGTATTGAGAATGTAGCCACGATGTACTCCGAATCCCGCGTGTAAGACGCCTTTGAACATGTACCTTGCCGCGAGAAGACCCCGCCACACGGTGTATCCATCTGAGACGCATCCTCTGCATCGATCTTGTCCCCGTGCACCCTGCACTATTTGTAACGCCTCATCCCTTGAGCGAGTTTATGGGCTCACTGATGCCAGTTGTGTCCGGGATCGCGCGCAAATCCAAGTCTACGAAGAAGCCTCTTCTGTCTTTCTTCCGGAACATTGGTTCTTTCTTGAAGTACGATATTCTGATGTCTCGATGGAAGCATCCCTTCCACAGAATCGTGCGCTGTATCATATGATACAATCAGTAAATGTTACCTGTACGATATGTATTTTGCACCATGTAACCCAGAAGCAACTTGAGCTCTGTCCCCTACCCCCAAAGCGGCCGCACTGAGGTGCCGATAGCAAACCGATGGAGAATGAGCGACCGGCCAGTGGTGGCGCTTTCACCAGTCCGTAGTCACCTAAGTACTGGATAGTGATACATCCCTGGTGCTTTCCGTCCACTCAATGTACAACTCCCGCTCCCGCTCCAAGTTTCGCCAAACGGAGACGTGTGCCGTTGACACTCCGGTAATAGATCTGAAACTCTGGCTCGCGATGTCTTCGCCGCCACGCCGTTTCCGTTAATATTCTATCGCCGATCAGCCTTCGGTCAGTCACACCGTACTCGCGTATGTACCAGACGGACATGCAACGACTCATTGGTTATCTGTGTACTCCCAACGAGTGGGCCTATGGTGCAGCACACGCCGCTGTCATCTCCGATTGGATAGATAACAGTGAGAGATAACTATTCTGAGTGGATCATGCAAGACGTTCTTCTGCGATGTCAATGGGAAGAGGGAGTGCAGACGGGTCCTGGCCGAGGTTCACAGCAGATAACACACGTGTCAAGCTTCGCATCACGGTGATGAACATCTTCATATCGGCCCAGATATTGAGAATGGGAGAACAGATGATGCCGTCAAGGCCGCCGACACAGACTTCAGATTCCAAGATGAAGAGGGCAGCGGAAAGTAGAAGACAAAGGCAAATGGGTGAATGCGTTCCAGCAAATCTCGTGTTTTGTATGGCTAATACATGGATCTTGTTCCAGGTACTCTGGGACACAGACCATCTGAATAGGTAAAACCTGTGGATATTGCTGGTCAGATAGATACCTCTGACGAAAGGATGCCTAAATCAAATTTGGAGAAGCCGAAGTATGGCAGCGCTTCTACAAATCCAGGGGTGTCGAAGCTGTGCCTCGGCCGTAGAGGCTAACCCAGTAAGGATATATACATCGACATTCTCCTGCAGCGAGCAATCCTCGATGTCCACGTACCAGATATCTTGTGGCATTTGTCGTCAACTTTTCGCATGTCGAGCTCTTTTGGAGACAGTGTACTGGAGACAACCTCGAGCTTTTGTAGCTCTCTTTACGTCACCAGTGGTCTCTGAGAGAGCGCATCATAGAAAAAATCTATGAACCTGGGACGAGTTATCGAGGAGTAGCATTGCCCAAGGAGGTTAAGCAGACGCAGGAGGTACGGATACAGTCAGGGGTCGTAAGTAAAGTCCGTAAGTGAATAACAGAACGTAAGTTTCTCGCCACACAACCTCTACAGGACTGGGGACACAGAATGCATCAGAGACATTGACGGTCATTAGCAATCAGTTTACGCATCACCGCGCTCCGGGCGGACGAAAGAAGAAGAAGCGGCCATGGGGTCGTATGGCCCCGCGGACGCGTCAAACTTGTCGTGGTCGAGGGTCGGGACGAGCGAGCGGCCTTTCATGTCGGGGCGGATGAACGACTTCTCACCGCGCTTGCGGCGGTTAACGAAGAAGATGGCGCCGAGCACGACGTAGCCGAGGCCGAGGACGCTAACGACGGCGATGAGCGCGATGGTGACGGGCTGCGTCGTCGCGTGGGTCGCCGAGAGGTTCGACGGGTCCGCGACGGCGCCGAGGATGCTGCGGCTGTAGTTCGTCGACGTGGAGGTGGCCTTGGAGGTCCATGCGGATCCGGTGGGGAGCGCGTTCGCCGAGACACGGGGAACTTGCTCGGCGGTGGGCTGGACGCCGATGTTGATACCGCAGCGCTGGATACACTCTGCGGACCCGAACGCGACGTCGTCGGGAATCTGCGCAGGTACAGACGTCAGCCCGGGAACGTTAATGTGTAGGGGCACATCACATGCCTTTTCAGCGAGGCCAGCAACTTCTTCTACACCGATTTCGCCCAGGGACGCTGCAACGATGCTTGGAGGCAAGCCGAAGACTAAGGTGTACATGATCAGGTATAGAACAGTGAGACGACCACGGTGATACTCACGGCCCTGAGCGGCTAGCAAAGTGCCAGGATCCTCCGAGTTCAGCGCGGCTGGTCAACCTGGTAAGAACGGAGACAAAACATTGATTAAATGTAAACTTACAAACAAACTGCACAGGCTCGCAGTTATCGTTGAACTGGAAGTGGATCGAGCCCTACAGCGCTTGTGAGCCAGCGTACAATCCATGGCCAATGCTACAATTACGAACCTGAGGCAAAATCATCGCCTTACCCGCAGTAACGTTGTTCATGATGAAGCGTGAACCAGTCTCTGTCAGCATGCCGGACTGGATGGAGCCATTGACTTGATACAGGAACTCGGTCGCCCGGGGATGCATATGAGGGGTGTTCATCCCGCAGGGTCCGAGGAAGCCCGCCAACAAGGCAATACCTAAAAGATTCACCATCAGGGGGTCGCTCGACAATGCGAAGTGAGTCAAAGCTCACCGTTGCCGACCAAAGCAGGGAAGTCGCTGACAGAGGCAAGAACAAGATGACCTGCAGCACCTTGAACCACTCCGCCTGGTGGATTCAAGAAGTCAAAAACAAACTGCAGTGTAGCATTAGCGTTGTGTTTGATTTATTGAATGATACTACACACCTCAGAATCCTGAGGCAGATCCGCGATGCGGTCGACGTGGTCAGTAGCCAACTCGAGCTCTTGAACCAGAGACGCAGTAGCAGTCGTCTGAGCGAGCGCGCCTGCAGTGGCGAAGGCCAGGGCTAGCAGAGAGGATGCCAACATTATTGCGACAAATTTAAGAAACTAGAATTGAAGTAGGCTACAGTCGTAAAGGGGTGGGGGCCGCAATGGGGACCAACCACATGTGAAATGCCTCATTTTATAGGGCACGCAGAGCGGCTCAGACACAATTGTGTCTCCTGAAGCTGCATGCAGGCGGTGTTCTCTGCCGTCACTCCTACTGAAGCCAATCAAACTCGGTGAGCCGGGTGCTAACCTGTTTAGGTAAGAGGCGTCTAAATCCTCGACTCGGTCCAATCGCGTAGGTCACGCCCGAGCTGAATCACCATTTCGAAGAAGGAAAGCTGTCCGAAACAGGAGCCTTGCAAGTCTGAAACATCTCGACGCCATATCTATCCGTCCTAGTCGCTGTTTTGGGTCGCGCCTCTCGGTGCGATCTGAGACCCCCGATGCCCCTCTCACTACGAGGTGGGCGGCGAGCCCGCCAATAATAGGGTGCACTATATTTGCACAACGAGGTGGTACGCACCCGTAAGCACTGACACGCTGTCCATCTTTTGAACCATGAAGCTTCGATGAATTCCACATTTTCCCCCGCGTGAAGACACTATTGACAAATTGCCGCAATTGCCGATCTGAAAAAACAAAAAGCTTGTTAGAGGGCACGCGTCTAGTGCAGGCAACTACCGCGTTGTCAAGAGCTTGTAGGAACCCCGCGTACCAGAATTCTTAAGCACAGCCTCATCTCTGTGGGGCCATGTGCGCGACCACACCTTCCACAAATCATAAACCCGTGTCCGCGCCGGATGGATATCCGCCGATTGGTCAGAGTCGATGATGTATCTCGCACCAATAAGTATACAGGATCTTGATGCAGGCCCAGAGCGCGAATCTTATTGGTTTCAATGGCGACAGGTGCGTCCTGAACCTGAATCGCACCTCCGAAAGTACGTATGGTTAGATGTCTTTGAACCTGGGAAATGTGAGCGTGTTGAATGACAGCGGGCGCACTGAGCGCTATGCTTGGCATTATGTACGGCAGTGACTCACTATTGCACAACGCCTCAACTTTGGTAAGGCGCTGATAAAACCGAGGCACCCGCCGCACGCTAGTGAGGCCTCATGTCTCAGACCTCTGGGCTCAGCTCCCGCTCCGCGCTCCCAACACTCTTGCCCCTTCGCCCGTCCCGTTCCCTTCGTTTCAGTTGGTCCCACCAGCGAATCAGCCTTCTTTCAAACCGCTCCACGACGCTAGCCACATAGCTCTCGTTCACCCCGGACCACTGTGCTGCTCGCGCAATCACAGTCTCGTACTGTTCGGGGAGTGCGCCTAAAACGTCCTGCGTGTTGAAGACAGCGTAGGCTTGGCCTGGAAGGAGGCCGGTGGCGTCTTCGTTCAACGGCATAGGAGGAAGTGATGCACGTTGTGCCTCATGGACATCCCTCAAACTCGCCGTCTGTGCAGAACGAGGGGGCTGCGGCCTTAATGGGAAGAATCTCATGGCAGTAACGCGCTCTTCAGGAATAGAATATCGCTCAGATATCCAGCTCCATGGTAAGCGGTGAGCCAACGTACCATCTCTCTGGTCTTCACGAGGTAGCAAAGCTGTCTCGCAGAAGTCGAGGTATCTGTCAATCGCAGAGTCGTCCAAATCCAGAGCCGATCTACGATGTTTAAGTGGCCGTGTATGTCTGAACCGAAGAGAAAGCCTTACAACTGTGCCATGGCAGAAAACTCGAAATGATCCTCATGCTTTTCGTCGACCTCCTTGATGCATTGAAGAAATTCCGTTAATAATGGTAATGCACACGCAGGGTCCTGTCTGTCCTTCGGTAGTCTGCGATATATGAATGTGATCAGGCTGAGGGAAATACATGTACATCGGGCCACCTTGCCTTTCCTTGCCATCAAGACCGTAGACCATTTTGAGGACGACGATCACAACGGATATGAGCGCGACTTCAGGCACGATGCTATCGTACTTATGAAACTCAGGATCGCGTTTCTTGGTGCGCGCGAGCGGGGAGGCTAGTGATCGGTGTAGCATTACAGGCACCGAGAGAACGCGCGCCACTTTTTTTGACATCACATAGAGCGTCGCTGTGGAAGGGCGTCAATGTCGTAGTTCAGGCCATGTATGATCGGGTCGTACGTGTCCCGCAAGTTGCACGCACGGCTCTCCAGAGCAACGGAGAAGAATTCATTTCGGGCGTGTACACTCCGTACTCTGAGTGCATCAACCGTGCAAGCCTAGAAGCGAGCCCGTGGAGAAGAATGGGTGACGGCGCGTGCTGTATCAGTGTGTTTGAGCTTGAGCTGTAAAGTGAGGTTTATGGGTATGTCCCATACCTTCGGGGACAACGCCTGTACGACGTGCTTCGTCAGATGCACCGTCAGGCCTGCTGGAAGCAAACGTGTGGGATCCATATACGGCAGCTTGTATGCCTCAATCAGCCTGCGTGATCGGACTCTCCGTGAGTGCAGACTTGATGATAAAGATCACACACTTGATGAAGTCCATGTGTGTGACGGGAAGGCGTAGCGTCCAACAAGCTACTATTAACACAGCGATAGTGCTTGCGGGAGCGTCAAATTGCCGATCAGGACGTTTCTTCTTGGCATTTTCAGTAGGAGCCCGAGGGCGAGGTGCATCTTCCTCTGAGGAAGAAGTTTCAGAGTTCTCCCGCATGAGCTCGGCAATCGCGGGATCTTCATCCTCTTCGTCGCTCGCAGATGAAGAGGATGAAGAGGCTCGCGCAGCATCACCATGGAGTTCTTCCGCTTCTTGCTCGCCATCACTAGCGTCGTCTGGAGCCAGCGTGCTTTGAGGACGAGCTCTTGCCTCGGATTCTTCCGTAGTTTCCCGGTCTTGCCTGAAGCGAAGGGGCTCTGCTGGTGGTGGCTTCGGCAGGAGGCTAAGATGCAACGCCCATATGTCTTTGCATATGATCTAGCATTTTACTCAGGTGGGCAGCACTGATGAACGCTTGGCATAGAGATACCTCAAACTCGGGAGGTAAGCCCCACGCTTCGATGAGAGCGCTGATTTGCATACGCAAGATGAGCTGCAAACACTGAAAGTAGTGAAAGCGCGCCCGTTCGCCATGGTATACTATCGCTGGCGTAAGTGAATGATACGTTGTGAGAGATGCGCATGCTGCGTACGGTTGGGGTCCGCCTTGCTGAGCTTTTCTCGTTTCTTCCTGACGGACTTGAGCGTCCTCTTCCGAAGGGCATGTGGACCAAGCTCCGTGACTTCCCTTGTTTCGTTCCTATAGTTCTACGCGCCAGCTCTACTCACAGATCCTGTATGGCCCACGTAAGGACATACCTGGAGAACATGGCCTTCACTGCATGTGATGAGCCCGCTGGATGGTTCCTTATGCCATTGCTTTGAACCACACACCGGACACCGTCGCTTTGGTGCCATGTTTCTGACCAAAGAAAGCTCAATTCCACACGAATCAAAAGTGCAGCCAGCGACTGGTTCAGGTGAAATCAAGTCGAAGGTGCTTGAAGGTCGTCAAGTTTGCAGACGCCCATTGCGCTTGAGATAACCGCGTGCTAGATCTCCATCCAATCACAGACGTTCCTCAGGAAACAGCATCGGGTGTCTAAGCGCCCATTTCTGCCACCGACTTGAAGTGAACGCGTTTCATTCGCCAGCACTCGCCCTCGCCTTTACGAGGCTGCGAATTGTGCGCTATAGCGAGCACTTTCTACCATGCGACTATTATCTGTGCTGCTCATAGCTGCTCTGATCACGGTCGCATATGCGTGAGTAACTTTCCATGCCAGTATGTATTGGCACTGAACGACGTTACCGCTCGCTTGATGTAAAGTTGGACCAAGGTGCGTGGCTACATGTCTTCTTAACCGTGTAACAACTGTGGTGATACTGACACGTTGTGCATAGGAAGACCATGAAATCTTCGACCTCGTGAGCGCGCTAGAGGCTTCAGAAGGTGCGTGTAGAGTCCGCGCCATACCGTCGTATAGTTAAACATATGCACATGGTAGGCAGGGGAACGACATTCTACTCATGGCTTGGGGTGTCTTCCACGGCTTCCACCAACGAGATTTCCAAGGCGTACCGCAAGAAGAGCGTGCAGCTACAGTGTGTATTACTCTTATGCGGTCCTTTGCCTTACCTTTGACACTCTTGTCATCATTAGTCCTGACAAGAATCCGGGTGTCAAGGATGCACATGAGCGGTTCGCAAGACTTGGTGTGATAGCGAAGATGTTGAGGGACTCAGAAGGTCGCGAACGGTACGTCTCGACCCATTGTCGAATTGTGTCGCTAATCGCGTGCAAGCCAGCTATGACTTCTTCTACAAGAACGGCGTGCCAAAATGGAGAGGCACCGGATATTATTACTCAAGGTTCAGGCCAGGGCTCGGGGTGCGTGGAGATCAGGCTTTATTAGTTCCTATCGCGCAAGCAAGCTAATGAAAGAATCACAGACCGTCCTGACCTTCTTGATTCTACTCACCTCCGCTTTGCATTATGTGATTCAAAGTCTGAACTTCAAGCGCGATGTACTTCGTATCGAAGAGATCCGTACACAAGCGCGTGCCATGGCATGGGGCTCGAAAATGATACCCACATCTGAAGGGAAAAGGAAGGCAAGTTCGGTACCCAACGAGTACAGATGGCTTTGGTTTGACATGCTTCTAGGTGAAGCTAAATTTGGGCGGTGGACCACGACTTGATGACGACGGCAATGTGGTTTCTGGGAGACTGGTCGATATGGTCGTAGAAGGGAATGATGTCTATCATGTGAGTGGAATACTCCATACAAGTGTCTATGGCCTCAAGGTGTATACTTCAGCCCCAACCCGATGGAAGCCTGACGCTTATAGACAGCAGTAATGCTGAACCTCCGGCACTCAAAAGGACATGGTTCCTGGCACTGATTATCATGCTATTTGACAAGATGACGAAGCGGGCATCACATGTAACAGAAGACGAAGACCTTTCCGCGAATGGCGATTTAGAGGACAGCGACACTGCTCCAGGAACTTCTTCCGATGCTGGAGGAGGCGGGGACGCGACTTCTAAAGGGCCACCTAGACCGGGTACGAAGGGCGGTCGAGTAGCCGCGACTACGATGGCGGGCGGACGGAGACGGAAGGTGGTTAGAAAACGATGACCCGATAATCTCTTGCGGGTGGACGGTGTCTAGATGTTGCCCAGATGAGACTATTTGGTATTTTCGGCTCTCCGTGGTACGAAGAGCTGCAGCGCGCGGTATCAAAGTGGTGCATGGGCTGTCGAACAGGAGGAACAGCTGATCCCCCCTGACAGATGTGGTGGTGACTCGAATGTAGGGCTGGGCAGCTGGGCATTCCCCGCCCAACTAGCTCGCGTCTTCTACTTACCTTCCTGCGGAAATAGATCGCACATGAGTGGTTAGGGTAAATGAAGAGAAATATTCTGGTGAAATTTATTCGATGCGGCGGGCAGAAAGACAGCCGTGGATAAACGCGATGGGAGAGATCACTGCACGAGGATACGAGCGATAAGGCGGAGTGCCCTGATATAAACACGCGTAAACTCATCCTGGCGGCTATCCCTGCGCGGTCCTCCGTTTCTGCATTCCACCACCACCATCTCTCCTGACTCGACTGTCGTCCGCCTCGTCGACAACCATGTCTTTTTACCGCCCCGATCTCCTCGCACCCTACCTGGCCCTCCCCCAGGGTGAAAAAGTTCAGGCTGAGTGTATGATGTCTCGCGCGATCTGCAGGACGCGCTTGAAATGACTCACCCCGCCTCTCAGACGTCTGGATCGACGGCGATGGTGGCCTCCGTTCCAAGACAACGGTCAGTAAGCTTGCAGACGCGTCTACGAGCGTGCTTCATCATGCTCAACTACTGTACAGACCGTGACCAAGAAGGTCACTGACATAGGCCAGCTCCGCATCTGGGATTTCGACGGTTCCTCCACGAACCAGGCTCCTGGAACTGACTCGGATGTCTACCTTCGCCCTGCTGCCATCTTCAAGGACCCTTTCCGTGGCGGTGACAACATCCTGGTCCTTGCGGAGTGCTACAACAACGACGGCACCCCCAACAAGACTAACTTCCGCCACCATGCCAAGAAGGTCATGGACGAGGCCAAGGATGTGGTCCCCTGGTTCGGTCTCGAGCAGGAGTACACACTCTTCGACGCGGACGGCACGCCGTACGGTTGGCCCAAAGGCGGTTTCCCTGGTCCCCAGGGTCCCTACTACTGCGGTGCTGGTATGTTCCATAAATGGTCCCCTCTCTGCCGCCAGTGGGAACCTAATCACGGACCTTGACATCTGTTTATCGCAGGCACCGGCAAGGTATTCGCCCGTGACCTTATTGAGGCCCACTACCGTGCCTGCCTGTACGCTGGTGTGAACATCTCCGGTATTAACGCGGAGGTTATGCCTGCCCAGTGGGAGTTCCAGGTCGGCCCCTGCGAGGGCATCTCCATGGGTGACCACCTCTGGATGGCGCGTTACCTGCTTGTGCGCATCGCCGAGCAGTGGGGCATCAAGGTCTCCTTCCACCCCAAGCCCCTCCAGGGCGACTGGAACGGTGCCGGCTGCCACACGAACTACAGCACGAAGCCGATGCGCGAGCCCGGAGGCATGAAGTACATTGAGGCTGCTATCGAGAAGCTAAGCAAGCGTCACATGGAGCACATCGCCGTCTACGGCGAGGACAACGACCTCCGTCTTACGGGCCGCCACGAGACCGGTCACATCAATACCTTCAGCTCGGGTGTCGCCAACCGCGGTGCTTCCATCCGTATCCCGAGACACGTTGGCGCTCAGGGCTACGGCTACCTTGAGGACAGGCGTCCCGCGTCCAACATCGGTATGTCGCTTTGTTCAATACACTTATTCACTTATATCTTACACAAATTATTTTATCACAGACCCCTACCGGGTCACTGCCATTATTGTTGAGACGACTTGCCTCGACAAGTAGATGGTTCTCCAGAAGGAAGATGGTCGATGTAGAAGATGTACAATTGAATTGTATAGCACTCATTATCCTGCAGGATTTGGGCGAAAATTTCGCGACGTGTCGTCACCTAGTGTTCATCCACTACCTTCTAATTGTATTGCTATTTCATGCGCACTCCTACATAATCGCAGATTGTGTGGAATATAAGCTACATTCATATCACAACAAGCGTGTACATTAGGTGAGTGAACGAAAAGATATGGATACAAGACCAAGACTGCTGCAAACTACCCATAAATCATCTGACCTCTTAGTACGGCGCGTTGACAATGTTGGAACGGTTGCGGATGTTACGCTGCGGTGATGCAATTGATGCTCTCGTCGGCCTCTTCAGGTTCTTCTTGTTCACCGCAAGGACATTGTTTTGCAACGCAACGATCTGCGAGGTATAACATCAGAGGACTAATATAAATGCGAAGACAGGACAAATGCGTGACGTACAATCTCCTTATCGTCTCCGAATTTGAAGTTGTCTTGTACCACAAAGTCTTCGTATCTAGAATAGAGGTGAGCCTCAACCGCACGGAACATGGAATGAGTGACATACTTCTTGATTTCGTACTTGTCTAGAAGCCCCTTCTTCACCTTTGCAAAGTCCCAAGCAACGACGAACTGTCCTGTGGACGTAACGATGGCGTTCTCTTCCTGCCCCTCGCCCATGTTGAACCTGCATGAACACATCAGATGACAGCCTGACGATTCCCTGTCATGATGGCTGACCTGGCAGGCGTGAATGATACGCTGTTCTCCATGTACGCGACATGTTCCGCCCGAAGCTGCAAGCGACGGGGGATTGGTTTCGCGGTCGCGGGAAAGCTCCGGTCGAAGCCAAGACTGCCCGTATATCGCCCTTCACCAATGAGCGTGTCGATGAGCAGCAAGTACGTCCTCGTCGTGGCCACGATCCAGCGTCCGTTGGCAGTGACGTCGATGCCGATGATAGGATCGCCGAGCGGGGGCAGCGCTGTCTTCGCGTTTTTGCCGATCGAGTCGAACAGCCTAATGTCACCCTTCTCGCTCGCCACTGCCAGCTTTCCTGACTCTGTCGTGGCGACGCCGGAGAACTGGTTCTTGCTGACGTACTGCTTGAACTGACTGTCCACCATCTTGGACCCGGACATACGAGGGTCGATGCGGAAGAGCGCGTTGTGTGACGCACCAATGAGGGTCTGCTGCGCTGTTGTCTGTGCGAACTTGTTGTCGGGTGCAATGTGATCCACATTGATGTTCTCATGCACTTTCCACTCCTCCACAATCTTGCCCCGTTCAATGTCCATACTGAACAAAGAGTGAGGTTCCTTAGGGTTCATCAAAATCATCTTGCTATCTTGCTCGTGCAGCATGACCTACATGAAAGCTCAGAGGCACGCGTCATTTGAACGCACGAAGGATCCATACATGTTTCGGGTTGAACTCCTTGCCTTTGGGTGTTGCGATATTACTGATACTGGCATGGTACTTAACCTCGTTGTCGCCAGTGTGCCTGAAGACGCCGATTTTGTTGCCCCGAATAACGTATGATCGATCGCCCTTATAGCCGACAGTCAGCTGCGAGTTGCGCTCGCCCTTGGCCAGCGGTGGAGGCATTTCGTCCTCCTCAAGTTCGTGCTCTGGCTCTGGCTCTTCTTCATCCTCGCTCTTGTCTGAGAGACAGTCAGCGACGCGCCAATGAGGACCAACGGAGGACCGACCAAGGTCATTCTCAATGTCATCCTCCTCATCCGAGTCGTTCTCGACATCCTGCATTTCGACGTCTTCCACATTTGAACTCATTACATACGCTTGCTCATCAGCCTGTGGGAGGTCAGGTAATAGACCGGTATGACGCCAATGTACCAACCTTGGCTTTACTCCAGGGGTATTGATTCAGGCTCTCCCATAAGGCTTGCGTGAATAATCTCAGGAATTTTTCGTAGGCATCAGACGTGCTGAATCTGAGACACCAGCTACTCTGAAATCCGTTGTCGCTGACATAATTCCAGGTAAAGGATGCTACTTTCGCGGCCCATCGGTGATTCATGTCAGAAGAAATCTTGTGCGCGAGGACTTGGCCCTCGGGTGTGGTCGCGAGTAACCAGAATTCATAAGACCCAGCTGCGGGATTCTGCATAAGCTTTGCTGTCACATCGCGCTGTTTCTCGAAATAGCCCTCGTCGCGGCTCCATAGATATAGCTCAGCTGGCGCAGCAAAGAGTGTAGGCATATCACTATCATCAGAGGCGACGGCCTGTGTTGTAGGCTCAGGGGAAGGAGCATCTTCAACGGCGGGTTTCTCCACCTGTGGAGTCTGCGCCTCCTTGGATGTAGACGCCGTTTTCTTCCTGGAAGACGTCTTGGATTTGGGTTTCTGAGCAGGTGGTCTGAAGCACCGATGTCAATGGCGCGCCAATGCGGGGAAGACGGATGGACCCACTGCCAGATGAATTCTTGCAAATCAGAGTCGGGGATATCGTCTGCGCTCTTCTTGTACTTGCGCTCGTACATCGCCCTATACATACATGTCTCAAAGAAGGCGCGCGTGGGTTCATTAGTCCCAGAGGCGACAAATTCGTAGAATTCGTCCACGTCCCCTTCCAGGTCGCGCCACATGAAACTCGGGCCATCTTCGCCTACTGCGCTCCGGAATTCAAGTTCCTCGCCGATAAGGAAGACGCGCTCCTCGTCAGCTAAAGAGCATAAGCTATAAGCAAGCAACGATGAGTTAGGAATAAGCGCACTCTCTTCCTCATCTTCGAGAAGCTCCTGGTCTCCGTCCTCGAAGACGCGTGTTATTACGAGCTGGAAATGGTGCTCGATTGACGGCACACGCCGGATAGTAGCCATGGCGTCGTTGTAGCTGCAGAGTGTTCGCAATTATTCAGGACAGGCACTGGACAAGGGCTTACATGCATTCTCGAGCACCTCGAATGGTTCCAGAGCGCACAAGATACAGCTGTCCTTCTGATATTTTGACAACCTCGGCTGCGTTGGGATCGTCTGCGGATGAGATCACTCAGCTAAGTAAGACTGGCCAGAGTCGGCTCCAGAAACGCACGCCAGACTTTTCCTATCACTGACGACCCCCACACAGTCAGATATATGCAGCTAGCATGAGTACATTTCACGTACAGCTTCTGAAAATGTTCATAATGGGCGCGGAAGGAAGGAAGATGGGATAGATTGGTATAGGGACAAGTGAAGGAGTACCGGTGACGTTCGCGGTGTGACACAATCTGGCGCGAGATGTCACGTCACGCGACCGTGTTCCAGTACCAAGCGCGCTTGAGCCTTGAGAGCTTTCCAGTCTACTGCAGACTCAAGCTTTCCCCTGGTGTACTCTCCTACTGCTTGAATCAAGTCAATCAACACCAGCAGCGCTATGGCGTCCTCCCCAGAACCCAGGCTTACTACCCCTCCCGAATCCCCAAGTAAGGACTCACGCTCGCTGCCCATGATGTCATGTAACAAGTTGCGTATCGTTGACAGGACGCAGCGGCGCAAACGAATCACGTCCCGCGACTCCAGACAACGGACTGCGCAATCGCTTTTCGAATGTACGTTGTGCACGCTGGAATCAGTGCAAAACTCACTCGGTCTGCTCACTTAGACCATGCCCGGTGGTGGCGTAGCCTCCCCGAGTTCACCTCTTATGGCTGGGCCGAGTTTCCCCCGCTCTGCATTCCAAAGTGCGCTTCCTATTCTTCCCTCGTCGACCTTTGGCGCGAAGCGAGTTGTGGTCCGTGTGGATCCCTCTCTCATGACCTGCTTTGATCCCTCGGACAAAGAGCTATACGACTTGTGGGCGCCGAAGAGATAGTATATATAGTACACTGCCTCCAAATTTGTCCTAAACCTCGGCCGTACTGATGACCTAAGTGCATCCACTTGTTTGTGGGCGTTCTCTGAGTTATCGTGCTCTCAATGAATATGATGATGCATTATCGGAAACAGAAGCAGAGAGCCTATGTGCAGAAATGATAAAGATACAACGTCTAGGAATGAGTGGGCTGGTCGTTAACGGCGTCGAAGTGAACGTGATGTGCAATATAGAGCTACAAGTAAGTGAGGGTTACTACTATATCAGTCTCCAGGACAACTAATAGACAATCAGGCAATATAGGGAGTTGGATCATGTGCAGGTGGCAGATGTGAATTATATCCACCCTGGATGTGGTCGCGCTCGAAGCGTCTCGACTCCATCCGTCCTTGTGGTAGCGCGCCCACGCTGCTGGGGGTCAGGAAGTGCACCACCAGTGCCGCTCTTCGGACTCCTCTTCGCTGCCTTGGTGGAGTCCTTTGACACAGCACGAGTAAGCTTCGACTCGTATTCCGGGACGTCGCGTAGCGTGGTCATGCTTCGCAAAGACGTGGTGCTCGCACTGCTCAATCCTCGCATATGGAGGCCGAGACCAGTCGGCCGGGATGTACGCAAGCGAATCTCATCGTTGCAGAGCTTGTAAAGCTCATCGAGGTCCAAATAGCGTGCTTCGTCGCGAAGCTCAAGAAGTGTTTCCAAACGCGCGGAAGATGAACTGGTGAGCTGTACCGCGCGGGGGAGCATAGCGGGATTCTCCGGCGTAGATGGTGGTGAGCGGAGGTAAGCAAGAATGTGAGCATATCTGATATTAGGATTAGCCTCATTTCTCGCAGGAGTACTATGAAAGGCACTCACGGAGCACTGGGCCTATCAAGGAAAATGTGGATGCAAGTCGACGCCTGCGGCAGCAGCCCAGATGTGGTAAGATGATGATGAAAGATCGAGTTGAACGAGCTCGTCGCTTCGCTGTAATCTGATTCAATTGACACTGCGTCCGAATCGCGCTTGCGCGAAGGCAGCAGCTCCTTTAGATACGTGGATAGGAATGAGGGTCGCGAGGTCAGCGTGTTCATGGTCGTGCGGTGCGTCATTGTAGATGTCTCCAGAGACACAATGACTTTAGAATGATCAATGAGCTCTGTTGGCAACGGTGATATGAGAATGGGCTCAAAGGGAGACTGTGGTGGCGAGCTGCTGATATTCGCGGGCATCGCGGGCATAGGAGGCGAATATGTCGACAGGTTAGGGGATCTACTCTTCAACGAAGGGCGGAGGGTTGTTGTCTCTGGCTCCGGGCTGTAGGGGTCCAGTACTGTTATGTCTGATTCTGGCGACTCCGGTGCTGCCGGTGGCGGACGAGTGGGTCGTGGCGGTGTACGTGAGCGCACCGACTCACATATAGGGGACTCGGCGTCAGGAAGTGGCGGCAGTGGCGGGCTCTCTGGTCGTATAGGGTAGCTGGGCGTGGGCTCTGCGTCGTGGTCAATGACAAAAATATCATCGTCGACGACTTCCGCCTGAAATAGCGCGAGGCTCCCCGGTCCAGCCAAGGCCTCTTGCGGCGTCCTAACGACGGTGGCACCTGTACCTAGTACGCCATTACGCTGCTGTGTCAGAGAATCCAAGCTGTTCAGAAACTTCGGTTCCGAGATCCTGACGGGCTTGGACGGGGTGTAGGGAGCCGCGTGGCTTGAGCTCGATGCCGTGCGGGTCAGCCATGCCATGGGGTTTGAGATTGATCCACCACGTTGTCTTGGAGGGGCCATAGGTGGTGATACCGGAGCGAACTCGTCAACGGGGATGGGCTTCGATATAGCAGGGGGAGAGCGGGGAGAGCGACACCGATGGTTCTGCATAATGTATACGATATGGGTGGAGAGGCTCGTGGCTGCAGGTGAAGAGACATGGCTCCGAGTGGCGGTTGTTTTTCAATAGGGGCCGTGGCCCGAATACAATACGCACAGAACAAAAGCCGCATGCACGCCACGACAACCACTACGCCTGCCTCTTTGGGACACAATGTCGGACACAATTGGACCCTTTGTTCTCTACCGTGGGAACAAGGACTAGCGCTCGTCGGCCCCGCCCTCGTCGCCGAATGTGCTCCCTACCATTAGTACTGTCCGTTCACTGTCCTCTCCGTCGTCGTTGTCACTATGCAGGCTGCCGGTGTAGCTACCGCCAAATTTCAGCTCGCAGTTCCCTTCGTTTTGCTGCAAGCGTCTCCGGGTCTGGCAGCTCTTCACGCGTCTCGCGCACGCACCCTCCACCCCTCCGAGCCCGCCTTGAGGACGACGCATTGTCCGTCATGTGGGATAACATTCCTCGACGGAGGCGGTCACATCAGATCCGTGCGCTTGTCCAAGCGGCGGAAGGGCGCAAAACGGCAGGACTGTACTCGAGCCCTGCGCATGTCATGCGGGGCATGCGGACACCAGCAAGACCTCCCCATCGAGAGCAAGTCTTCGCTGTTATCTCCCCAACCCAGGAACAGAAAGAGACAAGCATCGGATGCGAAGAAGGCACCACTCTCTGGGACGACGTCAACTAAGAGTGTGTACATCCCGCAGGGCGCGGTCGACCGACACCCCACCGATAGGACTGCATCTTCGCCTGTACGGTCTTCTGTACCGTCCCAAGCGCGCCCGGCGTCACTGCAAAACACAACGATGCTTCCGTCTAGTAGCTCCGTAACGGCTACCCCGCCTCGCCCCAAGGCGCGCTCAAAGAGAACCACTGGGTTGCAAGGCCTTTTGGCTCGCAATCGGGAGAAGCAGGCCGAGGGAAAGAAGTCGAGCGATCTCGGGCTTTCTAGCTTCTTGCAGGAATTAGAATAGCTCACTGAGAACATGAGGATGTACCGTGTATACTGGTTCAACTTATCAGTGCCTCTTATTTATGAATGACTAATTTGAACCGTAGCCTCGATCTGCAGTGGACAATGGGAACATGTTTCATTGGAAGGGCATCAGCATCATCATATCATGTAACGGAACATACAGACTCTAGAGTACACTGGCAAGCGGCAACAGCAGGCTAGCTGTCGATGAGCAGGCCAAGGAAAGTGAGGAGTAGCGTGCGCTGAACGAGCGAAAAGCGGCCACAAACAGCACAGAAAATCGAAAGAGGGCATTTTCCAGTATCCACCACATCGCACGTATCATACAATCAGCGCAAACCGGCACTGATACAGAGAGCGAAAGAAAAGGAGGAACAAATACATTGTCGTTGACGGTTTACTTTTGCTCGGCGTAAGGGTTGACACTGTAGACCTTGATGACCGGAGGGCTCTTGGTCAAGTCGGCAGTGACAATAACCTGGAGCGAGACCGTCAGTCATTCAGATGATGCGCTGAAGTAAAGTCTATACGTACAGGAACAGTTTGAAGTTCCCTGATCTCCTGAATCTTGTGACCGGCAGGCGTGATCCTCAGGCCCTCGAAGTGGGGAGGAACCTTAGACTTTGACAGGAGACGTTGCTTCGAGGTCTCCTGTGCCCCCTGCTCGCGGTCCGCACGACCGAGAACAATCTCGTCCTCCTCCGCGTCATCATCCTCGTCGAACAACGCCTTCTCATCATGGAGAGACCGAGAGGCAACCTCCATCTTGAGAGCATGCTGTTCCGCATTCTGCTTAACCTTCTTGAGATGCTCGTCGTCGCTGTTCTCGGCGAGCCAGGTAATCACATCCTTGTTGGACCAGTAAATCTGCAGCGTGTGCGTGTGCTCGTCATACACGTGGTTCTGCGTTTGCATTAGATATGTGAACACGAGTATGCCGGCAGGTTACAGGGACTCACGTCGATGGGCATCTGATCAACGTGGACTCTCTTCTCAATGCCGAACTCTGGCACAAGTACGTCGAACGCAGCATCGAGGACGCCAACGACCTTGGCCGACCGGATGACAGGCCCGTAGCGCTGCGTGAGGTCGGATATCAGAATGCAGAGGTACAGATGTGTGGACTGCTCCTGGGCCAACTTCGCCGAATCCCTCTTGCTGTAAACCATATCGTAAGTAATGCCCTATGGGACAAAGAGTCCGACGCACATATTGCACTGCTGGGCAACCTTCGCAACCGCATCACGATCCATAGTGAATTTAGGCTCTGCTGAAGTAAACGGCTGAGCATGAATATCCCCTCGATGATGAAAAACACCGTACCACCACCTTGAAGGATTGAATCGAACTGGCGATGCACTAGTAAATCCGCATACCGACGGATGGGTGAAGTGAAGTGGGTGTAAAGAGGAATGTTCAGGGCATAGTGGTTATACTTAGCAATGTCAAGCATGCCGGCACAGAAGTACTTGGCATTCGAGGAAGCCTTCTGCAGGAAGAGTTCCAGAATCTTGCGGGCGGCGGGATCGGCAACTGACTGCAGGGATCTCATGAGTGCGACAGGCGACGAAGTGTCCAAATTGTAGCCCATCCTCTCCGCCCGCTCAACAAAGGCAGCCTAAGATTCGTGTGTCAGTAGGTCCACTGTAGAACTTGTGAAATGGGTCTACTTACCAGTCGTCGCTCAATCGGAGGGTCGTGACGGCGAAGTAACGCTTGTTCGGAGAAGTGTACGGCCACCTGCTGTGCAACGGCAGTATTGGTGAGTAGCATGAACTACCAGAATTATGATCAGTCGCCGTGCATTGCTATCGCATGTATTCGACAAACCTCCTCAACAAGATGATTGGCCTCGCTGTGCTCGTACTGCACACAATCGGCAGGCATCCCATTCTCGTCGAGCTGGAAGGTAAGTTTCAAGGACTCTGTTCTGATGCACCCGGTTTGGTAGCGGCGTTCACGAAGCTGCTTGGCAAGGTCGTGGACGATCTTGATGTCATTGGCGAAATCCACAACATTGTGCTCAGGCTGAACCTCGAACCCGGCGGCCTGCCCGTCCAGCACACTCTGGGCTTGCTTGTAACTGAGCTTAGCAGCGGACCTACGAGACACAACAATTGAGGGTTCAGGAAGTGTGCACCTGGAAACCACTATACCTGATGATCGTTTTGCCAAACCACTTCTTAACGACCTTTGCATCCTTGGTCATAGTGAAGATGACCGAGAACGCCAGGCGCTCTTGCCCGGGGACAAGACTGCAAAGCTGTTCGCTCAGAGCAGGAGGCAACATGGGGACGGCACGCTGCACAAGATAGACACTGGTTGCGCGCTTGCGCGCGTCACGGTCCAATGCAGTGTTTGGCTTGACAAAGTAGGAAACATCTGCAATGTGGACAGATACGTCGTACGTGCCATCCTCGTTGACCTTGACGGAGAAAGCATCGTCCAAGTCCTTAGCGGTATCGGGGTCGATAGTAAAGACACGCTCATTGCGCAGATCCTTGCGGATCTCCAGTTCACGCTCGGGAATGCTAGTGAAAATCAACAAACGACTAGATCAACCGTCTTGTGCACGTACCTCCAAGGGATGGGGGGCAGACATTTCAGCACGTTCTCACTGAAGTCCTCCGTTGGGAAGTTGCAATCTTTGAGAAGCGCACTCGTTTCTACTTCAATGTCCCCAATTGGACCGAGTTCCTCGACGAGTGTACCGAACGGATGCAGTGAGCTTATGGGCTGTTGAAAGTGTAAGTATACATTGTAACCCGCTAATCAAATTTGACGAAACTCACGTGTCGCTTAATGCATGCTACGAACAACTTGTTGGCATAAGCCTCGGAGTTTTGCACAAAGTCAGGAGGGGCTTGCTCTGTAGGAATAGCAATGAGGGGCACACGCTTATCTGTCGGCTTGAACCACACGATTTTGGGGCGCTCAATGGGCCGCCTGGGTTCGTCGCCACGGTCACCTTCCCTCTCACGGCGCTCTGCTTCCTGTTTCTCTTTGGTAGCGGCAGAAGAAGGGCGCAACAGGCCCAATGTGCCGGAGAATAATTGTCCAGGCATGCGCTCGACAACTGCGACGACGTGACCGGCGAACTGAGGCTTCACTTCATCAGTAACCCTAAGGGATACTTACATAAGCGAGCCCTCAGGATGGATCACGGGAAACTCACTCTTCGTCCTCGAACAACATCAGACCTTGGCCTTCGACTTCAACATCATCTTTCTTCTTGTCGTTCTTTCGGCCGGCAGCACCCTTGAGGTCGTACGCGGAGTTCTCTTCCTTCTTGCGCTTCTTCTCCTCCTTCTCTTTCTTGGTGCCCCAGACTTCATCAACATCGAGCAGCTCGACTGCCACAATATCGCCTTCCAGAGCGCGGTTACGGTCCTTGGAACCGCAAATGTAGATGTCGGCGTCTAATACCTCAGTCGCGACATATGCATCCGAGCGGTTGCGCTTGTTAACACGTAAGATACCAACGACAAGCTTGCCTGCAGCAAGGAGTGGTGGCAGGGAGGCCTGTGGGAGATAAGGAGCGAACAGCGACTTGCGCTGCTGTTGAGTGGACTGCTGCTGGAGCTGCGACTGGAATTGCTGTTGCTGTTGTTGAAGGAGATTGATACCACCCAAACCGAGACCCATCATGTTGGCTGCCATCATGTTGGGGAGCATGTTAGGGAAACTGAACGATGCCATCTTTTGATGGTGACCGCCAGCAGCAGCACGGAATTGCTGGAGACTATTCAGCTGCGCCTGCGCCTGAGCGAGGTCAGCAGCGAAGTTGTTGTTCGACTGAATGCCGCCAACACCACCGTCTGCAGCAACCGAACACATCAATAAATGAATCCCGCAAATGAGTAGAGCGGACGTACTGATACGCCAGCTAGAGTCATTACGAGAGTGACCATTACCCATGTTACCAGGGGCGTTAAATCCGTCGTCATAACCATCGACGCTCTGCGAGAAGCCCAATGCACCTAGCCCAGGCTGACTGCCTGACTTGTTCAGGACGTTGACGCTGTGACGCCTTCCGTGTCCGCGCGGCACGCCCGAAGGCTGACCGTCAAGGCCCATTCCTAGACCATTGAGATTCCCGAACTGGCCCATGGCGGCCTGGGGCCCGCCAAACGGCATGCCCATGCCCATTGGGACGGTGCTATGCACACGACGGTGCACATTCGGACGGCCAGGCGCGAGTCCAGGAGTCTGAAAGGACAAGACCTGATTGGAAGCGAGCTGCTGCTGGTAGAGAGCCTGTTGCTGTTGCTGCAAAGCCTCAATCTGATTCTGGAGGGCGATCTACCAATGAAAATTGAGCGGTTTGGCCACATTCCAACGAACGTGTGAGACGCACCTGTTCCGCCATAATACCAGATATCTCGGGCCCCTCGCCCGCTTTCCGCTGGTTCATCTCGCTAGGAGGCATATCGAAGTTCTGCTGGTTTTGTTGCTGAGGGAACTGGAAGCCAACGTCCTCTTCGCTGATGGGAGGCCCCATCGGCATGTTGACAGTAGAGCTCGGACGACGTCTGGCGCCAAACATGAACCCAGGCGCGAGCTGCGGACGGCCCGTGGGACCGAGCACCTCACCCTGATCTTGTTGGGCAGCAAGGGCAGCGAAACGAGGGGCGGTGAAACTCTGGGATAAAGAACGACGGGGATGACCTGACTGGTACATGTTCTCCTGAATCTCGCCCTCCTCTGTCGGGAAGTTGACCTGACCCTCCTCAACGTCCTCCATCATAGAGCCGAGGTTAGGCGAGTAGGAATTATATAAAGGATTGGACGAGTTGCCGAGCGACGCAGCCTTGCGGTGCCTAGGTGGAAGCTCAGTGTTCGGGCCAGGATATGCACCCGCACCAGGTTGGAATACGGGCGCGTTGGGCGGCAGCGCCGAGCCTTGACCACCCGACATGGAAATAGCACTGGTGATGGATCCCGCAACAACGTTTGGGGACTGATTGGCAGGAGAAGTTGTCTTCAAATCCGCGATGACCCTCTGCAAGGAAGACAAAGCGTCACTATTGTCGCCAGCTTGAGGTGCGGGGGAATCAGATGGGCCTTCCTTGGGTCTGTTACCACCCCCACGACTCTGGGCAGTGGACTGGCCCTTGCGGTGGCCTGCAGAGCGACCGGTGCCACCAGCTTGGGGTTTGCCACGTTGTTCCGTCTTCTTACTCTCGGTTCCCTTCTTGGTGGTATCCGAGCCAGATTCAGCAGCTGTGGGAGGATTAGATGGCCCCCTCTTGCTGCTCTTATTACTGGTCCTCGAAGACGGTCTTGGAATGCCAGGATTACCAGCGCTCACTGAGGCCGTGCGAGACGCGTTGCGCTTCCTACCGCCACCGGTCTGCGTGGCACCATTGGAAGGCCTTTTCTCGTCCTTCTTGGCTTGATTCTGAGGAGGTTGAGGCGTAATCTCGTCAGTCATGTCGTTCGTAATATGAAAGCTGAGCTATCCGAATGTTTTCGGAGTTATGACGTGTTTTTAGGGTTACAATTTTTCTGGTGCGTATGGGCTAGAGTGGCTGTTAGAGAGCAAACTCCATGGCGACTGCAAAAGACGCACAGACTTACCGAGGTGTGAAAAGTGTAAAGTAAAGAACTTTGCCCTGTAGGGCGAGTGGGGATTTATGGGAGTGGGTGCCTGGGTAGGCGGGAATGGGCAGGGAGGGGTTGTGCTTATCGTCGCAGGGAGAGTCGCCAGCGAGCGCGTTCCGGATTCTATACGCCCGGGGCGGGGCAACGCAGCACTCTCCCACGCCTAGTCGCTGCACATAACGGAACCAAATCTACGTAACCACTGTCTACCTCTGACTGATCGTAAGCCGGCTTGCCTTCGCCGAGGTGCCATACGTGGAATCAATCTAGCATTGTGATGAGAATTCGCCAGGGTACGACGCGGAATTAGCCTGCAGTACTATTGAGAATACTGTCCTGATCTACGGTGTAATCTATCCATAGCTCTCATGCCTTCGCAAGCCTCTCAATGATGGCGGCAGTGTATTCCTGGGTCGACGCCTTCCCGCCAAGGTCGCCTGTGATCGTCTTTCCCTCGGCGATAGTCTGTACAAAGGTTCAGTACACGTCGGAAACAAAGGTCATAGTGCTCACGGATAGGGCCGCCTTCTCGATCTTCGTGGCATAATTGTCCAGCTTCATGTGCCTGTTTAAGCGATCATTTTGTAAGTCTTTGCCGCGGCAGAACCACGCGAATTAATCATACCGCAGCATCATGAGTGACGACAAAAGAAGCGCGGTGGGGTTCGCCAAACCCTTGCCTACTCGGTGTAAGCCGCAAATAGGTCCGAACACGTGTTTTACATACCAGCGATGTCCGGAGCAGAACCATGAACCGCCTCGAAGATCGATGCGTCCTAGTGGAATGCGGTCAATTTTTGTCAGTTTATGATAGAAGCGAAAGCCTTACACGTCCAATGTTACCAGACGGCGTCAGACCCAGTCCACCAATCAGACCGGCGCACATGTCGGACAGGATATCACCGTAAAGGTTGGGCATCACCATAACACGGTCAGCGTATGGCTTCGGATTTTGGACAATCTGCTACCCCGTCAAATCCAGCACTTATGGCAAGGACGTGGAACGTCACCTGTAGGCAGACACGGTCCAGCAAGTCTTCATCATAGCTGACGTCCGGGAACTCCTTGGCGACTTGCCGGCAGGCAGACAAGAACATGCCATCAGACATTTTCCTGGGTAGCCGGGCACTTAGTGTCTTGCATCACAAACAAGTCAAATACAAAGCGTACATGATGTTGGCCTTGTGTACAGCCGTTACACGCGCCCGTCCGCTGCTCTTCGCGTACTGGAACGCGTAGCGGGCAACGCGCTCAGAGGCGTCCCAGGTAATAAGTTTAATGGACTGTACGACGCCGTCAACCACCTGGAGTATTCTCGTTGAGTAAACATGCACAAATGAAAGGCAATGCGGTCCATACTTCGTGCTCAATGCCGGAGTACTCTCCCTCTGTGTTCTCACGGATGAGAACAGTGTTAACATCATCATAGGGTGTCTTGAAGCCTTGGATGGAGACGCAAGGACGGACGTTGGCGAACAAGTTGAAGGTTCTCCGGAGAGTCAGGTTCAGCGATACATGACCCTTGCCAACTGTGACGGGATAGTTTTAGCGCACGAAGGATTGTGCAGAACGTGCGTGCATACTCGGAGTTGCCAGAGGGCCTGCAAGAGAGGTGAGCGGGTCACATATTCGCGCGCAGAGACAAGTGACATACCCTTCAGCGCAACAGTGTTCTTCTTGACCGAGTTGATTGCTACGTCAGGAATGACGGTCTTTCCTCCTTTCAGGATGGGTGCAACGCTGACTTCCTCCCACTCAATGGGCACCTTCACGTGCCATCTTTAGTGATAATGTATACAACGTGTCGGAAGACTCACGCTGGCCGCGCTGTAGATTTCCTTGACAGCCTGGCTGATTTCCGGGCCAATTCCTGTGGACAGTTCACGTCTTGCTGGCAGCACAACGGTGTCCCTTCTACGTACCGTCACCAGGAATGAGTGTAACAGTGTATTTGCCCTTCCGCCAATGTCAGATGAAAGTCAGACACACAAATTCAACGCGTACTCACGTTGCTTCCCTTCTGGCCAGCAAAAGCAGCGGTGGGCGACGCCGAAGCGTACCCACGGAAAGCCTATTCAGCCACGGGATCAGGACTCGCTCGCCAGTCTCTCTGCACTCTCGTTTGGAACCATACCTGAGTGCTTTGCGCTGCGACCCGCGCACCACGAGCAAGCGTTCGAGAGGTCAACATTTTTGCAATGGGGAGGAAAGACGAGATGTCTGAAGGAGTTGAAGCCGAAAGAGGACCGAAATGCGAAATTCATGTTATCACGTGGTCTATGATGTAGCCTTCCCAGCGCCTAATCGGTCTACACCGGCGAACTCGATCACCGCTGGGCGCTGCAAGGTTCGGCTGTCGACAGACTGCACAGTGCGCATAATGGTATCAAGATGTATTGCTCGAGTATACAGACACGCTAGCCGTACAAATTCTGGATGGGCATGATTGAATTGAGGGTGGGACGATTCTTTGCTTCAATTCTCGATATACACGACGCTCTATAGATAGCAAGACTAGAAGTACATACACTGGGTCCGCATGGTAATATCACCCGTAAGGTAAGAAATATAGGGTACGCAACAATAAAGAATGTCCCATGAGACTTAACTACTTAGCAAACCGTTGAGCTGTTGGCGGTATTGCTCCAGGGCTCTCTCAGTTTCTTCCTCATCCACGGTCTCCTGGGCGGACTGCGCAGGACCAGGTCAGACAAAGTATGACAAGATTGTGACTGAAACGCACGGGAAGTTCTGTCTGCACAGTGCCTGCTTGGCCGAGCTTGCCGTTCGTAAGGTCAAACAGTACCTTGTCGACTTCCTCGTCGGCTTCCTCCTCAATTTCCTCTTCATCATCCATCTCAAGGGTGTCATCCAACATCTCTTCCATGATTCCAGCCTAGATTGTGGTTAATCAACCACGAAACCGGAGATGCGATTCATGGGGGCGTACCTTCGTCATCTCCATACTCATCTCGCGCATGACTTGACTGATCTGTGGCAACTTGATCAACGTGTTCGAAAGCTTCATGATCTCAGTGGATTTCTGCAGCGATCCGGTGACCTTGACCATAGCTTTCAGGCAATGGTGAGGGACTGAGACTCAAGGTAGAGCTGGCATGTAACGCACCCATTTGTTGTGATAACTGGTGTCCAATGGACCCTAGCCTCGCCTTGCTCACTGAGATGCGGTCCTTCTGCTTGTTACTCCGAACAACCTCCTTGGCCAGTATCCGAGCAGACTTCACATCTCCTTTAGTAGCGAGTTGTTTGACCGTTTGTTTCGCCTTGTTAGTTGCTGTGTCAAGCTGCCCTAGGATGAACACCCGGCTGGAGCGCACAATATGGTGATCGAACCTGCCTCATCTCCCGGTCAAGAACTCGCTGTTCTTGACGAATCTTCGCCTGCCACTGGCGTACACGTTCTTCAGCTGTTGGTCCATAGAGAAACCTGTTGATTGTCTGCATAGTAGCGCAGGCCAGTGGGAGCTGTGCGCAAGGCTCTCCGTGCTGTTACTGTTACCGTTACGGCGCGTGCCGTCACCCCACGTGACCAATGTTACGTCTCGCGACGCGTCCTATACACCAGTACTGCCATGTCGATTGAGGCTAGCCTCGTTGTAGTCCAAACTGTCAGCCAACCTAGCCACAACTCGCATGTGGGTATAAGTGGTCCGTCAGCATCGCGATGCCTTTCTTCCTCTACCACATTATTCCCTTCACGCTGGTCTGGAACCACCTCACCCTTGTTCTGCAACCGCTCTGCTTATTCGCTCTCCATAACGTCTGCTATTATTTGAACTGTAAACATGTCCTCTCTTGCAATATCGCTTGTCCTAGCAAGGCTAGTGCTCGGCGATCTCACGCCTGTCGCGCCCGGTCCCGGAGAGTCATTCACGGCTGGCTCGGAATGTACTCTTCAATGGGACGCAGATACCACTGGGGCGTGGAAGAATGTCAGCATCGGTGGGTATAAAATAATAACGCATTCTGTTACGCCATCATTCACATGTCATAGACTTGATGTCTGGATCGAACAACAATATGACCGCGGTCACAACTGTCGTATCTTCTCTTGACGGGACCAACTCTAGCCTCTCACCTTACTCGTGGGTATGCCCAGAAGTGGATCCATATTCAGACATATACTTTTATCAGGTACGTCCGCGGTGCTATCTAACCTCACTTACTACACAGTTCACAGTTCACCAACGGCGAGAATCACACGGACGCTAAATGGACCGCCCGATTCACGGTAAGCACATTATAAGGACCTACAACATCATGATGATGCCTGATCGATTTACTAGATTGCGTCTCCATCGAATACCAGCGTCCCGCCGGTGTACTTGCAGCAGCCTGATGGTGACCCTGTGCCATGGGGCAACGGCGTCCTTGTGCTTTCAGGCTCTGCAAACGTGACATCAAAATTTGCGACTGGCAACACAACGTCGACCGGTGCTGACTCCTCGAATCCCACGTCAAGTCAATCTATTGGCTCCTCAAGCACAGCCGGTCAGCCGCAGTCAGCGGCGATCTTAGGGATCTTGACGGATGCAACGGATGGCCCAATTCAGACACCAGCACCGGCCATTGCTAATGCCGAATCCAAAGATAACTCTGGAGACAGTGGCAATGACAATGACGATGCGGCTCCTACATCGACTCATTATGGTCATGACGACAAGGGTGATGATGCGGGGCCCACGTCTACCCATTCTGTTCATCATGAAGACGGCGACGATACACAGCCCACGTCTACTCGCGCTGAGCATGATGACGACGACACTGCGACTAAGACTGAACGTCACGGCCATTCGACAGAGGACTCTCAGCCCACCGACGCCTCCAGCTCTGGTGACTCCAGCGCTAACAATCCCGACGACACATCGCGTGGCCAAAAGAATGTCGCTTCTAATCCAACAGCCACCAGCAGCTCGAACTCGGACGACTCTGATTCTGGCTCAGACAATGACGGTGGCGACTCTGACGGCTCTTACGACGATTCGACTACGTCCAGCGTCTTCATGTCTTCCTCGCGTATGCAGAAAATACCTTCGCAGACCGCCAATGCGGACGCGTCTCGTGTAAGTAATCTGGCCCCTACTGTCGGTCTCCCTTCCAAGGGAGACAAGGGCCCGCATACGTCTGCGTCTAGTGTTCCCTCGGATAGCTCGATGCCGTCCTCCACTGGCGTCCCTGGACCATCCACCATGAACGGGATGAACGGCGTCAAGCTGGCAAACGCAGAGCTTCCTCGCTTCCAGACCTCCAACGTCTCGACGTTGTTGTATGCTCTCCTTGTTGCTGCCTGCGTCTTGTAGTGGCCCAGAGTCCAGTCTTACCACATCTGTCGGATAATATAAGTCGTCTGTTAGCGGTGCTTATGTGTCCCGTACTTGATGGCCTCCAAATCCGGTAAATATTTCTTGTTACCTTCTATGTCCGTGGCAGCGGTCAATCGGTAATTACTCTGCCATTCGAGATTATATGCATTCAGAATGCGTATACACAACACCGCTGATAGTTGTCAGGCTAAGGGTTCCCCAAGTAAAACTGTATCATTTTCCTCCTCCAGACCGTCCATATCTCTAAGCGCGAGGGTGAGCGGCGCGTGGTCGCTATGGGCACGCTCTACACTGTCTTCGTGATACATCGTTTCAATAACGCGGTCCATCAATGTGCGCTGGACCAAAGCATAGTCTACACGAGCAGCGTCCGCGCCCTGCGGCTTGCCCTTCACGAACCAACTGAAAGCTGCCTTCTGTCCATGCACTTCGCGGTACACGTCTACGACATCCAAGGTCGGTATGAACTCCTCGTTGAATTCCTTGCGGGCTAGCGAGTGAGGGTACTCCGTACGCAGCCTAGGTACGCAGTCTTTCTTCGTGAGCGAGATGTTGAAGTCACCGATGAGAACGAGGCGCAAACCACGCGCCCGCATGGCTTGGCATTCCTGCATCAGCAACCGATTGAAGTCGCGTTTGCGCTCGTTGCGGGTTTTCGGAGCGTTCTGGCCTAGCGGGTCCCGCCAGAAATACTCGCTCCCATTGAGCGCGTAGACGTTGAGCAAGGCCCAACCACTCTTCATCTCCAAGATGATGACCCGGCCCTCGGCATCCCAATCTACTTCGCGAGACACTGCGATTTTGTGAGCGTCTTTGACGTAAGTGATGACCCCAAAGTGCCGCGGACCACGGAGAGCACGGTTCAGCGACATATAAGCCGTGTACTTCGGGCCACTGTCGCTCTTGTTTGCGGCAGCCTTGAGAGCCACGATCCATTCTTTGTCCGACTGCCGCGCGCGGACTTCCTGGAGGCATACAAAGTCGGGGAAGTCGTGTCGAGCTATGAGCTCTCGTAGTAGCGAGAGGCGGCTGCCAGGGGGCACAGACGACGTGCCGACCTTGCGAGGAGGCAGATTGAGGAATGGGACTGGCGTCTCAACATTCCACGACAAAATTCTCGTTGCTCGTGTAGCCATCGAAGTTGTAGCCATCGAAGTTAAGGGCAGCTCTGAAGGCAGAGAGGACTCTAGGCGGGCGACCTTGGATAGGGGAGTGTTCCCGCCTGTATTGCCGTCCGCGGTGGCCTCTTCGCTTCTTGCGCGTTTCGACATTCAGTGGGAGAGAGACAGCGACCTGTTGCAGGATGGCAACAAATGGCAGGTTCGCGATGGGATGAGGGGAGTCTAGAAGGGAGATATGGTACTGTACATCGTAGAGCACTGCCGGTCCCGTAGTGACGTCATACACCAGCAGCAAGTCCTCAAGGAAGTCCTCAACGCAGATCTCACCGGTTGAACAGCGTTCAGAAGGGAGTGGAGACGCAAATGCACAGTCGGTCGTTGTCAGATGCATTAGGCCAAGCAGCAGGTACATACTCTAGGACAGACACAGCAGCATAAAAGTGCGAAAACAGCAAACGATGGAGTCTAATCTTTTCAGCTTCACGATTTACCAGAGGACATGTCGGAGCCCGGATTCAGCTGGTTCACCAGCGTGTCCCAGTAACCCCAGTCCGAACCATCTAGGCCCGGTAGCGCTTCGTTGGCCAACATAGGCGAGGAAGTCGGTAGCCAGCCTGATAGGTCGGTTAAGCCCGGTGTGCCCCACGGCAGACGTGTCGTCGTACCCGTCGAATCGTCTGTGGGACCGCCACTAAAGATATTGCACCACTGGTCAAGTAACGATTGCGCAGAAGACTCGGTCTCTTCTCCAGGCGGACTGCCAGTGCTTGAGTTCGAGCCGCTTTCGACATGCTGTAGGTGTGACGGAATGGCAGGCTGGTGCGCGTATGCAGACTTCGGAGGGAGAGAGGTCATTGAGAGTGCCGAGACCACGGGCGACGCTGTCCCAGACGGGTGTACCGAACCCATGCTCGCCGAACGTGTGGGAGTGTGGGGGATATTCAGCGTGAAGTTCGGTTTCTGCAAGCTGGAATGCAACTTGCTGGATCCTGACTCAGTTGCAGCTGCCAGCTTGATGGACTTGTCTTTCAGGAACTGGATGATGTTGACCTCCCGACGTGTCATCTCGTCCAGCTCCTTTCTGAGCTCTTGGCCCTTAAGGAAGCTGTCCACGACCGCGTGCATAGCCGCAGCGTCAGACCCGCGAGGGTACAGAACGAGGTATATGCCGCTGATCATGGCAGACTGGAACTCCCGATACGCACTTGCGACTGGGTCGCGAGCTTCCTTCGTAGTCGTCGCCAAAAACACTCGTCGGATGCGGTAGTCGGTCAAGGCTGACTCGAAACACGCTTGGCGCGAGCGCTCGTAACGGTCGGAACCTAACCGGCGCAGGAGGTATGGACGGTTCAGAGTCGTCCGCACGAAGAGGACTTCCGTAACAAGGAGGAATCGGTGCACAGGTATGTATGGATGTGACTGGTCGAGGGATGTATCGGGCTCAACGCTGTAATGTGCAGGAAGCATCTGCATGAACTTTACAAGCTCATCGTCCAGTGCGAGTACTTCAGAGTAATGACTTGGCGATCTGACTTGCTGAAAATGGTGTGATACGCGGCCCATAATGCCGGCGAGTGTATGGCGGAGGATCATGAATGTGGATAAGGTCGGGGTTGAAAGCGGAAGAGGCTTATGCAGATCGGAAGAGGCATAGTCGTCCACATTGGACGGTGGGAGGGTAGACGTATATACGTCCTGTATAGCGGCAGGCCTTCCTAAGACTAGGGCGATGGACCGGTCTGCATGGTAGAGGTGTGCCCTGTTTGAACATAAGTGGCATGGCACAGACGGAACATTGCCAAGCTCACCATGCGCGGCGACGTTTTTCTACCCGTACAAGGTCCATTCCCTGACAAGGATCATGAACATGATATCGGCAGCCAAGAATTGGACACGACTTACCATAGCAGCACCATCACGATGCATGCCGAGAGCCTGTGCGGTCCTGACTGCAGCCCCGAGTTGATTCCATGATTCAGTCATTCTCCGATCAAGAATGAGGAATCTGGCGCTCTGTGAATGTATCAGATACGACGCGTAAAAGTCAGGTGTTCTCTACTTACTAGCATGCGGGTCAACACCATTTCGAAACAATCAGGTGCTATGGCGGCTGCAATAATGAGGGCTCGACGGGCTGCCAACCGTGTAAGCCTTGTAAAAGGAGTATCGCGAACACGGCTCACAAGACCAGTAATATCGTGTCGAGGTGAGTTTGCGGGTATGCTCGTCACCACCAATGTGCTCAGGTGCTAGTCGTACCGAGATGGCAAGCACAACAAATAGGAGGGGCAAGAAGCGTAGATTGTTAGGGTTGAGCATCAACCCCTCAGCGCATATTGAAGCATACGATGCGCGGAAATCACGCTCAGGTATGGGATAACGCGTCCAATTTCTGGCCAGTGCGGAGACCGTCACTTAGGCATTAGGATACCATGCAAAGTACGTACATAGCGGTGAAGTAATAATCCACAAGGCGATTTGACAAATGGCGTGCGGGCAATTCTGAGATGAGTTCCGGCACTTTCGTGGGGGAGAAGCCGTAGTCCGAAATGAGCCTTTGCAACCTATCGGCTGCATTGGGTTCTTGCGTGGACAGGATCTTTGCTGCCGGTTGAAGGAGATCGGCAGGAAGCTGACTGCCTGATGAATCCCCAACGTGCCGCAACTGCGCATACGATCAGAACGGTGTGCGTCGATGTGATTGGGCCATCGTACCTGCTCCAGTACCACAGGGGCAGCCACGCTCCCTGAAGCGCTCTTCCCATACCATCTGCCGCTATCGAACATTCCCTCGCATGGGTCTTCGTCTTCCGGTTGCGACCGATTGCCATCATCCGCACCCGGTGACATAGAACGCCGCCTGTCACTCTGGGTATCTGGTGAGCCGGCTGTATGACCGTGACCTTGCGACCAGTATTGGGGAAGTGCAGCCTCTACAATGTGCTCCAGACGGGCTAGTCGTACATGTACGTCCTGGTCGGTCTTTCCTGGAGTGTAGGCTTTGCATAATTCAGGGACCTTACGGGCTATGCACTGCAGTACGTAGGTTAGGGGCACAAGAAGGGCGATGATATGAATGACGTACATGTGAGCAGGGTATTTGCCTATCGCACTGGTGAGCGCAGGAATGTCAGGAGTGAAAGACACAGGCAAGAGAATATAGCAACCTTCTGCTTGCGGCGATGACATTCACCACAGGAGTAGCTGCGATCTATCAGACACGCAGGGAGGAGCGGGGGATGGAATTTTGCGAACCTCACTCTTGTGCGCGGCTTTTTCGATATCCTTGAGTCTTCCTCTTCAGACTTGCGCCTAATGCCGTTGGAGGGTCCAGGGGTGCTTTCGGGAGTCATGATGTATGCTGCTGCTTTCATATCAAGGCGGTGTTCAAGTAAATGGGAAGTGGTGGAGGGAGGGGACAAGGGGCAACGACTTACAACGGCTAAAGAGCCGGCGAGGCAGACCCTCAGGAGAAGAGGGAGTGTTGGAGAACCGCGGCAAGAGTGGGGAAGGCCAATCAGGAGCATTTGAATTTACACAACCGAGATGACTGTGACGGTCCGACCTTATCCGGTCACATGCGCACACTGACCGAACGCGTTTCTCAAGTTACTCAAGCCTCACACGCGCTCGCAAATCAGTACTGTCTTTCCTGGCAGATTGCCCTCACCCACCGCGTTTCACCTGGCCTCACGCGCACATGGAAGGGCCGCCATGGAAGAAACTTAGGCTCTCTTTGGAGAGGCCTTACAAAGACGATGACGGCCTCCCTATTCCAGTGCTGCTAGACATCACCCCCGAAGGGCAGCACGTCTACGAACCGTATGTCACGCCACAGCCTGCGCATCCATCTTCACATAATCCCTCTCTAGGAAGGAGGATCCTATAGCGAATGTCGGCGAGAACCTCCGGAGAATCTTCCTCGAGCGCGGTGTCGACTTCTTCGACAGGAAGAAGGAAGATCGTGAAAAGCCTTCTGAACCCTTGGCCACTGCTGAGCAAGCGGAGCAGCATGAGGAGGAGAATGAGCCCAACAAACCCATGACGCCGGAGGAGCTCTTCAAAATGCGGATGGACATACTGCCACAACTTCAGTGAGTTCTCGCTTGGCCTCAACAAATGACATACCATTCATTGAGCAAAGCATTGCACTGGGTGAAATGACACAGGCAAGAGACTTGTTGTCATTGCTACTCTCGTCGACGGGGCCTTCTCAGTCGCAATCATCGTCTCAGAACCCAAGTCTGTCATTCTTACACAGTCAAATGTCGAGCCAGACGTCTCCGCAGCCCTCATTTGTCACACAACTGCCGCCATCTGCATTGACGGCCACAGTTGTTACTAAGCAGCCACCTATTCCATCAGTCCAAGCTTTCGATGCCCAACTTGTCGTGGGCAGTAAAGACAGCGCTTTGAGGAAGGCAGCGGCCTTACTGAAGTCAGCGGCTGAGAACATAGAGTTTGGACGAGTGACGAGTGAGGAATATTGGATCAATGCCCTCAAAATCAGGCGCAGCAATTGGGGTCTGGTCCCAGCTCCTTTACCGCCTGGATCCGCCACAGGCAAGGGTGCAGACAAGACGACGAAGGACTTTCTTGTTACATTCGGTCTCGAGGAATGTAAGTACACCCGGAATCTCAGAGAGCCGGTGCTCATATTCTTGTAGCTCCCCTTGTATTCAGACGGAGAGCTATTGGCTATATTCCCTCACTGGGGACAGAGACCAAATCTATTGGATTCCCTCTGCGACAACACACCCGTTTACAGGTGGCGATTTCAACGACTGATGCAAATGGTGGCCGACGTACAGCTCGAAACCAAATACCGCTCGTCGATGGGTTGTCGCTTGAGGGCTCATTGCGTGCTGCCCAGGCAGAGGTCGTTGAGCAGGAGATTTTTGCAACCCTCATCAAGGAGGCCAGCAGTTTACCCACGGCATCTGCCAGGGTCTCAGAGAGGCTCATCGTCATTGAGGCCGCGCAGGACGTAGATCTACGATTCGAGCTGGTAAGTTCCAACCTGTGTAGCCCGACATCGAGTTTCACTTCAGTAATATCAGGTTGACAGTGACTCTGCATCGAACGCGGGCTCCGGCAGTGCTGATACTGCAAAATGCGACCTCATATTCGCAGCCCTACACGTCCTCCTGCTCCGATCTCACTCTCTGCTGAAGGCCGAACGCCTGAAACGCACAGCGGTCACACGGATGCAGGGAATGCCGGCCCCGCCACCACCACCACCGCCGCCAATGCTGCAGCCCGTCATCGATATACTTCAATACCAAGTCTTCTGCGAGCGCATACATACGGAGGTCAGCACAGTGGTCGACGCTCTCGGCCAGGCAGGCGTCCCCACCCAGCTGCGTTTCGAGGCCGTGGGCGGCAGCGGCGAGGAGTTCATCCAGCAATTACGCGAGAGCAAGCCGAAACCGATTGGTGGTGAAGCCCTCATTCGCATTGACAATCGGTAGGTCTTGATGTGAATGGACCCGTTCAAACTGGTAGCTGACCGTTGGGTTGGAAGCCATTCACTCCGCTTCACGTTTCTCTCGCCCTCGATGCTCATCGCGCATCTACCGCAGGCGACGCTGGGTATCGCGTCCATACCTCAGCTGTCCCAAATTCTTGTGGATGAAATTGGAGGCTGTCTCTTGAAGCGAATATGCGAAATCGGCACCGAGCGCTGTCGTTCCGTCAATGGAACGTGGTCGGTTGATCTTGTGGCTGAACGAAGCGTGGGTCGGTGGGAAGGATGTGTATTGTGAGTACCGAGCAAATGCGTGAATCCAAAATTGTACTGACCCCATCTACGCTGAAGGTCATTCCATATTGCTGTGCCGAACGGCTCTTCCATTGTCTGCACTGGATCTAGATTAGACCGGGCTAACGGTCATCTCGCGACAATGTCCGAGACATATCGGTCTCATGAATGTATTGGGGGGTCATCGCTCTTCGAGTGGGTGGGGAACGTTATCGAAGCAGCCTTGTCTAAACAGCCGGCTTCACTGAAACACTGTGAGTGAACCATTACGTTGGTGTCGACGTCAAGGTAATCATTGCTCCTGGACAGAATGACGTCGGTGCATAAGGAGCTTGTACTTCATGTATGCGCGCATGTATAACGGTCGAGAGTGTGGTAAAACCCAACCCAGTCATGCTGAGCAACCTGGGTATGGATGGCATAGCATGGCCTGCGTTTTGTGGATCATAAATGACGCTCCTAGAGAGCTACATATGCAATAGAGCACCGACAAAGCATGATAGAAAGTACCACAGCCTACTCCTCGTCCTCGTCCTCCTCGGCACCCGCGCCTGCCTGGAAGGCCTCGATCTTGGCCTGGATTCTCTCCCTGCGCTGCTCCAACGTGAGCCTGACAGTGCGGTGCTTTTTGCTCTCCTCCTTCCAGTCCTTGGTCTTCTCGGTGGGCTTGAAGGTGGGGTCTTCCCGGATGGCAGCGTACGCATTCGTGTAGATCTCCTCCATGTCCTCAGAGCCAACGCCGTCCGCAAGGTAGGTCGCGAATTGCTTCTTGAAGCTACATTGCTTGTGAGTGCATAGTACAGAAAGTGGGTACCAGTTCTGCGTACCGCTCGTCGTCTTCCTCCTCGAGAGACTCCATGTACTCAGCGACGTGACCTCCGAAGATGTACTTCTTGAGTACCTCGGCGTCCAACTCCTTGCTCTCAACGTCGTAGCCAGGGAAGCGCTTGTCATTGTGGGGGATGTAGATCCCACCGTCGCTTGCACCCTTGAGCGCACCAAACACACGCGAACCCGTCGACGTGCGCCTGAGACCGACGTCAAGGTAGCACTTGAATGGCCGAGGTGCGTCCTCCTCGTCAAGAGCCTCAGTCATGGAGAGCGTGCCATCAGGCTCTGCCACACCCTCATACTTGTCCGCCAGGCCAAGCTTCGTCAACGCACGACGAGCGCAGAGGAGACCGGTTGCGTACGCTAGGAGGGACATATGAGACTATAAGCGACAGAAAAAACTGATTGCACATACCAGCAGTCCAGTTAGTGAGGCCATGGTTGATACCGTATCTCGGGAGCTCAGTCGACCGAGCAGCGCACAACACAAAGTCACCCTGCAGGCGCGCGTATGCGATCTGGACAATTATCTGCTTGTTTGTGAAGCGGACGACGAGGCGGTACTTCGGCGCATTGCTGGGAATAGATAAGGTACACAACACAGTAAAGGGGCCAGCAATACATACTATTTGTTCTTCGCCTGAGTGACAAGTCGCTTGCGGGCGTAGTCTGGATATGCGATCAGAGGTTGTACCGAGGTTATAGGATTGTATGCGCACAATCAGTCTTGCCCTCTCTCCGGCGACGGTACTTGACCTGGAAGCGGGAGTAGTACGCGTCCGACTTGACCTTCTTGACAAATGGCATCTATGAGTTAGGTCGTCAGTGGACGTCCGCTACATCGACATTGTGCACAATGCATCCATCGTCTGCTACCACTAATCTGACAAAATTGCAGCAAGGATGTCCATAGGACGTCCATAGATAGCATTCTCGCACATGAACACGACAGGTACTTACCTTGAGGGAGTGTTGAGGACGACGGCGGCGGCGATGTACACAATCTACACAAGAGTCTGTGTTGCTTCGACGAGATGATTACGTAACAATATTTGCCTAATACGGTAAGCCCCGGACAAGAGGGGCGCTTATTGGTTACTTACTCGCGTCGCTCTTGTCCCGAGACTACCACTTGCTGGGACCACTCATCACCTCGTTGCTACTGAGTACAATCCTCAGATTCCTCTGCACATTTCATTATCATGGATCCGTACTCTGCGCAGAACTACTACTATCAGCAGCAACAGACTGCTGATGTCAACCCCTACCACCAGCCTTACCAAGGGCCGATGTATCCCATTCCTGGTTCCTCAACGTCTGCTCACCAAGCCCCTGTTCCTGCTAATGCATACGAATATGACGTCGGCATTCTCGCTCAGCAGAGTGTCTATGTACCGGGTGCCATGATTGACAAGCGGGGAGGTGCAGGAGGCAAACTAGCGAAAGGTGGCAAAAGAACGACGGTACTGCGTAAGGGTGCTGGAAAGGTCTGGGAGGACCAGACGCTGCTTGAATGGAATCCTTGTAAGTATTTCAGCCCCCATATCCCCGGTGGATTCTCATTATGTTCGCGGTTTAGCATGGTTCCGGCTGTTCGTCGGTGACCTCAGCAACGATGTCTCTGATGACGTCCTAGCCAATGCTTTCAACCAGTATACTTCTTTCCAGAAAGCTAGAGTAATCAGAGATCGCCTCAGCGGGAAGGTTAGACACATTACACTGCTCTTAACTCAGGCTCATGCGCGTTTCAGGCCAAGTATGGATTCGTCGCTTTCTCAGACCCGGAGGATTTCCTCAAAGCATGGAAAGAGATGGACGGTACGTTCGGTCACTTGATTTACTCTTGCACCTTCCTCACATGCCTGTATGTAGGCAAATATGTTGGTAATAGGCCTGTGAAGCTCAAAAAAGCCGACAACTCTGTCAACCCGGTCGAGATTGGTCATCGTAAAGCAAAAATGCTGGAGAAAGAACTCAAGAAGAACAGGCACAAGCCCTACTGATCTATCTTATGTTGGTCCGTGCCATGGATTGTCGTCGGCGGAGTGGAGTACGTTGTTTTGTTACTGTAATATGTGCGGGCTCATAGTTTCTGCAATATGTATTTTATGTCTTGAACCTTGACCCCCAGTCAAAAGTGCATCTGAGCGGAACGAGGCAGAACGGGGCTTGTCTCGTCCAACTGAGTAGAGCGGTGCAGATCTGAGCGATACATCCCTTATCTAGGCCCGTCACATCAAACGTCATTCCCAGTGAAAATGGCGGCTATTTTGTCTGATCACACTCTGGTGTTGCATGACGCGGATGCTTCATGCACGTCATAAGTTCCACTGGACACAACAATTCGTCATATATGCTGGACACCTTGTCTCCATACACGAACTAGATTTGATCATGTGACTGCATCCTCTGGCCGCGCGGCGCACTCTACGATTCTTCT